AAGTTAGCCCAACCTCTGTTAGAGTTTTCGGAATGGAACTATCTTTGCTCTTTGCATTTCACTGAGGTGGTTGTTAAGTCATGTGATTAAATAACTAGTTTATTTAAAGTAGTGCTGCTATGATATTATATTGTATTCTTAGTATAGTGAAAATAGCATGATTCGAGATTTTGAAACCCAAAAATAACAAATATCCAGCTCATAATCCATTGAAATATAACTGTCCACTCCATTCCTTTGCTTTTAGTATCTTCCATTCTGTCTCCTCCCTCTATAATAATCATGAAACATAGAATAAGTCCAAATATGATATGTCCAAAAAGAACAAGATTATGTCCACTTCTAGCAGAGAGTGCAATGAAATTGTTCACATATGCCATTCCCATCAATATATTTCCGATTACAAATACATTCATTTGTCTCCCATGTATCTTCCTATCTCTTTTTGAGAAGGTTTGGCTACACATCATGATTACGCTCATACCCACCATTGCTCCATAGCTTTCTACAGATGCTTTTCCCTCAAATGTTTTTCTTAGACTATCCTTCTTAAGCACAAGAAGCATGGGAAACATGGATCCAATTACATTCCAGTTTTTACTTAATACTTCAACTATTCCTCTATTATAATCTTCATTTGTTAGTATCCATCTTCCATGTAGAATCGGCCCAAGAATCGAGATAGTATATGCTACCTTTTTTGCAATCCCTAATATCTTTTCAGATGCTTCAACCTTTTTAGTAATACCTAGAAATGCCATTAATCCTAAAGATATAATGCAGAAAAGTAGAAGAAAATAGTCTTTCTTGAAGACTTTAAAATTAGTAGCACCATTTACTATACCAGGAGATTCCGTCACCTTCAATATTCCAGGATTGCCTATTTTTTCGGAGATACAGCTCGCTGATTTTTTCCTCTTTAAGGGAGGAGATTCGATGCTTCCTTCGGATATACAGTATGTGGGTTCAGTTTTACTTAGAGAAGAGTTATGCTGTGATTCCGTACTTTTTGGGTTACTTAATAGATACTTCTGAACTAAAAACTCGTAAACGTCTGTTTGAGTGGTGCTGATATCAGTATCAGGATCAGGTTTTACAAAGGTATTTTCAAGATCTACAGCTACAGACAAACAAGTGGAGGCAATTTGTTTCCTTTGATCGACGCATGAAACACCTACCTTTGTTTTTCCTTGGCAGTAGTGTTTTGAGTCTCTATATGAGCAAATATTATCTTTATATGTTTCTAGCGCATTTTTTACCTTTTTGATTTCTTTATTATACTTATTAAAAATATCTTTTCTATATAATGAGAATTCGCCATTTCTTATCGATTCAAGAAGCTCTTTAGCCTCTTTCATAAGATTTCTAATGCTTTTTATAACTTTCGAAAATTGACCGTCAACATTCCTTTGGTCAGTTTTAATTTTCCTCTCTCTAAACCACTCCTCTGCACTTAAAAGCTTTTTACTGGCCTCTGAGGACACAATCTCGCCGAGTTTCTTTTCAATGTTTTGAATATAGTCGGTGATATCCTTTTGTGTATTCATTTGAAGAGTTACGTTTTTTACAGGTATTAACTTTTTCCATTTAGTATATCCCTTATTCCATCAACTTTATTTAACTAAAATGGAAGTTCTAATAATATACCAAATCATTAGATCTGATCTTAGTGAAGGTTTTAAGTTAAGTTACTAGGAACGTCTATTTCTCTGCAATAGGCCTCGGCTGACACTCTACACATTTCTAAGGCTCCTTCAATGGTCTTATTGGAACCTACAAAACCGGATGCATGCACAAAATTGCATCCTTCAATTCCCGAGATTGTTTCTAATTTGCTTCCAGTAAGCCCCCTCCATTCCTTTTTTAAGGGGATTTTTGACTTGAAATGCTTTCTTTCCTTAGGAACGGCAAGAATTGTCACTGAGTTCTCTCTTTCATTTAGTACAAATTTAATGTCTTTCTTATACTTCTTTTCTATTTCTGGAACTACATCAATAAAGCAATATCTGTCAACACACAAAATATCTCCAACAACGCCCGAAATTAATTTGTCTAAATACTTGTAATTTGGAATCCAGCTGCCGATCATTGTATGCATGAAATTATCTAAGTCCCTGGAAACAATTCGCACAGCTTCTAGAAATCTTCTATTTTGTTCATCATTCTCATTTCCAGAAAAGCTTAAGATATTGAATGATTCAACAATATGTGAAAGGGATCGTGGAACAATCTCTCCAAAAATTTCGTACCCGTTATCGATTGCATCTGCAGACATGAAATAGGTTTCATAAATCTCTTCTAGTGCTTTATGGAAGTACTCGTCTGTCCTAGTAATCCCATAAACTTCTAGAAACCTTTCTCCATAATATTTATAAATTAGTCCAGAGCTACTTAGTTTTATCTTATGATTTGAACTGAAAGTTTCATTAAATGATTCCTGATGGTGATCATACCTATTTGTCTTGGGATCAAATACACCTCCAACATCATATATTATGTCTCCACCCTGTACAACGGCAGGATTTCTTGTTCGGATTATCTCGGAATCTGGATATATTTTAAGTAGCACGGCTGTTGCTAACACTTCATCCAGATGAAATTTTCTATCGTGTGTCACAAGAATCATTCTGAGGGCTCTAGACCATTTTGATTTGTGATCCCCTCCTATGCCATTACCCACACTAAATGATCTCATCCTTGCATACCAAAATGAGAAGTCTGCAAAAAGATTGCTTCCATATGCTTCATGCCCAATGAAGCACTTTCTAGATGTAGTTTCAAGAAGAGCCGGAGATATGAAAGCCCTAGGTAAAACTATAGTGAGGAATGTATATGAGCTAGAACTAGAGAGAGTAAAATTTTTTATCAAAGAATATATACGGGTTAGGTTGAAGAAACTAAGTACAAATCTGTACGTAGATCGATCGTTTTTATCTGAAAGAGAGACTATTTTCTATGAAAAATACATTGGCCTACTGAAAGAAAGAGACATATATGTTCCAGAGCAAAAATTTTGTAAAAAAAATGAGTTTATTGGATTTTATTGTTGCGTTGACGTTGATGGAATAATGATTGATGGGGAATTGCTGGAGGTGTTCAAAGGAGACTTCTTTGTTGCTCCATTAAGTGATGTGATGGATCTTCTAAAGAGAAATGAAATAATTCTATTTTAAGTTAAATTTGTATAGATTCCATTTTGATGAATGGTTATTCTATATTAACTTAATATTTAGAACAGAAATATTCCAAAAATGGACTTCATTTTAAAAGTTTTTTGTTTTTCGCTTTTAACGAATCACTATACGTGATTTAATGCATCAACTCTGTTATCAGCACACTATTAACAAATTCATCCTTTATCTCCACTTCTTCAAGCTGGGAGCTGGACTCGAATAAATAGTTCTTGGAATTCCCGGATTCTTCCTCTTCGTCGAAGGGAGAATCATCAAATGAGTCGGAAAATTCATCCTCTGGCTTTCTATTTATATTCTCAAGGACGATAGTCATGGTCACTATAAGAACGACTGCAGCTGCTAACATTAATATTACTAGTAAGAATCGCATAATGTTTCATATATAACGGCATTTAAATTTTTCTTTTAAAATTTGATAATAAATTTAGAAAAAAAAGTTTGAGAAAAGAACATTCTATATAATCTTTGCTAATCTAACGTTTAATGAAATTCTCATGTTCTTGATTCACAACACTGTTGTAGCCCAGAGGGTTTGTATGCCCAAAGTTATAATGTTGATGCGAGGAATGTGGGGGAAATTGATGAAGGTGATGTGAAGGATGTGCAGAGTAGGGAGGTGGAGCGCTTGGTAAAGATTCTGGGTTTTCTCCATCTGGCTTGCTGTTATTTGGAAAGAGCAAACCCTTTATAACTTTTATTACTGCCATGCCTGTGATTACTCTAAACAATGCTCTAATTATCCTTTGGGCTGGTGTTTGGTGTTCATCTTGGGCATTATTATTTCGTGACTTGGTCTTTACAATGCCACTTTCTTCAGATCTATTAAGAAGGACTTCACAAGCTATTATTATTAATGTCACTAGAAGCATAATACTTGCCGCAATAAGTAGCTGGGGCAGTTTCATACAATTAGAATCTTCGAAGCATTTATACATTTCCCCTATACGCGTTCCAATAAAAATATAAAGGTTGAGTTTTTGAAAACCTTGGAGAAAAATTACCCACATTTTGAAAATGAAGAGAAAAAATCAAATTTTGTTGACTATTGGTACCATTGCAACACTCACAACTCTGTTGTTCTTAGGAGATAGTTTTTTTAACAGCAGAGGTTCTTGTGCCTGTAAACATGATAAATGCACTTCTAATATTGATTCTAAGAACCTAAATATGCGTGGTATTCCAATTATAAAAAGGGACAAATACATTTTGAGGGGCCTTGATATAGGCGACTATAATAAGGGATTTATTGACTGCATAAATGAAGTGACTGAACCCGGGGTGGTTACACAGAAGCAGTTTGAAGAAAGGTATCTGTCTCTGTGCAAAGATGGATGTTATAAGATAGTGGTTGCATACGACCCAAAGGATGAAAAGGTTATTGGAAGTGGAACGCTGTTTATCGAAAAGAAATTTATCAGAGGATGTGCTGCTAAAGGCCATATAGAAGATGTAGTTGTCCTAAAGGAAAAGAGAGGAAAAGGTATTGGAAAGGATATATTGGAAACATTGATCTGGATTTCGAAGAAAATGGGATGTTACAAGACTGCGCTTGTATGTGACTTGAAGAATATAGAATTCTATAAGAAATGTGGGTTGAAAGAGAAGGAGAGAGAGATGGTGATGTATCATTAAAATGTAGCTTGTGTTAGGGTTATTTTTAGGACTAAAACAGATAGTCAAAAAGGAAAAATCCTGCCTGATGCACCCATTGGCATAATCCGGCTTTAAGGGGTAGTTAGGAAAACCCTTGGAGAAATGTTTTTTGTGAGAGACTTTGTACAAAACATTCATTTGAGTCCAAGCTATCTTGGCCCAAATATACAAACACTTATAGAAGAATACCTATTAAGTAAGGTTGAGGGATCATGTAGTTCTAGCGGGTATGTAGTTATGGTTCTCAGCATAGATGAGGTAAGTGAGAGTAGAATCATCCTGACAGGAGAAACCATATTTACTGTCAAGTACAAGGCTCTTACACTAAAGCCATTTAAAGGCGAGATAATTGATGCAAATGTCGTTGAAACAAACAAAATGGGCGTTTTTGCATCTGTTGGACCACTAACAGTGTTTATATCAAACCATCAAATACCAAACTTTCTTCTAGAAAATGAAATAACAAAGGATATAATGATTAGATTAAAGATCATTGGAACTAAGATAGACTCTACCAAAATATATGCTGTTGGGACCTTGAATGATGATTCTCTGGGCATAATTTGCTAAGAAAAAAGAACGGAAGTGGATGGCGGGCATTTGATTAAAATTTACATTCTCTGGGGATTTGTAACCCTAGTATAAACGAGGGTAGAGCGAAACATAATATAGTTCAGCATTTTGCAAAAATGGAAGATTGAGTTGTGGGGTCTGAATGTGCCCCTAGGACTCCTTTACAGCCAGGGACTGAATGAAATTATCCTCTTATTTTTGCAGCCTATAAGCCCTGATTGGATGGGCCTTTCTTTAGAAAGATGAATTTTGACCCTTTAAGTAAATGGACGAGAACAGAAAATATGGAAAGAAAGAAGAGCAGAGCAACCCCCAGATTCGAGGAGAAGCAGAGTATAATATTCCCTCATATGGAATTAATGAGAATATACCGGAGGGGTTTTCATATCCGCATTGGATACCCCAGAACATGAATTATACATTTGACCAGCAATACAACTATTACAATCACTCTATGCCTCAGTTTCATAATGGTGGAATGATGCCACAGGGATTTGTGCAGGAACAAATGCATCCGATTATGTTTGAAAAGCCGCGAGGAAAGAGTCATGGAAAGAAAAAGATAAAACTTGAATATATATCTGGAAAGAATAAAAGAAGTGTTTGCTTTAGTAAAAGAAAGAGGGGAATAATGAAGAAGGCATATGAGCTGAATGTTCTTACTGGGACTGAGATTCTTTTACTTGTTGCCAGCGAAAGTGGGCATGTATTCACTTTTGCAACAGAAAAGCTAAAGCCCATTATAACAGAACACGAGGACATTATACAGAATTGTCTGAATAGACCTGAAGGAACACCTTATAAACCTAATTTCTCTAAAGGGAGTGAAAGACAGAATTCTGAAAACAAAGGATATGGAAAAGCAGAACCATTGGACAAATCTAGAGAAGGTTATTGACCTTACCTGATGTATTCCCAGATATCATACGGCTTTATGTTAAATAAAACAACCTTGTCCTGAATTTTATAAACCTTATTGTATTTTCATCACTCTCATAAATATCATGAAGTATTTATTTAATTTCGCAGATAGAACGCCCCGCATCAAAGCGAATTTACATAATAAAAAAAAGGAATATTTTTAGCCTATGTTATCTCAAGAAGAAAGGAAGCAGATGATTCTCAAGCTATTTATTGCGCTAAAGGAGTCGAACATATTCCCTGGATATACACCTGTGCAAATTAAGGAGGCAGCCATAAGAGCCGAACAGAGGATATACGAAGAAAGCAATTCTAAAGAAGAGTACCTGAGAGGCATGGGCGAAAGATTTCAGAGGATCGAAAGAGTTGTGAGTAATAGGAATAGAAGTGATGGAAAAGAGAAAAATACTCAAGAGCGAGGAGGGCCATATATATATGCTAAGCCTCAAACTGTTAAAGGCCAAGAACTTGGAAATGTTTCTGGAGAAACTTCAACTTCTACAAAGCAAGATTATGCTCACGGGAATGGCAGCTTTGAAAGAGGAGAAAGAAGATTGTCTGAGCAGCTATTTACAGAAAATAAACATCTTTTTGGCAAGCAAAAAGGATTTGTTCCATCTGAAATCATGGGAATAAGTCGGAGCCATGGCCTTAAAGAGTCGGATAACATTTCCAGATTCAATGACCGGGATATGGAGGGCAGTACTAGAGGAAGATCCAATTCGTGTAACATCCAGGGTTCCCTTTGTGACCCTATGGTCCATGCGATAGGTGGGGAGGGGTTTCCTAATAATTCCAGAAACCCTATGTTTTTCAGGAGACCTCAATCCGAAGTGGGCCCTTACAACCCAGTCAACAGAAAGAGCTTTCAAAATGTTCCTGACCAGAGGCATTTTTATATGCAAAGAGGGGGGTATCAGCAAGACATATCACCCCAGTCATATAGACATGCGAATCAAGGATTCGGTTCTGAGTTTAGCCGCTTTGATTATGGAGAAGGAAATACCAATGGAAGGTCTAAAGATGAAAATGTGCCTAAGTCTTCTATTGATATGAATTTTAGTGAAATACAGCAAAGCAAGCTTCCAGGTAGTAGTACACTTAATGGAAGAGGATTTGTCCCTTTACAATATCCGCAACAGTTCGCCCACCCACCTTCCTCACCATATTCAAATCCAGGAAATATGAATATGTTTCCATTTTCAGGAAAGCCTACATACCCAAACACTGGGCCTTTTGGGCCCTTAAACCATCCAATGTTTGGGCACAACCACTCTTCCAGAATACAAAATGTACAGGGTTTCCCCATGTCTTCCGCTCCTGACACTATTAGTGGTTTTCCTCATCAAAGTCTTCATGACCGGCCTACAAATATGTTTTCAAAGCCTCCTCAAAATAGAGAAAGTCTCAATACCGAGTGGTTGGGGAATCCTTCGGTATTTGACAGACATTACACAAATCCTGGGCAGAGTTCAATGAAACCCTCGCCCATATTCTTTAACCAACAAGTCCAACATCAGCCTTATTTTCATACTATACGGAATCCAGGTCAGTTTGGCCCTGGAATGGATAGAAAGGAAGCTGTTTCTGAAAATTCCAACCAATGGATGTTTGGCTCATCAAATGAAGATCCTCGAATTCCATATGATGAGTTTCTGCGCAGGAATAGGAATCTAAAAAAAAGCGTCGAGTACTTTTCCTCATCTAAGAATGAAAGAGATGGTTTTCCTATGAGCCCTGGGGAGTATAAGACTAGCCCAAGCCATCATCCTTCTTGGCCCCCTAACGGATTTAGGAGCTTCTTTTCGGAGGATTCCCCACCATGCTCATCAGAATCTGCTAATTTACAGAAAAGAACAGATAACTCTCCATGGTTCAAAGAGGGGGCTCTCTACAATACAAATTCTGAGAAAACTTCACCTGAGAATCTTGTTGAAAAGGGTAGAGGAAATTATAATGTGCATAGAGAAGAGGAAAGTATTGAATACAATAATAACAATCCAGTAATTCAACATCATTCTAATACAAAAGAGGCGTCCCAGGGCATAAACAGTATATTAGAACCTGAAAAGCCTTTTGCTTTTCCTAGTAAGATAAATAATTTCTTTCAAGAACATGAGATGGAAAGGATTTATTTGGATTACAAAGGACTTACAGATCTGAAATCAAGACTAAATGAAGCTATCAGTGTAATAGCCAAGTCTCAAAAAATATACAATGCTTTTAAAGAGGCTTTCCCTGGTTCAGAGCTGCTTCAAAAATATGATGTAATCAAGAATCTGCTTGAAAAGCAAGAAGAGTATCTCAACCATGACGCTTATTTTCTGAAGCCACGAAGCATAGATGGCTTCATAGATCAGATCAAGTCCTTAACTATTGACATGAGCCATGACTTGAAACTGAACACAACAGACGCCGGTGATGTAAACTACGGAGAATGCCTTATGAATGCTGTAAAGGCGTTTTCAGAAAGGAAAAAAAAAGAGGAAGGCTTTGGCCTGAATGTAGTAAACGAAGATGCATACGAGTGAGTTTTTACTAGGTCCTAAACAACTATAAATCAATATTGTATTAATAACCTTATTTATCAATCTCCACAAAAACCTCTGAATATCCTATAATCTTTCTGTTTACTGTGTCTACGGCTTTGATAGCAGAGTCCTTTCTTCTATATACAACAATGCCCAAGCCATCGCCGTCTATTTCTACATGGCACGGCCCAAACTTACTAAAAACATCCCAAAGAAAAACCTCATCTATTTCCTGGCCTATGTTTCTTACCACAACTCTCACCTGCTCTTCAACCTTGCTGAAATATAGCCTTTTTCCATATAATTTGACACCCTGAAGAACTTTGTAGGTATAATCCAATTCCTCATGAGTTTCGTAACTTACAAAGCAATATCCTTTGTCTTGATTATAATAAAGATTGCTGATCTTTGATACTTGGGTGAGCAATTCATAGACCAGTTGCTTTCTAGTTTTGGTTGGAATATTGGTTATAAAAAGCTTATGCTTTTCATCAGTCAGACCTCTCTCCATGAAGGGAAATCATAAACATGGATAAAAAGCCCTTTTCAAATATCTCTCACAAGTTCTATTGTCTCCATTATATTTTGATAGAATTCTCCTTCACTTATCTTGAGGTCATAAAACTCCATTTTTCTTATGAAATCCACTGCTGCTTGTACTGATGTCAAATAATAGCTTACTTCCTTCTCATCATACGTCTTGTTGAAAAAACATTCGCAATCGGCCTTGATATTAAGCTCATGATTACACTTCTCTTTACACCTCTCACCGTTCTTTCTCCTGTAGAGAACCATAAACCTGGTTTCTAGGTATATGTCAGGAACCGACGACTTTATGATGCAATAGATAATGGACGGGAGGATCTTATCCTGTCCCTCGTTCCTCCCAATTGAATTGCACAATCTTTCCATGACATCCATTACGCAAGATATCTTTTCTGTTGGTGTTTGGAGAAAAGGAAGGGATTTAAGCACCTTGGAGATGTCTTCCAAGATATTCCTCTTCACACTCCTAAGTTCTAGATGCTCTGGGTTTATCCATCTGTATAAAAGAATTTTCTTGTTTACAAGCTCGTTAGTAGGATCATTTGTGTCCATAAGTCTAAAGTTAAGTCTACTTCCACTTACTGTTTGAAGCTGTCTGACATAACCATTCTTTCTACTAAGCTAATTCCTACCTCGCATTTAACTCCGTATTTTATAGAAATGTAGTCATAGAATGTTTGGAGGAGTGTGGGATTATCCTTGACTAGTTTTATATCTCTAGTAAAATTGTCTATTGTTCTCCCAGCCGGAGTTAAGGAAAGAGATAAGAGAGCCTTTGAGCAACCCTTTCTGCACTTCATGCCTATTGTTTATTCAAAACATTTCAACGTTTTGAATATTTAGATATGAGATAATGGTGATGCTCTAGGGGCTGATTTCCGTACTCCTGCCTCCATGATACACAAGCAAATTTTTTGTTCTTTTGTAGGCCCTTAAAATGGAAGGTACTGAAAAAAGAAATCCTGGAAGGCCATTTCCTAGGAAGGAGGAAAGTGAATGGGTACCAAGAACAGCAGTTGGGAGGCTGGTGAAGATGTTTAAGATAACGTCTTTGGATCAAATATTTAAGTTTTCTCATGTGATCCGTGAACCAGAAATAGTTGACATGCTATGTGGAAACTCAATAAAAGAGGAGGTATTATCTATTAAGTCTGTTCAGAAGCAGACAAGAGCTGGGCAGAAAACAAGGATAAAGGCCGTGGTCGTGGTTGGAGATGAAAACGGGCATGTTGGCATTGGAACCAAGGCATCGAAAGAAGCTGCATCTGCAATTCGAGGAGCCATAGCTAGAGCCAAGTGTGCAATTAGGCCTGTAAGGTTAGGGCTTTGGGATGGAAACCAAGGGAAACCGCACACTATTTCTTGCAAGGGATCTGGAAAATGTGGAACCTCCATTGTCCGAGTGATTCCTGCACCAAGGGGAACGGGGATTATATCTGGAAGTGTCAACAAGAAAATATTTGAGCTTGCAGGGATCAAAGATCTTTACACTATATCTTCTGGAGCCACCTCAACAACTGAAAATTTTGCTAAAGCCTCCATTGCGGCTCTTGAAGCAACATCATCGATGATTCTTCCAGAACAATGGGAAGAGAAGCCTAGGACATTGAATCCATTGCTGGAGTTTGCCGATATTCTTAATCAACTTGACAAAAGCCGTGTTTAAACAATAAAAGCGGGTTTGCTTCTTACATAAGGGATTTTTTGTTAGTTAGTGTCCTAGGATGTTTTGTTGTTAAAACCATTTTTAAGAAGTCCTTAATGAACGATTCCAGCTCGGAAGAAATGATAAACATAAGCAGAAGGGGGCATCATGTAGTGCGAAAGCGTGTACTCGAAGACCTTTTTGAAGAGGATGATCATGCCACTTCTGAAGAAAGCATTTCTTCCATTGACTATGAGGATAAAGACTCTTTGTTCTTCGAAATTTTTGGCACAGGGGAGGAGTATGGATACGTTCTCGAAAGTGAGGGAGATGAATTACATGAAGAACCAACCAATGGTGACGATGCGGGGCCGGAAGATGAGAGTGTTGATTTGAACAAAGTGTATGAATATGCAACGAATAACATGAAAATCAGTCCAGAATCTCTTAGGAAAGTTATTGAGTTGTTAGGAAAAGGATACAACATTCATTTTGTGCTATTACACAACTCAATTGAAGATGTTGGTATTGAAGAAGGATACAAAATTGTAGACATTTTTGATGAATACAAGGAATTCGTAAGAGTGAAGAAGAAGATGAAAGAAAAGTATGGGGACGATGAACTCCTTCAAAAGATTGAAGGGATTCATGCTCTTGGATGGTATTCTGGATATAAAAAACATCTTAACAAAGACCTTGGGCTTCCAACTGAATTGCTTTCTGTAGAAGATTTTTGTGAAAACATAAGAATGAAGAAGAAAATCCATGAACCTTTGGATACTTCCTCCTTTTTAAGGTTTGATAATGAAGTTGAGTTGGTTCGAAGAATTTCCCTACATCCTGTGTTTAAAAATGCTTTGTATGTGATTTTTAAGAATCACGGCGTGAGAAATGAGAAAAGCGGGTTGGAGGTAAGAGATGATATTATAAGAAGATGCCTGGTAGACTTCTATTTAAGCGATATTTCATCTGATGGCCTTTGGAATAGATGCCGTGAAAGGATAGTACGCTCTTCGATAGAAAAAACGAGCAAAGACGTGATTATACCTTTGGTTCTTAAGGAGATGAAACTCGAGGAGAGGAAAAAAGGTGTTTTTATTGAAGCTATTGATAGAATAGTGAATGGGTCGATTGGAATCAAAGGGGAAGGGACGTACGTATGTGGTGTCACAAAGGAAAAGAAATACCTCAAGGCTGCAATTGTGAATTTTGAGGGTGATCTGGTTGATTGTATAACAGTTAAGGAAGAAGAAGAAGAAGAACTTCTGAAGTTCATTGGGAAATTTGATCCTTGCTGCACTGCAATTAGCGGATACAGTACATCTATCAGATATTTAATGAAGTCTCTTTTACCATGGAACCCTCTTTATGTAGAGAACAGAATTGGGCAAATGAAGGCTGAGGGCACTTATTCATTTTGCTGTAACATAGCAAGGGTTATACAATGTCCTGAAATCGAATACAGTGATATGTTAAATAAGGGCATCGTATATATGGAAGAAACCCTGCCTAGAAGTATAATGGTTGAGACTATAAAAAGGGGAATTCTAACAGCAGTATCAGTAACAGGAGTAGATGTAAATTACCTCCTTAACAACAAAAGAAGGGAAGGTTTGTTGTCATTTCTTGGAATAAGTGATATTCTAAAGAATAATTTATCTAACCTGAAATATGTAGCAAAATTAGAGGATCTCCAAGATTTGTGTGAAAATGAGAAAGAATACATCAACCTCACAACATATCTTAGGATACATCCTGGCATGTTTTCTAGAGCTTCTGAGAATGAAATATTGGATTGTACAGCCGTTCATCCAAAAAACTACACCATTGCAACCAAGTTGTGCACAAATTTGTGTAGCAAAGAATCTATAAATGGAAAGACTATTGATCCTATAAGGAAGGCATTAGACAACGAAAAAGAGGTACTTAGGATGTTTGGTTCCAACGTTTTAGAATATGATGATCCTCTGGCTATCAATGTTTATAATACTTTGTTGAGTAACAACAGACCAATATACTCCGGGCTTCCTGATCACCTTATTTTCAGAGAACTAACAGGGTCAGACTCAGATCTAATTGGAAAAGTGATAGAGGGAAGAATTTCAAAGTGTGGAACCACATACTATCTTCTAAATTCAGATTCCACATCTGCATCAATATACATAAAAAAGAACAGAGAACAAGAAGAGTTCTTCTTAAACCAGCTGGTAACTGTGAGAATCCAATATATGAATGACTTCTTGTTATCATACACAGCAACCATCGTAACTTCTGAAAAAAAGAAGCCACATCACTCTCGCTTTATGACACATCCTTTGTTTAAGGACCTTAACAGTGAGGAATCCGAGAGATATCTCAAAGATAATTCTTCTTCTATGCTTTTAAGAAGAAGTAGGAGAGATGGGTCCCCTGTGGTGGTTCTAAGAGTATCTGGTGATATATATGTCCATATAAAGATACAAGAGGCAGAAAAGTATTACTACAAGGGAAATTCATATGAAGACTTGGATGAATTTATATCTAGAACGGCCAAAAAAATGCTCACGAACTTCAAGAATATAAAGAACCATAAGTATTACTTCGAAGATGAAGAGAAACTTCTGGAATATCTCAATCAAGGAGGAAGCTACATAAGATATGGCTTCTGCTTCAGTAAAAAGTACCCAGGAAAGCTTTGCATGATATACCGTGATGGATACAATCGTAAGGAATACATTACAGTGGATGACCATTTGGTATATGAGGGAAAGAACTTTGGAAGCCTCGATGAATTTGTAAGATATAAAAAGTCTCTGTGACAAAGGGGACCAACCGGGCATAAGAAGAGAAAAATACACTACAGTATTAAGTCACGAAAAAGACCTTGAAGATTAATAGTCCAATATTTAATAATCAGTTATTTTAGTTCGGAAGCTTGAATGTCTGCCCCCCTCGCCATACATACCTTGTTCCTGTCCATCTTCAGTGATTTTCTCATATCAAGAGCATTTTCTCCATCCCCGTCGACATAATAATTGAATACCTTTCTATAAACAGCATATCCTAATTTTTTGTAGAATTCAATCGCTGTTATGTTTCCCTCTCTAACGTATAAGTCGGCAAAATGCGCATTGTAGACATCTCCGCTTTTTTCTATAACACTCATGCACAGCCTTCCGAAACGATTTTTTCTATAAGAGGGGGCAACTGAGACTGCAGAGATATGCGCGTTTATAAACCCATCCTTCTCCTCCAACTTCCCTATCATATATGCACACACATTTCTCTTATATGTAAAGGAAGTTTTATATTCTGGTAAAGAAGGAATGACTATACAGTCCTCCCCGTGGTTGACTAGATAATAGAGATAATAGCTTAATGGAAAGCTTTCGGACTTCTCGTCCAAATTCACCCAGTCCAGTGAGAAGATATCACTGGGAAGCATAGGCTCAACCTTATACATCTCAAATGGGCTATTTTTCTTGTTTCAAATTTTTCGAGGATAACCTCAAATAATATTGATCACTTCAAATATCTTCTCAATATCTATATTGGTTTTTTGCAATACTTCTTTAACTTGCTGCTCACTCAAATTGGTAAACTCTCTAATGTGCTCTGAGCTAATAAATCTATTTCTTCTGAAAGACTGGAAAAAAGGCTTGTTCAAGGCTTCTGCTATCTTTTGTCCAAGCTCTTCAAGGAATTCAAATAACTTTTCTTCAATCTTTACAATTTCAATCACCTTGCCACTCATACATACTCCAAAAACCTTGTCCTGAGAAATAAGTTGGATAGGCATGTCGTTGACAAATATTGTTGCCACTGAAACCAGGAAATCATCTTTCACCTTCATAATAACTATATTCCCAGCTCGGTCCCCCACCACCAAATTCCCATCACTCGTCTTCTCTAAAGCCATCACATACCTCGGAAGCCGTTCTCTGCAAACAATTCTTTTGTCTTTCACCATGAACACAGAGTCTTTTTCTGTTCCGGCAAATAACTTACCCTCTCCAACGCACATCCTGGTTATTTTTGATGGAAATTTCACCTTAAACTTCTTAAGCAATGTTTTCACTCCAATCTCATAACAATAAAGGCTGTTCTCCGTACCGCAATAGACTTCCTTTCCGTTCATAGCAATTACCTCGATCTTCCAGGAAGTTCCAAAATCATAAAGAAGGCTTCCATTCTTGTATACTTTTAAGAAATAGCTGTCCTCAAAACCTTCTCTCTCAAGCCTTCTAACATATGCAGAGACAACCTGATATTCCGAAGAAGAAAACTCTATGGCTTTTCCATGGCCTTCTACCATTAGAGACCCATCAAATCTTTTTATCTTGAAGTTATCAGAATCATTATCAATATACATAGCCTCCCTGCCTATGATTTTGCACTCTTCTTTATTATTTATTGTATCTACCATAAATACTCTGTCTTTTTTATATTCGTAAACCTCTAGTCCACATCTCCCACCAATCACTACCATGTCCCCCGAAAGAGCACTCTTCAATCCATCAACATCCAAACTTCTCTCATGCCTCAAATCTATGACTTTTTCTTCAAGTATTACAATTCCTTCCTTTTTTCCAGTAGGTTTACCGCCTTCCCTTATTCTTATGGGAAGTGAGAGTGACCCGTCTTCATTGATCTTAAATCTGTATATCTCCGTTCCAATTGTGTACAGAAACCCATTAAATAGAGACAAAAACATCACATCAAAGCGGAACGATTGGATAAATACGAGCTTTCCATCATCTATTCTATACACCCTAAGGACTCTTTTTCCAGTCAGTATAAATAAATATCTTTCATTCACTTCCATTTCCTTAATTGTAAATTCTATTTCGATGTTTTCAGACGAAGAGGAATCAAGTTTAGTTATTCTATTCTTATATCCAAGAAACACATACTGGCTATTTGCCGAAAACGAGTCATAATCGATACTATGCTTATTAGTAGTCAGATTGTTTTCACTGCTTATATTACAAACCATCACCAGTCCTACCATCATGTAGAAATCATTCTTTCCTATCTTGTAATACCCAACTATTTCGTCTTTGGCTACAAATTTGTATAGGCTCGCCATCCTTCCTCCTTCCAGAAGAAGACATTGGGCTTCTTCATCATACTGCACGCATATAAACTCTCCGCAACTAAATATACTTCTCAGTACTTTTTCCTCCCTTTCTCCAAAAAGTTTCATCTCATTTAAGAGAGAAAAAGGTTCTTTCTCGGTAATCTCTCCAATGTAATGACCATCAGAGACGTAAACATGGTATATTCCATCTGCCGTGATAGTCGCGGTGGAAAATCTTTTGATTACTTCAATTACATCAACTAGCTCAAGACTGACCATTTCATCTTCTCTTTTTATATAGTACATGCAGTTATTTGAATTGTAGCCTACAGAGACCATAAGCCCAGAGGAATGTATTTCTATATCCTTAGAAGGATTTATTCTTCCTATATGTTCCAACTTCAGTCTATCTGTAAACTTAAGGCTAAAAATCTCACCTTCTTCATTCACTATTAGTGTTAACAAGCATTTTCCATCATAGTGGGAAGTGTAACATGTAAATATCTTAGTCTCAGATATATCTTTACATTCACACCTTGAGCTGGCCTCAATGAGAGTTAAAGTTTCAGATGATCCGAGAGAGATCTTATAAACCTCAATCTTATCATTGTTCCTGAAAAAAAATACTCTGTCTGGCGAAAACACGACAAAGCTATCTTTCAATGGGACGACGATGTACCCCCCAGGAACATTTTCCTCCTTTAACATCTCTATCATTTCAAGTTTATGTTCATAAATTCTTACAGACACTCCATTTTGATTCCTCACTAATAAAAGATAACGTCTTGTACCCTCCATAACCTTAAGATCTATAACAACACTTTCACCTACAGAATGCTCAATAGGAATCTGCAGTTTATCTTCAAAAAAGTAAAAAATCATATTTCCAAAATAAGATGCAAGACACATACTGCTTTTTCCATGTGCAACGTATGCCCCCACCTGCCTATAGTCTATAGAGCATCTGCCAAATCTGTGCCGAGCTCTTTCATTAAGGTCCTTATCTAGAAACACAAAATATCCGCTAAAAACAACAAGAATCTCGTCTTCTACAATAGATGCAGACTTTATCACATCGAAAAACTCCATCTTCCTGGTGTATACAAGCTTTCTGTGGCTAATATTGTAAATGGTTATCGAAGAAGTCTGTACAAAATATATGTTTGATAAACTACATAATACCTTCATGTACAAATCCGTGTTCACAACAGCTCTACACAGGTAAAACATTCGGTGCAGGGGAACTTTGCAATACGTAATAATACAGATAAGCATTTAATCAAAAAAGCATATTTCACTTTTTCTTGAGAATTCGATGTCAACTTTGTGCCCAACAAGCTCCCTGATGTTCTTCAGCCCATACTTTATCATGGCAGGCCTTTCCAAAGATAATCCCCAAGCAATAACACTTACATCAGAATCAAACCCCATAGGTCCTAACATTTCTGGCCGAAATATCCCCGAATTCCCAACTTCCATCCATCGATTCATTCCCTTATGGTATCCAAAAACTTCCATTGAAGGCTCCGTATATGGATTGAATGCAGGCTTAAATCTGATGTCGCACATCCCTAGTCTGTTAAAGAACTCCTGAAGGATTCCCATGAGATGAGTTATGTTTAGACCTTTTCCAGCTATTAACCCCTCCACTTGGTGAAATTCGGCTAGATGAGTTGCATCAACACTCTCATTCCTAAAAACCTTATCAATCGAAAAAAGCTTCACAGGCTTAAATCCTTCCTTTGCAAGCTTGTACAGATTCCGAGCGCTTACAGAAGTTGTATGTGTTCTTAATATGTTCTTTTGTGCCTCTTTAATGTCCCAGTTGTTCATGTATCCTAAAGACCCGTATTTTCCTCCACAGTGGGTTTCCTTAACCTCATTGAGATAATCTTTCGGGAAGTTTAGGCTAAGCTCTGGATTCAAGAGGAAGAATGTGTCATGGGCATCTCTAGATGGATGGTTCTGAGGTTGGAACAATACATCGAAATTCCAGAAAGACGACTCTACATACTGATCAGTTGGCATCTCGCTAAAGCCTAACTCAATAAATATTCTTTTAAAATCCTCTCTTATTTTCATGAGGGGGTGTATCGATCCACACTGAGGAATGTTCCCCTTAGCATCAAAATTATAGTGCTTGAAGGTCAGGCTTTTGTAGGACCCGTCAAGAACCATTCCTGATGTTAGCTCAGTAGCATATGAGGTATTGTCAAAAAACATAGGTCCTTTAGTTGCCACGAATACAATATTCTTCTTTCTAATCACCAACTTTCTTTTCCTCAGAACCTCTATCTCCTCATCTGTTGCCTTGCCTCTCTTCATATTGATAACCATATTTCGAATCATGTCTTCAACCTTTTCTACGCTTCTAAAAATTTTGCCATCTTTCCTTTTTACCCATTTATTCTTAAATGCATTCATCTTTCCTACCTCATGCTTCGATAGCTCATCAGAATCTATACCATCTTTTCCTATAGACTTAAAAAACAAGTATTCTGGGCTTCCATTTTTCTCTACCTCTTCTCCTTCAGGAGTCAGCACTTCTTGGTATGATTCCTCCTTTCTCACATCACATATCCCTTTGCTCTCAAGGCTTATCAATGCACCATGTATCTCGGAATATGGTGCATCAATATCAGAAGATCTCACTTCGTCCTGCTCCTTCAAAACCTCCACTATCTTTTGTACCATTGACATCTTCTAGGGCTTGAAATATAAGATGAAATGTACTTTGGATAGGGAATCGGGCCATTAAGCTCTGGATTATTCTTTCAGATTCTCCTTACTTCTTAATACTTCTCCATATCCTCCCCTTGGAATATTCGTTTTGAGCCTTTTGAGATCATCCAGCACGCTCTCGATGGCTGTAATATTCCTCTCAAGCTCTCCCAAAATCCTCTTATGCATCCTAAACCCAAAGTACTCCTTCTTTATTCTATCTTTAAGTAGCTCTCCTTCGGTATTCCTCATAACTGTTATCTTCCTCTTGAGTTCTGTGTTTTCCTTAGCTAGGTCTCTGTTCTTTTTCTTCATAAGACTCAATGCATCACAGTGCATTTTCTAGCCCCATCTAGGCATAAGATGTTCAATATAGAGGACCACTATACAGCACATATGAGGAAAGAAACCATCAGGACACTTTCTCAACCATTTGCATTGACAAATAGAAGTGTTAAAGCCTCGAAGAGGGAGAAACAGAGTAGGGGAATACCAAAAGTCGAAAGAGAAAAAATAAAATACAGAGATTTTGTTGAGATAGGCAAAATGTTCATAGACTATCTAACAGCCTTGAAAGGAGCAATGAATCCATCTGCTTTTGTAAGTAAAATGTACTTATGTGAGTTAACAGGTGCAAAAATTAAAATTGTGGGAGGAAGAACTGGAATTATAGTTGAAGAAAGAGCCAATTCTATAATTGTTGTTTTGGAAGACGACTCTGTGAAAACTTATTTGAAGAAAACAACTGATTTCACAGTTACACATGAAGGAATAGAATATGTGTTCATCGGTTCCGAAATGAAACCTAACAGGTTTATAAAAAAATAATGGGCCTATCCTAAAGCTTGATGAAAGTTGGCAATGGAAAGAAAAAAGAAGAAAAAGTTCAAGATAGAAGAGGTATAAAGGCTGAGGAAGAAATAAAAAGAATCCGAGACCGTAGAAATGCTAAAAATAAGTTATATATGCAAAGAACTAGGAAGAATCAGCCGGTTACAGGCAACAGGATTAGCTTGCTGTTGAAACAAATAGAGGAATTACAGGGAAGCAATATCAATTGATATATGTTTGCAATAAGTAAATACTCTTTCAAAGTTGATGCAGTAGAGAACAATTTATTCAAGAATAAAGTCCAGCTGAAATTACTTTCTGTTTTGAGAAAAATACTTTTTCCCTTGCTGAAATGAAATCTTTCATGGTAACTGTCTTTCTTCTTTCTCTCAAAGCTATCATCCCGGCTTCCGTACAGATTGCCTTTATGTCTGCCCCGCTCAGGTCTTCTTTACTTGTTATCAATGATTCGATGTTCACACTTTCATCCAGTGTCATCTTCGATGTATGGATGTCGAATATCTTCTTCTTTGTAGCAGCATCTGGCATCCCAAACTCAATTTTCCTGTCAATTCTTCCCGGCCTAATCAAAGCTGGGTCAAGAGCCTCTATCTTATTCGTAGCCATTATTACCTTGATGTCATTTCTGGTATCAAACCCATCTAGTTGGTTGAGTAGTTCCAGCATTGTTCTTTGGACTTCCCTTCTTCCTCCAGAAGACGTATTGTATCTTCTTCCTCCAATTGCATCTATCTCATCAATAAAAATTATTGATGGCGCATGCATATCTGCAACCCTGAAGAGTTCTCTTACAAGCTTAGGCCCCTCTCCAAGATATTCTTGGATCAACTCTGTCCCAACAACCCTAAGAAAAGTTGCGGAAGTTTGATTTGCAACAGCCTTGGCTAGAAGAGTCTTTCCAGTTCCTGGAAGCCCATACAGAATTACACCTTTTGGAGGCTTTATTCCCATTTCTTGGTAAAGTTCTGGATTAGTCAGTGGAAGCTCGACGCTTTCTTTGATTTCCTGTATCTGGTCCTCAAGTCCCCCGATGTCTGCATATGTCTCGGAAGGTGCTTTTTCTAGTTTCATTACATTAACCATTGGATCCATCTCTCCCTCCAGAACACCCACAACACTATTATCTTTGTAATTTAGGAGAACAGTACATCCAGGCTCAAGTAAGTCCTTATCAACAAAAGACATGATGTTAACATAGTATTCCAGACCAACACCGGTAGTAATTATTCCATGATGGTCATCAATAAATTCTTCAAGTGTTCCAACAGAAAGAGGACTTCCACGAAGTTGCTCAACAACATGTTTCTGACTGTTCGACCCCTCAGAAGACTTGTCTGGCTCACACAAGCTTAGTATGTTGTCTTCCAAAGATAGCAGATGGGCCAGCTTTCCCAGTTTCAAACACCTTAGCTTACACTTCATTTGCGGATATACTTGAGGTGGCTTCGAAGCCGTTTTGCTCTCCTTGACTCTCTTGCGTCTCTTCAGGTTTATTGTGGTTGTGTCCTGAAGATTATCCTCCTCTGGCTTGTCCCCGCTCATCTAAGGGTTTGTGTTGTGTCAAAATAGAATTCATCTAACCCCAAATGATCCCCGAGGACATTTTGGATAGCATAGCCTCGAGATTCCTTGTGGGCTTAGGAAATCAAGAGAGGAATGCTGCAGAACGTCTATTCTTTGCAGTGGAGGAAGCTCACTGGTTTTTGATGGATAACTACAAGATTTCGGATCTTTCCTTTGCTGATTTTAGCCGAGAACTTCTAGGCCATGTTGGCATAAAGATGAATATTGAAGAGGCACACAAGAGCTTTGTCAGATATAGGCAGTCAGTGAAGGTTTATGGGGCAATTCTTGTGGATCCAAGTATTTCCCATGTGCTGGCTGTCAAAGAGAAAAAGAAAACAAAGAATTACTCTTTCCCAAAAGGAAAGAAATGTATGGATGAGGATGGCACAAGCTGTGCCATAAGAGAAGTTTATGAGGAAACTGGATACGATGTACAGAACAAGATATGCAATCTACCAATAACGATATTTGATAAAATTACACTGTACTTTGTGTTCAATGTCAAGCAGAGTTTTCCATTCGAGGCACAAACCATAAAAGAAATCGAAGAAATCAAATGGCTGTCAACGAGGAAATTGTCAAGAGGAGAGTATAGAAGAGGATATTCAATTGTTTCTGCTGCATTCAAAAAAGCTTCATACTTGCTAGAGGCTATGAGAAAATCTAGATTTAGGTTCAACACAAAGAAAATAACTCAAAGGATTGATAAATTGCTTGGGAAAACCAAGGCAAAAGATTAGGGGCTATAGCTCCAAAGATATAGAATTGATAGCAAAGCTTTAATCTGTAAGTTCCATTATGATTTTCAGAGGGAGACTTTATAAAAAAAACCTGAGAAGGAAGAACATAATAACAAGTAAAACGATTCCTCCCATAAAAAGTACTCTGTCTGATAAATACCTCTTGTCGATCTGATCAATAAGCTGTTTACTAAGGCCTATCTGGCTCAAGCTGGCCCTTATTCTTTCACTTGTCCTGTTTATATACACGTTTTGCCTTTTGACTGTCTCGAATGCATCCATGGCATTCATTAATACATCATTTATTCTTTTTGTGCTAGAAGAAAAGAAGTCATCGTCACTGATGGGCTGAGGTATATTTGTGTTTTCCATGTACTCTTTTTCTGTGTTAGCCTTGGATTTGGTCATTTCCTCCCTCATTTCGCTTCTCTTCTTAGATCTCTGGTTTCCGAGTCTCAAAATAGATTTGCTAAACAAATCAGCTTGTTTAGATAATCTTTCAGCCTCGGGCTCTGAAGGATCCAGGTTGGAGACAGACCTTGAAAAGGATTGTATACGAATAGCCAAGGCACCAATGTTCTCTAGATCTTCCTCACAAACTTTTAACTCCTTCCTGATGGCATTTTCCTCTTCTATTAGGCTTGGAACGTCTTTCTCAGCCATCGAGTTGGGGCTTCAATAAAAATGGTATATTTCTCACCTACTTTTACTATTATCAATCATGTTTGTATCAAGAACAGGACGGGGCTTCATCTTATAGACCTCAGAGGTTCCCCTTTCGTTTATTGTAGATTCCATTTCTTTCACAAGATCTAAGTAAAACTTGTAAAACTTCTCTATGGTGTTACAGGAGTCAACAATGGGCCTCCTGTCGGGATTTGTAAGAAAATAGTTATACAGCAGCTTGAATATGTGAGATTTCATGTGCCCTACATCCGCGCTTCCTGGAAACTCCATGCATATATCCAAATACTCTCTAATTATCTCAAGACATGGCTTACTTTCCCCTGTGAATATAAGAGGATTATAAAGATGAGTCTCTCCTACCATTACTCCATCACACTTCGTATACTCCAAACATCTCCAGATATCGCTATGAACCATTATATTTCCATTTGAAAGGACAGGGATCGTCAAGCTCTCCTTAACCGCTTTGATATGGTCCCAGCTTGCAAATCCCATTGCTTTTCCTTTCTGGTCCCTTGTCCTGCCATGCACAGCTAGTAAAGAGCATCCTGCCTTTTCAATCATCCTCGTGTACTCTACAGTTTTTTCTATCGACTCAAATACTCTTATTTTGCAGAAGACAGGAATGCTAAGATTAGTGGATAGAGTCTTCACTATTTTTTCTGTCAAATCCCAGTTCTCTTGCAGATATGCTCCATAACCACCCTTCCTGGCCACCCTCTGTGGGCACCCAAAGTTAATATCAATTGCATCACAATGATCCTGCATTATCAATGCTGCCTCTAGCATGGCCTCGGGAGAATTCCCGCAAATCTGGATTATCAGAGGTCTATCTTCTTCTGACGTTGTGTACCACTGATTCCTCACAGGATTTCTAGGCCCACGTAAAAACGATTCACAGTGCACCATTTGCGTATAGAACATATTGGCTCCATATCTTTTTGACAGTCTACGCCAGGCCTCTTCGGAGTTTCCAACCATAGGTGCAACTGCAAAATATGGTTTCGATATCTCCTCCCAAAATTTTTTCATGTAGGATAAAATGGAAGGTTATTTTAACAAAGTAGAATGATTTGGAGTTTTATTCTTAGAGAGCTTTTTGCCTAAGCTTTAAGGCCTGGTACTCCTTCATTGCTACTAGTCCGAATCCTGCAGCACCGATACCTACAATTATGTAAACTAAGATATTGGAGCTACGGCTGTAATCATTCTTGAGGGAATTCACCACATGCTCTAAGTCAGCAAAGGACTTCTGAATCCTTTGAAGTTTTATATCAATACCATTCATTTTTTCGCTCAGGTTCATGAACTTCATCTCTGATCCTCCTTTGTTTTTTGCTGATGTGATTGCATCTTCGATATTCTTCATATGTGTCTTGAGTTGCTCGGAAAGAACATATACAACCTTGTCAAATGATGACTTATGAGGCTCGCCGACCACTAAGTGGAGGTATTCATTCAAGTACTCTATCTTTGAGATGAGATGTCTTATTTCTTCGTCTTCGTGGAGAATTCCGTCCGGACTCCTTGGGGTCTTATCCACTGGTGGTGCATGGACCCTGTGAACCTCATATTCGCTTGTTTCTGTCCTTTCAAATAGTTGTGCCTCCTTGAGCTTGTAGACGCTATCTGAAGGTGCCTTGTCATAGAATGATGTGATGTTGAAGTACTTTCCAGAGCCTATACCTGCCAATGTCCCCTTACGATAGTATCTAAAGCTATCGTAGAGTAGCCTATCACCATCATATAACTCGACTTTGAAATTCTTCTCTGTAGAAATTACTTTAACCGTGATGTCCTTTACTCCTTTAAGTCGTTCAGGGTTTATTGTATCTCTATACAAAGTCATCTCCTCGGATCCTATGAGACTAGTCTTCCCATCATTTATTGCCATGACAATCTCCGGTTGTGAACCTCTAAACTCAAGTCCTGCCATAATCCCTTCAAACATGTCATGACCTCCTCTGTAAACGCCTTGGTCCTGAATATCAGAGGTATACCATAAATACACACCACCTATGTGAGGGAATCGAAGCTTTGCATTGGTAAAGGTGTAGGAAAAACTCCATTCCTCATAGGGATTTGGCGCCAGAAATACAACAAGGCCTCCCTCATCAGTATGCCTTCGAAGGGAAAGACCATCAGATTCTACATGTGTTCCTTTCACTCCAACCTTTTCATTACTTCCTCCTGGATGATATGCTATCTCTCCATTAGCCTTTTCAATTACCCCTTTCTTAGGGTCAGAAGAGGTATCTGTGCTTACAGATGAAAAAGCATACCTGAAAAGAAGCAGTAATGTGTATCTCATGTTGTATAAATAAATATTTGAGCTTTTATAGATAATCTAAAACAATGTTTTATCTTTATTTATATTTCTCTGGTCCCAATATAAGCTAGAGAAAATACAGTACAGATTTAAGGACAAACATTGAAGAGATATACGTTGTGATAACCATTATTCTATCTAATCTCTATATTCGCTTTTGAGTCAAGCTCTCTACACATGAAACAAAATAAAACTATAGAAAGAATGGAATAAACAAAAGGTCATATGCTTGGTACTAAGCTGTCACTCATAGTCTTTTTTATAAGCAGATATGCAACTGCACAGATCATGAAGCTGCAGGCCAATGAAGGGAATCCTACAAGGGAGATGCCTTGTAATTGCAGAATAGATGACCAAAGATGTAGAGACTCTTGTTCAAAAGTATACAGTCTTGGAAATAGGAATTCCAAGGCACTAGGGACTGCAGATGCGAGAAAACCATCGGTAGTGACTATCAAAAAAATTCTACAGCAAGAAGAAAGGCCTTTCATTAGATTCGTAGAGAAGAACATTGAAAGAAACAACAATAACCAAGTTCTTGGAAACGATGACACTACAACGAGAAGACCAACAACAAAGGTTTTTGATGGAGATGGAAACACCATTTTTTATAATGGGTCTTCATACAAAATTTGCGATCTATATGGTCAGGCCAATAGAACCCGTGGGACAAAGGAGTATTTGAGCGTGAATGATGATATGAGGATTCTTTATGAGTATGTTATGAACAATCCTAAAGTGGAGAGAATCTGTGCAAAAAACGCGATAGAATATCCTACTCCATTTGATCCAATAGATAATGTTTCTTTACCTCTGATTCCATCGTCAAGGACAGATACTGATCATCCAGAACCTATAATTTTAGAAAGAAATAACATGATACCCATATTCATTAAGGAGTCTTTTGAATCTGCACCCGAAAAAGGACTTAGTGTAATTGTAAAGGATTCCGGCAGCTCTGTTTCCATAATTACCCTGAAGACGACCAGTATAACAACTACAACAACTACTAAGATTGGAAAACAAGAATATAATGAACCGGTGAAGAAGACCGAAACACAAACTATATTAACAACCAGGACGGTTACAAGGCAACGGGGATCTACCCGCAAAGGATTTAACGGTGTTGTAAAGACTGTTCTAAAAACGGTATTCGTGGGGAGTTCTGATAACAATAGAAACAAGACGACTTTCGAGGATCAAGAGCCTGATGCTATGCCATCATCAGAGACAGGTAATGGCCCTAAGAAGCCACCACTTGATGGAATGACTAACACCCTGACAGATATTCCGATTATTGAGAAAATCAGGAGTCTCCTTAATTTGCCAGCCCAAACTAATACCAGGAATGCAAGCTCTGTTCCTAGTGAAGCAATTCTGAAGTCTAGGACAGCCAGCCCGCAAATAATAACTACCACTGTTGAAAGAATTCGTACAACCTCTGCCCGTCAATCCTCTTCTGGATTTTCTTCTATAAAGGGTTCAAACAATTCATACTACGATGATTACACCAGAGAACTAATAAGAAGCATCTTCGATATGTTAAAAGGCAGCACCACCACTTCTGAGAGTAGAAGGGTTCTTCCTAACAGCAGCACAATAGTCAAGGAGACCACAACCACTGTCACAAAAACAACCACAAGGGCTAGAGACTATACACCCACAGTTTCCATTGTCCCTTCTGTAGAGATAAAGAGCCCTTACTTCCTTACAGCCTCAAGTGTCAAATCTAAAGAAAGATTGGAATCATCTATTTATGAAAGCTATGAAAAGAAACTGGACAATATCTATCAGAAAATAATGGCAAATGAAGAACAGTATAAGAATCTCATTGGAATTCTGCTGTCCATCAGAAAAAAAGAAAAAGATGAAGACAACACTCTCTCATCACTGAAGAAAATGTATGAATTGTATAGGGATGGAACTATTTATGAAAAAAGTGTTGCATCTCACTTGATGTCTGAAAGACGTTCTAAATCAAAGGTTATGCCCTATAGTGTGGAATCGAACCTAAACGGTGGATGGAAAGATAGGACACATGATGGTATCAGTGGAAGCAAAAATAACTTAAGAACCCAAAGCAGAGAAAATGCCATGGAAGAGGTTTCGTCATTAGCTTACAAAGAAGATGAGCCATGGAAAGGTTTGGAGGGCAAAAATATAAATAACGGTGAATCCGATGCACCTATATCCCTAGTGCTGGGGGACTTTGAGCCTTCAAATGAAAAGCAGCCTAAATACCATTCCTTTCCGTCTGTAGTCTCGTTTTTTAGAGAGCCTGATCTGAAGAAAAGACTCAGAAAAGAGAGGGCATTCAAGGACCTACAGTACCCAACTATCACGGGCTTCCTCAATGCAAAAGACAACAGAGATGAGATTTATTCTAGGATGATGGATGTAGAAAAGGATACAGGGTGCAAAACTATAACAGACACTATTAGAACCACAGTAATAAGAGATTTTAATAGTAGTGTGCATCTTAGTGCCGTAAGCTCTATTGTTGAAGAGCGTATGAAGGGTCTTGAGAGAAAGTTGAATGAATTTTCTGATAGAGTTGTCCAGATAGGAAACAGGCTGCTAATGCTCAAGAATACACAGGAACAGAAAAGTCTTACAAAAGAAGACATCTCTACTTCCGAGATCATATCTCCTACTATATCGAGGTCGTCTATCTATAATGGACGTAATATTTCCACCAAGACGATGGTGAGTAGCATTGAAACTTTCTCCTCAACAACAAGCGTAGGCATCTCCATTGCACAGAAATCATCCTCGTCATTAGACCCAGAAGAAAAGGCCTCCATTTCCCATTATGGCCCATCCACTCTTTCAGTATCTACACAAACAACAAGTCTGGGGGGAAAAGGTAAGGAGCAAAGTATTGATGGAATTGTGGAAAAGATAAAAGAAAAGAAGATCTCGGATGAAAGCTTATTGATCTCTGACGATGCAGTTATAGACGACATTGTTGAAAAGTTAGCACCGTTAGTAAATAGCATAGAGATTTCATCTCTTGGTACTGCTACCAGAACTCAAAAAGAGATGTCTCCGCAATCTGTAGTTTAGGGAGATACTTATAAGTATATTTCGATTCATTAGAACTAATAAATAGCTTTGACATAAGTGGAGTCTATCCCCAATGGAGAATATCTTGAGGAATGAGATTAAAAAGGCCGAATGTTGTTCGTCGTCGATCAAGGACATTCTTGCAAGATGTGAAGATGCAGTTGGCTTTATTGAACTATACCTTAAGAGGAATCCAGGCAAAAAACACTCAGAGTTTTTAGATTTCTATGATGATCTAGATGTACCGTCGCAAGTGCTGCTCTATGAGAAGAAGAAAAAGATGGTTAGAAGTGATAAATTTGAGGAGGAGTGTCTAATGAGATATTGCATTGAACAGCGATCTGAGATATCTTATGAAATCATAAAGAGTATGAGAAATAGTAAGCTTCTGTTCAAGGTATTATCGGAGAGCTTTCTGCTTGTTAACGTTGACGAGGAGGATGATCTTTTTTTCACAAAATGTATTGTGGCGGCATTGAGAATACATAATATAGATTTCAGTGAGATGAATGTCCTAATGACTGGAATTGGACGTCACTTCAGTGATGGACGTAGGAAGTACTACGAGCATGGAGCTATTGTTGCAAGCGTTTTGTTGAACACCTGCGAGTTTGATATAGGATCTATGGATGAAACACAGCAAATGATCGATGACATACCGAGCCATTTGTTGAAGAAAAATGGAGATCGGGACTTTGAGGATCCAGGAAATGTTTTTAAATGCTATAAAAAAGTAGAAAACAGCTTTGAGATGCTTGGAAGCGGTTGGAGACCGAAGTTTCTTCAAGAGGCGATTAATGCAATTGAGGAGGAAAGGGACGCTGAGAAGGTTGAAGCAAGCTTTAGGTGGTTTCCTGACCTGGTTAGAAGTGCAACTGAAAGAACGCTCAAATATAAAAGTAAAAAAGCGCTTGAAGTTCTAATGAACTACGACGGATACGAGGAACACAAAGTTGATGCCATTTCCTCTCTTATCCAAAGGTCTCATAAGTTTCTTATTGATGATACTATAGACGACTTCTTTAATGGAAAGCTTTGCCTGAGGCATAAGATTATTTTAGTCTTTTCCTTCAAGAAGATTATTAAGGAGGGACCTTTAGATCAGGCTATTTCCCTCTACAGATGCATCGAGTTTATGGCTAGAAGGATTCATCACGAGATTCCAAGGGCGATGGGTAGAGCCCTTGAATGCCTTTTAGTAGAAGGCATGGAAAGGGCTGGGGAAAGAACAGACAGAGCTGTAGATGTTCTTACAGATAACTGATTTTTATGATATCCACCCCACCCCAGGAAATGTATGAAATTAAATTGAAAGTTGAATTTGAAGGTAAGAGCTTGGAGATTACTAAAGGCGAAACGCCATACGACATCCTCTGCAGCTATTGCAAGGACAGAAAGGACATTATATCCTGCAAAGTAGATGGGGTATACTCTGACATGTCAACAGAGATATTGAAAGACTGCAAGCTAGAGTTCTTGACATTTGAAGATGATGGGGCCAGGGAGATCTTTTGGCATTCCTCTGCACATATACTGGGAAATGCACTTGTGAATCTCTATCCCGATGCAAAGCTCGTCCATGGACCACCTGTTGAAGAAGGATTTTTTTATGATGTTGACATAAAGGAACCTATTTCGTCTGAGGATTACAAAAAGATTGAAATGGAAATGACCAGGATTATGAAGAAGAACTATAAGTTCGAGAAGGTAATTAAGAGCAAGGAGGAACTCCTAGATGCTTACAAAAATAATCCTTGTAAGACACATTTTATTATGAAGGGAGTTGACAAGGAAAGCTCGGTCTATAGAAATGGAGAGTTTTTCGATATGTGTCTGGGGCCACACGTTAGATCGACCGGTGTTGTTAAGGCTGTCAAAGTTCTTAAGAATAGCTCGGCTTATTTCCTCAATGATCCAAGCTTGAAGTCACTTCAGAGGATATATGCCATCACATTTCCTTCGAAGGATATGCTAGAGGAATATTTGAAAAGGAAAGAAGAAGCAAAGGAGAGAGACCACCGAAAGATAGGAACCGAGCTCAACCTTTTTTTCTTCTCAAAATACTCCCCAGGGTCATGTTTCTTTTTACCCAATGGAACTATTATGTATAACACGCTGATCGAGTTTCTAAGAGAAGAATATAAGAAAAGAGGGTTCAGAGAGGTTATAACACCGAACATTTTCTGTACAAAGCTCTGGGAGGAAAGTGGACATCTTCAGAATTACAAAGAAAACATGTTTATCATTGAGGGAGATGATTTTGCGTTGAAGCCCATGAACTGTCCTGGGCATTGTGTAATGTTCAAGCATCAGGATCATAGCTTTAGAGACCTTCCTTTGAGGTTTGCAGACTTTGGAGTCTTACACAGGAATGAGCTTAGCGGAACTTTGACAGGATTAACAAGGGTAAGACGGTTTCAACAGGATGATGCACATATATTTTGTACCAAGGACCAAGTCAAGAGTGAGATCAAAGGATGCCTTGAGTTTTTAAGCTTTGTATATGGGGTTTTCGGATTCAAGTTCGAACTTGTACTAAGTACAAGGCCAGAAAAGTATCTGGGATCTGTTGAGGAGTGGGATAGAGCAGAAAAGGCTCTTGCCGAAGCCATGGATGAGAGTGGCCTGACGTTTAAGATAAACGAAGGAGATGGGGCCTTTTATGGACCCAAGATTGACATCACACTTCATGATGCCCTTGATAGACGAATACAATGCGCAACTATTCAACTCGACTTTCAACTTCCCCAAAGATTTGAGCTGAAGTATCGTGACAGTGATGGACAGTGCAGGACTCCTGTTATAATACACCGTGCAATCCTCGGAAGTATTGAAAGAATGATTGCCATTATTCTCGAAAGCTTTGGGAAGAAGTTACCTTTTTGGATATCACCAAGACAGGTAGCGATTGTGAACATAGGAAATTTTGATTATGTTGAAAAAATAAAGTCTGTGCTCGGCAGGTTTCGAGTCGATGTGATTGACGATAGCAACACATTGAACAAGAGGATAAGAATTGCTGAAACAAGTGGATATGCCCTTGTGTGCGTAGTTGGAGAAAGAGAAGCGAAAGCAAATGAGGTGAATATAAGACTTAGTAAAGTCGAAAAGTCTACCAACTTGAACAAGAACATCGATCTTTATGAACTTAGGGACATCTTAAGCAGGATGGCTGATGAAAAGATCGAACTTGAAGATGTCCTGCACATCGACAAGATTTCAATCGGAAACTAAATCTTTTTAATTACTTGAGACGTCAATACCGATGGCCCTACTCTCTCTAATCTCTGAACTCTATATCTTCCACTTTCATTGGAACAATATCCTTGCATGGCTCTTTGCAGAATGAGTCGGAGCATACACAGACGTGCATGACTTCGTTGTTATGGGCTGACGGGCTATTTCCATAGAAGACCAGCTCTTCAACCATAGACATATTACATCCCTCATTAATCACATTATGGATCGAAGTGTTTTTCTCTTTAGCAATTTCACTGAGGAGAAGCTTCATGGTTATTAGGTTTTCATTTACCTCATTTTCTCCTATGTCCTTTTTCTGGACAAATCCTGTTCTGGTCATTCTTCCCTGAGTTAACATATCCCCAAAGCTATTGACCTTGATTCCTTCAAAGTATCCAGTTTCATCCACAAGTTTATCGCCCTCTTTTCTAAACTTCAATCTCCCCCAGTAATCGGTAAGATGATACCCATCGTAGGCTAGAACGTTTTGTATCTTTCTGATCCCGGGCCTGTTCTTCAGCTTGTCTCTGATAAGGTCTAAATTCTGAAGAAAAGAACAAAACGTTCTATATCCCATGGGGATTCTTCCTTATTTTTTCCAGCATCTCTATGGTTGGTTCCTGTGGAGAAAGATTGCCCACTCCTTCATCCTTTCTGTGGTCAGTAGGTTTTTGTTTATCATTACCTTCCTTTGGGACGCTAGGCTGGTCAGCTCCATCATAGTTTTTAAGAAGATTGTTTTTGAACCTGCTGCCTGCCAAGAAATGGCTCACCAGTGTTGTTAGTATGTTCTTAAGCTCCCTATACTTATTTTCTGTTGCAGGCCCCTTTACGCCACCATTACTACTTTTTTCCTTCTCCGTGCCATTATTTAAAAGAACAATCTCAACAGTGCTTTCGTCTTCTCCACATAAAATGATGGCATGTTTGTAAATCAGAATAAGGTATATGGCTCTTACCATCCCAATCTTATGGATCATTTTCATCCGGAAGGAGATCGTTATGTCTTTAAATCCTTATATCGTCTGGCATATTTTTTTCGAAACTTGTTTCAATTGTTTCAGAATATTCTTCCAATCTCAAATAAATTAAAAAGAAGTACGAAATTGAATATTTAATTCATTAAGTATGTGCTGCTTGAATGTAACCAGAGAATTTAAACTTCTTGTCCTTCAATTTCTCTTCTTTTAGTGCGACAAAGTTCCCCTCCACAAACATCTTTCCTTCAGGGTCGCTAATGCTGGCCTTCCCAGGCATGTTTTTAAGAACATAGAAAAGCTCATTCATCTCAGGATTGGCTTCCTTCTTTTCCGACCCTGACTTGCCTTCCTTTTCTGACTTTGAAGTGGTTATGTCCTTAGTATCTTTTGATGTTCCCTTTGATTTCTTCGAACCATGGGATATAATAGAAGTTGGCATCTTAGATGTAGATGTTGTACTTGTGCCCTCCTTGGAAGATGAAGTTTTCTTCTTATTCTTTGGAGATATTACACTAGCCACGGTGGATAGCCCTTGTGAAGCACGGCTTGAAAGTGATGTTGTCATAGATTCCTGTTTCTTACTCTTCTCTTTTGTGGCAGTTTCAACACTCTTACTTTCTGTACCTTTACCTTTGGTAGATACCCCAGAAGATGATTTTGTAGACCCTACAAACTTACTATGCTTCGAACTGGTAGATTCGTCCTTACCACTCTTCTTTGAGGTTCCTGAACCCTCAGACATACTAGAGACACTGGGCCTTATGGATTTACTTGCACTTTCCGACTCTTTTTTGGATTCGATACCTTTTCCAGGTGAAATAGAGGACGAAGCCAGTTCAGGTTCAATAGGTTTTGAAACTTCTACTGTCCTCTTTTCTTTCGCATCACTACTCCTATCCTTTGCAGAAGTCTTAATGCTCTGAGATGTTGTTTTCCTTGAATCCTTCTCTTTGCTAGAAGGAACAGAAACAGTAGTAGGGATGTCTCCACCTTTAGACTTTTCTTCAGACTTGCTCCAGAAGTTGAATTTCTTTTCCTTTTCTTTTGCATCTCCTTCCTTAGAAGAGCACTTTATTGCATCATCGATACTCTCCACAACAGTCATGACCTTAACATTAACCTTAACCTTCCTTAGCTTGTTATCAACAATAATCGTTGTCCAATAAGAATCTTCCAAGTTACTACTATTTCCAACAGCCTTTGCCATGATGGGGGAAAGAGAGTTGTTGATGGTGTTTGGCTTAGATTTGACCTCTTTATCCTGTCCTTCCCTAAATTCACCGTTGTTAGTAGACCCTTCATTTTCTTCTACTGTCTCACTTTTCATCGTCAGCCCTGATTTGGTCTTATTGCCCGAAATCGCATTCCTCACAATACTGGCTATCCTTTCTTCTTGCTCTTTTCCTCCTTTGTCTTTTGAATTCTCTTGGGTTATTATGATAATCGGAGTTTCTTCTCCATTCTTCTTTCCCGAGGCTACTGTCGATATTGAGGATATCGAAGCTTGACTTGGTATACTATACGAGGAGGAAAGCGAGGCCCCAGCAAGAGTTGAAGACATTTTCTCTTCCTTTGGTGCCTGGGACAATGAAGCATTATTAGCCCCAGGCTGCTCACCATTGTCACTCTTCAGGCCTTCGCCTAGAACCTTTTCTAGACTGATATTATCGAATATATCGGCCCTTACAACATGACCAAGCAAAAGCAAGGCTAATATCATCGTTTTGTTTTAATATCGCCTCTCTTTATATCCAGCAAGTTTCAGATTGTTTTATATCAAAAACTAAGTTTGAGAGATTGTAATCACCTGAATAATGCTCTATCACCGGTTAAGAAGTTCATAAAAGTTTTAAGTAGATATCCTAATTTAATTCAATCAAAACTCATCCTTGGACACACATTTTATCTTGTCGCAAGGATTCTCGCAGTTTTCCTCCTGGCATTCACATTCTTGTTCACATTCCATATCTCCTGGGTCTTCCACCATTATGGTTGTATTGATCGTTGTAACAACATCTTCTTCTTTGGCCTTTTTCTCGTTAAAGTTATCAGCTGATGTGGGGCATATGGTTGCAATGGGAACCTCCTCATCCTTGGAATTGCTATTGGGTGTTATTGTTTGAACTATAGTTCTAGTGGTTGTAACACTCACAGTCTTATATTCCACAACTGTAGTTGGCTTGGTAACAGTTTTCTCCTCAACTATGCCTTCGGGCTCCTGAGTGATGAATACTTCCTTCTCAATAGTGCAGGGAGGTTCCACAACGGTCAGTTCTTTTATAACGGTGACTGGGGGAAGTTCCATCTTTTCAGTTCTTGTAACAGTTTTTGCTGGCTCTGTTACAGTGATTTTTACAGGAGGGCTTTCTTGTACGAATGCCGAGCTTATAGCAATTCCTGGGATATCTCCACATGAGTCCCCATATTTGACCTTAACTGCCTTTATAGATATTTTGGGAGGTATATAATCAGGGCTTCCAGATCTGATTTTTGTGGGTTGGTTTACAGAAACACCCGGGCTCTCCTGAGCGTTAGCTTCGGGAGAAGAAGGAGATATCTGTGACATTAGACCATTTTGCTGAGAGGGACTAGGCAGTGCACCCTGAGAAGAGGAGCCACCCTGTGCTCCCTGGGGAGAGCCTGATTGTATGCTTTGAGGCCCTTGATTGCTGCCTGCTGAAGAACCCGGCTGTATGCTTTGAGATCCTTGGCTATTCCCTACTTGTGAACTTGCGCCAGAAGATTTGCTTGACGGAATCCCACCATTTGAATTCTGAGATGGGCTTGCAGAAAGTGTTTTCCCTGGTGCACTCCCTGAGCTTTGTGCCATGTTGCTTGCAGACGAATATAGTTTGTCGATAGCATTGGCTTGCTTTTGACAACTTATACTGTTGACACTTTGGTCTTGATATAATCCTGTTCCAGTTATCTTTCCAATCTGAGGTATGTCTTCCTTTGAACACCCACAATCCTTCCCAACAAACAAACCTGAACTGTCAACCAACTTACCGTCCTTCTGCTGGAACTTTATGTTTCCAGAATAATCGGTGTATTGATCCCCATCCTTGTAAGCAAGCACTTGATCCACCCTCTCACATTCCTGGCATTTCCCTAGTGCGTCGTTAACATCCACCGAGCTTAGGTTTTTGATCTTGTTCACCTCAGATGCCTTCTTTAGGACGTCAGCAATTGAGGAATGGGGTATGGTGGATGATACTTGTGACACTACTGATGATGCCATGGCAGATGACAACACAGAAGATGGAAAGAAGGATGCTGATGAAGCATTCCCCATCACAGATGAAGACATGATAGATGAATGAGGTATTGATGACGAATATCCTGTACTACTAGATTTGACTGCACTTGAAGACAATTTGGTGGACACTACACTACTAGCACTGGTAGAAGCTGCATTAATAGATGATAATTTGTCTGAAGATGAAGCTGCTGAAGTACTTCCAGAAATGCTTGAATTTGAAGATGTGTGGATACTAGAAACCTCATCTTTGCTCTTAGACTCTATGGCCTTGGAGGCTGAACTCGAAGACTCAACACTGGTAGATTTCTCTTCCTGAGACTTTTTTGTACTAGACTTAACCTCATCACTACTAGAGCTAGTTTTTTGTTCTGATGTTTTGTCTTTGGACTTTTGATCTTTAGTAGTGTTAGGTTCTTGCTTTCCTTTATCCGCCTTCTTAGTTTCTTTCTTTGGTTCTGCCTTCTTTTTAGTGTCCTCCTTGTCAGCTTTCTTTTGAGATTGAGCTTCCTTTTCCTTCTGCTTTGCTTCCTTTTGCTGCTTCTGCTCTTCTTTCTTCTGGTTTTGCTTATCTTCTTTCTGCTGCTTCTGCTCCTCTTTCTTCTGAAGACTAGCTTCTTTAGAATCGCTTTTCTTTTGCTTACTTTCTTCTTTTTTGGCCTTTTCCTGGGTCTTCTTGGCTTCTTTATCTCCCTCTTGTTGCTTTTTTGTTGCACTATTATCTCCTGATTGTTTCTGGCTTGGTGCCTTCTGTCCAGTGGAAGGAGCCGGTGATTGTGCCTTCTCCTTTTCTTCCACCTTTTGTGCTAAATTGGACATATGCATGGATGATCCTGCGCTTACACCCCCGGACACCTCGTTTGATGTTTCTTCTGGAAAATGATGGGCCTTTTCAAATAATTGGCTCAACAAATCCTCACCTGACTTGACATCCTTTAAATTAATATAAAAAACTTTTCTACTGCTTACAGCCGTCATGAACATTGCTAAAAAGTTCACCCTCATTGATGGTGTTTTTGTTTACTATACAACCTCCTAAATGCATCTGTGTTTCACAAAAAGGTTTTGATGGTTTCAGATCCACTTCATTTACCGATAGACCCTAATTTAGATGAATAGCAAAATGTCAAAGTGGAGAATATGGGATTTGAACCCATGACCTCTTACATGCTAAGCAAGCGCTCTACCGCTGAGCTAACTCCCCTCTCGCCGTAAGATGTATATCCCCTTCCATTTCTAAGACACTTAATGCATTATCTCATACAAAAAAACTATGTAACTAATACCAAAAATAATTCACACTTCTATCACTTTATTTTCACTTCTCTTAACAATGACCGAAGCAAAGCGTTTACTCCCATAAGCAAACAACAAAGTATTGATCTTTACCTGAGTAAAAACCCCAATAACCATCAAGATCATAAAAGGATATAGTCCTGGCACTCTGATGAAGTCTACAAAATCTCCCTTGAAAAATATGTTGCATGCGCGTCCAAACCCAAGGTTTTCATTCAGAATAGCTTCCAAAGTAATCCACAAAATAACTGACCCGGAAAAACTAAAGAAAACCGAGTATATGACTATCCGGAATTTCCTAGTATTTCCAAGAGAAAGAATGAGCAGGGCCAAAAATCCTAGGTGAATAAGAAGATTACTCATACTCACTGTTGCTAAGTCTTCAGTAAAGATTTTTTTAAGAAAGGACATGCCTATTGAGGCAGCAAAAATCCAAACAATCGGAATCATGCACATATTGACTGTAAATGCGATCAAGAGGCATAGATTGCAAAACAGTACTTCGTTCATAAAAATCTTGTTCAGGAAGCCTGCTATTGCTGAGTATATTCCCTTCTGCCCAGGATTTACGCCTAAAAGTCTAGTATGCACCTTTCGATCAACTGCCATCATGCACATCCCGATAATGATCGATAAACACAAATTCTTATAATTTTCTCCTTGAAATATCATAACCGAAGCTCCAGAGAAAAGTGTAAATAGAAACGTTTTGCTAGTTCCAAACAACCTGTCTCTCTGGCTAAGTATGTTGTGCATTGTGCTGGAAAAATCAAAAATGTTAATCGCTCTATCTACATCAGCCATCCTACTTTGGATTTCTTAATTGTATTTTATTTATTCGTTACCCAATTAACAGCTAATACTTTTATTCATACAAAAAAGTCGAAGTACTTTATTAATTTATATTAGCAAGAGATTAGGTGTCTGTCAGAGAAATCCATATGCATTCTCTACAGACCTGTGATGAAGTCCATAGGTTGGTTTAAGCCATATTTTATAAGTATTACCGGCATAACAAACTTTTTGAAAATCTCCTTTCTTATTCAAAGAAATGATTGTTCTACAAAATCGATCGGGTGTGAAAGCCCCTGAAAATGTTTGTGGCAATTAAGCAGGAAAGACCGTTCATAAGCATTGAAGGGAGAAAGAGAAGGATATCGACACGTTTCTATAATGCTCTTTGTGTGCTGAGTCTAGGAGGGGTCTACATGGTTTGTAGATATCTGCCTAGTGTCAAACATTTTCTGCTTAGTTCGCCCTGCAGCCTTTCTGAAGCAGATTGCGCTATAATAACATCACAGAACGGGAAAAGGGAGTTTATTAATGTTCTTTTTTATGACACATCTGAGATTCCTTCGCTTAGAAGATACTCCCAAGGAGGAAGGGCACGTGTGATAGATTCTCAGCTTTCTAGGCTTATATACGACGTTGTCTCTAGGAAGTTTGTCGTTCCACCAGAACAGAAACTGCTTTCCAGAGATTTTGAAGAGCTTTACAGTATGGAGGTTTCGAAGTCTTCTGAGGCTGAAAATGCAGAGTCCATACAAAGAAATATATTTTATGGAAAGAACATCACAAACCTTCCCATTCCTAGTATTCCTGAGATAATTCTGAAGAATGTATTCAGTATTACATTCCTATCGAATATGATATGCTTGTTTGTATGGGAGTTCATTGAGTACACCAAATACGCATTTGTAATGGGAATACTCATGCTGTATTCATTTGTGTTTACAAACTGGGAGGAGATTTTGCATTCGATTAGTATGAGAAAGCTTGTGAAGAAGAGGATGGTTAGAATACTTCGAGGAGGAAGATTTGTGAAGGTGGATAGTCGGGAGATATATCCTGGAAATATAATGTATATTGAGCCGTGCAAGGAATTTCCATGTGATGCTCTTGTTATCAGAGGAGATGCTATAACAAATGAATGTCTCCTTACCGGAGAGGCTGTTCCAATATATAAGAATGCTGACCAGCCAAGCACTGTGTATTCTGGGACTGATGTTTTAAAGAGCATCAATACTGTACCGACGTTTACGAACCCAAGAAATGAAAATCTTTGCAGGGTTAAAAGTCTCACCAGCAAAAGCAAGCAGAGGACGACTGGAATGGTTGGATCTATGCATATTCCCGAGAACTTTGCCATTGGAATGGTTCTCAGAACTGGTTTCCAAACTGCTCGTGGACAGATTCTAAAGAATATGGTTAACTCAAAGCCTGTTCATAATAGATTTATAAAGGAAGCAGAGGCAATTATTTTTGGTATTGCAGGGATTGGAATGATAGTTTCTGTCGGCATGGCCTACGTCTTCAAGATGATGGGGTTTGATGCAAGAACAAATCTTGTGTATAACCTTGATTTGTTTTTTACATTAGCCAATCCTGCTCTTCCAACATATCTAAGGCTTGGGGCCCAATTATGTTACAAAAAGTTGATCAAGAAGAATATCTATTGCAACAATCTAAACAAGATACACTTAGCTGGGAGGGTAGATACGGCGGTTTTTGATAAAACAGGAACACTAACGTGTGATGGGCTTGATCTTCTTTGTGTTGATGATCTCGTGGAGGCTACAGATGATATTGATAAGGTTAGCACACTTATTAGAATTGGGCTAAGTACATGTCATTTGGTTTATGAACTAGATGGAAGGTACTCTGGAGACACTCTTGATCTGAAAATGTTTATTTTCTCCTCTTCTAAGCTTGTTCAGAATGAAAACACAAGAAGTGTGGTTATTGGGGGACAAAATAAGATATATGGTCCCATTCTGAAGGAATATAACGACAGCGAGGAAATGGTATATTACCAGAAAGACAAGACTCATGGAAACAAGCTCGTTAGTGGGGATAGCGGTACTTACGAAGAATCAAAAGACACTTCCCCAGTAATTCTTAACATTGATGGGGTCCATGGACATAATAACTTAAATGAGGGGTATAAAGACGATCAAGATGATGTTATTAATGCAATGATTGTGAAAACCTATGAATTTGATTCTAACATTAGAAGGATGAGTGTGGTAGTAGACGTTGGAAGCAGGAAGTATGTGTTTACAAAAGGATCTCCCGAGTCTATCCAGCAGATTCTGAGGGAGTGCCCAAAAGGATATGAAGAAAAGGCCAAGGTGTATTCCTTAGGAGGGTACAGAGTGATATCTCTATCATATAAAGAAATAAGCAAAAGTGTCGATAGAATTGTGGATGAACACGAAATGGAATTTCTTGCTCTTATAGTGTTTTCAAATAAGCTCAAAGCTAATTCCAAAAGAACTATTGAAGAGCTCAACGGGGCAAATATAAGAAACATCATGTGTACCGGGGACAACATACTAACAGCGATATCTGTGGGAAAGGAGTGTAAAATTGTAGAGGATTTTGTTCCTGTGATATTTCCTGTTCTTGAAGAAAATGCAAAGTCTATTTTTGATGTTGATTGGCTCTGTGTTGGAGATGAAGAGGAGTTCACCTTTGACAAAGTGAAGCTAAGTCTGTATAGAGGAAACGATAGGGTTTCGAACAACGAGTTTGTTGTTGCTTGTGAAGGAAGGGAGTTTGACTTCTTTAGAAACACGCATTACTTCCAATTTATTCTTGAGAAGGGTGCTATATTTGCTAGATTCAATCCCGGACAAAAGAAAGCCCTTATAGAGAATTTGAGGGCGATTGGGAAGATCACGATGTTCTGCGGAGACGGGGCAAATGATAGTGGGGCTCTGAGTAGTGCTGATGTTGGGCTTGCCTTAGCCCAGAATGAGGCTAGTCTGGCAGCTAATTTTACATCTGTCGATATAGGTTCTTGCTTGGACTTGATCAAGGAAGGGAGATCGGCATTTGTAACATCGGTTGGCACATTCAAGTACGTTGTCTCTTCTTGTGTGATTGCATATGTAGGGCTTCTCTTTCTTTCTTTGAGAAAGAACTTCCTGAGTGATATACAGACAATGCATGCGGATCTATTTGTCTCTGTTCCCGTTACATACATGTTAACATGCTTTGATGCATCTGACAAGCTATTTCCTAGTCGTCCAGACATGTTTCTTTTGCCCAAAAAGGATTTTATACCTTTCTGGATAACTATAGCCTTTGAGAGCCTAATTCTCTTAGCTCTGTCCTGGTATGGAGAAGCAAGCCCTGCTATGAATGACCAGTCTATTGGAGCAGAACTTGTGTTTTTTGTCACGACGTTTATTTATATTTTTAATGGCATGTATCTGAGTGAATGGTCTCCGTATAGACAAAGCTTAAGAAGTAATGTATTATTCAAGGCTTTCATCTTTTTTGCTCTTTTGACAAGCATTGCTCTTCTGATAGTGGTGTATATATTTCCTGAATGGACATCTCTATGGCTAAAAGAATACAAGTTTGTAAGGACAAGCGGATTTGAGGTGGGGTTGGTGTTTATCTCTATGTTTTTGATTGCCACTGTAGTGTTTATAGTCCAACCTTTAATTGGTAGAATGTTTGATGAGGAGAAGAAAAGAAGTATGATGGGAGGAGATTCCTCTGAAAATATATAGGATGAATGGCTGGATTGGTTGATTATATTAAATCTATTAAAGATAGAATAGATTTTGAGGCGACAAATGAGCGGGGAGCATGGCTTCCAAACCTTTTCACACTGTATTTATGGAGGTATTGGATTGCTACTAGTTACGGCCATATCCACGGAAAAGCACCGGAACTCGTCAGATCTCCGAAGTTAAGCCCGCGCGAGCTCGGATAGTACTGAGGTGGGAGACCACTCGGGAATCCCGGGTGCTGTAACTTTTCTTTTTCCCGTCAAAGATTTAAAGATCTGTGTGTAAAGACCCATTATGGGATCCAAGAGGTTTGTGAGATATCTTTCGGACTCTATTGCAAGCCTAGGCTCAATGGTCATGAGTATGTCCCCCAACTCCCGTGCCCCAGTTGAAGAATCTTCTGTTCCCCTCAGTTCAATAAACATGAGTGAGAAGACACAAGACTGTGAAAGTATAGCCAACCATTCGGACGAAGAAACTGTTATAGTGAAGAAATCGGATCATGAAAAATCACTTTTTGAACTAACATCTAGCAGAGTGGTAATCGAGGATCTCAAAAGGAGGGAGGAGGAGTATAGCCGAATGCTGAAGAACTATGATGCAACACTTACATATGTGTTGGAAAGAAATGAAAAGGAAAAGGCTCTTTTAGAAGGTGTTGTCATGAATGAGGAGATAGAAAGATTGAAATCTAATGAGTATAGGCTCAAGAGTTACATTCAGGCGCTAAAAAGAGATTTGTTTGCAAGCGAGGACAAGATAGAATCTCTTCAAAGGGCAAATAATGAAAGAATGGAATTTCTTGCCAAGCAAGTTGAAGAAATTAGAGGAATGTATGAGGAAGAAAAAGGAAAGGTTTCTTGCTTGAGTAAAAAGTTGAGTGAACTAGAGAATGCTTTTGGAGCGAGATGCAATGAAATGGTTGAGCTAGTTGAGTATTGTAAATATTTACTACGATGAAGACATTAAAGAAGCACTTCGTACCGCCAGATATTTCTATGTTTATTGTGAGAAAAAAGAGACACCCCGTGCGGGACTCGAACCCACGACCCTTGGATTAAAAGTCCAGCACTCTACCAACTGAGCTAACGGGGTTCAAGGTGTGTAGATGAACCCTACGTCTCCTGTTCATGATCCCATAAGTACTTTTTGAAAGTACTCTAACGCTACCCTAATGTTGTATGACCTGGTTATTGTGATAGTAGTTCTTGTATTTGGCTTTTTACTTTCGCAGAGAAAGAAAAGGCGATTGCAAAAGAAAGCCTTGCTTCTAGAGCCATTTAAGAACCACTTTGAAGAAAGCAATGGGGAATACTTGTCTATTCATCAATACATATTGAAGCTATCTGGGAATCCAAACTTGAAGTATTTATGTGCAATAATTACTCTTAGGAGGGACTTCTGCTTGAGTTACCTTTTTGGACCAGTGCCAAAGGAAAACTTCATTTTAACAGGGCAACTGAAGGCTAGGGTACCATGTGTGTATGTGTTCAGAAAGAGCCTGCCGCTAAGACATTATGGACTGAAATATACAAAAAAATGTTTGCTTGCAAATATACCTGGATATAAGGCATTTGGGCCCCTTGAGGAAAAGCATCTTGAGTTCATCAAAAAGTATGAGGTGTTAACCTTCTTTATAAGCTACGCCCCTCTAAACATTGAAGATCCAGCAGATTTCGAAAGTTTGGTTTTTCTGAAAGCAAGTTTGCCTCTTCTTAACAGTACAGAGTTCATTGATGATTTTCTGGCTCTTTTCGACAATGTTACTCTTGAATCAGGAAAAAAGTTTCTTGAAATGAAGCAAGGATATAAAAAGGATATAGAAGTGTTAAAGGCAAAAGAGAATAGGAGTCTTGGAGAAAAATTGGCTTCACGAATAAGAGAAAAAAGCAAGACTAAAAGAAAATAAAACCATCATTCTTATTGCAGCATAACTTTTATTTGGAAAACCTGGCAAAAGCGAGTCCTCCGGGATTCGAACCCGGACTATTTGGTCCGAAGCCAAGTGTTCTACCATTATACTAAGGACCCTTCTTGTCAAGATCACGCCGTTCCACAACAAAGAAAATTCAAATATTTAATTCTGTATAGGTGTTTTTAGAGCGACTTCCTGCTCAACTCTTCTCTTTCTTTGCTTCCTGCTTCCTCAAACACCATCATTTCCTCTTTGAGGATCCTGTCTCCATCAACTCTCTCTCCATCAGAATTGATCCCATCTACCCAATGACCTATGTCTTTGCCATCTAACTCTTTATTTCCAAAGTCTTCAAGATACATAGACAAAATCCTTCTCTTATACCAGACTTTTAGTTTTGGCGTTGAGACCCTTAAAAGACAGGAATCAGACCATCCACTATAGATCTTTTCTATTTTATCTTCTTCTTCATCAGAAGGTGTAAAAATGATTGTTATCGTTGAGTATATTCCTTCTTCGGCATCATTTCCATTACAGGTGTATGTTACGACCGCCTCATTTCCCATGCTTACTATATCATTGAACTTTCCATAGCTCTTCTTCCCATTTTCAAAGCCTATTTCAATCGATTCAAAAGGGACGATCCGGTATGCTTTGCCACCTTTTTCTATAGCAAAGGCAGAGATACTCTTGAGTCTTTGCATAAGTAGTGGAAATGGCGGATCAAGCATATCATCTTCAATCTCTCTGAAGTAAAGATGTAGGTCAAGTCTTCCATCAGAAACAGTTTTTGTTACATCCAGACCATTGAGCCTTTCCAAGATCCTTTCAGACTCATATGCAACCATTTGTCCAGCAGCATATCCAAACAACAACAAATTCATTTCAGGGTCAAACACCTGGTCTTTTATCTTAAACTACTGTAGATCAAAACAGAGAGAAAACCACTTTAATTTTTAATCCAGAGTGCCCTCAGTATCGGGTTTCCCTTATGCCCATTTCTTGCTGCCCTTAGCTCCCTCTTCATATACCTCATTCTTCCAGTTCCAACAGTACGTCTGCGCCTTGCCTTGATAGATCCCGGATTTCTCATCTTCGAATTGGGATATCCACATGATGAACATGAATTCTTTTGCTTATGGTAGCTCTGCCTTCCACATCTTCTGCACATCTCCGTGTTCCTCTTATTCTTTTTTCCAAAGCTAGCTGTACCTTTACTCTACAAATTAGTTAGCTCAAGCCCAACTTACCATTTCTCTGGGCCAATTCTCTAAAATTTTTTATCATTCTTTTCCAAAACCACTTGGATTCGTGGGACATAATACTATTTCCTATCAGCATTTTTTGTGCTATACATACTTAAAAGAACATCCATTAGTTTGATATTTTCATAAGCTACACACACACGGTATGACTCATATGCATGCTTCAACTTTTCCATCTCTATTCTCTTGCTTATCAGAATAATAAAGACGTCGTCAATTCCAGAAAGAGAACTGATCATCCATCCATTCACTTCAATGTATAGAAGCTCGTCTCCGTAAGCATTTCTGGCCATCTCTTCCAACCCTTTCACAGCATCCAAGATTAGCGGATCAAATGGCCCAATGGAATATACCTTCTTACCCTTTCTGAAGATAGCCATAGCATCTCTCATTCCGCCTATGTAGGGCCCAACAACCTTATATGTGTTATTCCGAGGATTTCCAAAAATAAAACAATGCATATGTACAAAAAGACACATTTATTCCATCATTTCTTTAAACTCCTCCAAAATCAATTTGAACAAATGTTCATAATCAATTTCAGAGCAGTTTTCATCAACCCAGTTGTAGTAGACCAGTGCATTTTTTGTGAAGCCCAGTATCTCATCGATATCTACCTTTCCAGATATCAGAAATGGTGTCTTCTTCTTTGGCCTTCTAATCTTACTTGGTATCTCCTTCTTGTATCTTGCATCTAATAGGCTCCATAGGCTCTCCAACCCAGGCTTCTGACATTCCTTTGAGTCCTTGCTTTCCATCAATGCATTGTACCTTGGGCCAAGAAACACAACCCTGGCCTCGGAAAACTGTGGCGTGTTCAACAGAAACACAATATCCAACAACTTCAACACCTCTCCAAGAAGCATCATATCTTGGAAGTCGGGACTCTCGACTACTATACCGATGTCGTAAAGAAGAATGGGGTATAGATTGATTAGCTTGTCATGCGAGATCTTGAGAATCAGCATCTTCGAAAGAAAAAACACTTCTTTTCTAACCTTTGACGAAGGATAGTTTATCAGTGCTGCTATCTTCTCAATAAGCTTCAAAGAAAAGCCTGCAAAATAATTGTAGGGTGCAGAGAATATGATGTATGAGATCCTTTTAAGTACCAAGGTCTTGTTGTTAGCATCAGAAGCCTGTGAAACAAAGAATCCGCTGTCCAGTCTGACAATGAGGTCATTGATAAGAGAGGGATCTTCAATCACAACTTTCTTCATAAGACTTGACTTCTTATGTAAACTATATGTGAAGAAGTCGAGTGTATGGAAGATCTCTACAAACTCTTTTCTCCAATACTTCACCATAACACCTTTTTCATTCAGCTTTGTAAGAAAGTCGATTCCAATGTTTTTGAGACCGAGGTTGGCAGAGTTGGTAAAGGTAAGAATGGCAGCAATCAAGCTTGGAATTGTCGAAAGGACCACCCCTTGGAACTTGAAATCCGTTATCTTTTCAAGCAACCTAATCTCGTCCTCATATTCCCTTTCACCGTTCCTTATCTTTAGATCTAGTCTCTTCTGTAGAAAGTATATGGAATTTAAAATAGCTGTTTGAATGAGAGGCTGACTTTCTTCTTTGAAGTTAGGAAATAGGAGAAAGTCTAGAACGAAGTTCAAGGGAGAATAGTCGGGCCCAACTCGGTAGGAGGAAATTTTCTCGAGAAGATTCTTTGATCTATTGAAGACACCCATCATCTCTTGAGGACTCATAACTTGGTTTAGTACACTTAGAAATCTAAAGACCTTTACAGGATTGGTCGAGTAAAGATTCATGATGGAAACATAAAGCTGCTCTCTAAAGTCAATGGACTTTAGAAATGGGATACATGGAGAGTTCCCTAGAATCATCTCAACAAACCTGATGGGCACCTTCTTGTAGAACAGAGCCGATAACTTTTTTGCAGTTAATAGCTTCAGAGCATCGATTCTTGTGCTATTTCTCTCATTCCTATCCCACCCATCAAGGCCATTTCCGGTACCAGATATTTCGCTTTGTTCATCTCTTCGAGATATGCAAGTTGCTTTGCTTCTTCCCTCATCAGAAAGCTCAATGTATTGAGTTTCAAAAAACTCAAAAATAAACTTCATGCTCTTGTCTATAAACCCGGGAAGCTCTCCTTCTGCCCCTCTTTTGGCCAGTATGGTGGTTATGGTCTCATAAACTATCATAAGTGCAAAGTCTTCGTTTTCCAATGAAAACAGCACGTTTGAAAGTACCTTTCTCTGGAGTCTATCAGTTAATGAAAAAACAAATCCTAGGAATTCATGATAATAAAAGCATTGGCTGTCAAGTATACTGCAAAAGTCTTGGATTGCTGTACTATTACCACTGTGTCTGATTAACGGTGCAATTCCTAGCACAATCGCCGGGTCTCTTCTATTTCCCTTTGCCACGTCTACGACTTTGGAAAGTTCCACAGTATTCATCACATTGCTTTCCAAAACCCCACTCTCCACCAGAGCCTCAAGGACCTTGATAATCTCCAGATCTGCATCTCTTCCATCATACTCCTTTCTATTCGCAAGTAAATGCACAAGTATCCTATACAGAATTTCTTTAGGTGGCACACCTCCCTCCAGAGGAAGAGCCCTGAAATACAACTTCTCCGTAGAATCTATAAGCATAGACTTGAATCCCTTGGAATACCTCAGGAGATTCTTAATGCATTTGAATACGCCGAATATCTGGTTGAGATCGATGGACTCAGCAAAGAGAGAATCATTTACCTGTATGTTTGAATCCTCCAATTTCTTCAGGAGGAACCTGAACAAATCATCAAAGCAAACCAAAGAACAGAGAAACGTATCCAGGACAGGATCGCCAGGATCGAGTTTGCAGTTAATGATATAGTACAACTCTAAAAAGTCGAAGTTTCCTTGGAAATTTTCAAGCTTGAGAAGAAGGAAGTAGCTGATCTCTTCTACTTTCTCCTCTCCAATCATTTTTAGAAGAAGCCTTTCAAAACTCCCTTCAAAAATCATGTTGTATCTCCATAAAAGCTCAGTCAATATCCTACAGTCAGGACCTTTGCTAGTACTAAAGAACCTGTCTGTGGAGTTCCTTCCAGGCATGTCATAAGTGCTTTTTCTTGGAATTTTTTGAATCCCGTCACTTTTGTCAGGTTCTTTCAAGTTCTCCAAATACAAACCTCTCTCTACATGGCAAAATCTTCTCCATAGCACATCAAACATGGCAGTTGCATCAAGCTGGGTACAATCTATTGTTTTGTATACCTCAAGGTGCTCCTTTATGAGCCTGTTGGAGGATCTCAGCACAAGACTGTGGTAATTCTGTATAAAACCGTTAGGAAGAGCATCTACACCATAAATCTTGATGAAAGTAACCATTAAAGGAAGAGACAGCCCTATATCACTTTCAATAACTCTTCCAATCTTATCAGAAATACTGTACAACATCGTTGACGAGATGTCATCTAGTACACTAGTATCTTCCTCCAGATAAAAGTTCCCTATAAGCCTCTGCAAGTTCTTTCCTCCCTCAACCTGCTTTTCTTTGAACTTCATCACCTTTACACTAAAGTCTAGAAAAGAAAAAAGAATCTGAGAATCAAATAGTAGAAAATCAGAAAGAACCAAATGAACTAGAAATGGAAGATGATACTGAAAAACTTCGGGATCCACCACAGAGTAATTTTCCATAGCGAACCTTATGAAGTCAAGAACTTGTGTGGGATTGTTGACATCTTTTGCATTTCCGGAATTTTCATCTTCCAATGCTTTTACCATCAAGCATCCCCTTGAAGGGCTTCTATCTCCATGAGAGCCTCCCTCCTCAGGAAGACAAGTCCTTTCGATAGAACTGCCATCTTCAGAACTACTAACACTCTCGCTTCTTATTAAGGATTCCTGGCCTTCGTTAAGGATCAATGACATCGAATGCATACTATACATTTCCTCCCTTACCATGCTGTCATTGAACTCTTCATCGTCAATTAGATTGATATCCAGCAGCATCTTTTCCTTGGCATGATTGAGGACATTCCTCAGCCGGAGATAGAATATTTTCCAGATAGAGTCCAGGTCTGTAGTCAAAAATGCTTTTGCAATCTTCTCGATATCAATACTTTCTCCTAGACTTTCTTCAAATGCGTCCTGTTGCATAATTTCCTTCGCACTATTTTTCTCATGCTTTTGAAGGCAGCCCAGAACATTGAAAAGAAGGTTCTCCATAATCTTCTCACAAAGCTTTCCTTTATCCTGTAATGTCATCATAATTCTGAAGAAGAGTTGGATATCCTCAGCACTGCTTCTGTCCAGAAACCTTTTAAGTACTCTGCTCAGAAAAACCACATCTGTCTCATTGAAACTATCTGTCATGCACAGCCATCCATATATCCTCTTGTTAAGCGAGAGGTCTCTCTTCACAAACAGCTTGATCACAGCTTCAATAAGATTATCTAGTATATCTTCGTAGCAGACATGACTCTTATCAGGAAATATAAATATCAAAAGGTCTAAGCAGTTCCTCACTACTAGCGTCGATTCGCTTCCAAGCCCTTCACATAATGCCCTTGTTACAAGCTTTGTATTTACCACCATCGATTCCTCCCAGCTCATACTTAACGTGAAGTTCACAACAGATGTTCTAAGCCTTTCATCATTAAGAAGAATGCTCCACATAGAAGAATAGAACACTACAGGTGAGACCAAAGACTTGAATTCGGTTATTATGAGACGTGCTCGCCCATAATGTTCTCCAGATTCAAATTCCATAGGAGGAAGAAGCCCAATAAGTATACTTGTACAATACATCTCCACATCCTTTCCCAATGGAACAATGTATCTTTCTATAAGATCCAGAAAGGAGTTGATTACAAGAATTCTGCAGTGTGCTGAAAAAGTAAAGAGTCCTAATGTCAGAAAATCAAATTCCTTAAGAAGGTTCTCTTTGGAAATTCTTTCAAACACCAAGGAATACGTCTCCAAAGTCTTGTTGTGTATTCCTGCAGGAAGAACAGGGTTCAGGCACTGGTTCAATCTTTTGAACAAAAGCTTTTTCTTTGGGATCTCAGATATTGAGAACTTTTTAATAGTGCTGTCCAATGAGCTTAGCAACGAAATAAAATCGGACCATTCCTTGGCAGTCTTGAATGCATCTAGCTTTTTTGTCATCTCAGCCTCATATCTTTCTCGGCTCTCGTCCATTTATGATGCCTCTAAGGGCCCATTGTTTTTATCTATCAAAAATGCACAGAGTAAATAGAAAGATCATAAAAGCGCATGTCCTGGCCCATAAGAGCCTCAGCCTCCTCATACATAAAACATAATTCAACCTAGGTTTAATTCGCCTCTAGAGCTCAGCCCTGTCTTCCTCAGAACCCTTTTGGCTTTCCTCAGGATGCTTGTCTGGTACTCCTTCTTCCTCTTTTTTCTCATCATCTACCTTATCCTCCTCTTTCTTCTCAGCTTCCTTCTTAATTCTTTCCTCATATGCATTAAATAAGTTTTTACGCCTGATAATAAGACTGAATTCAACTTCCTCGATGTCCTTCTTTTTGTATTTATCATCCGAACTCATGGTGTTCAGGTGTTCTAATGCCTTCGACACTTCATCTTTCAGCCCCTCATTCCATACCTCCAGATTGCTCTTGCCTAGCTTCTCAGTGGAGATTATCGTCTCCTTCAAGTCCTTCAATGCCTGTTCCCTCAGGTCTCTTTCCATTTTGATCTCGGAATCCTTTGCCTCCACTTCCTTCCACTTGTCTACCGCCCTTTTGATTCCATCAAGATCATCGACCTTAGTAAAGGCCTCATCCCCCCCTTCTATACATGAATCAGACACTTCTTTGAAAATATCCCTAAGATTTCTTCCTTTCTTTTTATCAAGAATTTCCCTTATCTCTTTCCTTAATCGTACCTCATCAACATAGGCCTTTCCGCTCTTGCTATCCCCGCTAACACATAAAACCTTAGGGTCAGTAATACTATACTCCGTCCTCATAATCCTGGCCGCTCCTTTCTCAATGTCTTCAGGCTTTATAATGTCTTTTGAAGAGAAGGACCCAAGAATTTTGTCAAAAATAGGGTTTTCGTAAAACTCAGATCTTATCATTACAGAATACTTCTGTTCCTCTCCAATCGCTTCAGCAACCTTCTTCTTTATACTTCCAGTGATGTCTAAGTGTTCGTTACTCTTCACAAACTCCTCAATCCTTCTTTGGATTTCCCTCACGTTAAATATCGGCGCTTCTATCACAAACTTCACCTTCTCTTCAGAGTCAACTACATTAACCCCATTGACTATCTTCACACTTTCAACAATGCTCTTGTATCTCAGCGCTTTGTTAATTTCCTTGTATATAGGCCTCATATCTATCTTCAGGTCAAAAACATCCGAATCCTTCATCCGAGGATAAAACGTCACATTTCTGTTTGTATCGGAAATGCCCTCCTTGCTGGAGACATACCCCTTAAGACTTTCCTCTATGTACCCATACACTACCTTTTGAATAGCCCAATCAGATATTCCGTCGAAACACTCATAAAATAGGCTGTTGAACATTCTTTTCTTGTCTTTCACCTCCATCTTATAAAGCGAAACCACAGTCTTTCTTCCTGTCATCATAATCACCATGCAGTGCAAAGACCCATCTTCCATAATATGCTCGGTTTTGGACACCAATCCGCAAAGAGACTCCGGTACAACACACACCTCCATTCCATTTAGAATCCCAGAGAGGCACTCCCCCAGCTCTCTTGCCTTGGCTTCGTCAAAATATCCTCTGTACCCAATTGCTACTTTTGTGATCCCTTCTCTCATAACATGCAAGGGCTTAATAGCTGTCGATAGACACAGGTAATTCATTCCAGAAGCATCAAGCAACGTTTCATAACCTTCAACTAGGTATCCTTTATCCCCAATATTTTCAATCCCTTCACAAAGCACTCCCTCAAAATTATCTTCAAACATCTCTACTGGATTCCAAATCGTTCTAGGATTCAGATGCTTGCTACTCATCGCCACTCCATCTTCAATAGTAAATGCAGAAGGCGCAATCCCAAGGGGCCTGTCTGCCATTCTTCTCTTCTCATAGCTGGCCCACTTGCTGACGACATCTTCATACCGGATCCCTAAGCTTTCAGAACATACAAACGAAAGGAGCATGGGAAACAAGAAATTCATCCACAAATGCTTGGGGATAACTTTCCTCCCTAAAATCATGTGAAAATTAAAGGACCCTAGGTAGGTAATGCAGAAAAAGTCTAAAACATAGGGCAATGACTTGTTTAATCTCTTCTCAAAGGAAAGACCTTGCGCTCCACTTCATTCTCTCTTACCACATAGACTTCAAGATTATCCTTTGTCTTTACATCCCTTTCAGCTGCAGCGTTAAATGCTTTGGTAATAAGTCTTACACAATCCTCCTGGCTTAACTGTGCTTGCCCAGCATTGTTCCAATTTTTCTTGGAAACAAAGGAATCCAGTAGGGGTTGGATCATACTTCTCCCGCTTCCATTGCATATACATGTTACAGACTCAAAAGACCCCACAGGATCGTATGAGTAGACATATGGTCTTCCATTCTCAAATCCACTCAAAACGCAGTATGAATAATATGGGAAGAATCTTTTTGAGTATAAAATCTTCGAAAGCAGATTTGCAGCACTGTGGACGTTGATGGAGCCCTCCACTTCATACTGCCGTATCTCATATGCCATTTTCACATAGACCTCATGGCTATCTGCATAGAATCCTGTCCCAGTAAGAAAGAGATCTCCAATCTGGAATATTTTGGTCATCTCTCGAGAGTTTATAATCATATCTGAAGAATGCCTTGTGTCCCCGCCAATAACAATGAAATCATCTTGCCTCAGGCAAACTACTGTACCAGAGTTATCTTCATATGGATTGAACTTTTCCCCATCTTCAGCTTTTGTATACCTCGACCTTCCGCTAATAAACAAACTCTCCATACTTTCCCCTAGATGTCCCTTGCCCATCCTCTCTACACTATCTTCATCTCTTCCGTCATCTAACATGACTGCAGAGTTCAAGGGAGTGTGAATATCAAGATCCTCAAACAGTCCATATTCCCTCACTGTATTTAGTATAGATCCTCCACTTGTAGAATATGCTCTCCCCTTATTGTTCAACATCAAGAAGGGCCCTTCAGGGAGGGAATAAAAACTAAAAAGAAAGCCTTTAATGATAAGTTAGTCAGGCCTCGATGCTAACATCGTTAGTCCCAACCACTTCTGCAACAGCTTGGATATGGCATGGACTCTTGTTGAATGGATTTACTCTTCCATGGGCCCTGAAAGTCCTACCAAAAATCTTCGGTGCCTTGCTAACTTGGATATGTGTTATCACTAGGTTTTCCACATCAAGATTCTTGGTTTCTGCAGACTCCTTAAGGTTCTCAAGAAGGGTAATCACAAACTCTGCAGACTTCTTGGGCCATCTTCCTCTTGTTTGAACATGCCCTCTCTTAATCACCTTCTCTCCGTTGGCCTTCACAATTTCCCTTTTAGGGATGCTGAACTTCCTTGCCTGATGTGTTTGTCCACATCCGCGGTTGTATCTTCTAAAGGGAACGCACTCGGTCTTATTGATCACATTCTTCAGATACTCAATTGCATCAACAACCTTTCTCTTTCTCAGGGTCGAGCATGTTTCCCTAGTCTTTTTGAAGCTTACTTTTGCATTGTCAATCTTCCCCTTCACAGCCTTAGAAGGATCGTGCACTTCGTAGCTATACTTGATCCCCATTTTAGGGCTAACTTTTTTTCATCTTCTTTGTGGAGGCTTACCGTGCAAAATTTTCATCTTGCTGTCTTCAATCACTATTATCTCTATCCTCACCACTTCTTGAGCCCAGGAATCCCAACCCTTTCTGTGCATCAAAGATTTTCAACAGACTTATCTTCTATCTAAAGCAACTCCCCACAATCTTAAGACTTACCTGATAGAATGGTGGAAATAAAAATCAAGAAGGTCTATCCCGTTTACAACTGGAGATGGGACATAGAAAGTGACATATGTGGGATATGTCAGCAAAGCTTTGATCAGATGTGCATAAAGTGTAAGCATCCCATAGAGTGCAAACCTTGCATAGGTAAATGTAAACATACATTTCATTCACACTGTATAGCATTGTGGCTACAGCAGAGGAAGGTCTGCCCCATGTGTCGTGTATTCTGGGTTTGCCACAGAGTCTTTGAATAGAATAAATGGCTTTGCCTATGTATATTCCAAAATAGCTGGGCACCGTACACATTTTACTCTAGAAATTTTTGCCCTTTAAGAATGCAAATTAGTGTGAGGTTTGGTGGAAAGACCTCGTTCATTCAGGCAGAGCCTTCGCAGTTGATTTTGTCTCTAAAGACTCTTGTTGGGAACGCCTGTAGTCTTGATTCTTCCATGATGGCCCTACAGCACAACTCCAAGGCACTGGAGGACTCAAAGACGGTGGCAAGCTATGGCATAAGGAACTTCGACACAATCGTGATGTACCCCAGAGTTCTTGGTGGAGGAGGGAACATGTCTGAAAACGATGGAGCCATGGCAATGAAAGAAAAGAATGATTGCTTGATTTGCCGACGATGTTATGCAAGGTCTGGAAAGTCTGCACAGAAATGTAGGAAGTGCGATAGCAAGGATCTAAGGCCCAAGAAGCCTCTTAAGACAATGAAGAAGAAATAAGAAGTTATAATTAAACATTTACTTCTGGCTTTTTATCGAACTCTTCACTAATGAATGCAGTATATGCACTTTGTCCTTGCAACCGAAGATGAAGGCTTAGAGACTCCGAGCTTAATCATCGATATATCCTTCGCTTATATAATCAATATTGGATGCAATAAAGGCATCAAACTTCTGCAGAAATATATTCTTCATATGCATACCACCATTATCCTGAGCCCTTCTCTTTTTCTTCATCTCTTCTCTGCTATCCTCACTTTCTCTCTTTGCAGGTGTTTTTATTTCCAGCTTGCATTCCTTCAAAATGCTATCGGTTAGTCTTATAAGTTCCCATCTTGTCTTTGTGGAAAGATCCCAGACCCATTTTGCTTGGATTACTCCATCCATAAACTTCAACTCATTCATCCCATGGAAGGCTGCAATCGCATTCCTTGAGTCATAGAACTCCACACATCTTTGATGTGTTTTGACGTATCGGATGTCCTTTACCTCTCCAAACTTACTAACCTCTTCAGAAAACTCTTTATCATCAACAGACCCTGTCAAGTTCTTGAAAGTAAATAGTAGTGTACTTTGGTTTCTGGACTCATCGCACTTGTCCATATCTCTAGGAATCTCGTATTTGCTTATTATATGATAGGATGAAAGGTCTTCAGATCCCTTGAGATAGGAAATTGCTTCTCTTGCTCGCCGCTCATCATAGAAGAGTATGCAGAGCACCCTGTAGTCATTTTGAATGGTATAGATTTCCTTTATTTCAAACTTCTTCTTAATCCTATCCTTTACTTCCTCCTGATGCTTTTGATCGTTGAATCCTGTGACTATTATTGTCTTTGTCAACTGTCCTTGGTCTCCTTGTCCGCTTCTGCTCATCCAGGGGCTTTTAAAGTCTTGGCAAAATCCAAATACATATGGCCTAGAGAGGTAAAACTTACTTCTTTAGGCTTTCCGGTGTTCCATTGTCAAGCTTCTCGATTCCTTTAATCTTCAAGAAAGTAAACACGTCATCAGACAATATGCATAATGCTTCATCTTCGATTCCAAGGCTTGCGTCCTCAATGTATTCATCTCTTGATACATACCTCATTGGGCAGATAGGCTTATCTTTCTTCCTGTTGAAGTCCCTGTGTCTTTTATATAGCAGAAGCCTATTCCCTTCAGCCGGAAGAAGGTTAAGGCAACTGTTCTTGATGAAAAAGTAAGCCTTTACTCTCACAGGATACTCCTCTTTAACCTCTCTATCATACAAGTACAGCACTTCTTCCTCACACAGATACAATACTTTATTCTTCCTCATCCCAAAGTGCCTGCACCAGTTCTGAGATTGGTCCTTAGGCACAAACATCCCAGTCTTTGTTTTTTCAAACATCTTGAGAAACTCACTTCTTTCCATGGGACACTTCCATTTAACTCCCATTTTGCAGTGGCCAATCTGGTAGGCACAGGCTGTTTTGATTCAGAAACTTTGTTTACTAAAATATTTATCAAAATAAAACAAGGGCATACATGGAGTGGGACGAGAAGACACTAAGCTTAATGATTTCGAAGCTAGGGCCTGGGCTGATGATCTCTCTTTCTGCAATAGGTGGAGGCCTGGGATTCATAGCAGGATCGGAGGGGATCTGTAAAGCAGCAGAAAATGTTGTTAATACCACCTATTCCTTGGTTCCAATCATTTTCATTACAGCACCAACAATGTACTCTGTAATCCTATACTTCATGGTTTATGACAAGAAGATTGAGTCTCTCAGGGATGGCCTTTTGGTTCTGAGTGCATGTGTGGTCAATGGCGTATCCTCGGGTGTTGCAGGGTACTCAATAGGCCATTCAGCGAAGGTTGCATGTGTCACAAGATCTCAACAGAAAAAATTCAACAGTATCTTCTTTTTGATACTGATCTTCGGAGAGGTTGTTGGACTCCTCGGGCTTGTTTGTGCAATGGCTATATCATCAAGCATAGGCAATGAATGAACGTTTGAAATAAAATCTATCTCTTTTGGTATTGGGAGACAGGTATAAGTCCCTATAAATAAACCAGCTTGATTTTAATAAGATGTGTATGTATGGCTCAAGACGAGGTTATAGGATCATAGTATCAATGCCTTCCTTTTCTTTTGTCCTTCTTCATTCTCTTATCCAATGCCACAATCCTTCCTTTTCCTCGAGGAATTCCGCATCTTCCCTTCTTTGGGAACACAATCCTTGGCTTAGACTTTGTTTTCTTAAAGGATGACTTATAAATCTTCTTTGCTACCACACCCTCTTCTTCAGAGTCATCTATCACTACGTTCTTCATAAACATCTCGGCTCTTCTTTCTGCCCTTGTCTTGCGTCTATTAAGGGCTTCCTTTTCCTTTTTTGTGAGTCTTCTCTCCTCTACCTTCGGAGGCCTTGAATAAAAGGATTCTTGATCTTCGCGAAGGTAGTTAGGAAGCTTTTCATTGGGGTCGCGAATATATCTATCAATGGTGTCCTCTACAAATCTTTCGGGGTTCTCCTTAAGCTTCGAAACACACATTATCTCTTCTTCATCAAGATCTAGACTATCCGAGCAACTGCTAACTTCGATCATTTGCTCATCTCTTTCTTCAACCACTTCCTCATCCTCGCATGTCATAGACAGTTTATCAAAAATACAGTCCTTAAAGAAGCACTCAATTCCCCTCTCATTCTTTGGTATACTTTCCTTTCTTTCATTCTTTCTCTTTCTCTTCTCAATCAGCATTTGAATTTCCTTTATCTTCTCCTCCGAGCTCTTTTCCTTCAATTCTGCTTCCTCCACATTCTCATTGTCTCTAAGAAAATCTAGGTCAGGGACTTCAATAACTCCTTTCTGCACATCTTGGATTATCCTTCTCCTCTTTCTCAACACTTTCCTAATATCTCCTTTTCCAAGCAATTGGAGATCCCTGAACATATCCAAAAACTCAGGTTCTAGAACTTTGGGTATATCCTTTTCATCTATGTCGACCATAATCTCGGAATACTTCGAAAGCATCTCAGACAGCACATCAGGATCATCTTCCTTTAAGAATTCAGTGAACTTCAATTTCTTGCAGAAGTTGAAATCATCATATCCTCCGGCATCCTTCGTCTCTGTAAACACGGCAGAAGGTTCAAGAAGCGAGTAATCGACATTCTCTTCTCCAATAAACCCAAGGCAAACAAGAAAGATTTCTGCACTCTGACTTCGGGAGCTAAGAGGCTTTGAGGTCTCAACAGTTTCAAAAAGCTGTGATAAAATGTTGTGTAGTGAAAAGTAGTCTTGCGATCGGAACACCTTTGTAATAAACACACCACCTCTCTTCAGAAATTCGGATGCAAGCTTGGTTGAATGCAACGCAAGCAGGTTCTGGTTGAATGCATCATTTTCCCACGAAGTTCCTACATTCGGTGCCCCGTCATGAAGTACAACATCGGCCTTCTGGGCTCCAAGTATCTCCCGTAGCTTGAGCCGGCATTCGTCAGACGTGATGTCTTCAACAATCGTGTCAACGTCTCCAATGAACTTTATAGGTTCCAAATCAACGGCAACTATCTTTCGGCGAAGAGGCATTTCCTGAGCTGCCACTTGGGACCACGATCCTGGGGCTGCACATAAGTCGATAAGAACATGTGCATTCTTGAGAAATGCATACTTCCTGTTCATTTGAAGAAGCTTGAATGCAGATCTTGCTCTGTATCCCTTCTCTTTTGCAAGATTGTAGTACTTGTCAAGCCTTGTCCTTCCTATGCTTTTGCTCTTACCCATGAAGGACTGTGGTAATTTTTTTATCAAAGCACAATGTTGATGGATAAATCCTCTGGAGAGCGTGTTCCCATCTATGAGATGATTGACATAAGTAGAACAAACAATGATTTTTATTATCGTTACAAGATGCCTAGGGCTGTTGTAAAGCTGGAAGGGAAGGCGGGAAACACAAGGACAGTGATTGTGAATCTGGAAGAGATTGGATCCTCTCTCAAAAGGCCGCCTCTATACATTCTAAAGTTCATGAGCTACGAGCTAGCTACCAGAATAGATGTTGTGAAGGGAAGATATGCTGTGAATGGGAGGTATGATTCCTCGAGAGTTCAGGACCTGATATACGACTTCATTGATAGATTTGTTATGTGCCCTTTCTGTAACAATCCCGAGACATTCTATGTCAACAATGATGGGTTATCTATGGAATGCTTGGCATGTGGGAAGAGATCTGGTGTGAAAGCTTCCAAGCTCAGCGGAATGATTCTTAAGGATGTAGAGAAAAACTCGTCTGGACATGATGACACATACTTCAACCCCGTTGGGCCTGAGGATGATGAATACAAAGATAACATGAGAAGGCTGATGGAATCTGATGACGATAGATCCGAAGACATTGTGAACCTCCTTAAAGACCACGGCCTATCTGACGAGAAGATTGCAAAGGAGGTTCTGATGTTTGATGGAGGCATTAAGAAATGCAAGAGGATAAACGATTTCATCTCACCAAAGGCCTTTCTGAGTTCTGTAGAAGAGGTTGCTGAGAATGGAAAGGAGAAGAATATTCAAGAGTATCTTCGGATGCTTGAAGAAGAAAAAATGTTTAAGAGGAGTGAGCTCTTTAAGTATTTTACAAGGCCTCAAGGAAATAAGAAAAGATCTCCTGAGTTCAAGAAGGAGATAAGCGATTACTTCTCGAGCCAATAAATCCCGACTTTGTCTCTCCCCTTTTGAAGTAAGGAGGCAGTTTTGTAGCCTCAAAATTTTATCCCTGAGCATTTATGGCCGAGGACTGTAACAAACAGAAGGTATACTTGACTGATATAAGCAGGGAGCCGAATGCTGGAGGTCGGAAGCAGGCCAGAATAGAACTTCGTGCCCTTAAGGATGCATATGCACTGAAGATTGAGCCAGACATGATGCCAAAGGAAGAGAGCACTGTTCCGGATACAAATCTGTTTAGAGTGACTGCTTATTGCACTGCCGATGGATATGACCTCAAGAATCTATACAAGTACTTGAAGAAGAACTCTTTATGTAATAAGGTGTCGATGTACTTTGGGGAGTGCCTGTACACTTTAATGAACTTCCGGGGCAGTGAGGAAAGACACGATTGCTTCTTCTACGAATATGGTGTTGTAGTATGCTGGGGAATGTCTGAAACACAGGAGTCGATGATAGTCAAGCTTGTTGAAAAGTATGAAGAGAACGGGCATGAGCCGTCAGAAGTTGAGATTGAGTCCTTCAAATATGGAATAACGGGCAATCCATTTATTATTAACGATGTGATATACCTGAACTCTGAAAACCACTTTACAAAGATGGTAATTTCGATTGCAATAGCCCAAAGTGTGAAACTAGACTACTTTGAGAATCTTGTGGATAACACTATCGAAGCAGTCAAGGAGTTCCCTGAGGAGGTTGAGAGGGAGGGAAAGGTCAGCAAAAGCAAAAAGGAGATATTAAAGATGATAGGCAAGCTTCATAGGTTACGATTCAATCTGAATCTTGGGTCCAATATCCTTGATGAGCCTGAATTTGTATGGGATTATCCGGCGTTTTCATCCCTCTATGAAACATGTAAGAGGTATCTTGACATCAAGCCAAGAGCCGACTTATTGAACAGGAGATGTGATGTAATCAATGGGATATTAGAAATTCTTAATGAAAATACTAATAGAAGCAGCATTGAAAAGTTTGAGGTTGTCCTAATTATTATAGTATTGAGCAACATTGTGTTGATAATATCGCAACTAATAGAAATGTACATTAGGCTTTCAAGTAGGCCATGATTTCTATTTGAAGTGCCTAGTATATCCCAGAACCCTGTTTAAAAAGAAAGACAGGACAATAAAGCATTTTAATTGTTATTCTTGGATTTCCAGGATCACCTTATTTTTACTTCGCTGTCTCCTTCTTCATGATATGACGAAAACATATTTAGACAGGCCTTCGAACACCTTTTTATGATTGTGGAAATGACAGAGCTTGCATCGAATATCCATGTGCGCCCATTCTTTCCTTCCCCCGCACATAATTCACATAGTTGTAAGACATGATATCCTAGAATCAGCCGGCAGAGTCTACATTCTATGTCTGCCACAATACACTTGCATGAATACGCCATATAACTATTCCCTATACACTTCACATTCTCTGTAGGAACATTCGTTGAATACACTTTAATCCTAAGACTTGATAGAAGTAGAGACCTTGCAGCCCTTCGACAGATGACATTACCACATCCAAAGCATCTGATAACATACCTTTCCTTTCTATCTTTATAAGGTGTCATCACTGTTCATGCAGGCAGATAGCGTTTATATCCAATTTAGAAATCTTATGTTTTATTATTCTGGCTCCTCATTCCTAATTCAAGCCTACTCAGAAGGCTTCAATACAAATCCAAAGCAAGCAGAAATAGGGACGAACACTCTCTCATTCCACCACATTCTAATGCTTCCTTCTTCCTTAATCGGGACATTCTTTTGCTTTAAGGTTATCTTTGAGCTGTTAAGAAATTCTTCAAGCTGTATTCTGACCTCAGTAAAGTTACTCCATTCTTTAAGCTTCCATTTCATTTCGATTCCTCCGTTCTTTTCTTTCAACTCGCGAATGATCACATTATCGATCAGAATATCATCCCCTTCAAAAGCTGCTCTGTGCCCACTCCACACAGAAATGTATTCCTTAGATAAAATGAAATCCATAAGCTCTCTAACCTCGCAGTTAATAGTTGCTTTGTAGCTCACATCCATAGTTTTCGCCTCTTCTGCACTTACGCTTTTAGCACAAGGTTTCCTCTCTCCCATTTCCTTATTGACATCCAAAACTCTGTTTCCAAACTTGAGTACTGCCTCTCCCTCCATTTCCTTGAAGAACTTTGGAAACCATTCAAAGTCTTCCATCCCATCAGCCTTTTCAGATACAGAGTAAAAGTTCCTTACTCCACAATACTTTTCATCCTTCGTGCACTCAAAGCTTATCATATACACCAATCCCAAGGTATTCATTCTTTGGCATATCTTAACCAATACATCCATTCCGTACACCTTATATCCTCGGGCTTCTAAAGCCTCTTTGATCTTGTCCTTTGCCCACCCAGATAAGTCGGATTCTGCCCAATGATAGTTCGATCTTTTCTCTGGCATTGGGGCACTCTGGTCGTTTCTTTTTATTTTCAAAATAGGCGCCTTGGCTCATTCCACAAGGGATCGCAAAACCCTTAGCTCAAGATAGCTCCTAGGATTTCTCTTAAATAGAAATTGGGCATATAAGGCATTCAAGCTAAACGTAAGCATTATTCTATCAACATATCCCTTGATCCTCTCTAAAGCATCAGTCCACTTGTTATTGCATTTGAACTGCATATCTCCCGCCGTAATGAAATCAACTGCGAAAAACTCAATCTCCTCGAGCAAATCGGCTCCAGCCTTTCTGATAAACAACCTGTCCTCTTCAATCTCGTACGTAACTATTCCTTTTAGTACCCCAAGCGCATCTAAACTCTCAGAACCTACAATAAGCTTCGCAATAGGTGCATCAGGCTCCTCATATTCTCCTTCCATTGTGGTTACAAAGGGAATAAATATAGTGTTTCTACCGTCTATAAGCCTAACCTCCTCTTCAACAGCAAGATCGCATTTGCCCAGAACATCCATACCTTCAAGCAGGTGCTGTGCTTTTACGGTAAATGTCAAGTCATCTCCATTAACCATAAACACATCGTCATTCATCGTCAGATAAAAATTACTTTGTCCATATGAAGAAATAGAGATAGTCCCTTGCTTTACTTCAAACTTGATGTCATCTTTCTTATTAAATATGCTCAGCATACCTCTGAAGAACTTCTCATCCTTCAGTGAGATCCTCATTGGGGATATCCAGAGCCAAGGCTTACGGGAATTTCTTTCTAGGTGATAAATGCATAGCAATTAATTAGGTATTAATTTCACTTGTCGTAATATTTATCTTTCTCTCCACACAAAGTATAAATAGATTTCTCCCTCAAAGAACATGTGCGGAATATTTTCGTATGCAAACTTCTCCATAGAAAAAACCAAGGATGAAATAGCTAACATAATGATAAACGGCCTGAAGCGGATAGAGTACCGGGGATATGATTCTGCCGGGTTCTGCATTACAGATAACTCAGATAAAAACTTTATCAAGATCAGAGCTGTAGGCAAAGTCGACACTCTTTATAATATGAAAAATTCTCAAAAGGATGTTGATCTTGCAAGAAAAGTAAGTAACCATGTTAGCATTGCACACACAAGATGGGCCACACATGGGCAGCCCAGTGTTGAGAACTGCCATCCACTGAGTAGTGATAAGAACGACAACTTTCTTGTTGTACATAACGGGATCATTACAAATTATAAGGACCTCAAGACATATCTTGGGAAAAAAGGATTTTCATTTGAGTCCAACACAGATACAGAATGTGCAGCAAAGCTTGCACTTCATTTCTATAAGGAAATGGAAAGTAATGGAGAAAAGCCGGATTTCGTGTCCATTGTGAAAAAGGTTGCAAAGAATTGTGAGGGGGCGTTTGCCTTTGTGTTTGCCTCTCCCTTGTTTCCTAACGAGCTTGTCACTATCAGGAAGTCGTCTCCTGTTCTCATAGGTCTTAAGTCATCAGGAGGAATGTCTTTTGATTTCTTAGGAGTTAATTATGAGGATTCGATGGATGAATCCATTTCTCCCTTGAGCTCTCCACAACTCCCCTCCATGCCTGAAAGATATCGGTTTGACCAAAATATCGAAACTATAACAAGGGGTGTCCAGGACTGCTCTCTACATGTGCATAACAAAGAGCCTCTGGAGGTCTTCATTGCATCGGATGCCTCTGCTCTTATAGAGCACACAAGGAAGGTTATCTATCTTGAAGACAACGATATAGCTCATATATCCAGCGGCAACATACTCATACATAGGCTACATTCAAGGGGGAAGGAGACAGGACCTGACACAAGAGAAGTTAAAACGATTGAGACGGAGCTGGCGTCAATCATGAAGGGGAATTATGAGCATTACATGCTCAAGGAGATAAACGAGCAAAAGGAGTCCGTGGTTAACACGATGAGGGGGAGAATCAACTTCGAAAGCTTCACGGTTAACCTTGGAGGACTCAGAGGCTATATCAATGACATAAGAAGATCACAAAGAATAATATTCGTGGCATGCGGAACCAGCTACCATGCTAGTCTTGCAAACAGACCATTGCTTGAAGAGCTTCTCGAGACTCCTGTAAGTGTTGAGATAGCCAGCGATTTTCTAGATCGAAATCCTCCCATACTAAGAAGCGACTGTGTATTTTTCGTATCCCAAAGTGGAGAAACGGCAGACAGTGTCATGGTACTAAGATATTGTTTGTCCAGAGGAGCCCTTTGTGTAGGTATAACAAATACTGTTGGGAGCACCATCTCAAGAGAAACGACATGTGGTGTTCATATAAACGCAGGCCCTGAGATAGGTGTGGCGAGTACTAAGGCTTATACGAGCCAATATGTTGCAATAGTATTGGTGGCTCTCCAACTGAGTGAGCAAAACCTTGCAAAGCAAGCAAGAAGAAAAGAAATCATGGAAGGGCTTGGGAATTTAAGTGCTCAGATAAACAAGGTCTTGGAGATAGGAGACTCCATAAGAAACTTGGCAAATGGTTCTATGAAAGATGATACAAATCTTCTGCTAATAGGAAGAGGCTATCAATATCCAACATGCCTGGAGGGCGCACTGAAAATCAAGGAAATCACTTACATCCATTCCGAAGGGCTTGCTGCAGGAGAACTGAAGCATGGTCCTATCGCTCTTGTCGATGAAAACTTCAAAATCATCTTCATTATAACAAAGGATCTATTATACGATAAGGCAAGAAATGCAATGGAGCAGATATCTGCAAGAGGAGGGAGACCTATCATTATATGTACTGAAGATATCTCTAAGGATTATGAAGGCCATGATGTCTTCATTATTCCAAAGACAGTAGACTGTCTCCAAGGCATCCTGAGCATAATTCCCTTGCAGTTGCTGTCTTATTATCTTGCTGTCATAAGAGGGTACAACCCCGACTTCCCAAGGAACCTTGCAAAATCAGTGACTGTTGAGTAAAGTTTCTAAGTGTAATCTTCTCCCCACTTAAGAGAGGTTTTAATAGCCGCAAGATACTTCATCGGAAGAATAAAATTCAATTGTACAGAATATGTGAAATATTATCTTTCCAAACACTGGAAAAAAGGCTTACTTAATAACTCAGAAGCAGTAGATCTTTTGCAAGGTGAAAATGTCAAAGACCTTTCAAGAACGTCAAGAAGATCGGTATCGTCAAAGAACTTCTCAAGATACTTCCTAACGCCTAACCCGGGCTTATAATCAGATTTTTGGTATCCAAGCTCAATCAAGTCCTCCAAGGAAGTTCTAACAATTTCAAGAATTTTGTTGAGTGTGGAACCGCTTGTGCCCCCCTTAAACATAGGCCCTGGATGCCTAAACTCAGCAATCACACACCCCGCAGACCACACGTCAATCTTAAAGTCATATTCCTTGTAGTCCAAAAGATTCTCCGGTGCCCGATAGAATCTGGAGCATATGTACGTTATGTTCCGTTCTCCTCTCACAATCACCTTTGCACTTCCAAGATCACAGATCTTGACCAATCCATTGGGCCCTATGAGTATATTAGATGGCTTTATGTCTCTATGACATATGCCCTTCTCGTGTAGGTACCTCAGTCCTTCCAGAATCTGCTTATATATTGATCTGATTGTTCTTACCTCCACGCTTCTATTTGATTTTATGTACTCTTCCAGATTTATCCCAGCAAAGTCTGTAATGATGTTGAGATACATTCCGGAAGGCGTTTTGTCTGTATGGAAATATGATATAAGCTTTACAATGTTTGGATGGTCTATCTCCATTAGAATCCCAAGCTCCCTGTTGTGATATCTCCTATCCTGATAGACTCTTTTCAGTGCAAAGAAGTTACACCGGTCGTCCATTATTTTGACAACGACGCCAAAGGATCCTTTTCCAATCATCTCAACATACTTGTATTGGACCTCTTTCATCTCCCCACATTTTGATCTGGCCAAAGCCCGGTGCATTTTTATCCATTCCCTCTCAATTAGCTTTATGGATTCTACAAGCTTCTTCTGGGATAAGGTTACCATTTGGGGAAGCCCGAAATCTATTCTTGAATAGAAGACCAGTGGACTCTGCCATAGCCCTCCTCTTGATTTTTGATCCCAATGAATCTAAAACAACATACACGATTTTTACTTGGAACAGAAAAACAAACCTAAATGGACACGGCTGCATTACTCTTCCTAGCAGGCATTGCATCGGCCTTTCCTTCATCCTTGGATCCAAATACACCTTCCTCCATTAAGATGACGTACAGTGGAGTAATAGATGCCGGAACTACTGGCACAAGGCTGAACATATATGGATTTCTTGATGGGGAGATTAGGCACCAAGGCCTATTTACAAACGCATCCGGGTTAGCAAATGCAGAGAATGATGAAGAGATTAGGAACTCAATTAAGGAGTTATTTACACATGCAAAACCTTTCTACAGTAACATCAAAAAGATACCCATTGGGTTCTATGGAACAGCAGGGTTCAGGACACTGGATAAGCCCCGTTCGGACCATATTCTAGAAATTATCAAAAACGAACTGAAAGACTATAATCTCAAAGAAGCCGAGGTGATTAGTGGCTCTGACGAGGGAAAGCTTGCTCTTATGGCGTTGGTTCTTTCTAATAAAGGGGCCGATAGCGGGCACAAGAGCATGGGGATCATCGACATGGGAGGAGGAAGCACACAAATATCTTTTCTAGAAAAAAATGGAAAAATAGTTTCAGAGTCTATAGACCTCGGGATCACCGCTCTTGGCTTGTCAGAGCCAGAGGAATGCAAGGCCAGGGAAAATAATGAGCAAGAGCTGTGTGCCAGGGGCATAATGTCGAAGCTTGTAAATATGGCCGCAATGCCTTCACTGAACAATATTGATGAGCTATATTTACTTTCGTATTTCCATGACGAGTTCGGAAAAGTCATTAGAAATGAAAAGACAACCATAAGGGAGATCAAAGACAAGTTCTACGGGAAATGTAGCTTGCTTGAATCCAACGAGTGCAGAAGGCTGTTCTATTTGATTTCTTTTATAAGGAATCTTGGGATAGATGACTCAAAACCTATCCGTCAGATAGATACAAACAATGGAATCAATGTCTCTTGGGCATCTGGTAAAGGATATGAGCTTAACAAAAAATATAACTAGAAAGTGCAGAAACAGAATAAAACTATTATCACAGATATTAAAAGCTTTTAGTTAGCAGGGGACAATAAACTAAAGAGAGAGAGGCTACCAAAGCAAAAACCACATTGAAGAATAAACGTGATGATATCAAACATAAATCCATCTCTGTGGTTTTCAAAGCTGTGGTTTCTTAGCATTGATGTTCTGATAAGAAACTGGGAGATAGAGGTGATGGCCATCATGCAGAGAAACATCCATATACCTTTTGTCAACAGCCCTACAAACATAAGATATGGATAGTGTACGACAGAAAGTGCAACCACATACACATATGAAATGTAAGATGTATCGGTCCCTTTCCCAAGAGTTCCCCTGTAGATGTATCCTGCTCCAAAAAAGAACATGATCATCGCACAGAAGGCTCCAAAGGACAACCCTAGGGTAGAGCTTATCCCGCCCATATCCTCAGCCCACGAAACTATACATAAAAACCCAAAGATTTGAATTGTCAAAAGCCCTGCATATGTAAGAACAGGAACTATTGACTCTCTTACATTCTCCATGTCAATATGATATAGCTTAAATGCCCTAGCATAGTCTCTGAGAAGATTTCCTAATGAAGTTCCATCTCTTATATCAAAAACTTTCCTACTTGAGTGGCCTTGACTTGTACGGACTACCATTGGGGATGTTTGGCATTTTTGTTTATAAGGATACATGAAACAGCAGGGTGAATCAGATCAGTCAAGACCTCTCAATGCCTATCTTTCTTAACTCTTCTTAGTATCGACCATCTCCTACTTCTCTCTAACTCCGTTAGAATGTCCTCATCATAAAGTCCTTCGAGGCTCTCCATTGTCAAAGGCCCAAACTCCCTTATCCTCCTTATGACACACTGCTTGTCTGGAGTTGTTGCCTCCCTTTTCTTTACAACCGTCCTGAACAACCGGGGAAGATCTTTCTCTCCTATTATGTCATCGATGCTAAGCATCAAAGGGCCAGCATTAAAGTAAATATCTCTGGTAGGTCATATCAAAGATTACGGAAAATCAAACATTTATTATTATGGGTCATACAGGAAATCAAGAAGCTCATTAATGGTGATTTCTCCGTTTCTATCAAATGGACAGCTCCGGAAAAGCTCCGACATCTCCTCTTCATTTAATTTGTCTCCCATCGTCATATACTTTCCGAGATTTTTTCTCGATATGTGCATTCCATGAATAAACATCTGAACCATCCTTCTCATTTCTTCCTTAGGGATAGGAGGTGGAATGGTAGATGCAAGCTGACTAAACTCCTCAAATGTTCTGGGAACCGCCATATCTCTCTCCCGAGGTGTAAATCCACATAGCCTCAACAGGTCCTTTGTTGTTTCTTTTGTAAGCTTCCCGGTATCGAAAGCATCCCATTGCTCTTTCATAGTTCCCATTTTCAAGGGCTTAAGGTCTTGCAAAAATACTATTTCTTTTGTATCTCGTGAGATAGCCTGTCTAAAAGAAGTATTATCCAACTATTGAACTCATCATCAACCTTTTCCCCAAAATACTCCCTACAGTCTCGATGGAGTTTGCTGACCTTGTCGTACAATGAGCAGATGTCCTCATACTTTTCTTGGATCCTCTCAATCCTTTCCTGTATTTTAGGAAAGGGAGACCCACTTGCACTGATATAGTTCTTCTTGAGCTCTTCAATCTCAATGCACAGTGCTTCAAAGTTTATTCCACTGGCATCATACACCACACTTAGATCTTCAAGCAATAACTTACAATCAATCTTTTTTTTTAGGAGTCCTAGCAAACTATTTCCATTATTCTTTACCTCCAATATCTTTGGGATGGACTCCATCGTGAACCCTTCTGCACTCCCCAAAAAACTCCCCTTATTCAGATAATTCCCTGCTACCAAAGTAATCCCCAAGAACCTTCTCAATTCCTTGCTCTCTAGAAGCATCGTATAATATCTCTCTAGAATCCCAAGGTTCTTACAGACATTCTGATTCCTAAACGATATCATAAAGTAGAGATAATAGAGGCATCTTTTCATCACTTCGGCCTCTTCAATACTCTCCTTGAAAAACTCTTCTGCTCTTCCAAATACATGGTCTGTACCTTGTAGTTGCTCAATCTCTTCATCCGTTGGAAAGTAGAAAAGAAGCTGTTTAACAAGGTTTTCGTTAAGGTCTTCCTGCATGTTCAATATTGCCGACTTCAGCTCGCAATTACTTTCCTTCACTCTTCCTAATGCAATGTTGATCGCATAGTTCTTCTTTTCGGAAAAAACACTAGGCCTTCTCTTCTCTATACCCGTGCTCAACGCCTTTGGCTTTTCTCCTTTCATCTCAAATCCATCAAACTCCTCAGCTTTAAAAGCACTCTCCATCTCCTCTATTCTTATCCTATTCCACACACTGTTGCCCTTTCCCATCTTCGTCCATTTCACCTGAATATATCTCTTCGATGGTGCTGTACTCTTTGCAACTTTCTTGATTATCTTCTTTGGCCCTTTGACTTTATTCACTTCGGCCTTTTTAACCACATCCTTCTTCTTTGCAGCCTCTACTACCACCTCCCCAGTAACTTCACTCCCCTCTTCCGAGATCTTCATCTTTTCTACATTCTCTCTTAGATCTCCAAACACCTTACTGTCTCCAAATGCAAATGCCTCGAAAATACAGCATGCAACGTCAAGAACCCCCTCCATCTCAGCCAGTCTCACCACCTCATCAATTCTTCCTCTCTTCCAATCCCGCCGGATGTCAGGTTTGATCTCTTTCAGTATACTGTTGAAAACATCCTTATTGATAACCCTCTCCTCCAACGAGGAAAAATCAGACACAAACAAGATGTACTTAACATGCACAGCCTTTGGAGATCTAATAAGTGGCACCAAAAAGTTCAACTCTTCCTCGATCCTTGAAATCCTCTTGATATATTCAATGATCTTCGACAGATAACTGTTGCAGACACATTTGTTGAAATCCATGCTGAAGAACAATTCCTCTGCTTTGTTCTCATTCACCAAAAACTCAAGTATCTTGAAGAAGGATCTTGTTTCATGTACTTTTCCACCAAGAAATCCATCGAGCAGAAGCCTTAGAAATGGCGGGAAATGATTTCCGTACTTCGACAGAACAATGTATAAAGTGTCACAGATTACATCTCCAAACTCCTCGTCCATCCTTCTCATACACCTTACAAGTACATCGTGCCCTCCTTCTCCACTGAAAATCTCATATAAGACTCGAGGCCCTGTCTCGAGAGAAACTGACAAGCTTAAGAGGTTAAGCACGCTGTTTCTATCTTTCAGCTTTATCACATACTCTTTGATCTTCTTCTTCCTTTCTTCTAGAGTCTGCATTGATGTGATGGTCCTGATCTTCTTCGATAGATTCAGCTTTGCCGCCAGCTTATGCTGCTTCTCCTCATCTATCCCCATTCCTTCCATTATGCTTCGGAATTGTATATTGATGTGTTCTAATGACTTCGACTTCCAGGATTCCATGGGTCCCCGTTTTCCCAAGGACTTATCGCAGCCCCTGTTCAAGTTTTAATTCGGCTATGGGCCTTCCCCCTGGGCTGCAGTTTTCTACCAAATGTTTTGTGGTAATCACATTTCAGACCCATGCCTTTGTCAGTAAACATGAGAAACCAGGAGGAAGAAAAGATAGAGGAAAAAAAGGAAGCAGATGTGGGCCCTGCAAAAAGTGGCGTGATAGATGGACAAAAGACATCTTCTGCCCGGGATCCCGAACCCAAGCAAAGCGTATCCTCACAGGAACGTGAAGAAAATCCTAAAAGCTATTGCATAAATGAATTCAAAGAATATATCACTGAGATACCTTTTCCTATAAAGGAAAAAACGGGGATCATGAAGCAGTTTCTGTCTGGAGTTGAGAAACTGTTTGCCATTGTCAAGTCGTCAATCAGAAAGGCAATACTGTGGATATCCAGAAAAAATCTTAGAGATGAAGAAAAAGTGTGAAAATAAATCTTTGCAGGGTTTCTATTGGGTCTCCATCAACTTTATTTTATATATAAAAATACTAAAGACAGTGTTTGGCAGAGACATATGCTATTCCAATCAGCCCTATTCCTACAGATACTGCCAAGATTATCCATCCTTTCCTTACCTCTCTTGGCTCCTCTATATTTCTTTTTATACTATCAAGGATCGACATACATTCTATGACTTCTTTCCTTGAAATGCAACCTTTCCTTCTCCTGGCCATCTCTGTCATCTCCTTACAATATTTTAGTGACTTTATGATTCTTCCAGTCAGCTCTTCCTCCCAAGATGTAAAGGATATGTCTGATGGCGCATCGATGTCCGATAGGAAGCTTCCCTCGGAGAATGTACCTCCTCTCGAAGAGTATCTTTGAAGCATTTCTTTAACTTTCTCCACAGTCCTTTCCTCTTCCATTTCAGGGGATCAACCTTAATGACAAAAGTGACACTACCTTCAGGCTTCTATAAAGGTTAGGAAAAACAATATTCTCTGGATCAAATAAATTTAATACTCATCAATAGGCTCAGCATTCGAGGAAATTCTTTCGTAATCATCCTCAAGCATGGCAAGATCCTCCCTAGCCTCGCTGAACTCTCCCTCTTCCATACCCTCACCAACATACCAATGCACAAATGCCCGCTTGGAAAACATAAGGTCGAACTTGTTATTGAGCCTCTTCCATGCCTCCGAAATCGCTGTTGTGTTCGAAAGTGCACACACTGCCCTGGACACTTCTGCCATCGCCTCTCCATCAAGGACAGTGGGCTTTCTACTGTTGATTCCAACCTTGAACCCCGTAGGACACCATTCAACAAACTGGTTGGTTCTCTTTGCCTTGACATTAGCTGTAGCATTGTTGGCCTCCTTTGGGTTCACGTCTCCCCTGAACAGAAGGCAGCATGCCATATACTTTCCCTTACGAGTGTCACATCGCACCATTTGGCTTTGTGGCTCAAAGCAGGCATTTGTGATCTCTTGCACACTCAGTTTCTCATGTGCTGCCTTTTCCTTAGATAGCATCGGAGAATACGCAACAAGAGGAAAGTGGATCCGAGGATAGGGAACAAGGTTTGTTTGGAACTCAGTCAAGTCCACATTCAAGGACCCAGGAAATCTAAGAGATGCTGTTATGGACGAAACAACCTGTGCTATTATCCTATTGATATCCGTATAATAGGGCCTTTGAATCCCTAGATTCCTACACATATCATAAATCGCCTCGTTATCAACAAGAAACGAACAGTCAGAGTAATCCAATGTCGTGTGAGTCGTCAGAATACTGTTGTAAGGCTCAACAACTGCAGTTGCTATCTTTGGTGCCGGATAAACACTAAACTCAAGCTTACTCTTCTTTCCAAATTCTGCTGCAAGCCTATCCATCATCAATGATGCAAATCCAGAACCCGTCCCTCCTCCAAAACTGTGGTATATCAGAAACCCTTGTAGCCCATCACAGTTATCTGCCATTCTTCTTATCTGCTCCATTACAGGTTCAATTATCTCCTTCCCAACAGTGTAATGCCCTCGGGCATAGTTATTTGCTGCATCCTCCTTTCCAGAAATAAGCTGTCCAGGGTGGTATAGCTCTCGGTACTTCCCAGTCTTGATGCTCTCAAGCACTCCAGGTTCCAAGTCAACCATCAGAGTGCGTGGAACATACGTCCCAACACTTGTTTGAGAGAAAAACGATTCTGCACTTTCATCGTCCATCCTGTTCTGATCAAGCCGTCCATCAGGTAGAATTCCATGTTCTTTACAGTACAACTCCCAGCATGCATTTCCTATCTGTACTCCTGCCTGTCCTATGTGCAATGAAATTATTTCTCTCATCTTGCCGGGGTCAGCCAGAACAAAATTTTATACCTACCCTCTTTCCAGGTAAATAAACCTTAGAGTTTGGAGAAAAATCCTCCGTGTAATTACGACCTCTCGCTAAAGTCCACAGAAACTCTACAAGAGGCTTAAGATAGGATGTTAGATAAGTTTATTCAATAGCAGATCATACCCTCCTACATTCTTTTTTCTTTCGTAAGGCTTTCAAGCTTGTTCCTGAGCATTGCATATGTCATCGTAATCTCGTCAAGAAACTCCCTATTTTCCTCATTCTTTTTGTATAGCATTACCTCCTCTTTGAGCTCCTCTAATGCTTTCTTCAGGTTTTCATGTAAGTACCGAAAGTCGGCTTCATCCTTGTTGAGATTCCACATTCTCTTTAGCTTCTCCGCACTTTCCACAAGAAGCTTAAAATTTTTCTGTAGGTTCCTTGTCTGCAAGTCTTGTGTCTGTGAATACAAAAGATTAAACTTAGTCGGTTTTAGCATTTCCATGGACAAGTATTGTTGATGAGAACTCCTGTATATGTTGATAAGCTTCTGCTTTATCTGCTGTGGAAGCTCGTTGAATCTTGTCTCCTTAGTGATCGACTCCATTACCAATGGGCCATTTTTCTTCTACTTATATCATCCAAAATGTTCCATTATCAGTGGATATACTTCGGAGGGCCTTATCTGGTGAATGAGTGCAGAATTGAGTTTCCTTCTGTATGCTTTGCAGCCTTTCTTCCCTCTCACGAGATTCATTACTGGCAAAATATGAGCAGGCTTCAGTTGAATAGAAGGAGAGAACCCTTCAAAGTATTGCTTGACAACAGAGTGGATCTTTTGGACCCTTTTGCTCTTATGATCTTCATTACATTCAATTCTTCTCATGCTGCTATCCAGGGGGCATGTCTCTTTACTACCATTCCACATTTCTACTCCCTGTCCCCCATGTAACTGCTGGTCAATATCCCAGAAGACGAAGGCATTTCGGATTGCTTCTCTCCCTATCATCGCCCCATCCAGACCACTTACCCTATCTAAGTTATTTTCACTAATGGATCCATTAAGAATAATCTTAAGCTCAGGATAGAGCTTCTTAATCTCATACACACTATCATAATCCAGAGGCGGCAGTTTTCTGTTCTGCCCAGGAGAGAGCCCTTCCAGCCAGCATTTGCGTGCATGGATATAAAATGTCCTGTTCGGTGTATTCTTCCTGATGTAACCTACAAATCCACTCAGAAAGCCTATCCCGTCTTCATCGTCAACACCTGTTCTAATCTTAAGGCTTAGAACCTCTCCAGTCTCTTTGTACACCCGGTTGATTATCTCTGCAACAAGCTCCTTGTTAAGCATGAGAACTGCCCCAAAACTTCCCTTTTTCACTCTAGAGCTAGGGCACCCGCAGTTAAGGTTGAACATCTTATACCCAAGGCTTTGAATAATCCGAACCGCCTCTATTATCTGCACTGGATCACTTCCCCCTATCTGTACAACCGTCTTGTCGTCATATTCCCCAAGTTTTTCCTTTAGCTTGTCTCTTGGAATATGAATCACCGTATTGGATACAATCATCTCTGTAAATAGAACAGTTGTCTCTGACGTCAGTCTAATGAATCTTCGGTAATGAGGTGTTGTGACACCCATCATCGGTGCCAGGCTTATTTCAATCCTCTGTTCCATGGGTGAAGTATCCAGGCCAATCATATTCTCCGGCCATATCTCCCGGGTATCTGTATTGTACGGAGAACAGTACCCATAAAGATATTCCCTCCAAAAAACAAATAAATAGTAACTAGGGTCCTGTTCTATGGAGAAGCCCAGGATATGGAGTGCAAAAAAAGGCCTTAAAAAGGTGAATTCAGTGGACATACTGGTCAGAAAGGAAGTAGATAAGCCATTGAAGAGGAGCAGATCCCTCAGAATCAAGAGAATCACAACAACTCCAAAGAAGGTGGAAACACCTAAGAAGAAGGTCATGATCTTGTCTCCCAACAGCCGTATAGGAATTATGGGAAGCCCAGAGTCAAAGAGATACAACTCTGTCAGAAGAATAGACTTCAACAGCTAAGCCACATTATTCTTAGGGTTGCATGACCTCGTCCATATACCAGACAGGATCATCTTGAAGAATAAACAAAAATAATGATATCCCTACAGCATTCAATAATCTGAACATCTTGTATATTTCTCTATTCACTATAAGTGTAGAGGGACTTAATATTGCTATGTCCTTCCCTTTCAGAGCCAGGCTTTTTAATATCTCCAATAAATCTCCCTCGCTTGTGCATGTAATACTTCCCTCAATCTTCATCCCATACGTTTGTATTAAAATCACTCCGCAGAGTCTCTTTAATAACATTCTGTCTTTATATCTTATCTGATAAATCTTCCCAAAGGTAGCCCGCTCTCCAAGTCTTATCATCAAGGGCTTGCCTTAAAGCTGAATCCTAGATAAGATTATTCCTTTTAAGGTCTTCATATGTTCTTCTATCAAACACATTTCCATCTCCATCCTCAAATTCTTCTGTATAGCTCTCAGACTCCTCCACTCTATCCTTCATCTTCATAAGAATCCCAACTCTTGTGATTCCCTTGAGTGCTGGAGAATACTTGATTCCATATCTGGCTACACTTTTTCTGTGAGAATCTTCCCCAAAATGCCGATCAAACCCATCTCTTCCATATCCAGAGTATCCGCAGATGTCACACTCAAATGATATGTCCAGCTCCTCTCGTTTGTATAGCCACTTCGGAACATCGCTCCTTAAACGCTTCTTCTTTCTGGAGAGCCTGGAAATACTATATCTTCTTTCTCTGTCCAGAATCTCAAGGGCTTTCTTAATTAATCCTTCGGCTTTCAAAACAGGCATGCCACAGAACAGAACCTCTTCCCTTTCTTTCTTACAATGCCTCTTTCCCTTCAAGTGGTATCCAAATACGCTTCTGGAAATCTCTCTTGAACACTTAACACAATACACCTTTGGAAATACCCCTTCTACACCGTTTACCTCACTAAAACTACATGCTTCTGCCCGCTCAATAATCCTTGGTGTAGAGGCCATAAACTTCCTGAACATTCCAAAATACTTGATCTTGATCACTCCGCTCAAGTATTCCTTCAACTCATTTAGATACTCTAGATATCTGAATCTAGACTTGTCCACATTAAGTTTACAGATGCTCTTCAAGAATTTCTTATAATCATCACATAGATGAACATCGGTGTACTTCTTAAAGATCTTATCTAACTCCAGCCCTGCCCCATACAGCCTTGAATCCTTAAACACAATCTCTACCTCTTTGAGTGCCCTTGATTCATAGTGGCCGAAGTCTTTGAGTCTTTTTATCTTTCCTTCAAGCTTTTCTTCAATATTCAAGACACCGAGCCTCCTATACCTTTTATACTTCCTCTTTAAAATACTTCTAGTGTATCTTTTAACCATCTTGTCCTTCTTGCTTGTAGGTTTACCAATCTCAACCATCCAGTTGCTTATTCTCTCCATGTTCTCCAGTATTCCAATCTGTCTCTTCACAATCCGTTCATCCATGTCCTTGATCACATCAAAATTTGTCATCCTTTTCTACTTAATTACATCATCACTATATAGTTCATAACATTAGAAGTAAGAAACATCATCTTTTAATCTTTTTCATGGTCCTTCTATTCCCTCCTCCTCTCGCCATATCCTTTCTTTTCCCATCTAGAGACGCTTTGCTAGTTTCTTCTTTCTCCTCGTCTAGCTCAAGTTTTTCAACTCGCGTCTTCTTGGCCACAAGATAAGACCATGAAAACCTTCTTTCCATAAATTCTATTCTTTCCTGGATGCATCCCTGGCTTATGAGGCTTCGAAGAATCCTTTCTATGGTCGTCTTCTTCAAGCTTTTCCCTTTTCCGTAATATTCGCTTTCAGAGTACTCTCTACTCTTCTTGTTCGACAACCCTTTGTACACATCTACAGCTTGGCATAATGTAATTCGATTGCTTGTGTAAACTAGAAGAATCAAGTCCCGGGCCTCCTTGGTATAATCCTTCTTAACCATCGCCTCTCTTCTACAGTTGTCACATGTTTTCCTACACATTTGAGGATCGAACTTCTCTCCAAAATGCCCCAGTACTTGCATCCTTCTGCAATCAGTCTTATTCTCACAGAATTGAATGACCGCCTCCAGATCCTCCCTTTGCCTTTGTTTCTGCTCATACCCTCCATCTCCCTTTTCAATCATAAAGCTGATCTTCTTCTTGTCTCCATACGTGTAAAACAGCACACACACACTCTCCAAACCATCTCTTCCAGCCCTTCCAGTCTCCTGATAATACCCTTCCAACGACTTTGGTATACAGTAATGAATAACAAACCTCACATCCTTCTTGTCAATCCCCATCCCAAATGCTATTGTAGCAACAATCACTTTGAACTCCCCTTTGTTCCATTTCTCTTGAACACTATTTCTTTCGTTCTTACTAAGGCCTGCATGGTAAAACGCTGTTTTCATGTACTTCTTCAACTTGTCACTGATCATTTCACATTCTTTCTTTGACGTGCAATAGATTATTCCGCAGCAGTCAGGAAAATGTGTTTGAACAAAACTCACAATATCTAGCTCAACAGTGCTTGTCTTGGCCCTCACCTCATATCTCAGGTTACTTCTGTTGAAACTCATCTTAAAGGTTTCACATCCCCGGATTCCAAGATTCTCCAGAATGTCCAGCTCCACCTTCTTTGTCGCAGTAGCAGTCAATGCTATGATCGGAACAGAAGGGTATCTTATTCTTATACTTCCAAGCTCTTTATAGTCTGGTCTGAAGTCGTGCCCCCATTGGCTAACACAATGCGCTTCATCTATTACAAATCTTTTCAACCTTCCCCTTCTCACCAATTCAGACACTACATCATGGAAGTGCCCACTCTTTGCAATAAGTTCAGGCGTCACATAGAATATCTTGCATATAAGCTCATCACTCCTCAGGGCCTCAAACACAAGGCTTCTTTCATTCCTGCTAAGATTCGAGTTGATGGGAAGTGCAAGAATATCTTTCTGCAAGAGATTCCGGATCTGGTCTTGCACAAGAGAAAGAAGAGGGCTTACAACAATAGTGATTCCCTCATACACAAGAGCAGGTAGCTGGTAGCAGATACTCTTCCCTCCTCCAGTGGGCATCAACACAAAAACATCCTTTCCAGACAGACATGCTTGTATCACTTCCCTCTGGTTCATCCTAAACTCCTTCATCTTGAAAACCTCCCGAAGATAAAACTCTTCAATCGATCTTGGCTCAGCATCTTCATGGGACGACAAGGAAGACTCTTCCAAGACATGCACCGGAAACGAATTATCCACATCCTCTTTATCTTCCATAGATGATCTAAGGAATGTTGTTCTGATACAATCGTTGTTAAGGCTGCATGAATCAGAAAACTTCTCCACTACTTCCTCCTTCTTCTCTGCTAACGATAGTATTTCAATGTCAGTAGAATCTTCTATCTCTCCATCAGAAACAACACTGATGTCAGAAACACCTTCTCCAAGAGATGAATAATACTCATAATCGCCAACACCTTCCTCAGCTTTTGCCCTCTCGCTTAGGTTTTTGCTTCCAAGCCCACTTCTTAAGCAAGCATCTGCTTTTCTTAAAACAGACTCTTCGCTCATTCCATTCAGCTCTAATCTTCCCAGGTTCTTCTTCAACCCACTCCCAGAAGATGTATCATCCTCCGCATTCCTCTCACACAAAGGTGATTCCACTTCCACTCTGTCTATAAACTCCACATCACTATCAGAATCCTCTCTTTCAATCCTTGTGCTTCCTCTTATATCAGAATTGCTTGTTATTTCACTAAACTCCCAGGAAAAGTCGTTGATCTCCCGTTCCTCCAGGACAGCATTAATAAAAAACTCATCCGACTCCATTTCATACTTCCCATTGTTCATCTAATAAATCCCTCTCTAGTCAGTCTCAGGGCAAACTTTTCTTCAAATCAAATTCTCTTCCATCTTTTGAACCTTCCATTTATTCTTCTGGCTTTCCATGTTGTACTTCTCAACCAAAGCAACATCTCCAAACTTTCCGACATACTCAGGCATGCATAAGCTAAAAAGATAGAGGCAATTGTTCCTCAGTAATATCTGGCATATTCTCTCAATCATCTCACTTCCTCGATAGTGCTCAATAATCTCCTCTATCTCATATTCTCTCTTTTCCTCTATACACATCCTGATATACCTTTCCATCTCCTCAGGAAAGTATATTATCACAAGCTTCAAAGCATCTAGGCTTATTATTCTCTCCATCCATGGATTTAGCTTTCTTTTTCCCTTGTCATCCACCTTTCTGTACAGCCTACAAAGAATCATCTCTTTCTCTTTATCCATTCCAGATTTAAGTAGCCATTTGACCATCCATTCTCCTTTGGAGGTAAACACAAACAATTTGAAGAGATACTCCTCGATTCTCTCCAATGCTCTTAGATCCACCTGGATGTCTGTAAATAGCCGAAGTGTCAGGTATAGATCAGATATATCTGTCCAAGAAGACAGCCCAAGTAGTCTACACCCATCCATTCCATAGATGCCTTTACAGCAAGGTTTTGAACTGACATATCCTCCATATTCCATGTACACAATCCCAGAAGTCACAACTATCACAACCATTCCATCCCCCATTGCCTTACTCCACACCCTCATTGGATTAGAGATCTCCACACACTTCCTTACAAAGATGTCTTGGATTTGCAGAATCACCTCTCCATTCCTTTTATATAATTTCTTCTCGGGCCCAACTAACTCTTCCTTCCTTAATAAATAGACTTTCCTACTTAAGTACTCCCTCCCTTCCTCCTCCGCCAAACTCCATATCCATACCCTGTCCTTTGAAAAATCCCCATCCAGAAACCCGTCCTCCGCTCCATCAGGAAGGAAGCACTTTCTTCCATCCCTTTCAATGCAGACAGTTTTTTCTTTCTTCGCCACAGATGCATTACGGAAACGTGAAGCCACACTGGGGAGCTCATAAACTCTGAGTCTGTCTTCTACCATGAATAGCCTATTTCCATGTATATGCCCCGGAACCTCTCCAACCTCAATAACCTTACATCCTTCGTACCACAGAAACTTTTTTCTTAGTGTGAAAAGCGACTTCTGTTCTCCTTCAAAGTCAAAAGAGTAGTCCTCCCTCAATATATCTTCCAACATTTTCCCCGGGCACTTATCTCTATCGAATGTATATTCCTCTATGCATTTCATCCCCAACCCCTCTATCTGTTAACCTAAATCCGTCTTCATCCCTTGAGATGGCTAGGAAGCAACCAAGAAGAAAACTATCCGAGATAACAAACACACAGCAATCAAGGGCACTTAAAAATCAAGACGAACCCGAGTTGTGTATCGTCTATCCAGAAGAATCCATGGTGGATCTGGATGTTGTTGACATACCATCAGAAGATGGAGTATTTGGAGATTATCAGATAGAATATCCAAAGGAGTTTAATCTATACAGCTCTCGTTTCTAGGCTCATCCCAGTTGTCAAGAGTCTTCGATATAACCTCCAACTCTTTTTCAATAACCATTAAACTCTGTTCATCATCTGGAAACGGCATCATGCATATTCGAATGGCTTTCTTTCTTTTCAGACATCCCCATGCACGTACTCCTTCCCAAATAATGTCGGTGTTTTCTTTCTTCCCTAAGCTATAAACATATTGATTGATACACTCCACATCCTCCAGACTCATCTCCACATCAATGTATCCCCGTTGACTTTTAAACATCTCGTAAAGAATACATATGCTGACCATTGCCTCAGAAATACATTTGGAAGAGAGGAACTTCAGAATCTCTCGTGTTATCTGCTTATATATGGTCCTCATAAACACTACCTGCTGCTCTGGATTCTTATATATCCCAAAGAGGCCTTCAAGGTTATATTCATCAAGCTTGGAGATATCCCCGGATTCTATAACTGCTGTCCTTATACTTTGAAGATCCTGCTTGATATCTTCCAAAAGGACTTCATCTTTCTCCTTCACTGGCATCCTGGGACAAAAATGGCCCACATAAAAGTTTTAGGCCGTCTGAAGATGTCACCGACCAGTCAAGCTTGGCAATGGTATCAGACAGCCTGTATTTCCAGGATATCCCTTACAGAGGCCCTCTCTCCAATTTGCTTGATGATAGGCAGTCTTGTGCCTGGAACAAGGTTTCTAGTCATCTGAGTGATACAGAATCGTCATCGTTTCAGAGATTTAATACAAAAGAAAAGGCAGTTACAAGGATATGGAACCGAGTTTGATCTTGATGTTCATGTCAACCTTTGTGAATGCGAGGGATAGAGAGCTGGAAGAGTTTATCGAAAGAGACATAAAGGTCTTTTTTTCATCTTATCCTGCACAAGTCCTTGGGATGGAGGAGAACAATGGAGTTCTGGTGTCCCATAGCAAGTACGTAAACCCAAGCAAATACAAGTTTATTACAAGGGCAAGGCTGGTGAGGTCTGGGGACAAATATGTTGTAATATTTGGAGAGAATAACATCTGTAAGGACGGGAATTCAGTGATAAAATGTAAGGAAGAAAGGCCCTGGGACATAGACAGGAAGGAGTTCGGCTACACGATTTCTACTGGAAACAAATGCATTACCAAAGGGCCTGATGAAACCATTGAGATGAAGACTTGTGTCAACACTGATGATCAAGTATTCAATTTTAAACTTGCAGATGTTGGTGGATGTGGGAGTATTGAGTCTCTGTTGGGGAATGGAAGTCCAAAGAATACGACTACCAATGTAAATATATTTCACCCTGAGTCTGAATATTTACCATCTGTCAAGATAAAAACAAGAGGAAATGTAAACAAAAATATCATTCTTCCCACCAGAAAATTTGAAAGTGAAGATGAGTGCTCTTCTCATGAAGAAGACATACACAGCCATGTAATTGAAGAAATGGATCGTCCGCTGTACGAGGAAGTAGTACCTAAAAGAAAGGTAGTTGTTAAGCGCCTACCGAAAAAAAACCGCTACCATAATCATAGGGTGAGGAGAACCCACCTTGAGCGTCGGCATAGCCCTCATCATTATGGAAATAGAGGCTTCTTTGGAGGAGAGCCTATTATTTTCTAATAAGGTTTTGAATTAAATATGTTTATCTTGATACTAGGCCTGTGTGATCTTGTAAAACATTTCCTCGATCATGTGTCATATCGCTCTTAAATAGTAGCAAGATACAACAAAATCCATGATTATGGCACTCTTGGCTGGAGTGGCGCTTTCATATCCCTTGTATCTTGACTCGTTTACCAACAAGCCCATCAGAATCGTGGCTATGGAAGACAAGAATCTTCTTGCTTCTGAGTTTGTAAAAGATTTTGGGACAAATCCGTTTAGGGTTATTGATATACTCAATCCAGCTAATGGATACAACACAAGATCACAAATAAATAGGAACGGGCCTGTCTTTAAGGTCAGAGTTGGAGGGTCCTGGCTGTGCAGGAACAGGAGAGATCTTTCAAAATGTGCAGACAACACAGATTTCTGGGAAATAACTAGGAGTGGAGATGGATTCACCATATCGCAAGAAGGATACTGTCTTAGCACTGAAGGAAAAGGCAGACTCATACTAGAAAGATGCAATGGGAGGAGTAGGAGCCATCTTTTTCTTTTTGAGGACATGGAAATCGAAGACTGCATGGACTCGGTTGACCTGGGTGGGCAACCCAGAACCGAGGCAGAGAAGGTCAAGCAGCTTAAGCTCAAGAAGAAGCTTGATGATTTGAAAAAGAAAGACAGGGCCAAGGCAGAGAAGATCAAGAAGAAACTGGAGGAGAAGAATGACTTTGAGAAGTATGCAAAGAAAAACCTCCCTGATCTTACGGGGAAAGATGATTCAAAGGAGGTTCTCAGTAAGCTATGGGACTTCGGGTGGAAAAGGCCCAAGTTTAGCTTTCCCTCCTTCCCTTGGTTTAAATTTCCGTTCTGTAAGAAGCTGTGGTAGATACCTAACTGTTAATTGTGACGGGAGATAATGATTTATAAACATTGGGAATTCCGGAAATAATAAATAAAGAGAGTATGAGGATTCTGTTTCTTATTTTATTGTCTGATGCATGTGGGCACATGAAGGATCCCATTGAGATCAGGCTGTCTCTCAAGCCAGACCTAAGGTTGAGTGTCAAAGATGTTCCCTTGGCCAACACAACAATTGAAGAGAGGGGGGGGAGATATGCAATAACAATAGGAAACTCATATCTATCAGGAAATGGTACTGTGAATATCGGCAAGGACGAATTCTACTGGGATATATGTGACAGGGATTTAGGGGCAGTCATATGCTTCGAAGGCCGATGTCTGACATATACGGAGAAGGGGTTGGAAATGCTTCCATGCATGGATCCATCAGATTTCAGGAGTGCATCACAGTTGTTTCAAATCGAAGCCGTGGCTAGAATGCCTAAGGGCTCGAATGCAATATATAGACGAATGGATCTAGTAGGAAAGGTCGACAGGCTTATAGAGCCTTTAAATAGTAGAATAGCAGATATGGTGGATAGGATGGATTCCTTCGATACATCCTCAGAAGAATGAAAGGAAATCTAGGACTTCTTGCTCATCTTCTTCTTGCTTTTTTCTATGATCCGGGTAATGTGCTTTGGTACCTCATGTCCATTCTCCTCTAGAAATTCTGCAACAATCGAAATCCTTCCAAAGTCTTCACTTGTATAGATCGTATAAACCTTCTGTCCTTGGCAGTTTCTATTGATTCTTCCAACTCTATGGACAAATTGCGTTTTTGTATCCGGAAGATCATAGTTTATAATGCTCCTGATGTTATAGAAATCAACGCCTCTACTCAGAGAATCTGTCCCAAACAAATACCAGATCTTCTTCAACCTAAAGGCGTCAAGCACCTCTCCACTTACTTCACCTCCTTCTTTATAAACACCACTTCGGTCCAATAGTCCCTTCAAAAACTCTCCTGTTTTCTCATCCTTGACAAATATCAAGGTAGGTGACTCAATCCCATCTGCAATGATCTGTAGCAACGACAAATGCTTGATCTTCTTGCTTGTTCCAAACACAAACTCATGATCTATGAGCCTTTTTGACATAACATATACCTTTGTAATGTCTTTCACTGTCTCTATAACTTCCCCCACATATTCATTCATAGTTGCACTAAAGCATCCGATATGTGCATTCTCCACCTCAATCTCACGAAGAATCGATCCAAAAACCTCGACAGTCCCCGGGTTTATTAGAAGATCGGCCTCGTCTATGACAAGATGTGTAATACTCCTTGTTCCAGACATCGGCATAAGCCCAAGAGCAGACAGAGGCGTTCCTATCAGAATCTTTGCATCACTTTGAAAGGCTCTTTCAATCTTCTCTTTTGATCTACAATCAACACCTCTTTCCGCTAGGCCTCCTTTTTCATCCTCCTCAATAAGGAAGTCCTCTTCCCCATCTCTGTAACCTGCCACAACCTCTAAGCCCTCATGTTTGATCTCATTCACAACCCTGTAGACTTGTCTTACAAGTGCCTTTCCAGGAACAAGTATCATTCCAAAAAGACTCTCCTTACGTGCCATTTCGACCAGCGGTAGGCAGTAAGATAGAGTTTTCCCACTCCCTGTGAAGGCTTGAACAACAACATTTGTCTTCTTAAGGAAATACGGTATAACGATCCTCTGCACCAAGAGTGGAGATTCAAACGGAACTTTTGTTTCCAGGCTCTCGAAGGTGCATAGAAGAGGATATCTTTCTCCAACCACATCATACCCCACCTCCTCCTTTGGCGTCTTCTTCCTCTTTTGCTTTATTCCTTTCAGAAGAACATCTTCCATCGGGGTTTCTCAATTCAACTTGTTTCGGAGATCCCAGAAATAATAGAATGGGAAGGTTTTTGATTGTCACCAAAAATGGCAATGACGCAGAACTTGTAGAAAAGATCAGACATTCCCTGGATTGCCACACCCTTGACCAAGGCATTGAGTATGATGGCATAATCGTCCTGGGAGGCGATGGGACTGTACTCAGGACCATTGCGTCCTATCGGAACCCGCCTGCTGTATATGCAGTAAACAGAGGAAGAGTAGGCTTTCTTTGCCCCATCCCTCACACCGCTATAGATGAGCTCATCGGCCGACTAAGAAATGGGAAGAGGATTGAGCTTGTTGAAGTAAAGAGACTTTGCCTGTCAAAGAAGCATTACTTTCTGAATGATGCCGTGATAAGGCCGTCCTCCATAGGACTTGGAACATTCAAGATATTCATAGATGATATCTCACTTGTATTGAGAGGAGATGCTGTTATTGTTGCAACAAAGACTGGGAGCAGTGCATATAATGCATCTTTGAATGGGCCTTTGCTTTTAAACGAAGGGATGGTTGTCAATGTAGTTGCACCGAACAACTGCAGGTTTAAACCGATTGTGTGTGGAATTGGGACTAGAGTCCGTGTGGAGGTTGACAGGGATGCCCAGATCATCCTTGATGGTGTTTTATGTGAGGAGGAGTCTTTTGATGTGTGCTATGATGGATCTTCTGTGAGGTTTGGACATCTGGGTCACTATGATCAATCAAAAAGAATAGAGGAGCTCTTTCTACTTTGATGGGTCTTAAACGCCACCTAGGACTTGAGGAGGAACTATGCAAAATAAAGCAATTGTAATAGCCCTTAATGGGATTTGAGGAGCAGCTGGCGGTATTTTCACCTGATGGAAGATTAATACAGGTTGAGTATGCGCAGCAGGCTAGTGAGCATGGGTCTCTTGTTGTGTTTGGAGTGGATTCCGAGAAAATATCTGTGAGCATCGAGAGGAAATCTGGAAACAAGCTATTTCTAGAAGAGGAGAAAGTGTTCCTTCTTAATGAGGCACAATGCATCTGGATGAGCTACTCGGGGTTCAAGCCGGATGCATACCTCGTGATGAATGTAGCAAGGATGATGTGTCTTTCATACAAGATTTCTACTGGAGAAGACATAGCCATTGACCAATTGGCAAGAAAGCTAAGCGAATATAAGCAGAGATACACTGTTGTTTATCATCAAAGGCCATTTGGGGTACGAACGGTATTGTTTGGGCTTGAGCCTAGACCTGTTGCGTATGTCATTGAACCTGATGGAAACTTTTCTGAGTTCTTTTGCGGAGCCATTGGACAGAAGAGCCAAAGGGTGTGTGAATATCTAGAAAAGAAAGAGAAAGAAGACTTAGTTAAGCTCACCATTCTTGGGCTTATGGAGGTTGTGCAGTCCGACCCCCAAAAGATATCATCTTTTGTGCTAAGCAAGAAAGGATGTGAGAGAGTGGAAGACCCTACGATCATGGGTGTGATCAACTCTGTAGTTCAATAAATGAGCATCTTGCCTTGTATCTTTGAGCTGGATCTAAAACAAGTTGCAATTTCCAACCTTCTTAGACCAATCATTTTCTGTGTGTGTGATGATCTGAAATTAAAGCACACTGCTTGTATTATAGAAAAGCGGCATGAACATCTATATTCTACTTCACCTGGGGTTAATGGCGTCCAGAATGGGGATTGCGATTAAGTCTGTGCTGAGTGGAAAGTATCTCAATCTAAGAAGCTTAAAGCTAGAGCCTGTTGACAAGAGAAGGAAGGAAGATTATATTTTCCGATATGATTGGGACAGAGATGTACCCTATGGATTCAGGCTTTATACTAGAGAAGGATATCTGACTGTTGACAAAAGATATAGAAAGATGGTATTTGATAAAGGTCATGGAAGAACAAGAAGAGGGTCTCCATCTAGATTTGAGTTCCATTTTGTAACACCAACAAAGTGTAAAAGCATTATAATAGGACATGACAGCGGGCTGTGCATGGTGGATGCAGGAGACGAGGTGAGGTTTACGGAATGTATGCCTCCTGGAAAAGAGCTTCCCGAATTCCGCTTTGAAATCAAGGTCTTTAAGGATCGGTGTGGATATCTTGAGAAGAGTAAGAAGGTTAGGGCTGAAGGTGAAGATAAAAGCAGCCACCCTGAGGATGATACTAAGGGAAAAGATGAAGGAGGAGGCCCAAAAATGAATCAAGATGAAGAGAAGATATCTTCGGAAACTACTGATTACTCCGAGCCTGGATGCCATCAAAATGTAGAGAAAGAAGATAAAAAGGAAGACGAGGAAAAAGAGGACAAGGAAAAAGAGGACAAGGAAAAAGAAGAAAAGAAAAAGAAGTCTCATGCAAAAGGTAATGACGATGAGTCTCTTGAAGACATCATAGAAAAGGTTAGATTCAAGAGGCCAAGAATCAAAAAGAAGATGAAGCGTCTTGGCTCTTCACTCAAGAGAAAGCTTGCAAAGGCGATTCTAAAGGTTGATAAGAAGCGAGACTCGGGGGATTCCGACACATAACACCATTAGTTACCATTTTATACTCTATAAATGTAATTTATTAGAAGAATACCTTTAAAATCATTCCCACACCTTTATGTTTCCGAGCACATCCCCTGACACAAGACTTGAGGAGCTTCCATCTATCCAATCGATTGTAGTTAGTGCTTCGCTCGTGGACCCAAGAGATGTTTCCTTTGTAGAACTTCGGGCAATGAAGTTGACAAGTCCATTTGTGTCTCCAAAGCATAGCATGGAGCCATCCGGGGATGCCTTTACTCTAGTGGAGCATCCCAGAGCCTTTATTCTTTCTCCCCCTTCCTCAAGAGTGGAGACATCAAGAAGTATAACTTCATCACTAGCCGTGATCATAAGAGTATTTTCTTCAGGATTAAGCCCAATGAAAGAACAGGAACCATTGTGGGTTTTGACAATCCGATCATTCCTTAGGTCAAGGTAATGTAGGGAGCCCTTTTTCCTTGTGAATACCAGGAAGTTGTCTTGTTCGACGAGGAGAATGTCACATATGGAGGAAGGCCCAAAAGTGGTCTGCCTTGATGGGTGAGATTCTTCTTTGGCACCATTCAAGGCTTTTCTGTTCCTCGTATCCACAGTTCTGATTCTCCCATCTAGTCCACCTATAAAAACAGCTTTGCCCAGCTCCTTGAACGATTGGCAGGTAAGTGGGCATTCTAGGTCTATCTTTGCATTGCATCTTCCTGTTTCTATGTCCCATACCTTCAAGAATCCATCGAACGATATTGTGCTGAATTTACTTTCACACTCAGACAATGTAGCTGAGGATACACCCTTGCTGTGCCCCATATATGTTGTCACAAGGTCACCAGCCCTTAGGTTGTACAAGTATGCCTTCCCATCAAGTCCAGAGGTCAGGAGGAGTTTGTGTCTTCTGAACAGACTAACAGAAGAAACCATGTCTTTATGATCGTGAAATAACATGATATTGCCTTTCGGGACAAGGAATCTTTTTGATGGTACTCTACTTAGGCTTGCGTCTTCCATAGATAGGAAATAGTTACTTCTGGACCTTTCCTTTCCTACTGTTAGACAGTGTTTGTTAACAATTCGCCTCAAAGATTGTTCTTCCTTAACATCTCTTGGTCCCTTCTTATCCTCACGGGCACCCACGAATCTGCTCCAAGGGCCTTTGAACCCTCCTATTTCTGACGGGTCTCCAAAGTCTTCCCTGAGGATCCTTTCTCTCTTTGGCTGTGACTTCCTCATCTTCTTGTAGTCTTTTTCAGACATTTCATACTCTTCATTCATGGAGGTCTTGAAACGGATGTTTTTATCCCTTGGATGGAGATTCTTACACTTAGCGACTGTTTCCTGAAATCAAAGACTGACAAAAAGGCAACTGTAAAGATATCAAGGGATGGGATAGCCATCAAGGCAGAAGGCGGAGAGGTTTACACCATGGAAAAGAACGAGGTAAAGGATGCAGAGCTGTTCCATGGATCAAGGAAGATGGCCATACGAATATTTGGGAATGCAGTTTATGAAATCAATAATGTAGACCAGAACTACATTGATGAGTTAAAAAGGATGTTTTCTGAGTACTTCAAGATCAGCCTATATGTGAAAGAGCTTGAAATAGCTGATGTACTTTGTGGAGAGCTTGGAATCAACGGGCAGAAAGCACTGGAGTTCCGAAGCACAAAGACCATATTCGAGGTTCCTGTTGAAGACATTGAAAGCGTTGTTGACATAAGGAATGAGCTCTCTATATCTCTGAAGGACGTGGAGATAAGGTTCGTCTCGAATAAGAAGGCTATAGAAGAAATCAAAGAGGGGTGCAGCTCTTCTGTTGATGATGAGATATTCAAGATGGAGGGTCTGTCGTTGGCCTATCCGAGAGGAAAGTTTAATCTTATTTTTTTCCGGGACTACTTAAGATTAGTTGGGAGCAGTTATGATCACAAGGTATATTACAAAAGTGTTAGACAGCTTTACATACTTGAGAAAGGATATATTCGAGATGAAGAGAGGTATGTTGTGGCCTGTGTCGACCCCCCTATCAGGCAGGGCCAGACAAGATATGATTACATTGTTGCATCATTTGATGATGCTGAGGGCGAGATGAATGCCAATGATGAGAGGCTCAAGAAAGAATACTCAGGATTGCACTCCGAGATCTTTACTGAGGTCATGGAGACCTTATGCGTGATTAAGGCTGTAAGAAGCATGTTTGAGTCTAGGGATGGAATGAGATGCTTGAGATGTGCGATAAAGGCATATGAGGGGCAGCTATATCCACTGGAGGACTGTGTTCTATTTCTTCCAAAGGCCATCAGGCTAGGATTGAATGAGATCTCGCTTGTAGAGTTTAGCAGAATTAACCTCAGCAGTATGCAGGCAAAGACATTTGATATGACCTTGTTCTGTGAAGGATCATACACCTTCAACGGGCTCTCGAAGGACGAGTTTGGGATGCTGGAACAATACTTCCATTCGAAAGGGGTAAAGGCAAGAAGTGAGATTATTGATGATGGAGCAAGCTCTGATTCTGAGGAAGATGACTATGAGTCTGAAAATGATAGCATGGTTGTGGATTCCGACAGTTATGATTCTTAGTAAATCTAAGTTGTTTTTCTTTGAACTTCATCAAGCTTTAAGGACAAATAACTTAAAACATGTGTTATTTAACACGATTTAAGTCTGTAAACAATGTGGACACTTCTGTCTCTTGCAGGACTGGCTATCTCCCACTTGAATCCTGATTATGGAAGGGGAATAGAAATAGAGCTTGGAGATAGACTTATAGACAGCATTAACAGGAATATTGAGAGATTTAAGAAGTTAACTGCAGACGGTTTTTTTGGAGAGAAAATAAACGATCACTGACAATAGCTAGTTTAGTTTTATTTGTCTACTTGCAAGGTATTATGGCTTGGGTTTAAGGAGAATTTTTTTTACCCATCGAAATGGTAAGTGACCTACGGCCATTGCAGCCTTGGAGCAGACTAACTTTATAGGGAAAAGGAACCAAGAAGGTAGGGATTGCAGGATCTTTTGGAGCAAGATATGGATCGACACTCCGTAAAAGAATGAAGGCAGTTCTTGAAACACAGAGAGCTAAGTACAGCTGCGAGGCATGTGGAAAGAAGAGGGTAAGGAGAGAAGCTGTTGGGATATGGAAGTGCAGATCATGCAGACGTATTTTTGCAGGTGGGTCTTATGTCACATCCACGCCTGCCGGAAAGATTTTCATTAACATGGTCAAGCAGCACAATGCGAAATAAACCTGCTTCTGAAGATATCTATTTTTTAGGTATTGCCTTGAGCTTCTGACACAAAATTTTAAACTGTTTTGCAATGAGTTTTATCACAGCTTAAATATTTTTTCAAATCGATGGAGCAATGCTGTTATTGTTTTTTATGTCTGTATATTCATTCCAGGGAAGGTATGGATCCTGTGCCAGGCCCAATAGGCGCCTCCTACATTCTGATTACGACGGGGTGATGGTCTTGAATGTATTGCATAGGAACCAACCTCTGACTGTGTTTGATAGTAATTACCCAGAAAGAATAAGCTTACCTGCCCTACTCTCGGAGTTTTCCAAGGAGATGATGGAGAACCAGATCTTCGACCTGAAGTATGAGAGCTTTTCGAAGAAGATATGGTTAGAGCTCAAGAAGGAACGCTGTATAGAAATAGCTGATGTTCACTCCGCTCTAAAGGCTGTAAGGATGAAGATCTCTCCATCCGCCATTTACTTGAAGAGGCTTCCAAATAGTATGAAATTCCAGCTTATATCAGGAGGCAAGTGCCTTACAGTTGGAAATGAGATAAACTATGCAGGAGTAAGAGGATGGGCACTCTCATTTACTGACTGTGAAGATAATAATGACCTCCAGACCTTTGTGATGATTCCTTCGCTCAAGGGTTTAATGAAGCTTAATGAAAAGATGAGAACCGACAAAATGGTTCACAGAATGTACGACACATTCAGGAGAATAGGAAAGATCATCGGAGTGGTTGATATAACTCGATCTGGGAGGCCTCTTTATTAAACGGACTAGCATTGGTTTACATTTATTTATATCGTGGCTATCTAATATTGGCAGAGGGAGGTGCTTTAACCCCAGTTTGCTGTAAGGGATTCAGAACACAGGAGTCAAAACATTCAAGACCGCTGGAAAGTATCCGATTCTCTTTCATTTTGTCCCGATACTTTGCTTTATTTTTCTTCCTGGCTTCTCTTTTCTTAAGATGGGGATTACTCCTTCTGTAGCCATCACTCTTGAGGAGCCGTCCTAGTTCTGGGTAAAACTCAAAGTCAAGGTCTAAGTTCATTCCATCCTTAATCTTTTCGTAGTGTCCGTTAGAAGCTTTGTTGAAAGGCATTCTGTGTACTTCAGAGGACGAGCTTGAGTCATATGAGGTCTGGAGTTCCTCAGTAGCTGCCATTTTGTTCCATATGGAAGCTACGCTCGAAGGAATCCTAGTGGTGATAACTATGGAATTACGGACAACAGACATCGGGTGTGTAGTTGATACCTCTCTTATCGAAGAAGACCTGGTGATAGTTACAGAGACCGTTGTTGTGGATGTCATGACAGAGAGAGAAGCAACTTCTTGGTCATCTGCATATGCCTTCTTGTCCTTCATGTTCAGGTTAATAAACACAGGTCTCACTATGCTACTATCACTCGAGGAATCGCTGCTCTCTTGAGACGTTTGGAAATCCTCCCAAGATTTATCTTGCACATAAGGTGTTCCTGGGACCTGTGGAGGTTCGGAAGTGATGGCAATATGGGAGTCCTCACTTGTGGATCCTGAAGTTTCATGGCTATTCTTTTTCTCAAAGATAAACACCTGGCCCTCTTCGTTTCTGCACTTAAAAACCCCAAGGGTATTGTTCCCAGCCACTCCCAAGCATTTATTTTTCTTTGCCTTGAGTATGTATCCTCCATTCCCTACTTCTCTGTACTCCCAATACTTCCTTTTTTTCTGCATCCCAAGCCCTTTCTCTTTGCTGTATCCTAGATAAAGCTCTGGGTTACTTCCTGGAGATATGAGAAGCATATGCCTATGCTTTCCCAGCCTCATTCCAAACAGCTTGAATCTTTTCTCCTTCTTTGTCACCACATGGAAGATTGCTAGATCCTCTCCTCTGTTGGGGCTAAGCTCGATGCTCTCCCCAACGGTCCTGAAAACCTTATCACTGTTGATTGGCCTTATGGTTGCTAAGAAATCCTTGGAAGCAGCAATTCTAAGAAAAAGATATATGCCGGACCTGACCCTCATCTCTTCTCCATGAAGTTATGGAAACTTATCAATAACTATTCGAAACGTGTCTTGCCTTTGAGGCATCAAAAATGAAACAGGAGTTAAGGATATCATTTATTGGTTCTCAGACCTAGTGCTCTTTTCTATAAAGTTCCTTACATCGTAGTAGAACGCCTCCTGGACTTCTGGAGGCAGGTTTACTATCACGAAATCATAAAGTTTGTCAAATATCTGATTGACATCTACCACATCAGGCAGCTTTCCGCTTACAGCATTGTCTACAAATTCCTCTATCTTCCTATCAAAGCCATACTTCTCCATCAGACCTTCAAGCTTACCCATCAGAAGAGCCTTGTCCTCCTCATTTCTCAACAGCATCTCCGGGTCCATTCTGGGATTGAGAATTCCAGCCACAAATAGACAACCCCCGAGGACATCATGGTGGTGCTCGAACAAAAAGAAATCCCAGAGAGCCGCATGTATCTTCCAAGCAACTACAACTTTGAGATGGCGAAGGTGGTGAAAACTATTGGAAGACTAAATGCAAAGAAGGTGACATTGCAATTCCCAGATGGGCTTTTGAAATACTCCTTTGTGATAATAGATATTATAGAGAAATACACTGATGCAGAGTGTGTGATTCTGAACGATGTTGTTTATGGAGGGTGTTGTGTAGACGATGAGAGCATTGATTCCGATCTTCTTGTACATTATGGGCACTCATGTCTTGTACCGGTGGGAGAGATGAATACAAAGGTTCTTTATGTTTTTGTGGATATCAGAATAGACATAGACCATGCAGCTGAAATGATAAGGAGGAACTTCGAAGGGAAGATAGCTGTGATAGGGACCATCCAGTACAACTCAAGCATAAACAAGCTGAGAAGAGTTCTAAGTGAAGAGAAGGATGGGGTTGAATGTATTCTTCCGCAGGTGAGACCTTTGAGCAGTGGGGAGGTATTAGGATGCACCTCCCCACGAATTGAGGGAGTCTCTGCAGTTGTTTCCATAGGAGACGGTAGATTCCACTTGGAAGGGGCAATGATAAGAAATCCGCATCTAAAATTCTACAAGTACTGCCCGTTCAACAGGAGGATGACACAGGAATCTTATGATTACCATACAATGATAAGTGCCAGGAGGTCAGCAATTGGAAGGGCATTAAATGGGAGATCGTTTGGAGTGATATTGGGGTCTCTTGGAAGGCAGGGGAATAGGAGCATCCTAAGAAGTGTAGTGGATAAGCTGAAGAAGTATGATATTTACCTTTTGATGCTTGATGAAATAAGCCCAAAAAAGCTTGAGAGATATGATTTCATAGATAGTTTTGTCCAGATATCATGCCCTAGACTTAGCATAGACTGGGGGACATTATTCAAAAAGCCTCTATTGTCGCCTTTCGAAGTATTCTACCAAGGAGGAGAGTACCTGATGGATTACTACTCAAAGGAAGGAAAAGGCGAGTGGAAGAATTACAGATAGAAGCGACTCATTTGGCCATCCATTTAATATTCAATAAACAAGATGGTTCTTCATTTAGGATTTCATAAGAGAGTATGCCTCTTGCTTCAATGCCATGAACTCGGCCTTCAAAGCTTCTATTTCTTCATGGGTTTTGGCGGGCCCGATAATGCACTGTATTTTCTGAAGAATCCTTGAAACAAGCTCTTCAACCTGTTTTTTCCTATAGCTGCTTTGCATGGTTTTGGCCAATATCTTCGTGATCTCTAGTTCATAGGCCTTTCTTGCTTTTCCCATTCCTAAGGGCTTTTGTTTTGGCAACAAATCGACTTTCCATCAAAACTCGTGCCTCAATGCTTTCTACACACAGTCCTTTTCTTGACAGACTCTGACCTCCCAACATCCTCTTCCTTTTCTTGAAGAGGATGGGCCTCTTCCTTCCTTCTTCCCATTTTGAGACAGGGTTTAATGATATCTCGTTCTAATCTTTTCAATCTCATGCTGTATCCAAGGCCCACCCTCCTTACCAGGAACACCTTGGGTATCTTATTTGTTGTAAATCTTGTGTCTAGGAGTAGCTCTTGAAGAATCTTATCCATTTCTAGGGTACAACAGATAGTTAGTATATAAACTAAAACAACTCTTTATTCTACCTCTCAACAACAATTCTGTAATAGATAGATTCCCCAGCCGTCCTCGACCTTCTAACTATCTCCATAACGTCTCCCCGCTTTGCTCCATAGTATCGAGCAATCACATCGCTCTTCAGAATCCTGGGAAGATCTCCAGGCCCAAGCTTCAAGGCCTTCAAAACATTTTCCTTTTCCTCACGAGACAAGATTCTGTGTGGAGGAACCCACGAATGCTTTGTCTTGTTGAATACCATCTCTTCCACCAGGAAAATCTCGACGTTGAACTTAGGATTCAGGGATATCATCGACATCACAGTAGGACTAGGAAATTGTGGGAGAATCAGGATCAAGTGGAATATATTGTCCTTTTCATATTGGGACAGAAGCCCCTCAAATCCCTTCTTACCCATCTTCTCATCATCCCCAAAGTGTATTCCCACGGGTCTGTCCACGTCGACACAGACAAAATTCAATGTCGACCTCTTTGTAAGAGCAAACGGATACCTCTCATGAAAAGACTCAAGCGACTGCACTTCTTGTGTTGTTGTGTATCCCCGGTCCTTTATCATCTCTATTGTCGTGTTTCTGCTTAGACATAAAGCTCTGAGTTCCAAAGCCATTTCTGTTGGGGATGATTTTTGCAATTTCATATTCTATCCCCATGCATCCATTAGATGTTGAGAACTACGAGGGACAAGACGTCACGATAATAGGAAGGTTTGAAAGCGTTGAGGATGGGGTGGTAATTTTGAAATGCATGGACAAAGAAATACAGGTGAGGCATCGGAGCATTGAGTCTTACAAAACTGGAATAGTCAGAGTCAATGGGATTGTAGAGAATGGTGTGGTCGTCGAAAACAGCGTTTTCCCTATTGGAAATGAGTTTGATATGGAAACATATGGGAGGTTTGTAGCTGTCGCAGCAAAATACCAAGATCTGTTCTAATGTCCTCATAACTTCTTGCCAAGGGTATATTAAAGTGTACTTGACTGCCTTTGGATTTTTTAAAGATCTATACATAAACAGAACTCTAACGTTTATATTTGAATAAGCCACAGCTCGATATAAGATATCCTGAAATGAGACTTGGATGCAAGCGGATGGTTTCCAAAGGTCTCTATTGGATATGTTTCTCCATCGAGTAGTGACTTATTTATTAGCAGTCCAAATTTTTCTCCACTGCAACCAAATGCAAGGAAGTCTGGACAGCAATATATATTCGCTTCCTTATTCTTCGACATAGTGAAAATCATCAGTTCATTATCTGTTGAGATGTCTTCTGGCTGGACTGCCTTATTCTTGGCTGTTGTGAATAGAAATGTAGAGGGCTTTCCATATACAGCCCTGGATATCCTGATTCTATCCTCAAAAAATGCCCCAAGCAACTCTCCTTCTCTTGTCTTGCAAGCAAGCACAAAGGGCCATCCATCTTCCTCAAAGCTTTCGAGAAATGTTCTGTAGGAAAATCCATCTTCAAAGGTAGAAAAAAGAAGCTTCCATGTAGTGGAATATTTGTATCTATCTTCAAGTGCTTCTCTTAATCCCGTAACTACCTTTCCAGACAGAATGGAGTTTCTGTACTCCTTTCCATTATGTATCATACTGAATCGAAGCTCAGGTAGGCTTGGGAGAGAACTATCCAGGAAACATCTTTGGCGGTCCTCAGCACACATGCTTTGTTTATAGAAAGTCAAAACTTTTCAATTTCAATGGAGAAGATAAGATAAGACGTAAAAATAAAGCGATTTCATTTCTTTGAAGATCCTGCTTGCCTGGCCTTTTCAAACGAGCTAGCGCTAATGTGCCTGAACCCACGGACAATCTTTACCTTTTGCACATTCATTTTCTCAACCACATACTGGGATTCTTTTCCAAAGAACTCTCGGCTTGTCGTCGTCCACCTTATGTCTCGGGGATTGATCTTGCGCTGGATAAGCTTCCTCTCCTTGTTGGATGCTGTCAGAACAGTCCTGCCATCATTCATCACTCTGTAGATTCCAGACCCTTTAGGGATGTTGTGTCCAGAAAACACAGATACACCTTCAATCATGAAGGGACTACTTTTATCGAAAAATTATCCAAAGACATCGCAAAAGGTGGTTTTATTATTATTCAAGCTGCCGGGGGTGTGGAGTTCTGGCTCCCCCCAAATGACGCTATTACATGGATAGGATAGTGAAGAGTGGAAATCCCTTTTCTTAGTATTCTTGCATAGTTGATCTTCACCACTTGGGACGTTGCATCTCTAACTAACACAAAGTCCCTCTGGAAATTGCCAAGAATATCCGGGAGGTTCTTCATGGTGAACCTGGGCCCTTCCTTTGCATTCTTATCTGCATCCAAAGGATTTGTGTATTTGTCATCAATTACCTTTTGCAGCTTCTCAGAAATTGCATTGATACGCCCCATAAAGAACACAGGGTTGCTTTCTACTGTATGCTCCTTGTTCATGTCTTCTAAGAGATTTGCCATTTCGACATCTGTCTTCTCAGAGAATGCACTGTACATATCGACATTCACAACAGTGAACCATCTCTTGGTCTTCTTGTGCTCGAAGATTGCCCAGCTTGCATAGATGATCTTGCTGTTTTCCGGATCTCGAACGTATCCACTTTTCTTATGGTCAAGAACCAGCGTGTCGAAGACAATTGGAAGATATGTTATCGGTGCCTCCTGGACATTGGAAGAGCCTTCTGACAAGTTTAACATTTCGTAGTGCCCAAGGGTTTTTATGGACAAGGCATCTGCCTCTCCCTTCCTGATGGATTGCATCGCCATGACTGTTCCATGGGAGGAATCCAAAATGTTCCAAGCTATATCAACCAGCTTGTTCCTGTCAAAACTATCTTCTGTCTCCATATTGAAGTCCACCAAACTCAGGTCTCCAAACCCTTTGTTCCCTCGTTCCTTAGTGTGCTTTGTACCATATCCTGTAAGCTCCTCAATGGGAATGTCTGGGCTTAGGGAGACATCGAATGCTGTGGGCCCATAACCATCAAACTTTTCTCCCAACACCATAACAGGGAATACCAGAGACAGTAGCATATTGGCTTTGAGTCTCTTTCTTCTTGCTATTTATTCTCAAACACGAAACGTGACTGTTTCATGGGACGAAACCTCTGCGTTCGATATTGAAACACAGAAGGTCTGGTTGGCCACACCACCCGTTTCACACAGGGTATTACTAGACAATCTTATCCTGGCAATGGGAAACCCTTCGATGCCTGTTATAATCCTATTGGGAAGGTCGAAGATGTATCTAGAGGAGCTAAGCACATACCTGTCTGCACACTTCCGGGTAGTCCATTTAGACGATGAGTTCAGAATCATAAGAAGTAAGCTGAGCAATATGGACCCGGGTACGGCATACATAATAGAAAACTGTGAAATGAAGCCACAGAGGTATGAGATCTATTGTCTAGCAAAACGTAACGAGACTTCGTACTGTATACTGGCTGATGGAGAGCTTTCATCTTCAAAGCATGACACTCCTGTTTTTCACATCAAGGAAAGACTGCCCACAAAAGAGATCCTGGACTGCCTTGAATTCAAGCTCAACTGTAGTGTGGCACACAAAAAAAAAGTTGTTGGCCCGAACTATTTGATGCATCTGAAGAAGATAATAAATCAAGTCAACGATGAAATGCCAGAAGGATCCAGGCCTGTTCTAAAGGACTGTGAAGGTAAGATCCTAAGGATGGTCAAGCTTAACCCTTTGGATCTTGATGGGATCGAAGAAGTGTATAGAGAAATTGTCCGATGCGAGTTGGCTACAAGAGGGTTTGACCTCTGAGATTTAAACCATGCCCTCGAGAAGACATAAATATATAAACACTATAGTTTAATCATTACTATACCCACTTCCAATATCCTTTCAGAAATGATTAACAAAGTCTATCAAAACATCCTCTGCCCAAGTCCTATCAAGCCTGTTTGACAGAAAGCCTAGATGACCTCCTTTATGAGCTATTACTAACAGTATGTTCTTGTTTCGCATACACATCTCCTTGTCTATAGAAAATGCAGGAATGATCGGGTCATCATATGTATTGATTATGATGAAGGGAACATTTATCTTTTCAATGTAGTTCACACATGATTGGTTCTTGTAATACTCGTTGACATCCTTGATGTCAAAAATCTTTGTTGTTACCATCATGTCTATCTGCTGAACACTGCTGCACTTTTTTATTATATCTGTATCGTATCCTGCACTCTTGAACACTTCCTTGTTTCTGTTCATGTATTTTACAAAATTTATTGCCAACAGCTTGTTGAAGAACCTGGTGTACGGATTCTTCAGAAAGTGGATCCCTATTTTGAAGAAGTCGAATGGGAGGCACACCGCACCTCCCTTAACTATCCTAGGATCAAGCTTCTCCTCCCCAAAGAACTTGGTCACCCAACTGGCACCCATACTGAATCCAAATATCTCCAATGTTCCAGGATAGTTACGAAGAATAAATTCGGCAGTTGCCTTCAAGTCTACAGTCCATCCTATATGGAAAAACACCGGGCTGTCGAGTTTAGATTTGATCCCCCTTGCATTGAAACAGAAGACCCTGTATCCCTCCCTGGAAAGATGCCCAGCCAACCCTCTCATATAAGTCGAATCCCCAGATCCGTTGAATCCATGGACTAATAAAGCATTCTTTCCTGCCATTCTGTCCGTCTCTACAAGATCAAGCAGAATATGCCCATTATGAGGTACCTCTACCCGAAGGCTTATCCTCCCTGGGGGAACAATAGATCTTCGAAATAGCTGAAGAACGGTTTGAATGGTTCCAAAAGGCGCAAAAAAGAGGGGGTAGTAGTTCTTGTGAAGGCTTAACATCTTAAGTACAGAGTCTCTTTTACTTCCACTATAGAACACATCTGGCCGTCTTGCACACATGGTAAAATAAAACACCGAATAAAGAAGAATCATCTGTATTACATTGCTTCTTATAACTGCACCTAACATGCACTGCATCATCTCTTCCATGGGCTTCATTTAAGTTGTAACAAAACTCAAACAAATTCATATGTCAATAAATTTGTGAACCATTTCTAATCAAAAGTATTAATTTATATCATTTTTTGCCATAAATAGATATAATCTATGTAAAGAGCTTCTCAAGCTCCTCCTCATATTCATCCTTGGCCCTGCAATCGCATATAACATATCTTCCATGGCCAACTCTTTTCAGAGAATACACACAATCCGATATCCACTTTGGTGACACCACAACACATTCAATCTTTTGCGCTAGTTCTCTTGCTTCTTCCAAACAAGAAGAAACTATAAAATCAACTTCATTCCCAAGTCCACTTATTATTCCCCCATGCATCTCTATCACTTTCATTAGCCACACTCTGTTAGTAGGCCCTACAACGTAAAATCGGTCCCCGTCGAAGATTTTCTTTCTGATTCTCCTTAGGACCTTCTTCACATTTCTGTGCTTGCTTGAAAAGTATTTCCTATGAACTTTTCTTAGGAACCTTGCCATCCTCACCAATTCATTATCACCTTCAAATCCTTCTTTTGTCTTCCTTTCTCCCACCCCTTTGGCATCCTCCTGGACTGACGATTCTCCAGAAGAATACTCTAGTGCCATCCCATCCAGCTTTGAAATAACCTGGGTGTCTTCGACCTCTTCAACCTTCTTTCTCTTTCTCACAGAGTCTCCAAGCTCCTTGCACTCTTCCGATTCCTTTTCTATCTTTCTCTTCAACCTCAATGGATCGTTGATGTCCACGCGGTTGAAATACCAGAATGGCTTGATTAGAACCAGATTCTCACAATAATCCCATACATCGGCCCTATCATCAAGAATGACTATGTTTTTGTGATTATACGGAAACAACCTACTCAGTCTCTTCACTAAAACCCCCTGATTTTCGTCCCTTGTGATTATTCTATCATGAAAATACTTTCTGGTGGGATCAATAATCCTAACTATCCTTTCTGCATACGGTCTCGTTCCCATAGTGTACACATGGATCTCATATAGCCTAGAAACCTTTCGGAGCATGCGCTTGAGGTTGGGCCTTAGCTTTACAGAGTACTTGCATCCGTCCATTGTAAATCTCACTATCCCTTTTTCGCTAGATGCTCCATATGCCGTGTGAAGAACAGTCTGATCAAGGTCTAAGACCAGAATCAACTTCATCTGCATCTCTAAAGTTTTAATCTTCTCCTTATATATTGAGACAGCTTCCTTATGTGTTATCTTGACATTGTCTGTATTGTATAGTGCACAGAAAAGGTGTGAATCCTTTTGGATTTCCATCCCACATACCCCACATAATGTCCCCAGCCTTATGGGATGATCACATTCATCCATTAGAAATAGGAGGATCCCTTGCATTCAAATATATGTTTATCTGATGGGTGGCTCGAAGTATAGCGATACCCCTTTCGAAAGGTAACTTAAGTCAGGATGGCCGAGTGGTCTAAGGCGGTACGTTCAGGTCGTATTCTCATCGAGGCACGGGTTCGAATCCCGTTTCTGACATCTTTTTCATTCATATACAGTATCCGTCTCCATCCCTCATGATTCTTTTTCTCCTTATAGACCTAAAAAACGAAAACTGGGAGCTTACAACAAGAGACCTTTTCAATGACATCATCGTCTTCCTGAATGCATACCACAAGTCGAGCCGCAGTAACCGATTTATAGTTGTAAGCGGGAAAAATATTCTTTTTGACTCTTCGGAAAATGACATTTCGGAAATATACAAGATAACGGAGTTCAACCACGGCTATGACGTTGGAGATCTTGGATATGCACTATGCTTGCATAAAGATGAGCCAACGCAAATTGTAATCTTTACACTTGGGAGGGAACGAAAGGATGAGTATCTGAGGTATCTGAAATGCATGTTTGCAGCACAAAGGCTTGGAGTAAGAATTAGTGCATTTTCATTGTTTGAGAACAAAACAATTCTCCAATGCTGTGTATCAACAGGAGGTGATTATTCCACATCGGAGGATAGGTGCTTAAGGTTCCTACTCTCCCTTCTAGGAACAGGGGGGAGTCAAAAACCCTTGGGGTTTCCAGCAACCTGCTACTGTCATAATAGACAGATACTGCTAGGGCTTGTATGTCCAATATGTCTTTCTGTGTTCTGCAAGTTCATTCCTGTATGCAAGAAATGCAAAAGCAAATTTAGCTTCGCCAAATATGAAAGCTAGAATCAAAATACGATGTGCTTTATTTAGCCATGGAACACAGAGCTTCTCTATTCTTCTTCCCGACATCCTTGCTTCCTGCATACTTCAGCGCAATCTCCTTTCTAATCTTAAGAGGCTCAAGAGAAAGTAGAAGTGCCGGGGGACACTTAGAAATGAATTCTGCCAAGAAGTGTTCCATGTCTTCACTAGTCTCACCAAGCCTGTCCACAACACAGCGGATTATGAATGCCTTGAGCTCCATGACAGTGGGGATGTTAAACAAATAAGAGACGGTCTCCACATCCACCGTATAATACTCCAGAATCCTCTTCATAATGTAGTAAAACTTATCCATCCTTACTAATTGGATCTCACTCCATTTGTCGATAAGATACATAAACATGCTGTGCCGCAATCGTTGGTCTGTGTGGGACAGAAGATCTAGAACAAACTGCTTTTGAGCAACAAACTTTGGTAGCTTCCACAGATAGTAGGCTATGGATGGAGTCAACCTAACAATATCCTCTTCCTTCAAGAGCCCATAGTTGGCATATATGGTTTCGATGGCTGCCTTGTTTGTTTCTATGTCGTTTGATCGGATGGCATCGATGGTCTTTTGGACATCCATGGGGAGCCAAAATTTTGGCTTTATGAGGTCCCTGAATGCTTAAGAGGCTCAGAGACTATCTCCCATCTATCTCAAGCTATCCAAAAGGATTCAAGCCGGTGATGGACATCGATGAAGCAACCAGGATTCTTTCCATAGAGACTCAGTCCCCAGGCATAATGGAGAGATACATGCAGATGATGAGGATCAATCACCCCGACAGAGGTGGAAGCCCATACATAGCATCCAAAATCAACGAAGCAAAGAATCTTCTGGTCGGAAAAAAGCCTAGCTTCTTCTGAGGTTTTCCAAGTATAGGCCTTATAGAATAAACTCTTTATTTGTTAGGATCCCTCAGGACTCACAATCCTCTTAAGCTCGTCTTCTTCATCCTCCAATATCCTCTCGAGCTCCTCTATTTCCTTCAGATACATCCTCCTCTTTTCCTGCGATAGCTCGGCCATGGGGATTAGACAATCTTACTTGTAAAGCTACATACACCAAAGAGGCCTGGTGATCAGGGCAGATAGACATAAGCATCTTCTACGTCCTCTATGATTCCTTTATCTCCAAGGGTTCTTATCCCCTCCAAGAAGATTGCTTCATCGTACTCAAACCTTTCAGTATGCTCAGATAAAATCTCCTTTGCTATCTCTTCCAAACCTATCCTCTTTCTTTTCTTCAACAAACGTGATACAAGAGACTGATAATACACATTCTTGTCTATTTCATGTGCCATACAGATGCTCTCGCTACAATACAAACCTCGGACATCCTTCTCAGCACTAGACACATCTCCTATCTTGTACAGACCTCCACTACAAACCAGGAGGTTGCCCTCAACTAAGGACCTGAGGACATCGTTTGCCACCTTTGCCCCCATCTTCACGGAACTCAGAATAGTCTCAAGATCAACTTGCTCATACTTATTGAAGAGATTAATAACGGAATACTGAGGAACATTCATTTGGATTTCAACCCCACCAACCTCCACGCATACACTTCCTAAATGCCATGCCCAGTGCAACTTCTTTTTATTGAACTTCAAATCATATACTTTTCTTATCATTTCAAGAGGTCCTGGAATTTGGATGAACAAGTTCTCTGTTTGTAGCGGCCAGTATGCTTGTGTCAGAATCCAAACAAACCTATCTCTATCCTTATTGTAACTTAGGGAAATGCTTATGTCTGCAACCATGGCCTCCGCCTTTTTTATAAAATCCTGGTTGCCCTTTCTCCTCATTAAAGAAATCAATTTTCTCTCCTCGCATAGGTTAGGACTTTTCTCCAGTAACCTCTTTCCAAGCCCCAAAAGATATAACTCATAGAACACATGCTTATTCTCCACCATTTTATACAACGTTCCAAACACCTGCCTCAGAAACCCGTTCTTTCCTTCAAATCTTCTTCCGAGCTCGGATCCATCTTCACAAGCATCTCCAGACCCTAGGAACGGCAGCCCTAAGCTTCCCTTGGCCGTGCTTCTTTCAAACTCCTCACCAAGAAACTTGAATACGTTGCTGTTATCTCCTACAATGCACTCGGAAAACTCTAATATCCTTGCCTCTAGAGACGGTTTCAGTCTCATGCAACTGGCTGAAAATTCTTTCTTCAGTATCTTGAAATACTCTTGGTCCCCTAGAAACCCAATATCTACAACATGTCTGAGCATGCAATGAAAAATATAAAGCGTCTCAATACTCTTGCTGTATATATCCATATACTTCTCACTCATTTCTCTTATATATCGAGTAAACACCTCTCTAAAGATTTCATATGCAGACTTGAGTCCAGACAGATTCCTGTAAAGAACAGACATCTTCCTCAAAAAGACATCACCGTGAGACTTTTTAGCCCCTTCTTCCCCCTGTAGCTCATAGAAATCGTTTGTTCGGTAGCCTCCAGAATCAAAACTGTGTTTGTCATGATCCGCCCCTCTAAAAACCTTTCCAAGAATCTCAACTGGAAGTTTATACATCGACATTATCCCATAGATCTCGTTAAAGAGATAATCCTTCTTGTTTAGTATAAACACCTCCTCGAGCACTTCCTCCACCTTTTCCCATGATTCCTCAAGAAATATCTTTTCTCGAATACTTTTCTCGTACCAAATCTTCTCCTTTACATAAAACGAGTATCTTTCAACCTCCGAGCATGCAGACTTAATTTCCTCCATGTACTTGCTCCCAATCTTCTGGAGGGCAAACTGCTCGTATCTCTGTGTGTAGTAAAGCATAGGCTTCTTTAGATCGGGAACAATCAGTCGGAAAGACTCGATTGCTTCCTTAACAACCTCGATTCTCTCTTGATTCACTAACTCAAATCCAAGTGTTGTGTGCTTATACTTCGTCGTTTGCTGAAGCACACACCTTTCCCACAGAAGAAACCCAAGGTCTCTCATAGTCCTTCCTTTCACACACTCGTTCAGGAAGTCACACAGCTCATCAATGGCAAACACCATCACCTTGAACTTCCGGAATCCCTTGTTGTATTCCTCAATCCAATCTCGGGCCTCAAATATTTCTCTTCTTATCTCCCTAGCTTTCATGTAGACAAAGTCTCCTATCTTCCAATACAACTTGCTTTCAAGCCTTGGAGTGGAAGACGTGCAAATAACATATATGCTGTTGTAAATCTCCAGTGCACTGCACACGTCCCCAGATGAAAGCTTCCGAAGTTCCTTTTCTATGGTCATCCAAGCATTGCTAAACTCCTCATCGCTTAGTGCCCTTCTTCCTATGTCCATCCTATGATTTGTTTATGCTAAAATCCAATTATAAAGAAGCAAAAACAAACACATCCATCAAGAAGAAAGCTTCGATAAAATTCCATAAAGAATATCTTTCAGAGCATTGTTTTCTTTGTCTATCCTATCCTCCTTCTCCGCAAGCCTCCCAATCTCTGCCTCCATTTTCAGGTTTTCAACCTCAAGAGCACTTACAATATCCACAAAATCCCTCCTCCTCTCTCCCTCAAAGATGCTCTTCTCCTTTCCTACCATAAACTCGATCTTTTGTTCATCCCTTGGCTTCCGACTCTTATCGTAGAAATCAATGGGGAGTAGCTCTTCAAGGCACTCATCGGTAAGTGTATATGCCTCTTCCCCTTCCTTACCGTTCTTAATCCTCGACATCGTAGGGTATTTCAACACCTAAATTTTTCCACCCTACAATGCAGATCTTGGCTGACAACTTCAAAATTACCGATATCGACAAGGAAGGCAAGCTATACACAAAGGTCTCAAGGATATACATGCAATCTCCTACAATCTCCATTGCCCTTGACTACAATACCACCTTATGCAAGCTTCAGATGGGCCATGCTGTTGAAGTACGTATCTTTCGAGGAATTCATGAGAACATAGACTGCTTCTATCTGGCCTATGGAAGAATCTACAGTGTCGAGCCTAGAGACAATAGAGTCTCTATCACGGCATCCTTTGGGGGCCTGCTACTGATCATGGATGCTCCACAGGAGGCTGTTAAGGGCGTTGGAGATAAGGATGATATATCCCTAGCACTCACCTTCATACTATAAGCTTTATGTTCATAAATATACGAAATTAAACATTATTTTAATCAGAATTCCCTGGTGCTATTCAATATGCAACAGCTGAAGTACTCTATATAATCTCTACTCTCATATATAAACACCTCTCTAGAATCACATATTCTTAATATCTCAAATACAGGAAAGTATCCATCAGAGTTAGAACATCCCTTGAAGATCACCGTAAACCCCTCCTCTATATCCAAACTTTTACTAAAAGCTGTCACAAATACTCCTGTGTCTCCTGCTCTGGGATTTCCACATCTCACCCTCAGACTGTATTTTCCATGGGATAGTTCTCTTAGAACCATTCTTGTACCGAGATCTCGTGCTGTATTCCTCATGTCAGTTGGATCAGGCGCTACTATGACAACCTTCGAGTTTTCATAGCTGCCCATCGATGTGATACAAGAATTCATGAACTGTAGCCTTTCTCTAAATAACCCACAGTCTACCTGTATAAACCTTATTTGAAGAGAAAAATCACATAAAATATACTTAGAAAACCAGGAAGGAACATCTGGCCTCAAATAGGCCACACTCACCCCTGAAATATCTTCAAGCTCTTTTCTATAACACAAGTTGATGTGAACACGCCTCTCCTTCTTCAGATCGAGAGAGTCTATCCTTTTATTAGTTAGAAGAAGGATCTTGAGTTCAGAAGCACTTCCATGGTTCAATATCCATTCATGTGTGGCCTTGAGGAGATCAGAGAAGGTGTTTATGACATTGAAGTGAGCACAACCTTGCTTTTCTCCCACTATAGACCATTTCTGAGAACATTCATGGACTCCATTATAATACAGAGATTTCACACTTGTATCTCTATCAACCTTGTATTCTCTTTCTGTCCTTTCCCATTCATTTCTGGCAACAATTTCAATCCTCAGAACATCGGACTCCGACTTTATAAATAAATTGGCTCTCTGCTTAAAAAGGCCAGAGTGGACGAGAAAATCTCCATCCCACACAAAAACCCAGTATTCTCCCTTATCTTTCAAAGAAATCTCTATCTTGACCATCTCATTCGCCCTGGAAAGACTCACGGCAGCGTTGTTATTGCAATTCCAAGGTCTTTCTCTTTGTCTCTCTATCCTTTTCAATAGTATACAGCATCTTGAAACTGCCAGGTGCTTGCCTTGGAACATAAAGATTTGAGACAACCCCATAAGAACCCTCCGGAGGTTTTTGACAACATGCTCCGTATCACACACAAGCGAAAACCTTGTTATTGGATATCTCCTGATGTGAGCCTTTACAAGGGCCATAAGCTTACATCCCATGGACATTTCATACATGACACCCAACTCAGAACAAATCTCTTTGATGGTCTCTTCGTCTTCTTCTCTATATCCTAGGGAAGAAAGCTCCTTAGACTCAAAGCACAGTCTAAGTATGGCATCTTCATCATGCGTGTCGCTAATTTCCTTCAGCCATCCTTCTACTGTTTCATGTGGTAAGTAATACATGCTTGCAATCCTCCCATACTCTGTACTACAGAACTTCCATGTCCTGAAGTCTCCAATCCTCTTTTTGTATATTCTTATCATTCCACATTCTCCTAACCTTTTGCAGGTAAGAATGACATAATCAGACAATGCTTTGTTTTCATCACGTAGATCTTCCATGCTCACCCCATAACACATCGGATTCTTAGACATCCGGATATACATAAATGTACTCTTCAGCCACACCATAGCTGTGCTGACATCCTCAATCGTGCCTAAATAGATTTCTGCATTCATTACATCTGCAACATGCTGAAGCAGCCTGCTTTCCACATCTCTGCTGTTCTTGAGCAGAGACACATAGTGATCCATCTTATCCCCTGTCGTTATCAAGCACCCCTCTCCTCTAACGTCAAATTGAGGTCTCCCTGCCCTTCCAAATATCTGGAGCACATCTAAAATCCCTATATCACTAAACATTCCTTTTGAAGAATCATAGAATCTCGTTCCCTTGATTATTACGGCATATGCTGGGAGATTCACCCCCCAAGCTAAAGTCGATGTTGTAACCAGTATCTTTATTCTCTTCATCTTAAATTCATCCTCCATATACAGCCTTATCCTCCTTGGAAGTCCGGCATGATGTATCCCAACTCCTCTTCTTACAAGCTCTAGAAGTGCCCCACCTACCACACCATCCTTCACTTCTCTCTTTACATCTTCATCGCTTAAAAGCTTGGCAGTTTTGGTTGTCTCCCCCCTGGAATGAACAAACACTAGAACCTGCTTTCCATCATCCAGGTATTCTTTTACCTTCCTCCTTAGGAAATCTTCTTCAAGTTGAGGCTTGCTTTTTCTTGTCATTCCAACAACACACATCCGAAGCGGGACAGGTCTGTATCCTTCGTCAAAGCTAAACACGTGTTCAGCTCTCAAAAACATTCCCACGTCTGAATAGTTGGGAAGGGTAGCAGACAGCCCCACAATGCGTATATGCCTTTGCCAAAGTTCCACATGCCTAAACATCCTGCATACAATTGCTTCCACAACAGGTCCTCTCTCGTCTTGAAGAATATGAATCTCATCAAGTATAACAAGCCCAATCCTGCCTTGGAACACATTGTACTGCTTCCTTGTCACCACGTCAAACTTCTCGGGTGTAGATACTACTACATCATATCTTACCATATCCTCAACCCTCATTTCGGTGTCTCCTGTGTATTCCACAACTCTTTGGCCTCCAAGCTTCTTTCTATATTTAGATGCTATTTCCGTTGCAAGTGCCCTCATTGGAACTATATAGATGACCTTGTCTCCCTTTCCCAATGCCCTGAGAACACACAGAAGAGCGACATCTGTCTTTCCAGAGCTTGTAGGTGCACATACGAGCAGGTTCCCATCACCTCTATATGCAGCCTTAAACACCTTAGACTGGACCCTGTTAAATGTCTTGTAATCGAAGTACCTTTGATCCTCTCCAGTAGCATCTGTGCAAATGATTTCAGAACCATCACTTTCTATGGGAATGGACTCCGGAAAGTTATACTCCACATAAAATCCTCTGTCCACTACTTTGTCCTGAGAAGTAAAGTACTCTTGATTCTTGCAAATCATCTCTATCTCGTCCATCATCTCGTATCCAAGAATCTCGACCAGTCTTTCCTGATAAGATGGATCCCTAAGTGCTTGGCTAACCATATCCATTGTTTCCTTTGGAGATATTCCAAGCTGGTGAGAAACTCTCCTAACCAGTCTGTCCATTTCAGAGGGTACATGATGCAATTTTCAAATCATTATCATCCATCTTCTCGGTAGCCATGCCCTGTCTGATGTAAGTTTCCAAACATAACCTGATGGCCAAAAGAGAGAAATTTTTTCACCCTAGAATGACCAAAATGGATGGCAAGGAAAGAAAGGAGCTGACATATGAAAAGGCTAAGAAGCTCTTTGGAACTTACAGTAGGTTTGCTCTTGTCGGGATCGAGAATGTGGAGTCCACCCAGCTGAAGGACATCAAAAGACAATGGGGAAACAATGTAGAGTTTCTAATGGGAAAGAACAGTGCGATTAAGCGGGCAATAGCCGATCTAGGAAAGCCTGAGCTCAGCAGAGTCCTTGACCTTATCAAGGGAGATGTCTGCTTTGTGTTTTTTAAGGGGGATGCCAGGGATATCAAGAAGACCATTGACGAAAATGTCCGGGAGGCATGTGCCAAGGTTGGGAACATTGCACAGAAGGATGTGTGGGTGGATAGCTGCATCACAGGGATGACACCGGATAAGACGTCATACTTCCAAGTTCTTGGAATAGCAACCAAGATCACAAAGGGTAAAGTCGAGATCATTTCTCCATACAAGGTTCTTTCCAAAGGAGATAAGGTCGGGCCTTCTCAAGCCAATCTTCTCGGGATGTTGAACATCAAGCCATTCAGCTACAAGATGACTATGCATCATGTTTATGAAGATGGGGTGGTTTATGACTCATCTCTTATTGATATTGAGAAGGAAGACATTCTTTCGACTCTGAGAAGCGCAATAAGTAGCATAGCAGCAATAAGTCTCGGGGCCGACATCATTACACAGGCAAGCATGCCTTACAACATCAGAAACTCATTCAAGGATATCCTTCAGATTTCCTTAGGGATTGATTTCATGATCAAGGAGCAATCCATGATTACAGCTAATTAAAAGGACATTTATTCCATCTTGCTTTTAGCTTTTCGGCTCAGAACAAGCTCTGCATTTATCAAGCTCACATCTGGCGACTTGAAAGTGGATCTGATGATGGATATTACATCCCACACCATTCTCAGATAGCATATTCCTATGTATGCCAGGCCTATCTTTGGATTCAGGACCATGAAGATTATTGCAAGGCATGGAGACTCATTTTTTCTTGTAAAGAACAAGAACGACATGGGAAAGAATGAGTAAAGAAGGGCCCCAATAAATATTCTTGGGGTAGAAATATGATAGGGTGCATAGGCCCAATCAAATGTATAGTATGCCAAGACAGAAAGCACCAGTGGGACGAACACGATCATATCTATGTATCCGCCATTCACAGGAATGTAAAAGTAGCTTCCATATGGATGAGTTCTTATAAATGAGATGGATTTGATGAAATTCAGGAATACCTTTAAGCTCCTGGGTGTATCCTTCAGTACTATGTACAAGCGGTTTGATGGGGTGTTTGTAAGAATGATGTCCATAGGATCAAATGCCAGTTTGAAAGGAAAGAACTCCCCGGCAACGAGGAGGAAGTCTGAGTTTGGCTGATGATTCTTTAATGGGTGTATCAGCACACATGCCTTGCTCCCAAAGCTCAGATCTATTTCAAACAAGTAGATGCACTTCTCATCAGGTGGGTTTAGATCAATGATCACATTAATGTTCCTGATGTTCATGGACCTCAAGGTTGAGATTAAAGGATGATAATTTTCCTTATACTCTGGATATCCTTGAATCCTCAAGGACAGTCTTGGCGGTAGACTATTAAGGGCAAACTTGTTCCCGATGAAGAAGGGCCCGGTGTCTCTATTGACAACCTTGATGGTTCCATCTAAATAGTGTTGTACAGGCTCTGCACTAGAAATTTCACTCTGTTTTTTCACTCTGAATATCAGTAAAGGCACTATAACAAGAGCTACCTTTATCAGTTTCTGATATTTTTTGATGTCTTTGGAATGTTTTGATAGTCTATTCAGAATCATTTTCCTTGGGTACCTGTGTTTTGTTTTTTGTTTGTAGAACCTCAAGACTTAGGCAGAGATGCTTTTCTGGGCCTAGTGATTGGACGTATTGGAATCATCAGGATTGATTAAAAATGCCGATTGGGCCTTCTCTCGTTTATTCTGTCAAATGTATTTAAACAAAATTCAATGTGCTTAGAAATGAAGGTAGGAATAAATGGATTGGGAAGGATAGGAAAGCTGGTGTACAAAGTCTTAAGAGAAAGAGGTGTTGAAGTCCCACTTGTGAACGACCCACACTTGAAGCCCGAGCAGGTTGCTTACCTTCTGAAGTATGATAGTGTGTTTGGGAAGTGTAAGGAGTGCCAGGTCGAGGGTGATAAGATCGTATACCGGGGGAAGAAGACATGCCTGTCCAGCTTTGATAAACCAGAGAGTATCCCATGGACGAAATACGGTGTAGATGCCGTCATTGAGGCAAGCGGGGTATTTACAGGCCTTAAGGAGTGCGAAGGTCACAAAGACGTCAAGATTGTTGTGATTACTGCACCAAGCAAAGATGCACCTATGTTTGTGTATGGAGTGAACCATCAGGATTACGTATCCCAAAGGGTCATTAGTAATGCAAGCTGTACCACCAACTGCCTAGCCCCTCTTGTTAAGGTCATCGATGATAACTTTGGGATTGTAGAAGGACTAATGACCACAGTGCATGCAGTAACCGCCACACAGAAGATTGTTGATGGAATAGGAAAGTCTAGCAGAAGGGGAAGATCGGGGCTGAGTAACATAATCCCTGCAAGTACCGGTGCAGCAACCTCTGTAGGAAGGGTGATTCCATCTCTTGCCAACAAGCTTAATGGAATGGCCATGAGAGTTCCTGTTTCAAATGTTAGTGTTGTAGACCTTGTTTGCAGGACAAGAAAAGAAACAAGCATAGAAGAGATAGTAAAGGCCATTGAGAAATTCTCAGAAAACAATGAAGGGATCATTGGAACAACCAGAGATCCGGTGGTGAGCTCTGATTTCATTGGAGACCCAAGAAGCTCTGTGCTCGACATCAATGCAAGTATCTCGATGGGGTCCAACTTCTTCAAGCTCATCAGTTGGTATGATAATGAATATGGATATTCATGCAGAGTATGTGACCTGTTGGAATATGCGTACTCTAAGAAAAAATGATATTAAAGCCTCTATCTCATTAAATTTAATTTTCATGCATGCATTAGAAAAGTCTGAAGTGTTAGAGCCATTCTACCTGCCGATGCCTCAAGATTATACTGCTTCTCTTAATAGCTTGTCTACTTCCTCAACCTCTTTTTCTTCTACATTGTTTGAAATCATCTCCCTCATCTTCTTGATAACTTTGTCTCTGAAGCTTTTTTCTCCACCAATAAGAGGTAATACACCCCTCACATTCTCTACTACCTTTCCATTCCCAAGTATTGTGTCAATACAGCTCTTTTCAAACTCCGATTCTACCTTCCTTTCTGCATCCTCGACCTCAGAAATCCTTTCACTGCACACATTCTTCATATGGTTTAATAACCTCCATCTTCCTATGGTTCTCTTTAGATCCCCCCTGTCTTCTTCTTCCATAACCCTTTGAACACCTAAAACTACAGCCTTCCTCTTCACCTCCTCGTTACTCGACTTCCTCAGAACTTCCTCCAGTTTTCCAACTCCATTCTCCTTCCTCCCCATCTTCTTCTTTAGATATCCGCTCTCCAATTTTTCATACACATTTCTAAGCTCATTCTGAAAAGAACCATATACATCCTCATCCGGCCTAATCTCCTTCCAACTCTTTCCTAATCCGTTCAATGTTTCTGCATCTGCGATATCATACACATCTTCAACAAACTCTGTAATCAAAAGGCCAGTGTTTCGGAAGATCTCCGCACATGTTCCTTCAATCTCCATGCTTTTGAGGAATCTATCTTCGCACCTCACTATGCTTCGATACGACTCAAAAAGAGTTTCAAATATACTGTCCACCTTGTCTTGCGTCACACCCTCCTTCAACAGTCGAAGAACAGTCTTCAGATGGAACCCAAACTCCCTTTCATATAGCTTTTTCGACCGTGCCATGTATATGGAACATATAACAATATAATAATCCCTATACCTCTTTGAATGCTGGATTATCTTCTTGAACCTCTTGATAGCCCCATACAAACCTTTGTGGACCTTCAGCTCTCCACTACTTTCACTCCCAACCATAAACCCTCCTAGGTATGTTATAAACCTCTTGTAGAACCCTCTTAATGCATCGTTGATCCTTTCTTTCTTTTCTCGGACTATCCTAATGTCATACTCGTCGACACAGAAACTATCCAACACTTCTAATGCCTTCTCAATCCTACAAACCCCATCAATGCTGTCAAATGACTCACTCTCCAGTGCTATGAAATGATCTTCCTTAATCTCCACATTGATTAGTAATTCCTTCAAGTGTTCATATATTGAGGTCTGGTACCTAATCTCATTCTCAAGCTTTGTATTTTCCCTCTCTATCTCTTTCATCTCTTTTGCCAACGATTCCAGTTTGATCGTATACAAAGACAGACTCAAATCAATCTCCTTGCACTTCGTTCGGACTTGCTCAAGGTTCGGATATATCTTTGGGATCTCGCCCATGCATCTCTCCAACATGTTTATTTTATCTTGATCAACCTTCCCACCACCTTCGTTAAGAAATAGGTCATCAATCTCCTTCTCCATCCTAGGGCTATCCATTTGTCAACAAAACACATATAACACATGAAACTACCTTCCTTCCTCTTTAGGCCCCTTCAGATACTTTTCTTCAAGTCTGGAGAGAAAGCTTACTTCCCCTTCCCTCCGCCTCCCAAGCAATTCTTCTAATGGAGCATCAATATCTATCCCCATCTCATCTGCAATCTTTCTAGCCATCTTTTCTTCCCTTGCCTTTCTCTTTTTTCTCATCGCATCTTCACAAACCTTCTTACAATACTTGTTATATTTCTTGAGAGCTCCACACTCAATAAGCCCATCAATAATCTCTCTAAGCCTGCTCTCATCCCTGTCATCAGATAGAAGAAGATTATCTACAATCTTTGCCATCTTTCCTTTGTATCTGTTGTATAATGCAATGATGTCATCGACCTCCTCTTTCGAGCCTTTGTACACCTTCATTACATCATCAACAGGTATAATCTCCACAGTTGGCCTTTTTTGTATCTCTTCATACGCCCGACATATTTCTTCATATCTCTCTCTGTTTCCTGTCTTACTGTCCGGATGATGGGCTCGTTGCAGTCTTCTGTATGCTCTTTTTACCTCCATGTCTGTGGATGTTCGTTCCACTCCTAGTATCTTGTACGGATCCTTTCTTCTCTTCATGATGGGCTTGTCATTCACTCCCGATCAATAAAAACAAGACCAAGAAGCCCTGGAATGATATTCATCGTTCGAGGCCCGGAAGGCCAAAGACGGGTGGAAGTGGACGAGGCAAGATCCCTTGGACCCCAACTGCTCGCTTTCTTTGAGGTGGACCAGATAAGTGTGTTCTCAACCCCGGACAAGCAGGACGAGTTTGATAAGAGCCAGACACCAGTTACTTTAGGGCTTAAGAATGGCCAAGTTCTGTATGTTGAGTATGAAAAGAAGAATGAGATGCCGAAGAAAAGGCAGGATGGTGACAAGACCATAAAGAGAGGGAGGGATAGGATGCTGTGCCAGCATGATTCCAATGCAATGTGTAGTAACTGTGCACCTTTGGATCCATGGGACGAGAAATATTACAAGGACAATATGATCAAGTACCTTAGCTTTGGATCATATCATGAGATGATGAAGAGCAAGAAGAAGGAGCTGTATGTTGATGACTATTCTGTTGTAGTATGTTCGGATCATGGATCCAATACAAGATGCAATAGATGCCAGGAGAAGAACATAATACTAACACCTCAGGTATTCAGGATGGTTGATCATGTTGAGTTTGATGGGCAGCACCTAGTGGAGAACTTCATTAGGAACTGGAGAGAAAGTGGAAGACAGAGATTTGGGTTTCTTGTAGGAAGGTATATGGACCATGACATGATTCCATTGGGGATGAAGGCTGTTGTTTCTGGAATATGGGAGCCAGAGCAAGAGGATTATCCAGACGGGTTTGTAATAACAGGATCTATAGACGAACCCTTTGGCGGAACGGGGTTTGGGATAGTTGGGATGATATACACTGATATCCTCATGGAAAAGGGTGGGGTGACAAGTGACAAGCTTATTAGAGACTATTTCTTATCATCTTTAGAGATTGAATTTATGGCAAAGATGCAGCTCATGCACCCACACACTCTTAAGGATGGAGGCCATGAGGTGGAGTTTGGGTCAAGGTTTGTGACCATAATTGCCACTGTAGAAAAGGACGGAAGCATAGGTCTCCAAGAATACCAGGTAAGTAATCAGTGCATGGCGCTTGTCAAGGGAAATTGGATTCTTCCTACAGAAAACCCAAAAGTATTTCTGGCAAGAAGGGACATTCTTTATAGAACAAAAGCAAAGGAATCAATGATTAAGGCAGATCCCTACCTTCCAGGAGAGTTCTTCCTAGTAAAGCTGACGCATGGATGCAAGGCAAATCCACTCTTCAAGAATACTGAATTCATTCCAAAGAAGTTTGGGGATAGAAGGATGGCCGAATACTTTGGAGGAGACTTTTCGTTGGAGAAGTTCTCGAACTTTACTCTTCTAACAAGGATGCGGGGGATGTTTTCCAACTGGAAGGACCTTTTCATATGTATATCTTCACAGAATAGAAGTAAGTTCAAGGCCATCTCAAAATCAAAGGATTTCAAAAGCTTTGTATCCAGCATGGAAAGGTATAGATGTGCTGGATGGGAATGTAGGGCGTGTACTTTTGTTAACGAAAGAAACACATCTGCCTGTGAGATGTGCAATGGCAAAAGGGAGTGACTGCCCCTCTGTGATTAAATGCTTTATGATAGTCTTGAGATGTGTGAGGAGAAGCCTGGTTTTTTCTAGATTTTTTCTGCAGTAAAAAAAAGATAAAAGAGACTGGCTGTTGCAGGGCCATGTCTAAAGATCCTAAGGGATATTATAAAATACTCGAGCTGAGTCCTGGGGCATCTATATCTGAAGTAAGAAGAGCTTACTCAAGACAGCAAGCAAAGTATCATTTAGATTCACCATTTATGAAGGACAAACTGAAGAATGCAGCTAATGATGAGGAGAGAGAAAAGATAAAGAAGGAGTGTGGGGAGATGTCTGCAAAGCTGAACTCTGCCAAGAGTGTACTGTTTGATGAGAAGAAGAAGAAGGAGTATGACAGCGGAGTTGGGGAGTTTGGGGCTCACTTTTCTGGGGGAGGCTATTCAGACATTTTTGACATATTTAGTCAGTTTACGGGGGGCAGAGGCCATCAAAGGACAAATAAGGTGAATTCTACGAAGTATGTCATAACCATTTCTCTTAGAGAGTCGTTTGTCGGGAAGGTGTCGAAGTTCAATGTTAGGACTGAAAAGATATGCCCTACATGTGACGGGAAGGGAGGAAAGGATGTAGAAGCGTGTAAGAAGTGCAATGGAAGTGGAGTGTGTACTACCCGTAGAAACCTAGGGGGGTTTGTGACTCTTGCAGAAACACGATGTGATTCCTGTGGAGGGTCTGGGAATAAGATTAAAGGCAAGGCATGTAGCGCATGCAACGGCGGGGAGTATATACAAGACAAGACCATGTTTGAAGTGAATATAAAGCCAGGAGTTAGAAAAGGAGAGAAGATTGTCTTTGAAGGCATGGGGGACCAGAGAAGAAACCATGTTCCTGGAGATGTAATTTTCATAATTGATGTGCAAGAGGACAGTAGATTTGAAAGGCGTGGGAATGATCTGATAGGCAAGATAGATATTCCTCTATGTACTGCTATTGGAGGAGGTGTTGCATACTTCACCCACATCGACGGGAGACTGCTCGAGATAAATGTGAACCCTTTCAAGACGTTTGACACTGTTCTTAGGATTCGCAACGAGGGATTCAAGGGGAATAAAGTGGGGAATCTGGTTCTAAGGCCGAATATCATAATTGGAAGTGAGTCTGACCGAGCAAAGATTATGCAAGTATTGCCGGCACCACCGAGAAAGCCTTATGGAACGTTTACGAAGGTGAACAGTGAGTTTGGTAATATGCCTGAGGCCGAGAGGGAACAAGAAGATGCTTCTGATGATGGTATGCATAATGCCAAAAGCTTCTTTAACAACTTCAGCTTCTTTTGAAGACGAGAATAAACGATTTAAGGTATAATAAGCTATTTCCGAATTCTAATCTGATGAGTTTTTATTCTGTTGTGCTAAGACCCTAGTAGATGAATAGCCAGGTGCTAGAACAGAAGGTGATCAATGAGGAATACAAAGTATGGAAGAAAAATGTGCCATACTTATACGACCTCATGTTCTCCCACACTCTGCAGTGGCCATCTCTTTCTGTCCAATGGTTTCCTGATGTGAGGAGAGATGAGGATATTGGTAGAACAACACAAAGATTGCTTCTGAGCACTCATACAAGCGGGAGTGAAGACGAATATATAATGATAGTCAATGTTGAGTTTCCTGATGAATTTGATGAGTCTCTGAATGAGGAAGTGAACGGAGACATGAGATTGAAGATTGTCCAAAGGATTTCTGTTATGGACGAAGCCAATCGAGTCAGATATAATCCATCTGCATGCAATATATTGGCAGTACGTTCTGACATTTCCGATGTACATATCTATGACTACACAAAGCACTTGTCCCATGAGAAGATCCCAAGGCCCGATATGGTCTTAAGAGGGCATGAAAGTGGAGGATTTGGATTATCATGGAATAATCTGAGTCCTGGAGAAGTTGCTAGCTGTGGAGAGGATGGGAATGTATGTGTATTTGACATAACACAGGAGTCCTCTTTGGTTTCACCCATGGTGACACTGAGTCGGCACAAAGCAGCTGTTAACGATTGTTCCTTTGGTTTTTTCGATAAAGAGCTACTATCATCTGTTGGGGATGATGGGATTCTAATGTTCTGGGATACGAGGACCGGAGATTGCATACACCTTGTTGAAGAGGCACACAGCTCCGATGTTCTTTCTGTAAGCTTTTCCTCACTTGATGGAAATGTTGTTGCTACATCATCTGAAGACAAGTCTGTGAAGATATGGGACAGGAGAAACCTTTCCCAACCGTTTCAGGTTTTCCTGGGACATTCAAAGGATGTGCTGAATGTGGAGTGGTCTCCTCATGATAGTGGGGTGCTTGCATCTGGAAGTGCAGACCGAAGAGTGATTGTATGGGATATGAACCGGGTTGGAGAACCAGTATCTGAGGAGTACAAGGCAGAAGGGCCTTCTGAAATGAGGTTCTTACATGGAGGCCATACAAGTACTGTGTGTGACATTTCCTGGAATCCGGCTGAGCCCTTTGAGATTGCTAGTGTCTCAGAAGATAATATATTACAGATATGGCAGATGCCACAACCTGAATGAAAAAAGTTTTGTGAGATTTTATTAGTTTTTCTATTGTTTGATGCAAGAAGGTCTAGTTAGAGCTAAGCTTATATAACACAAATACTTGAAGTAATCCTCCCACAAAACCTCCTAAGTATTGGCCTCCAAAATAAAGCCAGAAGTGTGTCCATGTGTTTGACATTATCACGGGAGCAAATGTGAGTCCAGGGTTGAATGCACCTCCAGAGCTTGCCAGGCCTAGGAATGCGAGGAATCCAAGTGTCAGTCCTATGGACAGAGGTGCGGTAATTCTGCGATCAACAGGCTCCTTCTCATCGGGATCCACAAACTTTCCATCGGTATCAACCTTTGGTTTGTATGGATTCACAGCTACTGCAAAGACGATGTGAACAAAGATTGCTGTGAGAAAGAACTCTGTGAAGAAGACATTGAGATTATCTCCTCCAAAGGAACTAGGTGCAGGTCTTATTATGTTCAGTGTTTCCTTATATCCAATAGGAGAGCATGGGATGAGAGCACACACAGCAAGCATGAACCCTACATACTGAGCCAATATGTATCCTAGCCCATGAAAGATCCCGATCTTACCTGTCAGTATTGCTGTAAGTGTGATTGCAGGATTGAAGTGTGCGATGGTTACGTCGCCAAAGGAGTATATTATTCCAATAGCAGAAAAGCCAACTGTCAATCCAACAATGACTCTGGCGGCCGATTGCTGAGAAACGGTAGACCCTAGAACGGCAGAATAAACGGCAAATCCAAAAACAAAAGAGGCAACCATTTCTCCAAACATGGACTGTAGTGTCTTCAACGTCTCCCTAGCCATTTGTTTGTTTTATTTTCTTCTTTAAATATTTTGCCTTCTGATTCAATAAAGGTAAGTAATTAAGGCATACATTTTAGTATCAAATTAAATCACTAGTAGAGGCCTGCACAGGTCCTAAACACTACTTATAGATTTAACGGATATTATTCTATGTAAACAATGATCAGATTCAGATTAATTTAATCACTGTGATCTTATAACCTTGTATTTTATCACAAGCCTATCCCCAAAGCCACCAAGTCATTCTAGGTGCGAACCCGTCTCTTGTGGGGCGAGAGACAATGCTATCCTTACGCACAATAACTATATATAGAATGAAAAGAGAAAATGTGAATAGATAGAAGAGATATGGAGAGTTCAGCGAATGCTCCAGAATTGTCTTTTTCCACACCCAAGGCATGGCAGAAGAGCAGAACAGAGAAGATATTATTATGAACAGCACAGACATTGGTGAGTACACTGAAGGAAGGTTGATGCTTCTATTTAACTTGGCGATGATCAGAGACCCTGCAAGAATACTATTTGATACAATGAATGGAATAAAGACACTATCCATTTTGTGGAGTTCTTCTTTAAATGTGGATGTATCAACGAACGCTAGCATAGTCCCAGCCACAGCCATTGCTAAAAAGCTGAAGAAGTTGGATGATTCTCTGTCCCCAATCCTCCCGAAAAACTCTCCAAACAATACTCTGATTCCAACTATAGGAATGAAGAATATTATATTCATGGATCTGTTTGTGATGTAATATCTCATGAAGTCTGGGACCTGGGACCTCGAGAATCCATGCTCTTCTACAAACCACAGGTCAAATAGTGGAGAGAGGAATATGACACATATGCAAATCATGAAAGCAGAGCTTCCAAAGGGAATAAAGCAGGACAGAATGGAAGCTGTTACTTGATACATTAGATAGGCTAGGCAGAAGAACAATGAGTTCATGTGGAGGATCTTTGTGTACACAAAGATAATCATGATGTCTATCAAGGCACTGATAGATCCCGTGTATGCAGAGATAGGTGTAATCCTTGTCTTTGCCCTCATCATATGTGCTAGGTTGAACAGCGTTAGAACTATTGAGATAAACAGTGTCGAACTTAAGAAAAATGCACAGTTGGCTGTTTTGCACACAAAGCTTTCCATCGACAGCCCCACCATTAGGCCGAGTGTCACAATTATGCTGCAAGCCATGCTTTTATATTCTATTTCCATGTGGGGTGGGCTCCTTTGGTTAACTTAAGGAGCAAGACCTATCATAAAGGAGTTACTAAAGTCATTTTATTGAGGGCTTTACGAGCTGGACCTGGCCTTCCAACTCCTCAATCACCCGACTTAACATTCTTTCTCCATCATGTGCATTCTCTGAAATTACAAACACCTTGACCAAGTAATAATCATCAGTTTCCTTATGCTTGCTGCTCTCCTCAGAAACGTGCTTTGATATCTCGATGTGGCCTGGCTCTTTCTCAAAAGTTATCAACTCAACCTTTCCCTGCCTCACTAGCTCAAATCCAAGCGAGAACAGAAACACCTTAAGAGTGCCCAGAGTCCTGACCCTCGACCTCTGTACTTTTGAGCAAAGCGACATCCTATTCTTGTTCCTATCTGGAGCCCCTCTGCTTATCAAATAAACACCATCACTCTCTTCAGACACAAGTAACACGTTTAGTCCATTGGAAAATATACTTTCAGTAGCAATCTTGTCTGTTCTTTTGCATAGCCTCAGATAGTTGCAAATACAGTCGATCTCCTTTAGATATCCAAATACAGAGCATTCAATCATTTAAGGGGATAGTGCAAAATTTGTTGCAAACACTCAGGCATCATGTCTATTTCTCGAGCTGCTCCACCTTGCACTGAGAATGGTGCACGAGTATGAAATCCTCCTCAATAGACCTACATGTAGGCGTCAGGAATCCTGGGATTGTTGCATAGCTTCCACACACATCGCATGGTGCCCTTTCATATCCAATATACATCATCAGCATATCGTTGGCAAGTCCCAAGTGTTTGTCGGTAGGCTCACTTCTTATTGAACAAAGGATATGGTTGTCTATTCCTATATCCCCTCCACTTACAGATATAATGCCATGCTCTGCATGATACAGGAATTCAAGTTCCCCGGCTTTGTACTTCACAATCCCGTTTTTGGAATCAATCTCCGTAAGCTCTTGGCGCTGAACCTTCGGCTTGCTGAGCAATGTTACTAGTCGGATGTAGCTTTTATGAATATTGCCTAGGATCTGTCCAAAGACGTCCTCCCTGCATATCTCGGCCCTCAGGCTTCTTAGTGAAAGCAGGAGATCGTTCGCCCTCTTTCTAACCAAGGCCTTGAGCCTCATCCTGGGGCGAAGTATGAACACATGGAATAGAGACAAAAAATTCCAAAATTTGATCCCAAACAAATGGGCGTAGAATTGAAAAAATATGAGGACATTCTGAGATGGGTTAATGCTGAAGAGAAAACATTGAGATATAGAAGAAGGGTGGGGGTATTCAAGGGAAGTGATGCTCTCGTCCTTCTAACTAAGAAGGGCTTGGATTCCTCACAAGCAAGGTCTGTCATGCAAGAGCTTTTGAACGAAAGCATTCTGTTCAAAGTATCTATTAACAAGAGAAACATAAGGGAGTGTGATGTGGTGCTTGACCAAAGATTCCAAGAGGATCATCACTATGTCTTTGCAAATGAAAAAACATCCAACATCTCTCTTGTTCTTTGTGGAGTGTTTGTTTTGGTTACATTCACAATTGTTCTCTTCCGAATGTGGCCAAGAAATATCCAGCAGCGATTGTTCTCGTATATGGTCTATCCTCTTGGTGGATTCATCACATTCATAATTGTTCTTGCAATAATAAGATTGATATTGTTTTCAATAACATATATACTGTATTCGCCCGGGATTTGGTTGTTTCCCAACCTGTTTGAAGATGTAGGGTTCTTTGAAAGCTTTGTTCCTTTGTGGGAGTACCATGGAAGTAAGAAGGTAAAGAATGGAAAATAAATACGGCTTTATACTAAAACCCAGTGGTTCATTTCAACCTTCTTGAACGTAGATGAAATGTGCTAAAAAGAATTCCTTATTGCACCTTTCCACAAATAGGGAGAATCCATCACGTTTGATAGCAAACATTCCTTTGGTTATTGGAAGTCCGCATACAAATCTTCCCTCTTCGTCTAGGTACTTGACTGGGTTGATTGGGTCTTTAAACACTTCTGAGTTATCGCAGCAGGCAGCCTCTTCTCCTTCTATAAAGAACAGGTCGCATACATTTCCTTCCACTGTATTACATCTATCGTTCAGAAGTATGTAATCTCCCACTCTGAAATGATAGAAGCCTCCATCCTTAAGCTTCCAACCCTCCATGGTAGGAACTAAGGGATTGCTAATCTCTATTCTTTCCACTCTCCGCAAGTAAAAAGGCCCTTCAACACTTCTTGAGACACATTCAAAATCATACTCTACACCCGGAAAGAATACAAAGGAACTCTCTCTGAAATCTACTTCCAACGGAAAGGTCTCATATCCGGTTATTCCGAGTACATCCATGGATCTACTACCACCGTCGTGCTTTATTCCTGCAAAGTTCAGCCACCCAGTAAATGCCCGTCTCCCATCTTTTTCACAATACCCAACTTCATGGAATGATATGTCAGAAACTTCAAATACTACCAATCTGTTTGCCTTCACCTCAACTCTCTTCGAAACGGTCATGCAATCATTCTCATAAAGAATAAGTTCACCAGAATCGTAATCCTCTAGGTAATAACTGAAAGCAAATCTTCTACTCCCCGTCTTGTCGTCGTGGCACAGAAGATAATCTCCTTTCCTATAGTAAGAGCCAAATAGATCTATCCATCCTCCTCTCTCATCTCCGATTTCCTCAAAAACCTTCATCAAAGAGCTTTTGAAGAACGCAAGATCCTCTCTTTCTTTCAGCTCGCCAGTCTGCAAAAACCGGAACAGATCTGTATGAAGTTCTTGAAATGCACATCTTCCATGTACATCTCGTATTGCTTCAACATCAGAGGGAGATAGGAAATCGTCCTTTACAAAGTGAAGAAATGGCCTTTCATACCTTTTCATCTGGGGGAGACAAAGTGGCACCCAGGAATATCCAAAGATAGAGAAACTTTTATTTTGATACAGCCTTGCCTATGTTTACAACTAGAGATCGGGAAACATTGTCAGTCTTATACACACCGAGCAAGGTTTCGCTAAGCTCAAACATGTCGCTCCGTAAGCTTATCACAAGGAATTGAGCTGTCTCCGACATCTCTTTTATGAAGTTCGATATCACACTCACATTCCTGTAGTCCAGGGCAGCATCTATCTCGTCCATCACATAGAATGGCGACGGCTTATATCTATGAAGTGCAAAAATAAGTGCAAGGCTGCTGAGTGTCTTTTCTCCTCCACTCAGATTTCCAACACTTTTCCAGCTCTTTTTTGGCGGCATCACACTTAGAATCACTCCCTCGCTGAACGGATCGAGGTGGTCAACTAGTTCTAGCTCCGCATTCCCTCCATATGTAATGGCCTTATAGATCTCCTTAAGGTTTTCAGATATCTGCAAAAAGCCCTTCATAAACTCATCATGCCTCCTCTTCTTCAGACATTCCACCGATGCACCTATCTTCTTGAGCCTTGATTCAAGCCATTTGTGCTCTTCCTTTACTTTCTCGTATTCGATTTTGGCCTTCTCATAATCTCCAAATACATTCATGTCAATCTCTCCCTCTTCTTCCTTTCTTAGCTTTGCAATAGTAGCATTGATTTTCTTCATCATCTCCTCCATCTCCTCTTCGTCCATGTCCTCGGCCCTGACTTTACTATGGACATCGTTGCATATGCCCGCATACCTCCTAACCTCACTCTCAAGAATACCGATATTCCTCTCACTCTCACAAATTTGTCTTCTGCATTCGTCGCCTTTGTCATCCACATCGTCTAGTCTATTCTTGAGGTCAATCTCCATATGATAATCATTTCCAAGGATGGACTTTATGCTTGCAATCTCATTCAATATCTCCTTGAGATTCCCAGCATCCTCTCTATATTCGCTTTCACACTCAACCATTCTGCTTCTAATCCCAGAAATATCTTCAATGGTGATTCTCGAAAACCTTTTCCTTCTTTCTTCAAGTTCTTTCTCCTTGTCCTTCAATCCTGTCTCTACACAACCTTCAATCTGCAGCCTCAGCTCGAGATTTCTTTTCTCAAACATCTCAATTCGCTCATTAAGGTTGAGAAGATTCTCTTTCTTCCTACGGGTTTCAATATCAGTGAGACTCTCAACTATACTCCTTAAGGAAGACACTTTCTTTCTAATCTCTCCAAGCTCCATCTCAACCTTCTCAATTTCTTCTTTATTAATCTTCTTGCTTACTACTTCAATGTCTTTCACCACACACTCCAATTCAGATCTAAGCCCTTCCAGGGTTTTACAAAGACTTCCCCTCTCCTTCAAGCTTCTGATAACTTCAAGCTCCTCGACCTTCATCTTCTTCAACTCAGTCATCTTCAAACATGCTTTCTCAAGCTCCTCAACACTCTTTATTCTTCCCGATATCTTTCCTCCACTCATAACTCCGCTCTTCTCAATAAGCTTTCCATCAATCGTCACAACTCTTTTTCTTTGTCTCCCAAATGCAAGCTTCTTCGCAACTTCTAGTTCATCGCAGACCAATGTGTCCTTCAGAGCAAAGTAAAAGCACTTTTGAAACTCCGGAGAGCATTTGACAAGGCTGTATATATAAGGTACGCTTTCCTTTGGGAGATTAGGAACCTCGGAGATTCTATCAAGTATTATGAATGTAGCTCGTCCCAATCCCTGACTTTTAATCAAGGAAATACACTCCTCAGCAGTACATGTTGTATCAACAACTATGCTGTTCAGGCCTTTTCCCGCCACTCTAAACGCCTTGTCATACCGGGATTCCACTTCTCCTAGGTCACTCAGCTTCCCATAGACCCCCTTTACGTGTCCAACCCTCTTCAAAATCTCACTTTCTTTACTGTTCTTCTCTTCATTCTCCTTGTACTCCTCCACTCTCTGCATCCTCCTCCCCATCTCTCTTCGTGTCTCGGCCAAGTCCTTTTCAATCTCTTTGATCTCATTCTCAACAGCCTCCTCACTTCTTCCCGGTACCGTCTTCTTTCCATCAATCCTCAATAATTTGTTCTCAATGTCCTCAATCCTTCTCACAATCTCAGACTTCCTGGATATCAAACCCCCCAGCTTAGACTCAGTGTCTCGCTGTCTCTCCCCAATCTCTCCTTTTCTTTCAAGGAGCTTCATCATCCTTTCTTCTTCCCTTAGAATCTCCTCAACCTTCTCTCGAGCTTCCTTATCAACCCTTCTTTGGTCTTTGTCAATCTCCAGTCGGAGCTTCTCTCCCAATACATTACATCTTGAAATCTCTTTGGTATTCTGGTCAATCTCTTCTTTATACTTAGTCCGCATCTTCTGTCTCCTATCCTCTCCACATTTAATCTCTTCAATCTCTCTACTCAACTCCTCCATTCGCCTTAGCTCTTTCTCCTTTTCCTCTTCTAACATCTTCCTTCTTCTCTCCGCCCTTTGGTATTCTCTCCTTGCTTCTAAGAACCTCTCCTCAGAACCTCTTGCTTTTTCTCTTGCCTTCACGCCCTTTCTTTCTAGAATCTCAACCTTCCCACCATTCTCCTTGTTTTTCCTTACAATGGTCTCAAGCTTCTCTTCAATCTCCTTTCTTTCAGAAACAAGCCTCTCTAGTTTTTTCCTATTCCAAGAGGAACAAAGAAGTTGAAGATCAACATCTAGATATAGGCACTCAGCTTTTCTCTTAGCTATCCTCAAGTTTTCCTCCTTCTTTCTCTCAATATGTTCATACTCCTTTTCATAGAACTTCAAAGCTGCAGACTTGCCCTCGTATTCTTCAGCCACCCTTTGGTGTTCCCTCTCCTCCTTCTCAATCTCTTCCTTATATTCATTCGTCCCAATCACATCCTCGAGATACTCAAGTAACCCGTCCCCCATAGGCTTGATCATCGCAATATTCTCAATTTCTCCTTGTAATATTAGAAATCTGTTATGCTCCATGTCAACCCCCTCACTGTTTAATAAAGACATCACCACTGCCGAAGACGCCTCCTCTCCATCCACAAAGTACCTGGACCTTCTTGGCAAACACACCTCCCGCTTTATCCTAAACTTGTTGAACCCCAGCTCCACATAGCACATGCTCTCTGTGCCATCTCCCTTGTATATCAACCCTTCCATCGAAGAGTGCCGCATCTTTCTTGCTCGGAACCCAAGGACAAAGAGAATGCTGTCTATTACATTACTCTTCCCAGACCCGTTCGCCCCAACTATTGCCGTGAACTTTGGGTCAAGGCCCTGGATCACGTGGGTCCCCTTGTAGCTTTTGAAGTTGTGGATTGTTATCGACTCCAACCTTAATTTCATCCCAGGGCCCTCTTACACCATTCATAAATTTTTGTTCTCTTACCCCTGCTGGGGGCTGGAAGCTTTCGATTAGGGGCTGTGCCCTTGGGAAGGTCTGAGATGAGACGTCTAGCCGAAAGGGCGCCTAGTTAGTGCTAGGGATCGTTCACAACAGAAACACTCACTTCTTCTATGACTGGAACAGCGTGATTAGGAGGAGTTTGGAAATTGAACGATGTCTTAGACTAAAATAGTCAAACTCGAAAGGCAGCCGTTTGCGCTGTAACCAGATTCAGACTACTCTCCAGCACCCAGCTTTTTGATACAAAGGTTTGACTTTATTTACTCTTTTTCTTCTCTTTCTACTCAATCCGGCCCTAGAAAAATTCCTTTGGTTTGTGTCCCAGAATGAATCCGGAAGAAGGTTGCAAGGAGCTCGAAGAGAGCATATGCTGGGCAAACTCTCCTCCTGCGCCAGTCCCAGGGATGTGCTACATCGAGCCACAGATAAAAAGAGACTTCACTTCGTTCGATGGATCTCTTGAGAAAGCTATACCAAGACAGTTGTATACAGATCTTCTTGACGCCATGGACATAGACTTCATGGGAATGGTTATAAATCACATTGAGGGGTCAGTCCAAAACACCAAGAACCTTGATCATCCAAGCGAGGTTCTTAAGGACTCCGAAAGGAGGGCCGAGGTTCTGGAAAGAGAAAGAATAAAGGAAAGCGTGAATAGAATATTCGACTATCAAAAGTATATCCAAGAGTCTTTTGAAGATGTAGATAGCACAATAATCCATCCTGTGGACAAGGACATCCAAGTGGAGGAAACTTACAACCTCTTCCCAGGGTTTGATGAGGAGCATGTAATCATTCAGTCAGACAATATTGACTTTCAGAGAGTTTCCTTCAGCATTCTAGAAGAAGAGTCCTCGCAACTGTTTAGAAGGGCTTGCATGTCTGATGGAAGGGCTCTTACATGCTTACCACAGAGAGTGGACGACTTCTTGGTATTCCATATAAAGAATGGGAATGCATATTACAATGAGGTTTCCACACTTTACAGACTTCAGGAGCCCAGGAAAAAAAAAAAACAGACGGGGAAGAAGGGTAGTTGGTGGAGCAGGAGATCAAAAATAAGTGTGATACAAACCCCATGGGATCGTCGGATTCTGGAAACGAGTCCAAGACCAATGAAGGTACTTTACAGGCCACGGCTTCCAAGAAAATGCCATTGAAGCTTGTCGATCAGGATGGAACAATGCTAGTGTTCAATGTTAAGGTAAACACAACATTCAAGAAGATACTCGATGCCTTCTCTCGTAATGTTGGGAAGAACAGCTCCGAGTTTCGACTATTGTTCAACGGAAAGAACATCGATCCTGGAAAGACACCAAACGACTTTGGATTTGAGGGCAATGAGGAACTTGAGGTAGTGACCTCACAAGTGGGAGGATCGTCGTGGTAGATAGTCCTTGCAGCTTGTAATGCCCCGCTCAAGAGCTGGAATTAAACAAATACTATGAAGATCAATATTTTTCGACATCTCAACCCTAGGGATGAGAGGAAGCAAAGCACAGATGAGGGTTTTTGAAGAAAATCGGGTTACGAGGAGGTTGCTACTGAGGAGCATGATACTATATAATGTATGTACACTGGCAATGTATTTAGTAAACAAAGAAAGAAGCATATCAACGTATTTGGTTAGATCTATTCCAGAGGCACTTGCCATTTATTATCTCTATAGAATCTCGGCACCTACCATTACTTCTGAAGGGAATACAACAACACTGGTGAACCCGGGGGCTGCCCTCAGCGGAAAGGGCCATGTCAGCGTTGCATTCGACCTTTTATTCATTTCGATGCTTGTGAAGCTCCTACTACTCTATTCTAGAAAGTCATGGCTATTGTATCTTTTCTTTGTTATCTCTTGCTGCTATGAGCTTTTATACAAGCCATTTTCAGCTCTAAAGCCAAAGATAAAATAAAAAGAATCAATTGAAAGTGCCTTGTATTTCCTATTGCTCGGGACACGAAGGTTGCTTGGCGCTCACATGTTCCCCAAATTCCTCCAAAAACATTCTCTTTGTCTCTTCGAAATCTTTTCTGCAGTCCTCCTCAAATTGCTTTTTCTTTTCTTTATTTGTGAGTTGAGCACGCAATTTTAGAAGAAAATCCTTTCCGTGTGACAAGGCATATTTAGCATATAGTGATATCTTTGAAAGGATAAGGCCCCCTGCATCGTTTCCTTCTTTAATCTGCTCGGCCAGGTTGTGAAGAACAACAACCTCAAACTTCTCCATATTGATCTTCGATTGGTTCATCAGCTCAATGAAGTTGTCTAATTCATTGTGGACTATAAGGTACTCCAGCTCTTGAATGTAATCTTTCTCCGAATCTTCAGAGGGGATCCTGAAAGACTCTGTATCAAGGCATACATAGGAAGGCTTCAAAATCCTTTCTATCTCGTTCTTTTCTTCAATCATCTCCTCCCCAGGGTCATTGATAGAATTGATTTCCTGCAGCCTTTGCTCCAGCTCTCTCCTTTTCTGCTCCCTCTGCCTTCTCTTCCATTCTTTGTAGCTTTTCTCATCTATGTTGGGATGTATCTCCTCCTCTTCGTCGCTATCCAAATTGATTCCAGAATATTTCGAGCTCATGGGGTAGAGACACAGCCATTTTCATATTGAATCCCAAGCCCCATGCCACTCAAGTACACTCCGAAGCTGTGCACAGTCCCGAAGATTGACCAAATAACCACACCAAACAAAAACATACAGAGCTTCTTCATGAGGAGCGATGCATCGTACTATGCTGATGAGAAGCATAGAATGGCAAACTACAGGACTGACGAGCAGATCATTCACATTTTGGTCTGGAACAACAAGCTTCTTGTGGAGTCTGAGTCCATTGATCTTGGGGATTTCTTTTATCTGACGGGGATGAACACAAAAAGGTTTGGAAGCCTTGAAGAATGTGTTGGATGGCTGGGAAATCAGATTTCGGATGTATTAAGGAAGCTGAAGATAAAGCCTGGAAGCTCGTTTGTTTCCCTTGTGTTCCAGGATCTTCTGAACAGGACAGAGGTATTGGCACTGTGCAATCTCTTCATCAATGTCTTGTCATTCAAAGGGATTCTGATAACACCGCGGAGCCTATCGCAAGCAATCGGGACTCTTTCTCCCAACTGTGTTGTAGTGAATCTCTATGAGCAATATACTACAATATGCTTTGTGGAGGATTTCTGGATGCTAGATGGGATTTGCGTGTCCAGAGAATGCAACAAGGGATTTGAGCTTATTGACTCTGTGGATTTTGTTGATGAATTCAATAAGATCAAGGTATTTGAAGAGAAGAACATCTTTTCTTGTGACAAGTGTGATTACAAAGATGAAACAGAGGCGAAGATGGAGGCACACTTTCTATCTTTGCACCAGGAGGAGAGCGTGTGCCACACAGATGTCGGCCAAAGCGAACATTTCAAGATGCACTTCAGAGTCTATGATGGAGAGGAGGGGGATATTCATGAGCTTATAGCCAAAAGAACAATCCATGTTCTTAGTAAGGAGAAGGCAAAGAAGATAGGAAGCAAAGTGATTGTGTTTAATTATGGGGGCATGGGGCTGTCTGAAGAATGCCTAGGGAGGGCTTTTGAGGAGTATGGGATCAATCCTGAGATTTCTATGCATGAGGAACCTAATGAGAGTATGATTACGAATGTGATGGTTGCCTTTTCTGGGCTTGATTGTGTCAAGGAGATATGGATGACAGACAAGGAATGGAACGGTGCAGGGCTTCGTGTGTTGAAGGAGAAGGTGCTTTTCATTATATAATGTGTTCGGATAAGATTGACAGAAAATTCACCCTGAAGGATGGAGAACGAAGAAGAAATTGAGTTCTTTGGATTTGTGCCTGTGACTCTGGTTGCTGAACTACAGAGTGAGATAGAGGGGATTCTTCGAGACGGGGTTGAACAGCTGTCTTTTCTTGACAAAAGAAAGGCTCATAGAATATCAGGGATAGTATTTGAGTCTTTTCGAAGAAACTACTTTATATTTTCGAACTTTGTTTTGAGAAACATTCTTAGATTCCCACCTTCATTCCGGTTGGAAAGGAAGGCCAATGATGCTGTTGTGACCATAGACCTTCAGTCGATCACAGATGAATTGGTGAATGTACTTGGGGAGGAGGATTACTATGAAGCCGAGGTCTTGAGATTGAAAGAAAGCATTGATATTGAGAGATATAGATTAGAGTCTTATAGATCGCTGTTGGAATGCTCAAAGCCTGTAAATAGCCTAATTGAAAGCATTATGGAAGCCTATTCAGAACTTGAAAATGTTACGAAGCTCTATGACAAGATGAGCATGATAAGTGGAATGGATGACGAAGATCACAATGCCTTGCTTGAGTATAGGGAGATTAGAAGCAGTCTTGCAAAGAAGGAAAGAGACGATCTTCTAAGGATAGCAAGCGAGGAGGTGCTTATGATGATGAACAAATGTACCGAAAAATAAAGTGAAGGTTTATATATTTTCTGTAGGAATATGGTTTTGAAAAGGTTTGGATCCCTTGTGGAATGCCGTTTCTTAAGAAGCTTATGATGCGAGGGATAAGGTCGTTCAGTCATAAGGAAAGTAATATACTGGAGTTTTACTCTCCATTGACCTTGATAGTTGGAGCAAATGGAACGGGAAAGACAACGATAATTGAGTCATTGAAGTATGTCAGTACTGGAAGTCTTCCACCTAACAGCAGGGGAGGGGCGTTTATCTATGATCCAAGGGTTGCAGGATTAGCAGAGGTTCAAGGGCAAGTGAAGCTTCTGTTCATCAATGTGCACGGGGAGACGATGGTATGCTCACGGTCTCTTCAACTATCACAAAGAAGAGGCAAGAGAGAGCAGAAAACCCTAGAAAGTGTAGTGTGGGCTGAGAGAGATGGAGGAGGAGTGAGTGGAAGGAGTGGAGATGTTGATATTGAGATGCCACAGCATTTTGGGGTATCCAGCAGTGTATTGGAGAACATTATATTCTGCCATCAGGAAGAAAGTACGTGGCCTCTTGGAGAGCCTGTTGTTGTCAAGAAGAAACTTGACGAGATATTTGCATCTGAAAAGTATGGGAAGGCCTTGGATAGCCTGAAGTCATCTAAGAAGGAATGTTCTTCCGACATTAAGATGAAAATGCAGGAGTTAGAGTTTCTGAGGAAGGTGAAGGAAAGAAAAGAGTCTCTTGAGGCTCGGATAAAGAACGGGTGTATGTCTATAGAGAGAAATGAGATGAAACTTGAAGTCTATGATAATGAGGTAAGGAGATGTGAAAGTGTTATTGAAGAGATAGATGTAGAGCTTCTGAATAATGAAGAGGCTGAAAGAAAGGCATATGTTCTAAGGAATGAGTATGAAGAGCTGATGAGTTTTGTTGGGGGTTTTAAGGAAAGGAGGTTGGGATTGGAGGAAGCAAGAGATATTCTCAGGGGAGAATCTTTAGCTGATGCCGAAAAGAGATATGAAAGAATAAAGATAGAGTCTGAAGAGAGTGAAACCCGATTTAGATATCTGAGTGAGAAAAGAAGCGCCTATCTCAAGAACAAGGTGGAGCTTGATGGGGTATTTTCTGAGATATCCGTCAAGTCTTCTCTTTTAGATGAAGCAAAGCGGCAGAAGATGGAAGCCTTCAGGAATCTTGAATCTGAGCTTCTGGTCACAAAAGACTTTAGAGAGACTGCTCTTGAGGCCTTCAGGAAAGTAGAAGAAGACATTAAAGGTAGAAGAGAATATGTAGAAAAGCTTGAGGAAGAATTTCTGAGGCTGAAGAGGGAAGACAATGATAAAATGAAAACGCTTTCAGAGAAGAAGAGAATAGTCGATGAATACAAAGACCTTGTGAATGACGAAAGCATAGACGTATCTATATCACATGAAGAAGAGGTTGAAAGACTTAGGACGGAGGTTGGTAGGGACAAGGAGATGGAAGCTTTGGAGGAAAGACTAGAAGACTACCAGAGAAGATTGAACAATGCATATAGTATTGCAGAGAGAAACTTTATGGTGAACCAGGCAAGAAACAGGAAGAAGGAGATAGAGAAGATGCTGAAAGAAGTGAATGTTTCCGAGCTCCGGACAAGACTAGAGAGACAGAGGATGGAGCTGAGAGAAAAGGAGAAGAAGATGAAGGAGATTGAGAAGGAGGTAAATCTTAGGAAGGCGGAGATGATACAAAGAGAAAGAATGAATGACAGGATTAGAAAGGACATAAGGATGAAAGCCACAGAGCTTAGAACCATGATGCAAAGGGCTAATATATCTACTGTAGAAGGACTAAGAATTACAAGGTTCTATGATAGAAGTAGATATAATGTGAAAGAAGCTAAGGAAATAGTGAGTAAGAATGGAGCTTTCTTTGGAGAGGACATCGTGGCATTTGGAGTTGAGATGCTGGATTTTGAAGGCCTTTATGACAATAATGAAGGCCAAGTGGTGAGCAATGAGACTGAAGGCCTATACAGAGAAAGGATTTACAGAGAGATATTGGAGGATGGAAGTAAAAGTCATGGATGTCCTGTATGTAATAGATCCTTTTCTATGGAGGAAGAGGCTGGATTCAAAAGAAGACTAGAGATGGAGATAGAAAAAGTTTTGGATGGGAAGGAGAATAGTGTTAGGAATCTGGAGAGAGTAGACGATGTTGCTAAAGAGGTGGAAAGGGTCAATGAAGGCATAATGAATAGAAACAAAATAAGAGAAGAGATTATTGAATTGCTTCTTCGATATGAACCTGACTCTGATGGGGTGGACTCCGAGATTTTAGAGGAGATGGAGCTAGATATTTTAGATGAGGTTGAAGGGATCAAGAAGACGGAGTTTTACATTGAATTAGTATCTGAGCTATTTTCCATAAATGGGAAGTTGAGGGATGAGGAGGAAGGGGAGTCTGTCCAAGAGTTGAAGTCGATGATTGATGGGGTAAGGAAGATATATGAGGATAAAAAGAGAGAGGTGAAGAGGAAGAAGGAGATGATTGAGTATTTGGAGGGGAAGCAAGAGAAGATCAGGGCTGAGAAGGAGATACGTAGGAAGATAAACTTCCGAGAGGAAGCAAAACGGGCCATCGAGCAGATTGAGAGGAGTAACATGAGAGCAAGGATTAATGATATCTCTGAAGAAATATGTCGAAGAAAGGGAAAGGTTGATAAGATTTTTGAGAAGTTTTCAAGGAAGAGAGTAGAATTAGAAATGAACATGGAAATCTTCTACCAGAAGGAAAAAGAAGTAGTACAGCTTGAGAAGGAGGTGGAGGAGCTGAATGTCAAGGCCAAGAAGCTCTTGCAAGTTGAACATTGTGAGGAGGCAAGGGACGAGGCGAAGTTTGATTCTGTAAGAAATGATCTTTTGGAGAAGAAGAATGAGGTTTTAGAGGTAGGACAAAGGATCCGTATGATGCATGAAATGCGAAGCTTGGCAGAAGAAAGCATAAGATATTACAACAAACAGAAAAGAATTGAAGAAATAGAGAAGGAGTTGTCTGAGACTGATTTCGAGTATCTAGCCACGCTTAAAGAGAAGAAGAGACTTCTAGAAGAAAAGAAAATGAATCTAATCTCTCAGAAGTCACTACTACTTGGGGAATGCAAGCAGATTGCCCTAGGAATAAAATCCTGTAAGCAAGAGCTTCAGAAGGACCACAGTAGAACGGTGGAGAAGTACAACAAATGCTTCATAGAACTTAAGGCCCTGGAGATGGCTTGCCTAGATCTTGACAAGTGCATCCAAGCATTAGATAAGGCCATTATTGATTTTCACACCTCTAAGCTTGAAGAAATAAATGCAACACTTAAGGATTTGTGGGAACATACCTATAGAGGAGATGACGTTGATTGGATAGAAATAAAGACTGAGAGCTTGGGACAGAAGACCTACAGCTACAAGGTTGTATTTATTAAAGGGGGTGTGGAGCTTGAAATGAGAGGAAGATCTAGTGCTGGACAAAAGATGATAGCCAGTATTCTCATAAGGCTAGCGCTTTCAAATTCCTTTGCCTCCAACTGCAATATACTGGCTCTCGATGAACCAACCACAAATCTCGATAGAGACAATATAGAAAGCCTTGCATTTACTCTCTCAAGGGTGATCTCAAGACATAAAGAGAATTCTGGTTTCCAGTTGATTGTCATAACACATGACGAGGATTTTGTTCAGCTATTAAGTAGAGATGGACCAGAACACTTTTATAGGTTGAACAGAAATGAAGATGGGGATTCTGTGATTGTGAGGCACTCTGTATATGGTATGGAAGCGTCCGGGATGGGTATCAATAAAGCTTTCTGATGTTTTTATATGCATTCTTCTACTTAATGAGGTTCAGGCTTAAATCCGTCCACAGCCATGTTCTTCGTAGCTCTAGGAATCGTGAGAACAGCATTCTCGAAATTTTTGTCTACTTTTAACTGGCATCCCAATCTTGAAGTGCTTGTACCTCCAAACGCTTGATCTATGAGGTCATACTCTTTATCAGAGGGCTCTCCGAGCCTTTTATACAGAGACTCCTCTAGAATTACATGGCATGTTGAACATGCTAGGTTTCCTTCGCAGGCTCCTTCAAGATTCACACCGTTCTTGTGTGCTGTTTCCAGCACGGTATCTCCATACACCGCCTTAACAGGAACCATTTGGCCCATGGCCTTGAAAAACAACTTGATCTTCCCCGAAGCTCTGTCTGGAGCATAGGACATGGCCATGGGTAAATCAAGAGCAAAAATCACAGAAAGAAACTTTAATGGCGGGAAGAGACTATACAGTCCAGTGCCTTGGCTTGCTTCATACATTCATCTGCAAAGAAATTGTCAGGTCGTTCTCCATGCAGGATTAAACACTCATCTATATGATCAAGAGTACCGTCAACAACCTTGTCCAATATCATCTTTCTGAGCTTCTTCTCAATAATGTCTGCTTCAAACCCTAATACATCAGCTATGAAGTTGATCCGAACAACAGAGTAAGGTTCAATTATCTTGATTATGTTCCTATCAAGGAGAACATCATATAGGTACTGTAAATGACTCCAGACAAATGAATCACAACGTAGCTGTTCGGCATAGCGTTGTAGGACATCGCTATATGACCTCAAGTCCCTGTTTCCAAAACTATCGCTGACCCTAAGTAAGACTTTAATGACCTCATCATCTAGGTGCTTGAAGGTGTTCTTATTCTTCATCGCAGTATTGATCTCTTCTCTCTTGCCAGCCATGATTTTGGATAAGATAAGATACCTCAACGATACACAGGCCTCAGAAGGCATCTTCCCTAATGTAAAACCTTCAAGCGCTTCTATAAAGTAAGAGGATGCCACACCGTAGTTCCTCTCGTCACATATATAGATTCCACTTAGAAGATCTATTTGTGCCTGAAGCTGTGGCGGACAATATGCAGAAACAGCCAAGACCCTTGCTGATGTTAGAGATGACTTTGACTTTGAGATGCTCTTTATCTCATAGAAAGCTTTGCTCTCGTATACATATAGAGTTATAAGATTGATCTTATCATCATACTTCTTAAGCTCATGGGCTACAGGACCTATCTGTGCTAACGCCTCCGAATACTTTTCTGTCTTCAGTAGGGCATATATCCTCTTGCACTCAAGATCAAGGCGAAGCATCTTCTTGTTTTCTTTGTCTGCCCATTCCACAAGAACAGTAAGGAGCTTCAAGACATGCTCGAAGTTGTCTTGAGAATATGGAATCATTTCAAAAAGCCTTCTTATGATCTTGGTGATCCGAGGAGTTGTTATGTCTTCCCAAACCCCCTTCAACGACATGATGACACACCCTATTTCGTGATAATCTCCTTTTGAAATGAGGACCCTAAAGATCTCAAGAACTGCCTCTTCCTTCTCCTCAAGGGTTGCCTCTTTGCTTCCTACTATGTTCTTCAATTCATCAATCATAAGGGAGCCTTTTTATTTGTTTTTATCGCTATCCTTCTCCAGGCATGAAGGGGGAAGTAGAATTCCTGGAAAGCGATTCTCCAGGCAGAAGGCCATGCACTTACACAAGATCTCAGGCCATGGCATTATATGAAGAGCATCGAAAGCATATTCTGAAAGAGCTGATTGCCCGGGAGGTCCAGAAAAGAATAACCAACAAGATACTTGGAAAAAGAGAAACTGAGGAAGGCCTGTTATTCATCAAGCACAGACATGATACTTCTATGGATGGTATCAGTGGGATGTTGACTGATGGTGAATATTCAATATCATTAGAGGAAAAAGGTGTTTGTGATGAAGACCGAACTCAATACTCCAAGACACCTCATTCTCCTCCATCAAGCTTAGATACAGGAAGGTGTAAGCCTAATGCAAACCTTAGGAGACCTGAAAGATTTGTAGATGTGGAGGCCTGTGTATCTGGGGATGAAGGGAACTCTCTTGATGCAGATGAAGGAGATCCTGATGATCTGTCATTCATTGCGTCGTCTGATGAAGACTATGAAGCACCTACCAAAAAACACAATCGTGACATGCTAAAGATAAATAAGAGGATACTGAGGAATCTTAAAAAGAAGTTTATGAAAAAAGCCCAGAGCAAAGCTTTCTTTGGTCCTGAGGGCCATACAGAAAAAGAACCTAGTGATTGTGAGGTAATAGAAGAGGAGGACATTGACGTTTCTGAGGATACGGTTGAGGATATTGTGGAGGACTTTATGTTTTCTAAGGAAGAGATGGAGTATCCACATGAAGCCAAGCCCTTCTTTACCAAGCCTGGGCAAATCGAATTTACTGAGAATATCAAGCTAGCAGAGAAGAGATTGGGAGAAAGAAAGTCTGGGTGGGATTTTGATGAAAGCAAGTAAATATGTTATTTAATGAAGTTGTTCCCATCAATGTTACAGTTAATAAACGAGCTCGAATGTCTCAAATATATTTTCTGAAATCTCATGGTGTAAGCATGTTTTAGATCTCTGGGAGAGGTGCGAAGAAACAGCAACTACACAGCCTTTCCTTTCTACAACATCTGGACCAAGCACGCTAGACTCAAACCCTTTTAAATTAGACAATGCAAGTAAAAAAGTGACTCTTCCATCCTCGTCAACCGGGCTAACACTCTTGACCCATATGGTGCTCTTTTTCCTCACCCAGGTAATTGCCAAGTCAATAGGCACGATAATCCTACCAGAGAAAATCAACTCTTCCAGCCTTATCTCAGCCTCATCGGCTTCATTCTCAATCAATAGCTGAGAGAAATTGAAAAACACATTGACAGTCGCTGGGCTTTCATACAGAGTCTTGTATATAGGTATGAATATCCTGGATGCACTTATAGTACTTGCCAATATCCCGTGGAGGCTGGTATGGGATATTCTAGAGAATGTAATCTTGATTCTAAATCGATCTGTGAAATATACCTTTGTATTTTCTCCATCAAACAACACAGTATTCCCAGAGCGCTTAACAATATCGGATTGGGCTAACTCCACAGTTCCAACAGTAAACTCACTTCCATCAACATCAAACAACCTATATGGATTTGTTCCATACTTGGATGAGTCCAGCACTTCTATTTTGTTCATTACATCCCTAAGTACCATTCTCCAATTTCTTTCTTTGACACACCTAGGTATCTCTAGCTTTATTGTCTCCTCAAGCCCTATGCTTGTCCCCTGCTTGAGAAGCCTTGCCGCACTTATACCAAACAAAAATGCAGTCCTGTACCTTTCCTTTTCTAGAGACTTTAGATACACTCTATAGTACAGTAATACAGCTTGATATCTTCTTGCCTTGACAATACTCTTAGCCATTTTTGTGATGGTAAAAAACGGCAGCACATCTATTGCTTCCAGAATAAACCTGATTCCCAAATCTGGATTTCCTCTGTAGGACAGAAGCACATCGTATGCTTCCTCAACAAAAGGTTTTCCAACTTCTTTTGGTGTAGACAGCTGTAATCCTTCTATTCTATTCATAAGTTCAAACTCTCTGGAGAGTTTCTGTAATTCCTTTCTACATTGATTTACATTGATAGGATTTAGAAGGTTATATTTTGTATAGAACACATAACGATCATTCAGTCCCTCTATATACTCCATGCCATGGGCTAGCGTCTCTGAAACATAGATTATCAACTTTTCTTTATACTTCTCCCAGGATATCTGTCCATCGGACTCCCATGGAATCGGCTTCTGGTTGAAGAATAATACCCCGTCCTTGTACACAGAGTAGACATCAATCATGTTGAAAGAGTCATTGATGAAGATACTCTTAGGTGTGGGAAAAAGCTCGACTCTTATATAAGACCCTGGAAGTAGTGATAGCTTTAGTGTTGAAAGAACATTGTGGTCTATTCGAAGTTCGTGATGAGATATATTCTCTGCCAATGGAAACCCATGTGTTTTGGAATGACAAACCTTGATTGACCTCTTCATTCTAGGATAAACAAACCTTTGGATATTAAGACAAAGAATCAGATCTTCGTGGGCATTATAATGGAAGCTCTTTCTAACTCCGTTCTAAGGAGTATTTAGCAAGAGGGCTGCTAGCTTGTGCAAAGGATCTAGGAATCTTATTAATTGATACACCTAGGCACCCATGGATCTAGAAGATGTGGAAGTAGAAATTGTGTGGAGAAACATAACCGTTGAGTCAGATAAGCCTTTTAAGGAGGCAATAGTCAAAAGAGCTCAAGGAAAGGTAAAGCCCTCTGAAATGACTGTGCTTGTAGGCGTAAGCGGGGCAGGAAAGACAACAATGCTGAATGCTATAGTAGGAAAACCTATGGATGGGCTAAGGGTGACAGGAGAGATTCTTCTTAATGGCCACCTTGTTAATACGAAGGTATGGGAGCGTGCTGTAGGATTTGTAGGAGAGCATCTCCATTCATATGAGACCCAGACCGTTGAGGAAACTCTAAGGTTTGCAGTGATGATATCAAGAGGACTAAGTCCAGGAATGGCTGTGGGCGAGGAGGTATCTGGGCTAATTCGAAGCCTAGGGCTTTCCAGGGTTGCGTACACTCCAATCAGCTCGATATCAACAGGAGAACGGGTAAGACTTTCTTTAGGAATAACTCTTGCAAAAAGGCCTTCTATATTGATCATAGATGAAGTCACCAATGATCTTGATTCATTCAATATCATTCATATATTAAAGATCCTTATGGATCTAAAGCATCGGGGGAAAGGAATCATGATTTCATTTCAAAGGCTTCCTCAAGAGATACTGCCGTTCTTTGACAAGGTCATGATGATCTGTCAAGGAGAGATCGTATTCAATGGAAGTCTTAAGGAATGCATGATTTTCTTTGAAGGATGCGGGTACGACTTTAAAAAGCATACAGAATCAGCGGACTTCTTCATGGAGGTCTTATCCATGGATACAACAACTCCAGAGTCAGAGAGAGCATCACTTTGTAGAATAGCAAAATTAAAGATGTCCTGGAAAAGAATAGAGCCTTTGGTAGTATCATCGATAATAAAGAAGACAGAGTTTCCTATTGTGATTAGAAAATCTATCCAGAGCTTTTTTCTGGTCTTTGAAAGAAACCTGTCTGACTTCTCTAGAAGTCATGGACTTATGAAGATCTTAAGTATACAAAAGTTTACAACCTTATCATTTCTTGTTTTCGTTTACTACAGGCTAGACTATACACAAAAGGGTATTCAAGACAGATTTGGGATTTTGTCATTCATAGTCATGTCGTCCTTTGAGAAGGCAGCATTCATTTCAATAATATTTATTTCCTCTCACAAGAAGGCACTTAAAAGGGAGGTTTGTGCGGGGATGTATGGTGCAATCACATCGTACTTTGCCAATATGGCATCCACCCTTTGCGTCTCTGGTGTACCCAGCATTCTTTATATTGCTGGTGTGTACTGGATTGTGGGGCTCAATCCAGATCTTTTTAGGTTTGCATTCTTTGTATTCATCTTTGCGGTGGTTGTGCTTTTTTCCACATCATTTGGAATTATAGTTTCACTCTACACCAAGACACTTATACATGCACAAATACTTGCATCTACAATAGTCATGACATTTACAATGCTTGGGGGAACGTTTGTTAATCCAGGGTCGATTCCAGGATTCATTAGATGGGCCATATGGATATCCCCCGTATACTATGCTTTTGAAACAGTCCTACAGACTCAGCTCGAGGGCCTAATCTTTGAATGTAAAGATTCTGAGAGATGCATTTCTAATGGAAAGGAGGCTCTGAACATGTATGGATTCAAGAGAGTTAGATACACTGTATCCACAGGAATACTTCTTCTCATTACCATCATATTCATTGCCCTTGGAGCTATTTCAATGAATAGGATTATTAAGCCAAGGAATATCACATAGCAAGGCCTACTGGCAAACAATTGAAAATGCTGGTTTAATACTTTCCTTCATCTTTTATTCTTCAATCTTAAGGACCTAACACATATTCTCTTGGGCTCATTCCTTTTTTTCTCAGAGATATCCTCCCAGTTGGGGCACACCTTCTTCGTTTTCTTTTTCCTCTTGATTCTGTATTGCTTTAGATCCGAAGGAGTGAAACCATAATCATATCTTCCTCCCTCAATGGAAAGCTTCTGGTCTGTAACGATGGTTGACTCTGTGTTCCCTTTGTCTCCAATAAACTCAAACAACGAGAAAGGCAAAGGGCCCCTTGTGACTTTATACTCTCCTTTGTCCTTCAAAGCCTTTGCATCAAAGTCCATTTCACAGAAGCTGTTCCATCTTGACCCCCCTATGACCCTATATTCTACTTCATCCAAGGATTCATGTGAATCTTCCGAGACTTCTTCTGATCCCGAGTTTTCTTCAAGGGATTCGTTCTCTATTTGAAGAGAGAGTAGAAGCTCTTCGACATTTGGATCTGAATGAATAGCTTTATTAACTTTTCTCATAGAAGGCCAGGATGGGGTATGCTATTTTTGTCTTTGGGCCAGCTGGATCAGGGAAATCAACCTTTTGTAGGAACATCCAGGAGCATGGGGAAAGCATAGGCAGAAGCTACAGGGTGATAAACCTGGACCCTGCACAAATCTCCACCAGTGATAACTATGCCTTAGACCTTAGAGACTTCATTACGGTTGGTGATGTCATGGAAGAATACGGCTATGGACCGAATGGAGGGCTGTTGGTTGCATTGGAAGAGCTTTATGAAAACATCAGTGAATTGGAATTGGAAGACCTTGAGGGTTCCTTCCTCATCTTTGATTGCCCTGGGCAGATAGAGCTATTTGTACATTCAGAGATAATGCCCAAAATCATTGATTATGTAAGCCGCTACTTTAGATGTGGGATTGTCTATGTGATGGAATCTCAGTATCTGGTCGACATCAACAAGTATATAAATGGATGCTTTTGTGCACTTATTTCAATGGCAAGGATGAATGTTCCCTGCATCAACGTGATTTCAAAAATGGACTTGATCAAGAACGAGGATCTGGATATGTTTTATACGCCAAACGAAGACCTCTCGGCATTGATTGGAACAGGGAGGTATTCAGGATTGTGCAAAAGAATGTTAAGCTTTGTCGCAGAGAATAACATGTTGAACTTCTATCCATTGGATTGGAACAAAGAAGAATATATTGAAGAACTAATCTACTGCATAGACAATGCTGTGCAATATTATGAAGATGCTGAGCCTAAAACAAAGGATTTCGATTAAATCAAATATAGGTAGAAAACCCTCTTTTATTATGATCATGCAGGAACTCTTAATGGATTTGAGAAGCTCTTCTGAATGAGCTCAAGGTCTGCCTCATCTACCTCCTTCTTCTCATCAACAACCATCTTTGGGCTGTAGTAGTTCCTTATCTTTTCAAGGGTCCCAATACTGCTGACATCCTTTCTGTGCTGGTTAGGATATATGCTGGAGAATATTCTGGCAAACAGGTTGGCTGTGTAGTCCATTCGTGCCTCCCGGAACTCGTTGTCATCAGAAGAAGACTCGCTCCTCAGCTCCGCAAGCTTTTGGGACTTGAACTCAATTCCTGCAGTCAAGAAATTGAACAGATAGTATGCTCTTGAGTAAGCAAACGTTTCATACGGTGTTGCAGACACCTTGCCGTTGTTGATAAAGAACTTGTTGATGTCAGAATCAGATATCTTCTCAGAAAGTAGAACATCTCCATCTCCAGCACTCTCATCAAGCGCCTCAAGCGCATCTCTGATATTCTTCATCAGGTCGTCTCCAATCTTTTCTCCATCAAACAAATATCCCTTTCTCTTCTCCTCGTCGCTGGACATAATACTCGATATGGTCTTGATAAGTATGTTGCTTACAGTGAACCATGGATTCCCCTCGGAGTTGTTGTTTGGAAACAATATCTTCTGCATCTCACTGATGGACTTCCCACGGTAGTCTGCAAAAAACATTCCTCCTCCCTCCTTCTTCTTCTTCATTCGCTCCATCAGATCAGAGTGGCTCAGATTCATGTCCTCTTCCAGGCCCTCCGTCTCAACAATAAACCTCTCCCGGATCTTCAGAAAGTCTTCGTATCCAGGGAAGTTCAGCGTGAACTGATGCTCATGCCCACGGGGAAAGTGCTCTGGTCGGTCAAATCGTATCAGATACGGCCCAGACTCATCCTGCGAAATCCTATAAAACCTCTTCCTGTCCTCAGTGTCCGGGTGCTCGTTCTTCTTGATGAGTTTGTATCTTCCATGCGTCATCAGCTTGTCTGCAAAGTTCACTCTCCAAGCATAGAAGTAGCTCCCATAATACTGAGGATCCAAGTACTTGATCCCAAAGATAAATAGAAGCACATAGTACGCAACAACCATCCCAACAAGTCCTAGGAACCCCAACTTCATCGTCTTGAAGGTTTTCTTCGATCCACCGCCGGTTTCTGTCCTCATCTTACCCCCTTGCCAAAAGAATATATTTATAACAAAATTTTATTAGTTCTTCATCATCCCTACACATGTAAACAACTCTATAACACCAATAACCCTGTAAAGGTTGTTGTTGGCTTGGGCTACAACATCCATTGCATTCTGAAACAGTGCCTTTAGCTCTTAAACGGGTTGTTAACAAGAAAATAGACAGAATAAATAGATTTATGTCAAATTTACAATCCTTTTGCAGCCTGGTCTCTTTGAAAGTGCTTAATATGCTTATAAGGCCTTAGAACAACTGTCTCCATACCTTTCATATCCTTGGCTTTAGTATTCTCTTCCAAGAAGTTCATAAGAATGCTTGGATTTGGAACAAACGGAGGCGGAACCCTCTTATTCTCAACCTCTTCCCAATCTATTCCTTTGAAAAAGGGATGTCCCATTATTTCACATATTCCTTTGGCTCCTAGCCTGGTTGCTCTGCTTTTATCTAATAGCCCTGCTATCAAACTTCTTGCTATAGGGCTTACATAAGAGGGAAAAGTAACCTGAGACTCAAGTATCTTGTGATATATCGTGTCTGCACTTGCATCATAGAACGGCGGGTCTCCACACAACATTTCATAAATAATAACCCCAAGCCCCCAGTAGTCACTTGCACGCCCGTCATCCTCACTCCTTAACTTTTCCGGTGACATGTATTCTGGTGTCCCTGAAATCATGTATATACTCTCGTTTTCATAAACAGCAAATCCAAAATCAATCAACTTTATATGCCCAGAAGATGTGATCAATATATTCTCAGGCTTCAGATCTCTGTAGAGTATGCCTTTTCCATGTATAAACCTCAGGGCAGAAACTATCTCTGCTGCATAAAACCGTGTCATCTTCTCATCAAACCTTCCACACTTCTTGAGCCAATAAAACAGCTCTCCTCCTCCAACATACTCTAAAATGAGCCCTATCTTTCCACAGTGGAAATCAGTCGAGTATAGCTTTGCAATAAACGGGCATCCATAAAGCCTCTTCAGAATTGAGATCTCGCTCTCAAGTTGATCTGCCAATCTTTGCTTGAGGATTTCATCAAAATCAAGCATCTTCATTGCAAACATGGATGATGGATTGTTCTTGAGTTTCACTAGGTATACTTTCCCAAAGGCTCCTTCCCCCACGACCTTCACAAACTCAAAATCTCGGATCTTTAACATCTTGGGTTTTTTTATGCGGAATAAAATCAATTGCAGGACAAACTCTGTGCAAAGATTAGTTCCAGGGAATCGGATGCCCTTTTATTTGCATCAAAGTTCCTAGATACAAAGGAGGATGCTCAGTAATCAAATCTCATTCGATCACAGCTCTGACTTCATCGGTAACGAATCTCTCCTTAGGAAAGCTATTGGTTCAACCAAGAAGAATAAAGAATATGGAGACAGCAGCGAAGTCTGTGTCGATGGGTGGCATTGGGGAAGAGATAGTTGGGGGGTCACAGGACGATACAGAAGAGGATGTGTCGGGTGCTCTGGTTGCTCTTGGACATTATGTTAGGAAGATGGAAGACGAAAGAGGAGACTCAAAAAAGGTTTTTCCAGGAAATTCATTGCTAATGGAGAAGGCCCTCAGGTATCTTACGGAAAAGCAATGCCTGTCCATAAAAGGGGTACTAGACAAGTGTTCCTCTAGCCATATGGCCCAACCATTGAATCTTACGTCCCAGCCAGAGATGCATTATTATCTGGGGCTCTCATATGAAAAAGGCCTTTTCGGAATGAGGAGAGACTATAGAAAAGCATTTGGGCATTACTTAACATCTGCACAGCTGGGAAGTCCTATAGGAACCTTCAAAGTTGCGCAGTGTTATGAAAAAGGCATAGGAAAAAAGAGGAGCATCAAGAATGCATTATGCTTTTATAGATGTGCTGCAAAGCTTGGGCTTGTGGATGCAATGCATACTTATGGAGTAATAATCCTATTTGGCAACATAGAAAATGATTGCGATCTTGAGACAGGGTATTTCTACCTAAGATTGGCTGCAAGAAAAGCAACATATACCTACCCATATGCCCTGTACGATCTTGCAAGATGTTATGAAAGGGGCAAAGGGCCGGATATCGTATCCCCAGACGATTCCTATGCATTCAAACTCTACTTGAGGGGAGGTTCTTTGGATTGTCCCAACTGCCAGTTCAGAATTGGAAAATGCTTTGAAAACGGGGATATGGGGCAGGAGAAGGACATGGTAAAGGCCTTAGAGTGGTATGCAAAGGCAGCAGATCTCGGGCAGCCAGATGCACAGCTAAGGCTCTCGGCCTTGTTTTTGAATGGCTTCGAGGATATAGTCAAAAGGAATCATGGGTTAGCGTTTAAGCTCGGTCTCAAAGCGGCTACAAGAGAAAATGTTTCTGCTGCATATTTGGTTTCAGAATGTTACGAACAGGGGATAGGAATCAAGAGGAATGCCTTGCTGGCTCTCTGGTGGGGTAGAATAGCAGAAGAACTCAGAATAGACCAAGGAAATCTCCCGGCTGAAAGAATAAGGATAATAGTTCCTGAAGAGGAAGATACAAGTGTAGAGCACCTTGACTTTGAGGATGGGGCGGTACCCGGGCTGATAAAGGCCCAATAAGTGTGTCTTGTATGTAGTATATTAAATATTTCGAAGAACCTGTAACATCCCGAGGTTATGCAAATAGATTGGGAACTAGATTTTAAATGGCTTTATACATATCATAAAGACTTTAATCATACTTTTTCTCCCCTCACATCTTTTCTAAGTCTTTCTCCGTTATTGTCGTAGTCATCAGACTCGATTCTTCTCAGAAGTATGGCAAGATAGTACAAAAATAATGCATCGAACAAGGCTATCCTCAGGGAATAGAGTATTGCTATAAACACCACATACATCGAGCTGATGTTAGAAAACACCACAACAAGAAATGATAATGCAGTTTTTGCAAGAGTTGCTGGCACCACAAATTTGTATAGATTGAACATTTTACCATAAAAGGTAACTAGATCTAATATTCCAGCTATAATGGCTATAACGAGAAATATAAGCCCGGTTCCTTTTGAGATCCAATGCAGAAACTCGTTCTTGTTTCCTTCACAAAAAATCAGGTATACAGGAATAGACTCAAATATGGTGAAAAGCATTAGATACTTTGTCAATTCTCGGAGAGGAAGACTTACCTCAAGTGGAATAGAGTTTCCAAGGCTTGACTTCTCGACATTATCTATTGCACTCATTGCTTTTGCCTCCACAACATTTGCTGCATCAAGGACCTTTTCTTGCTGGCCTTCCATCATTCATTGCTCCCCCTCTATTTTGTTTTATGCTTGAATTCATCAATCAGAGATAGCTCCTTTTCCCCTTTTTATATCTGTCCCCTTATTGCAAAGCAATACCGCAGAACCTCTTTGTAAACGAGAATTCTCGCCTTCCATTGGTGAATTCCTGGGGATGCTTACTCGCTCTCTTTAGAAAGATCTTAAATTTTTGCTGCTTGAAGGCTTCTAGGGATATGATTCTGGAAAAAGAAGTGGACCTGATTGGCCTTTGCGAGAAGAATCCCGAACTGGCGAATGGTATCGTTCTGGGCGTTTCAGCTCATCCTTATGTCTATAAGAAGACCTTTAAGAAGATTCCATATGCGTTGTTTACAAACAAAGCATGTAACAGCAAAGACATCAACAAGATCATTACTGTGAGTGGAACTGTCATAAGAGCCTATGAAACCTTGATAAGGAATGTCACCAGTGAGCTGATATGTCTGAAATGCAATGTTAAGGCATACAGATGTTCTCCAGGAAAAAGAAGGAATAAGATGCTCTGTGAATCCTGTGGCTCATCACTTTTGAAGGATCGCAGATGCTTTGGAGAGGCAATACCAAGCCAGAAGATAAGAATACAGGACATAGGAAATCCTAACTCGATGTCAGAAACATTAGAAGTGGTTCTTGAGGAGGATCTGGCAGGGAAATTCTTTCCAGGGGATAAGCTGCTGATAACGGGGACTATTCTTGTGAAATGGAAGTCATTCAAAATAGGGGAACAGATGGCTAGTTCTATATACATGCATGCACTTGCCGTGCACAAACAAGATGAAGAGTCTATGAATGATTCGCTTGGGAGGGCGTTCATGAGTAAATTGGATGAGCTCAGTTACTTCGAAAAAAGGTTGTTTCTTATAGGCTCATTTGGTGAAGAGATACAAGGGCTCGAAAATGTCAAGCTCGGGCTTCTGCTAGCTTTAGCGAGTGGATCCCATACTGAACAAAAAGGTGGAGTAAGATCTAACTCGCATATTCTCTTGGTCGGAGACTCTGGAACGGGGAAATCACATCTCCTGAAGACATGCACGAGGCTTCTATCTCCTTCGATCTTAACTAATGGAGTGGGAACCACACAAGCAGGCCTTACAACATGTGCGGTAAGGCAAGGAAAGGAATGGGTATTGGAGGCTGGTGCCCTAGTGCTTGCAGATACAGGGCTTTGCTGCATTGATGAATTTAGCAAGCTCAAGATCAATGAAAAAAACGGACTATTGGAGGCGATGGAGCAGCAAACACTTAGTATAGCAAAGGCGGGAATTGTTTCCTCATTGAGCACTAGATGCTCTGTTATTGCAGCAGTAAGCACAAGGCGTAGGTATAATTTCAACAAGAGCATTTCAGAAAATATCATGATTCCGACTCCTTTGATTAGTAGGTTTGACCTTATATTTGGACTATTTGACGATGGTAGTAGTGAGAATGACTTGCTGGTTGTAGATAAGATTCTTAACAGAACGCCCGAACCCGAGCTTACAGATAAGAAGCAAGGGTCAATGCATTGGGACGCTGGTGTCTTAAGAAACTACATAAGCGTTGCAAGAAAGAGAAGTAGTACGATTCCCGATGATTTGAATAGCATCCTTCTAAGCTATTACCATTACAGAAGAAAGACTGAGGGTGCTAGTGAGCTCAATACAGTCAGGATGCTAGAGAGTCTCGCAAGACTCGCAGAGTCACATTCGAAACTTCTAAACGCCGGAAAAGTAACAGAAAACGACGTATACGGTGCAATTCTACTGATGGAAACAACACTAGGTGTAAAGTCCCTTGTAGAAATCAATCCCTCCCGAGTATTTGTTGACGAAGCTTATCATAAAAGAATAGTTTCTGAGATAAGGACAAAAATCATGAGTAGATAGAAGAATAAATTTATACAACTTAAAGTAACAGAACGCTCAGGTTCTTCCCATGCTCTCGAACCTTCTGAGCCAATATGGCTTTCTTATCAGGGAAGAACTCTAGACACCTTCTTAGGACTTTTATTCCAAGTTCACTTTTTACAATATCCCCAATGTTTGAGATAAAAAGCTCAAATACAAGATCTGGATCAAATCTGAGTATCTTCTGGATGGCATAGTTGCCGATCTCATGAGTTATAAGAAATCCTCCAAACTTTCTAAAGTATTTCGATAGTAGATTCTGAGTTAGTGGCGTCTTTGATACAGAGATAAGCATTTGAATAGTATATGCCCCGTGCTTGTTTGCTGCTATGGGCGCAATGTCATGTCCAAGATTCTGAATAATTCGTGCAATGCCTGCATCGGGAAGTAGCCCTATTGCCTCTTGCATTACTTTGTTAGATTGGTTTCCAACAGCCAACTCTTTGGTGTTCTTGAACACGAAATCAACATTCCCCATCTCTAAGCTTTGGATCATAATTCTCACTTCGCTTCTTGAGAAGAAGTTTCTAAGGTGTGTAAAATGCTCGATCTTCCTTTCAAAAAGATTTCTTTCCGAAAGCTCTCCATCCCACTCACCGAATTCTGGATCTGTATTGTGGAAGAAGGCAAGACTTTTGTCTTTTGTATGCCGATGTATCTCATGTTTCGGGAACTTGCTCTCCAAAGAATTGCTAGTTTTCAGCCATTCGTTAAAGGACGAGCTGCAAGTATAGTTTTCTTTCGAAGAATTGTGCATGCTCAACAATGCAATATTAGCCCATTCAGAAGAGGAAAGCAGTACAGCTTGCTCAAAATCATAGGTTTCAGAAAAATGTATTTCAACATAAGGCAGAAACTGCCTGTAAAATGATATGGAATCTTCTACCGTGAAGAAATATATAAATATGAGGTCTTCTCCATACTTTATATCCTTGACTCTAATGTCATTCTCTAGCATCCCCTCAATGAAGCTTCTTTCAAGAATACCTTCCCCAATTTCATACCCATAAGGGTGCAATGCTTCCTTAGTTCCTTCACTCTCGACTTTACACTCTCTTTGCTGTTTTCTTTCAACTGAGTTCATATCAAAAAAGTCGATGGAAACCTCTTTTGTGTTAAACATTGCACCGTCTGGACAATTCTCTTCGTCACATGGATCAAATGCAGCCCTCTTCTGTGCAATGCTTTCTACCAACTTTTCCCCATACAGGGATGAACTCTCCTTCTTCTTGATGTGGGAAACTGCTCTGTCATGTCTTGACTGTCTGGAGGGCCAGGCCCCGTTCACTCTCATTTTTATCACTTTCGAAGGTTCCTCTATAGCCAGATTCATATAAGTTGTCGCCAGTTCATCTTTATATCTTTAGAAAGTTCCCATCACCAAGAGTAGTTATTCAACCAAGCAATCTAATCATAGGAACAAATAGAATGAAAATTCCCACCAATAAATATATCTCAGTATCTATGGCACATCCAATAACCTCCAAAAACGTATATAAAATAGATCATCAAGTACATTTATGGCAACTAAATGTGTCCATATCTTTCAAACACTAGCCTGTTGAGGGTATCTTGATCAACAAGGCATTTCTTTGTCATAATATTGTGATTGATGCTAGACAAGTCTATCTCTTCAAGTGCTTCTATCGCCTCCTCAATGATATCGTTCCAATCCTCGCTGCATCCACTGGTGTCAATAAGCTTCTGGTACTCAGGATTCAGCCCTGTCTTTAGGAAAATATTAGGAAGTTGGAAGTTAGCTTCGCAAGGTACAATGCAAATCTCCTCATCATTTATCGCCTCGCTCTGAAAGCTGTTTTCCAAAGGAGTTATCAGCTTTGGTAAAAGCCATAGATCGTTCTGGCGGATTGTTAAGGCCTTCATCACCTTGTTGTATTTTGACTTTATGCTCATCAAGGGCGTGTCTAAACTTCAAAAATTTTGCCCCCACAATGACGGCTACTCAGACATACTCCCCAGTCTCTGATGAGAAGGCGCAGAACATACTAAGACTAATCCAGAACGCGACAAGGTCAAGAAACATAAGGAAAGGAATAAACGAGTCAACGAAGTGCCTCAACAAAGGGAGAGCCCTTCTGGTTGTTATAGCATGCGATGCCGAGCCTCAAGAAATAACAGCGTTTTTGCCCATAATATGCGAAGATAAAGGCGTTCCTTTTGTTCATGTCCCTTCTAAAAGCGCTCTTGGTGTAGCATGTGGCATCCATAGGCCGATTGCTGCATGCACAATCTACTTGCCAAAAGAAGCAGAGTCCCTACGCTTGGAAGAAAAGATTAGAGAAGCTCTAAGGTAAAGTATAGATAAGATATGTGTTTTCAATATCAATCGCAATTAAAAGATCAAAATTCATTCCTTTGCTTCTTTACTCCTTATCAGGCTTGCCAAAATTGACCGCTGCTCATCGTCCAGATCAAGGGATATAAGCCTCTCCTCTAGCTTCTTCCTCCCCCCTAGCAAAAACGCTTTCTTTGCATCATAGTATATGTCATTTCCAATATTCTGCTTGTTTAAAATAGCCTCTTCGTCTGCAGTCAGGACAAGAATCCTTTCGTTCTCTTTTATGGTGACAACATTGGCTTGCTTTTCATTTTGTATATCACAAAGACTTATCGACTTTTCTGCTACAAATTTCGTCCGCATTATTTACCCTCGGGCCCCCTCCAAATTTAAACGACCAGGTCCTTGTACCCTTATCCTTGGTCCTATGGACATCCCATCCAAATGGTTGACTTCTTTCTCCTTAATGAAAGGGCCTTCACTGGAAACTGCATGCACGTGGTTTTGATTGGTGGCTACAAAGATAAAATTTTTAGTCCCCAACCAGGGATGGCTGATGTCGATAGGGATAACATAGCGAAGGGGGTTGAAAAGCCTCCACTGCGGGGGGCGGATAATGCTGTGCTAACAAACATTGTGTCCCAAGGGCTCATTACATTTTGTATCCTAATAGTATATATCATTTTCAGGAAAAGAGCAAAGTGGCTCTACTCGCCAAACGTTAAGGATAGGCCTTCCCATCCCTGCTACAACTACGCAGGGTTTCTGAGCTGGATTATTCCAGTTGTGACGGTAAGTGACACGGTCCTTCTATCGATCATAGGCCTGGATGCATTCATGATGTTGCAAACATTGAAGATGCTTTACAGAATTCTCTTCATCTTATCATTCTTTGTTATTCCATCGCTAGGATACTTGTTTTGGACAAACCAACGGGAAAATTAGAGAACTCGGATCAGTGGCTCGTTAGACTTTCTTTGGGGAGCCTGGACCCAAAGTCTGGTAGCTATGGGCTCATCATACCTGTTGTATACCTTGTGTCTGCCTTCATAATGTATTCCATTTTCATATATTACAAAAGATACATTGTTCTTAGGCAGGCATATCTGCGGAATCCAGCAATAATGACATCAATAATAACCTTGAAAAAGCTGTCGAACAATCTTGGAAGTGCAGAGAAGTCTACAGAGTATATAAATCTTCCAAATAGAACACTAATCCTCTCAAGGCTCCCAAGCTATGTAAGCAACGATGCAGACCTTTCTGAGTTTATCAATTCCCTTGGAGTTGGAGAGATTGATGATTGTGTGCTTGTGTACGATACCAATACCCTGCAAAGTCTTTATAGTGAGAAGGATAGCTACATTTACAATATCGAGAAGGAAATTAACGAGAAGTTCGCAAGGATGAACGAGTGGTCTGAAAAGAACCAAGAGGAGTGCAAGAAAAGCATAAGCGGGTTCAAGGAGGATATTCTGAAAACAGTTGAGGAAGCCGAAATAGAAGGGGTCTTTGACAATTCACAAAAAAGACAGCTTATTGTTCTATTCCTTAATGGAGCCAATCAGTTTGAAAATAAACTGAAGGAGGACGTCCCAAAGGTAAGCTTCTATCTAGAAAAACTAAACAATGTGAATGGGAGGATCAGCAAGGAAAAAGAGGTCATAAGAAACGAAGAGGCAAGGAACAAGGACATTAGGATTGTGGAGCTTGTCTCACACAACAACACACTTTTCCTGAGGGGAGACATATCCCAAGACGCTAGTTTCTTTTCGTTCCACCACATACTCAACTATGGTAAGTACAAAATGTACTTTACTTTAGATCTTCCTTCAAAAACTAAAAGAGGGTTTGTCACCTTCAAGGATCAAAGAAGTGCAAACATAGTGAAGCAATCACAAATAGGATCGAGGATATTCTCTGTCACAGCAGAGGATGCACCTGCACCAAACGATGTCATCTGGGAAAACATAACAAACAGTGAGGTGGACAATTACATGTATAGTGTTTTTGGAGCCGTGTTTTTCATAGTCTTTATTGTCCTATTCTCATCCATAGTTGCCAATATTGTCACCCTCCTAGTAAGTTCGGAGATGTTTAGGGAAAGTAAGCTCATATCTTCATTCTTAGACAAGCATGAAACAATCACCGACTCGCTCCGAGGAATTCTTTTTCCACTTATATATAACTCCATGATGTTGTTTGTTCCAACAATCATAACTGCACTTGTGAACATGGAAGGCATCTACTCATATTCGAATTTCCAGCAGAAACTGATGGAAAAGCTCTGCAATTTCCTTTTCTTCAATGGGTTTGTTTCCGTGTTCTTTGCAACAAGCTTCTACAGACTTTTCTCAGATGTTCTGTTCAGGAACGAAAGGATATACAATGTCATCAGAGCGTTTAGCAACGAGTCTCTGGAATCATCAGTATTCTTTGCAAACACCATCATCCAAAGATCCTTGGTGGGAACAGCACTAACACTACTGAAGCCTGCGCCGTTGCTGATAAACTATATCATCTTTCCATTCACAGGGAGAAAGACAAGGAGGGAGAGGCTTGACGCCGAGTTTTCTCCCCCATTCGACTTTGGAACTATATTTCCATCCTGCCTGACGGTTTTCTCGATGTCCATAGTCTACACCGTCATCTGCCCACCCATCCTCCTTCTTGGGGCGTTCTTCTACTTCTGCAATTACCTAGCATTCAAATCTGAGTTTCTATATTCTTCCAGAAATGAGTACGAGTCTGGAGGGGGGTATTGGGACTCTGCATGCCAGAATATAATGTTTTCACTTATATTCTTCCAGGTAGCAACCTTCGCAAAGATGTCTTCAGATAAGAGGTTTTATTTGTCCATGCTTTTATTCCCGATTATTCTCATCACATTTATATTCCGCAGTAGTCTTAGAAAGATGTTCTACAAGTCCTGTCACTTTTATCCACTTAACATCAAGGAGGAGGAGTATTTAGACACATTCACGGAGAAAGCTCTTCTGGAAAGAGTCAGCCTTTTGGAAAGCTGGTCTGAAATGGGGTCTGGGCCTGACATCGATATTCTCCCATTGACGGAATTGGGAATCAAGGATGCAAAGGAGATAGAGAAGGTGTCGTATTATAATGACCCAAACACAGCCAAGTCAAACACATCTCTTATTCTTCCTGAAAACTTCTTTAAAACTGTTTGGTTCCTGTTAAACAACGATAGAGACAATCTGTTTGGGCTTAGAACAGAATAAATTGTTACTTTGTATTTTATCTTTGTAAGATCCCTCCTGCATTCTGCCCATGGACGCAGACTCAGAGGTTGAATTTGAAAGTTTCTTCCAAAGCAGCAGTAACAACAGGGAATCCGAGGATTCTTCAAGCGGATTTGGTTCGATCCAGATGAGTTGTGACGAAATGGCTTTTTTCAGCTCCGATAATGCTCTCCACGAGGACAATAGAGCGAAAGAAGAAGAGTCTTGCGAGTCCGTAGATCAAGGGAATCAAACATTCTATGACTTCAACTCTGATTCATCAAGAATCCGAGAGAATCCCGAGGAAGAAGGATGTGGGGATGTGAATATAGCCTTTCCTCAAGGCTCCAATGTATTGGATAGCTATGAAAATCAGATAACAAACTCTCCTCGAAAGCATTTGTCCTTTGATTTAGATCAGTTGCATGTAAGACATATGGATTCAGGAAATGCAGGTTCAGACACAATATTTTCCGGATTTACTACAGGGTCTAGAAAGAAGATTCAAGTTAGAAAGGAAAGCATGGACTCGGCATATAGGACATTTGATGGGGCAGCAAAAAAGGTGGATATGCAAACTTTGTCAAGGTTTTATGATATATCTAAAGACGAAAGCGAATATATGGGGCCTGAGAGAGTCTACGAAGAGATAAAAAGAAGACTTGTGAAAGAAGATGCAAACCGAGTATTTGCACAGTTTACTTGGTCCTGGATCTATTTCTTTTTTGGAAGAAAGAAGATGGAATTCGATGATCTTGTAGATAGAATAGAAGAGCAAGTCAAAGTAAGGTTAGAGAACGAGTACTCCATACTTCGGAGAATTGTTGAGGGGGATGAGGTACCATGGAGATACATGATTCTCTTGGTCATTGGAATAGACAAAGAGAGGATTGAGGTATTTGATGGATATTACAGTCTTTATGCATTATATGATGAGCCTCTTCGAAGAAAGATAGAAAAAAAAGAGATACGTGTTGGACTCAAGCTCAAGATTTTTGGAGCAGAACTTGGGGGAGGTGAGTTCATGTCTATTTTTGATCCTGAAAGTGCCTTTCTAAGACTTCATCATAATGGAGTCCAAGTTGTTCATTCCAGAAGAAGGCTTGGCTATAGAAAAAGAGTAGGGTTTAAGATAAGAATATCTGACATTCGCAATGATGGAGGGCCTGTTAGTTGCATTGAGGGGAGGATTGCCAAGATTATCGAGACGAAATATCTTGTGAAGGTAGAGAACTACAGTTGTACAACCGAGAATCTTGAGCCTGAGCTCGATAAGATAGAAGAGCTTGCAAAAAAGGCCCAAAGGATATTTTCATCCCATGATATAAGGATCAGCATGTATACTAGGCTCCTTGTCAGAGATAGCAGTGGAGAATGCATGGTGACATGGTGGAACCCCTCATCAGATGCCAAGGTGGGCCAAATGGTAAGGATGGTTTATTTGAATCCTTCAAGGGCCAAGGAACTTCATCTTAATACCAGCAGAAGAGGATATGTTAAACTCCTTATATAGACATCCTTCATATCTTTGAGAATAAATTGAGTTATTTCCAGGGCTTCTAATGGATAACCACTATGCAAACCTTATGGAGAGTCTAGAAAGGAGCAGTACGGGAAGTGAAAAGTTTTCTGGGAATATTCTTGACACCGATAGCTCCATTACGATTCTTGACATTCCATGCTCCATATCCAACACCATTCAACCAAAAACATCCTCAGAGGTGGCACTTCAGAGTTCGTTTCCAGAGAGTATTGATCCAGCATTTGCAGATTATTATTTTGTATTTCCACAAACTCTGGAGAGTTTTGTGGGCAGAATAAAAGACAAGAGATTTGTCTATAGGTTTTCTGAAAATAAAGCTTTAGAGATAGTCAGGTGCAAAGACCACGAAACGGTGTATGCTCTGGATGTCTTTGATCTTGAAAAAGATGATATTGGAGCGTGTAATAACAGCATCTCTCTTGTGGTGAATAGAAGTAAATATCGAAGTTCTGTAAAAGCAAAGGAGGACAGAGAGTATAGAAAAGCACTTTCAGAGGGGAGGAGATACATAAGAGGAAGAAGCCCATATGAAAGCAAGATTGAGGCAATCCATCTTGAGCAGATCACGAACAGTAGGAATTTTGTGTTTGCTGATGATCCTCAAGATCTACCTGGAGAATTGAAAGCTATTATAAAACACCTCCATTCTAAGAGAGTTCATGTGCCTAAGACGAAGGCTTTCTCCGTGGAGCAAAAGACTGATCACCTTCAGAATGTCTTGCAGAACATCCCAGGAATAGGGAAGGATGCTGCAAGAAGTTTGTCTCTTCATTTCAAAAGTATCAGCCGATTGTATTCATTTCTCAAAGGAGAAAATAACGGGCAACTGAGTGAACTTAAGGTCTGGGACTCGGATGGAAAACATTCTAGACCCTTGGGAGAAAAGCAAAGTGATAAGATAAGAAATGCATTTATTGGGAAGAGTGGAAGCCTCTAATGTATTCCACCCAAGACGGGTGCAATTAAAAAATAGATTTTAGAGATGAGATTTAACAGACATACATATTCTAGCCTTTCCTTTCCATTTGTTTTAGGTATTCAAACATCTTTTCTCTTAAGCTGTTATTCAGTGATGATTTATCATAGATATCCATTATGAAGCTGATTTCGCTTTCGCTGTCATCAAGATTATGAGAATCCTTATGCTCATCAGGTCTCTGTTTAGAGGTACTCCCAGTAGACCTCTCTTTCTTTCCGTAATTGCTGGATTCCATATCAGACTCCTTTGAAATGTCGTCTGAATTATAATGCCTTTTATCTCCGCTGTATATCCTATTCCTGTATTTCTCAAGTATCTCACTTTTCTTAGAAGCCATGTCCATTGCCTTAGAGGATCTTCTACCACCTTGAGCATCCCCAGAACTTGAATCTTCTGAAAAGACTCTTCTACTGCTCCTTGACTCTTTTTTGTCGTATCTCTCTCTGTTCTTCCTTTTTTCTTTGGAACTACTTCTAAACTCTGTCTTCTCAAATGTGTCTTCATAGCTGTCACTCCAGGAGTCATCACTATTCGTCATACTATTGGATTTTGTTGTTTGTTTCTTCCTTTCATCAATTTTTACTTCAGAAGACATAGAAGCACCCTTCCTGATTTTTCTAGGCATTTTTCTTTCACTTCCTCTACTTTTCATTCCCCGAAAACTGTCTTTTGTAAGCATTTCATCCATTCCATCATTATCCACAAGAGAGTTGGAATCATCTTCGCTCTGAAGAGTCTCATAAGTTTTCAGATATGTGCTTTTCATAACCTTCTCCGATGCCTTGTTTCTACAAGGAACTATATTCCACAGACCTCGCATGCAAAAAACCATGTCCTAACCTTTGCATATTAGACCCATTGCTTTTGTACCCATAGAGGACCAATCAAACTAGTATTCATCAGCAAATAGCTCCCACTTTTTGTAGACAAGAAAAGACAAATCAAATAAGCCTTATTTTCAGCTAGGAAGGAACGCCAAGATATTTATTTTACTACCAAATGGTGTAGAAAGCCAAGTAAGGATGCGATCCGCTGTAGGTTTGGAAACCTTTTGTCACCTGCTCATCATTGTACACATTCCATGTCCCCGATCTTTTGGCCTCTGCAAAGTAATGCCCTCCACTCAGGGTTCCAGTATGGCAGACAACGCCAAAGAGATTATACTTTCTATTGTTAAAGAATAAGGTGGTGTTGACGTCAACACTTGCTGTATCCTTCGATCCTCGTGGATGGAATCTTGATATATGGACTGTCAGAACTTCTGGATGTATAAGATTTTCCATCCTCTTTATGGCGCCCATACCTTTTCCGCATCTATCACACTTCCAGCCATTCTCTTTTTCAAGTATCACCTCCTCATAATATCGATCTATTCCTTCCTGAACAGATGTATAAGGCTCAATAAGAATTGTGCTGTTTATAACAATTGTTGTAGAAGAGTGTTTACATCTCTCACATATTAATACCTGCCTATCCATTGAAAGTAAGGTCTTTGCAATCAGATTTTTCCTTCGAGCTTCCTCAAATTCATCCATTGATGTAAACATGTCTTTATTCCAATCAAACTCTGTATACAGCAAGTCGATAAACTGAATAAGGAACTCGTGGGAGTCCTGCTGCATCCCGTTGAATAGCTTCATCTTTGTGCTGAGGACACTAATAAGGTTCCTTGGGTCATAGGACTGTGGTGAATTTTCATACCCAGATATAAATTGCTTGAGTGCATTAGATATCACCTTCTCCTTTGGCAAGAGGGTATCTCGATAGAAGGCATTAAGCTCACTAATGGACAAAATACATTGCATTGCAGAATTGAAGAAACAAGTATTTCCCTTATTCTTTAATCCTTTTGGAGGGAGATTAGATTTTTTCTCCTGTACTACCATTTCAAGGGCCTTAATTTCCAAATATAAATTCCACAAGTCTAGGGCACTTGTTAAAATCTAAGAATATAAGACGCCTGGATCACATGATATGCATCTATCCTGGTTTATCAAGCATACACAAGGGGAAGATGGATGGATCAATCTGAAAATGTTTCAAGCATGGGTTCATGGATCATTGGTAGATCCAAAACATTGTAAGAGCAAAAAAAACTATTTAAGTTGCGATTTTCATGATCTCAAGACTATGAAGTTTAGCACACTTAAGCTGGCCACCTGTTACCTTTACAAGGTTGCCGTCGAGGCAAAGATCTCTCCAAAGGAAGAATTTGCTGGGGAGAGTGACAGCAATTATAAGAATGAATATTTAATTACCAGAATGACTGGTAAGGATACTTTTACTCCCGAGATGACTAGAAATATGGTACTTGAGAACGGTCTGGCCATTGTACGTGAAACAACAACCTTTGTCAATCCCCACGAAGTTAAGTTTGTTCCGGGATCTGTCCTTGAGAGCTTGGATAAGGTAGCATTTGCGTCAGACAGGTTTGGAACACCCAACAAATTCCTTACAAAGCCTGACTTCTCCTACATGGAGGGATACAATAAGATGTCAAAACAAAAGAATGAAACCAAGGCAACTGAAACTAATAGTGCCAGCAGTGTCGATAGTACCAAAAGTAACTCTGGGAAGGGAGAGAAAGGGTCAACCACTTCTGATGATGAAAAGGTAAGCAATGGAACTGAAGGGGGCAAGACAGAAGACGGAAGCTTAGAGAACCAAGATCAGAATGACCAAGGAAATAATATTACGAGTGATGGAGAGACAAAGACATCCGATAAATCTGGGTTCTTCCCTGGTGGTTCCTTCGTAAGGTCTTCCTCTGGAAAGTATTCATCCTTGGCTTAAGCCATGATGCTATTAAATTTCTGTTTAATCATCAACATCGCTCTGGTATACTATGTATCTTAACATTATTTGCTATCAATATTGCACCTCCTGGCATTATTGTCCCTAATGGCTCCAGATTTAGGTTGAAAAAGAGATGGGCTAGGAATGAGCTATGGGAAGTTCAAGAAAACAATAGTCTCGATAGAGCTCATAAAGTTCATGTGCCACGACCATTTGCTTATCAATTTAAGAAAACCTCTGACGATAGTGTCAGGATGTAACGGGTCTGGGAAGAGCGCGGTGATGGTAGGGATTGGGCTGGTTCTTGGGCAGCGAGCACACAGTCTTGAGCGTGGAAGTAGTTTCAAGGATCTAATTAAAAGCGGAGAGTCGAGTGCGATTGTAAGGGTTGTGCTGGAGAACCATAAAGGGTTTAAGAGGGAGTTCTTCAAAGAAAGGATCATTATCGAAAAGAGATTGGGGATGCGATCTGCGACAATAAGTATTATGAACGGGGAAAGGAAGATCTGGTCCATGAGAAGAGAAGATTTGGAGTTAGTTCTAGAGTTCTTTTCATTGAGATTTGAGAATCCATTGAACTTCCTCAGCCAGGAGCAGTCCAAGAGGTTTCTGAACATGATGAATCCCGAAATGCTTTATGAACTATTTATGCAAGGAACAGAAATGGCAGAGATATGTAGGCTGAATGACGAGTCTATGGGTAATGTTCGGATGATGAGAGAAAGAATAAGCTTAGTTGGTAAGGAATTGGAAGAGATTGAGAAGCAGATCAAGGACGAAGAAAGCAGACTGGAGATTATAAACAATGTCAAAGCTATGGAGAATGCCATAGTCGATCTAGAAGATGAGATGGCATGGGCAAAAGTGAACGAAAGAAAAATGGAAATGGATAAGCTCTTTGAGAGGTTCCAAAGCAAGCAGGAAGAAATGGATAAGGACCACGGAAGGTTAGAGGAGCTATCTCAAATGATCAAAGAAGCCAGAGAGAAGCTAGTTATGATTGAGAGTGAAGAGGTGGAAAGGAAAAGAAGTAGAGACAGAAGGAGAGAAGAGATTGATGGAGCCATCAGTAAACTTCGGATGAAGTATAGAGAAATAGAAAACGACTGTTCGGAGTTGAAGGAGACAGAGGATTTTAAGAGTAGGATTGCGATGGATTTTGAGAATCAAGACGGAATTGTGAGGAACCTACTACCTCAGCTTGAAGAAAGGCACAGGAAGGTTTCTTCGGAAATAGAGGCTCTAAATGCGATGATGGAAAGACTTGCTGTGGAAAGCGAAGAATGTAGAAAGAAAGCAAGGGAGGAAGAGGAGATACTTTCCGAAAGACAGAGCAGAATTCTTCATCTTAAGAAGCAAATTGAATTCTACTCCAAAAACGACCAAAACAGTTTTTTTGGTCCCAACTTTGGTAGTGTCATTAACGAGATTTCGAGAACCAGGTTTAATGAGAAGGTTGTTGGACCCATTGCATTTGAGATAAAACTCAAGGAGCAGAAATGGGGCAAGGCTGTTAGCATTGTATTGAATAATACACTGTCTACTTTTATTGTAATGAATAAGTTGGATAAGGATATCCTACTTAGGATATTTAGAAAGTACAAGGTAGACTTCCCGATCTCGACGCTCTCAACTAGGGTTCCAGAGATTATAAAGTACAAGAGGAACGAGAGGTACAAGACTGTGCTCGATGTTCTGGAGATCCAGAGTTCTTTTGTTACAAACTACCTGATAATAACGACCTCTATTGAGCAGACTATTCTTATTGAGGAGAGGAAAGAGGCTTATGAGATAATAAGATCAAGGCCTGGATTTGTAGAATGTGCTTATACAAAGAACGGAGACAGGATTAGGCTGGTCGGAGGAAGCATGTCGGATTTTGTTACAAGAGGTGTGGATAGGTTCTTCTTTGAGAACACTCACGAAAAACTTGAACGATGTAAGGCAGAAATGAAGAGGTTGATGAAAGAGAAGGCTGAGAAAAGTTGGGGAAAGAAGTTAGAGGAAATAAGAAGTGAAGTAGGTAAGGTGAATGAAGAAATAGAGCATCGAAGAAGAGTGTGCAAATCCCTGGAGGTTGAAATGGAACAGGAAAAGCAGATACATGATGCTCAGATGGAGATTATAAATAGCGATGAGATCTATGAAGAAATAAAAAACCTTAAACGCCAGATATCTCTGCTGAAGAAGAAGCAGGATGAAATCAACCAAGAGATTGAGGCTCTAGAGATAGAGAAGAGAGAAATTAAGGAATACAAGGCATCGGGTACAGAGAATCTAAGACAGGAGATTTGCAAAAGCAAGGCAGAGGCCTCCAGAATTGAAAGGAAAATAGATCTATGCCGGATAGATGCTCTTAAATTGAAAGAAGAGCATGCAAAGTATACTGAAGTTTATAACACAGAGAGGAGGATGCTTGCGGAAGATGGAAGAAAAGAAATTGTAACAAGGTCTGAAGATGAAATCAGAAGGGATATAATACATATAAAAGCACAGATTGACATGTGTAAAGAAGCTGAAGATGAGAAGAAAACCTTAGCCGTGGTGGAACATCTGCGGAAAATGAAGAAGATGAAAGAAGATCTTCTTGATGAATACAAAGAGAAGATAGAAAATGCTCTTTCGGATGTCAGGCTAAGAATAATCAAAAGAGATGGCATGAGGAATGAAATAGCTAGAAATGCTACTTTAGAATTTTCCAGATTAACTCGAATTAGAGGGTATGAAGGAATCCTAGAGTTCGATCATGAAGGGAAAAGGTTGGATGTTAAAATGAAAGTCCATGGGCAAACCGAAGCGGGATCTAGAAGTATGCTGTCTGGAGGGGAGAGATCCTTTGCAAGTGTTTCATTAATTTTGTCTCTATGGCCCTCACTTTCGTGCCCTATCAAAATACTTGATGAATTTGATGTGTTTATGGATAATCTAAACAGAAAACAAGCCATAAGGCTACTTCTAGAATTTTTTAAGGAGAATGGCACCCAGGGGATTCTAATAACTCCTTTGGGTGTAGAAGATCTTTTTGAGGATTTTTGTGATGTTATTGTCCTGGAAAAGCCTAATAAAGGCAAATGGATAGAAAGATGAAAATAAACAGAAGTATATTAAAAGCTGAGATAGATGTTGCCATCTACTCTGTAAACAAGCATCCAAAGGCACTCCTTGGCTTTTCTATAGGACCTTAGGAATCTGACTAGGTCTCTGTAATTGCAGGTTGTTATGTTGACATGGCCCTGCTCATGCTCTAGAAGATCAGAAATGCACCTTCTTTCTATCACTGCTTGTATATTCAACCTTGGGGCTTCAGGATCCATTATTCTAAGCATATGCTGTATTTTTACTGAAAGAAGCTCAAGACAAGTAAGCGCATCTATCCTTGAGTCATGTGTTTCTAGATGAATATCCTTGGAGAGATATGTTCTCGACAATTGCGCAAGGGATATCTTTCTTCCTAAAGGACTTGAGAATAAATGGGCGGTATCTATAATCTTTTCATGATACAATCTCAACGAATCCAGATCGTTTTCAACCCCGTGCCCTACAATCACAGTGTTGGTTCCAATAAAGTTGAAAATCTCATTTTTTGCAAGATCAATATCAACGCCCTCATCAATTATCTCCTTTGTTAGCCCACTATATTTGGTTAGATAATCTATCACAGGATCCTCTGGCTTGAGTATTTTGTCATAGATGGTCTTTCCATTACAGTCAACCATTGTGATCCTCCCAGGAACCTTTCCTGCTTTTGTTCTGACCTTCTCTATATCCAAAGCAATTATGTCATAGGATCTAGGCATAAGAGCCTTTCTGTACCCACTTACATCAACCTTTGATAAAGACTTTTCGTCATCAACAAATATTCCTGAACGATATATGTCTTCAAACCCCACAAAAGGAATAAAGCCTAAGTTTTCCATCTTTACATACTCAAGAGACGGCGTGATGTTTTCATACTCCCCATCTCTCAAAATACACTCTATGATGTCATCGAATGGCAGATGCTCATTTACAAGTGCCGTGTGGCATATTTTGAGCTTAGATAGAAGTTTTGAGATATCTTCGGGTGAATCCTCCAACTTGATGATGTTAATTGTGTTTGGACGATCACTTGCTCTCAGAGGAAGGAAGGAGGGTCTTTTGGACAGGTTGAATACCCAGCATAGGATCCTTTGTATATCGTATACCGTTAGTCTCTTCAGTTCCCTGACTTTTGCCATTCCCAAGGAGTACAGAAATGAGTGGAATTTCAACCATAGAACTCGATGTTCAATGGTACTTTGTGATGCCATAATTCATTGCCTCAAAATCAACCAATCCACAACAATAATCACAGCCAATAAGGCCCTGGATGGAATTAATGTCAACACGAAAGCGTGAGTATTCCAAGCACGTGGAATCAAAGGGTGGCCTTAAGCTATATGAACAACTTGTGGTTTTGCTAAGGACGAGAAGCGAGATCAAGTTTCTATGCAACCGTGTGTCTTTATCGATAAGGGCATGTATAGTGGTTGAACTTGCTCTCTGCGGAGCAATAGGCCTAAAGGAGGGTAGAGTCGTGGGCAAGGACAATACTCTGAATAGTTCGCTTTTGTTAGAGGCAATGAGCAAGATCTACCAGACCCAGCTACCGCCCGATGAGCTTATGTACCGACTCAATGGAGAAAAAAGAGGAGGGAGTATTTATATGAGAAATGTTAGGTTAAGAGTCTACAAAGACCTCGAAGAAAAGAGGGTATGCAAGGTTGAAAGTAGAAGCTTGATATTCAACAAGATCACTATGAATGACTATAACATAAGAATAGAGCTTATAAACTATATAAAGGAGTATTTAACCTCTAGCAAGGGAGTGGATTATAGAGCAGAAGCACTTGTTGTATGTCTAATATTTTGCTCAGCAATAGATAGCATACTTATCTGCATGACAGAGAAAGAGGCTGCAGCATCCAGTGCTCATATCAATCGCATCAAAGAAAAATACATGACAAAGAGCACATGTAGACCTGGAAACGAGATGATCATATATTCTGTACTTGGGGCTCTATTAAATTCCTAAGTAAGTTCTATAAATATTTCCATTGAGGGCCCTATAATGGTGGAGTATTGGACTTTGGACAGGTTTGAAATAGGCAGGCTGCTGGGCCGAGGAAAGTTTGGGCAGGTATGGCTTGCAAGAGAGAAGGAAAAAGGATTTATAGTCGCCCTGAAAATCATTCCAATTAAGGAGATCCAGACTGTTGAGACTGCAAGACAGATTCGGAGAGAAGTGGAAATACATTCCAACCTGAAACATCCCAACATTCTGAGGATGTATGGCCATTTCCATGACAAGGATCATATATATTTGATACTGGAATATGCAGGAAAGGGCGAGTTCTTTAAATTCCTTAGCGAAAAAGGAGGTAGATTCGGGGAAAAGGAAGCCTCTTTATACATAAGACAAGTGATACTTGCGTTGATTTATATGAAAGAGTGTAATGTTATACACAGAGATATAAAGCCGGAAAACCTACTGCTTGGGTCCGACAATCAACTAAAAATAGCAGACTTTGGATGGGCTGTTTACAATGCAGACAAGAGACGAATGACATTTTGCGGCACAATGGAATACCTTGCACCAGAGATGGTCAACAACGACATACATGACTCTGGTATTGATCTGTGGTGCCTGGGGATCCTGACATACGAATTTCTTATAGGAAAAACCCCGTTTGAAAGTAAGAACAGGAACATGAGAGAAGCTTATAAAAGAATCAATTCATTGAAATATTCAATTCCAGAAACAATCAGTTCCAATGCCTCCGACTTCATTTCTAAACTTCTTGTATTGAATTCTAACGATAGAATGGAACTTACGGAAGCCTTGAATCACCCATTTATTGTAAAGCACTATGGAAGATCTAATGATTAACTTCATTCCAATAAAGTAAGTTCCTGGTTTGCTGAAGTTTCTACTCTAACATTTTCTTAGCGGTTGCTTCCAAGTTTTCTATGCTTCCTTCCCAGGGACTCACCTCAACTGTCTTCTGCATACTGGTGGTCCCTATTACGATTTTGATAGAAGACTTCGGAACTCTAAGCATCTTACTGATAAACCTCACCAATTCTTTGTTAGCTTTATTCTCTACCGGCGGAGCATTTACCTAAAGTTAATCCAATCACCTTACATTTACAACAATTTCTGTGCCTGATATTTCTCTTATGCCAGTACTTCTTGCGCTAGGCCGAGCTCTAACACTCAATCTAAGCTTCTTGTCCTGAATGCAATACCAAGCCATTTTGGGACTCCTTCGGCGAAATTATAAGTCTTTTATCCCAAATCTCTTAGTGGACCCCATAAATAACCACAGAGGCTCCATTTAGGTATCTCAGCCTAAACTCATTCCGGTACCTAGAGACCAATTCGCCGAGGTTACTGCATCCATTCACTAGCCCTTCAATAATTTTAATGCTGAAGTTATCAATGTCCTTGTCAGTGACTTCCCAAAGGCATCCAACCACCGTAGAGTTCTTTCTCAGATGTTTTAGAATTGCCCCATTTCTCTTGTAGTTCTCTATACACAGAAGCTTAGCACTGCTACATCCGAACAAAAGCATAATCTTTCCTTCTCCAGAGATCTTCAAGTACTTTAAGCCACTCCCATGGCCAAAATATAACAGTATATCACACTTATCGGCTTCCCTGCACTCCAAATCCGACAAAGACCTTCCTGTAACGCCGTTTGTTATTCCAAAAGATTTAAGAAACTTCGTCATTCTGTCCTGAGTCTTGGGAAGGTTGTTTTCAGGATCGAGCAGATAGAAAAAGGAACTTCCAGAAATGTTGGCGCCTGAAGTCTCTTCAAGATACTCCAGAGAGGGTACTCTATACACAGCCTTGCCTCTAAAAATTGGCATGGACTCGAATGGGAACTCTGTTGTTGTTTCGTCTAGAACCAGAATGATGTCTTTACGAGTAAAAAGTCCATCAAACTTAGTGCTAACACTATGCAACACTTCTCCAAGTTTCGTATCAAGCTCTATCCTTTGCATCCACCACCTAGCCTTATCAACATCGTTGTGTACATTCTCCTTGAGAATATTCCTAGACTCGATTAATATTCTGCTTATCCGAGCCTTAACATCTCGGAAGCCTCCGTCTATCTTCACAAACCCTTTGAAGTCGTTGATAAACAGACATCCATCTATGCAGTATAGAGATACAACTGTGAACTTTTCAAAGCGCTTCAGTATTCTTTGTATATCTCCACAAAGTGTAGAAGGCTTAAACTGCACAAATCTTTCTAGAGTCCTTATTTCTCTAAGATTGCTCATTTCATTTTTAAGTGCAAGGTTTGTAAGAATTCTGTTACCGATAGTCTTCTTTTCATTCTCTATTATATACCGAGTATCAATTGTCTTCTGCAGCTCCAGGTTGATGTCTGGGGAAGGTCCAGGAATACAACCTATTCTCTCCACTACTAGCTTGCAGTTGAGGAAATATCGAGCGATAAAATCCAATTGATGCTTGTAAGATAACTCAATTCCCTTGTTTAGGTAAAAGATACATTCAAAGTATTCTCCACAGAACATATGGGACATAGAAATAAGATCATACACCCAGAGCAAGACCTCCGGGATATTCCTCATTTCCATTTCCCTAACTATTTCCAGGACCATCCTAAGTTTTTCTTTACCCTCTTTATATTCTTGGGATGATAGCCTTACATAACCCTCCATAAATGCCCGCTCAAAAGATGTGGACCTTCTTATAAGCTCCTGCATCAGCTCAGGATGATACTCTCTGTTCCTGCACATCTGAAAGCACAAATCTCTTAAAAAGGTAGTGTTTTCCAGGGCCTTTTCTCTAGGTATTTCACTGAATATTCTGGTGTTTTCAGCAAAGCCATTCCAGTTACAGATTCCTATAAAATAATCAATGCTAAAGTTCCTTCTTAAATGGATGTAAGGTACACCAATGCTCTCTGGAATATCATAGAAACAAGATACCAAAGGATAGTTTTCTCTTATGTATTCTATCTCATCTTTTGTGGGTTCATGGGAGAGCCTTTCTTTCTTTATATTTACTAACATCCCATTCCTCCGGGCTAGAATCTCCTTGATCCTGGTTTTCATCAAGCAAGCGCCACCACACTCATCCATCAAAGACCCAAATATCTTTCTTGCCCTAGCCCTGATTCTCGGGCCTACCCTTTCCATAATCTCACATGTCTCTCCTCTGTATTCCCCATATGCTTTGTATCTTATCATGAGATATCCAGCAACTATTTCATCCAGCAAAGGATCATTGTAGTCTAGATGGCTCATACATTCGTCGATGGAATTCATCTGCTTACTCAGTATCCTTCCAAGATGTAATTTAATTCTTTTCTCAATCTCGCTGTAAATCTCTTTTACAAATATTTTACTGCATAAGCTCACAAGAGCTTTATCTAAAGAATACCTTGGAATCCCAAGCATAGGCTCATATACATATATGCACTTGATTATTTCGAGTACAAAGAGACCTAAGTCATGTGAAGGGTTCCTTAGTACTTCATTGATCACTCTTATAGCATCTGTCCCCCTTTTTATGGCTGTAGCTTTCTGAGGACTTCCTTTGCCTCTGAATCTAATTTTTTCAAGAAACTCCTGGTGCCTCTTGAGCATTATACCAAGGCATCACAACTAGAATTTATTCATTCCCATAGAAACATGCTTAACCTTCCAGCCCAGTATGATAGTTGTGAATGATGAGGATCTCAAGAAGACTATAGAGGAGGTAGCTAATGCCAAAAGGAATGAACTCAAAAACCTTGATGCGGTATATAAAAGTGTGATAGAATATGGCAAGTGGGTTATTCCAAAAGAAGGAATTAAATCCGTCAAGTTCGACAGTACTTTACTTAACAAAGTGTACATAGGAAATATTACTGCCTCAAAAGGATCCATCAAAGATCTTCTCTCTGTCTTTGGGCCTGTGTCTGTGACATACATAAGCGGTAAGGAATGTGCATTTGCAGATTTTGACAACCCACATGCAGCTTATTTATGCATGGAAGAAATCAATGGGATGGCCCATGATGGAAAGATCTTAAAAGCCGGGAGAACCTCCACATTTCCATCTGAAATTCCAAAGGATCTTGGCCCTCCGGACGAAACCATTGTTTATGTATCAAACATAGATTTGGACATTGAGGAAGAGCAGCTTAAAGATGTCTTCGGGAAGATGGGAGAGATCAAAGATGTCAGGCTTGTATATGAGGAATCCTTTGTGCACAAGGGATATGGATATGTACAATTTTCGAGGCCTGGTGATGCAAGGAGGGCCCTAGGATATAGCAATAAGATCAGCCTCTATGGAAAAAGAATAAGAATAGGGCCTAGTGTTATCAAGATGGATTTGCCGAAAAGAAGTCACTTTGCCGTTCCTGAGCAGGTATTTGAGATAAAGAAAAGAATTGAAAATGTTATATTTGGCAAGGGGAAAATGGTCGTGCTGAGAAACCTAATAGACATAGATGATGCAGATGACGATTTCGACCAGGAGATAGAGAATGAGATGAGGAAGTATGGGAATGTTGAGAGATTTGGAATATCCAAGGAAGGGGAGGTGGTTGTATATTGCTTATATTCGACAGAAGATGAGGCTAAACATTCATTCAACATTCTTAACGGACGATTTTTTGGAGGAAGAAGGATTCGTGCAGAAATGTCATGCGGAGATTTTTCCATGTGAGGATAGATGGAGCACCCCTTTTGTACTTTAATATAGGCCCAACCTTGAGGATTAAATTTATATTATATGAACCTGTTTGCTGTGTCATCCTTTTCTTTCTTCCTAGAAAATCTGTTGGTTTCTAGAGTTTTCGAGACAAGGGAGAAAATAAATCGAGACTTACAAGTCCTAGCCCTATATGGCAAGAAGAAATGGAAACAACAACTTTTTGAACATTATGAGGTCTATGTTGAGCTTTTTAGATGCGAGGATAGAGTCGTCAGATGCTGACACAAACAACAGTCCTGGGGGTGTTTTCATGAGCAGACTGAGGAGTAGGCTAGTTGACTTGATAAATGGTAGAATGGAGACTAGAAACAATGAAGGAGATGAAAGGGCAGCTTCGGATACCGAAGGAAGTTCAAGAAGTGTAGGGAGGAGGAGGCGTGCAAGAAAGAACTTGAGTGGAGCTCGGCAGGAAGCCCCCACTGTCGAGGAGCGAAGCCTAGTTGACAGATGTAGTAGGATGATAAACGAAACAGGAGAGAGACCGGTGAGAGGAAGACGGCAGGTTAGGGCCGCCTCAGTGAGCCAGAACCGAAGGGTTGATGGATCTAGAGGAGAGATGTCTATGGATCCGGTTATGCTAACAACATCTATTGTTGTGACAGGAAATGAAAGAAGCTCCTCTCAATCTTCATTGCAGAACGAGGAAGGCCGGAGTGATGTAAGGTCTGATGAGGAATCAAGAAGTCTGGGAAACAGGGGGTTCAGGGTTGTTTTTCCACGTGTTCCTTCCCAAGAGCTCAGATTCTTGTTCCTTACACCGCAGAGTGAAGGAGCAAGAGGAAATGTTATATATGAAATACAAATCAACTTTGACATATTCGATGCCTCAACAGAACCTCCTGTCACAGCTACCAAGGAATCTTTGAAAAAAACTGACGTTGTAAAAGCTACGAAAGATGACGAGACATGTGAGTGCACTATATGTATGTCGAACTTCTCGATGAACCAGAAGCTAAGAGTGCTCCCATGTGACCATAAGTTTCACACTGGGTGTGTTGATAAGTGGTTGCTCGGCCATTCTAACAAATGCCCTGTCTGCAGAAAAATCATTTGAGGTGTAAGTAGAGTGGATGTACAGTAAAGTTAACACTTAGTATGGAAATAAATAATTTTGCCAACTCTTAATTACTTTTGGGAATTTTGGGGATGAAAAAGGAGGAGAGTAGTAAGTCAAGATTTGATAGAAGATGTGTGGAGATGGTGAGGAATGTGCTTGAAGGAAGGTCCACCATCAAGGGGGAGGTTTATAAAACAAGGAACCCCAAGATGTATCACAGGCTAGTTCATATGGTTGTTGAAAACTATGAGCTGTTACTTGAGGTGATAAAGAAATGCAAGTACATGGAAGATGACCGAGAGTTGGGAGTAGTAAGATGTTTTGAGATACTTGACAGGCGAATCAGAAATACTCGAATGTATAAGAAGTTTATGAAGGCTCTTGATGGGAAAAAGCTAAAGTTGACCAAGCCATGTGTGTTTGTAAGGATTAACACTTTGAAGAATGGAACGGAAAGGGACATAGAGTTTTTGAGCCCTAAAAGGACATGCGTTGAAGGAGTGTACAAGATAGTAGATTCCAAAGATATGATTTTCTCGCAGGAATACAAAGATGGAAAGTTTGTAATACAGAACATTTCGTCCTGTCTTCCTGCATACATATTGAACCCAAAGGAATGCTCCAGAGTCATAGATACATGTTCTGCACCTGGAAACAAAACATCCCAGCTGTCAATGATCATGAAGAACACTGGAAGGATATATGCCTTTGAAAGAAGTGAAACCCGGGCAAAGACACTTCAAGACCAACTTGAAAGGCTGGGAGTTAGTAATGTAGAGGTTATAGAAAATGACTTTATGAAAGCAAGCCCGGACGATTTCAAGGATATTCAGTATATTCTGTGTGATCCAAGCTGCTCTGGATCAGGAATGCATTTAGGATATAAGATGGATGAAAAAAGGATAGAGAGCCTTAAACTGTTCCAAATAGCCATTGTAGAGCATGCTCTTAGGTTCAAGCCGGAAAGGCTTGTATATTCTGTATGTTCTGATCACAAGGAAGAGGGAGAAGAAGTAGTGGATGAAGTCTTGAAGAACTCTGATTATGAGCTGGAAGATATAAGCACTTTCTGGAGCTCCAGCTGTCCCTTCGAGTTTCCATTCAGCCATAAAGTAATAAGGTGTAAAAGAAACGATAATGGAGCTACAGGGTTCTTTATAGCTCTTTTTGTAAAGAAGAAGCTTTGATAGACTTCATGGGACAATAAACCGCATTAACTACATCTTCCTTTTAATTAGCCCAACCATTGAGAACAAAAGAATGTCAGAAATGTAATAAAGATATTCAAAGAATGCTCTAATCCCAAGGAACTTATAGAACGATAATGACTCACAGATAACGTATCCAGACCACATAACAACCAATAAATTGAAACTATGGAACGTAATTATATCCTTTACGGAAGACCCAAAGCCTCTTTTCTCCTTGAAAGAGCTTGTATCTGATTGGTGAGATATGAATAATTGTATGGCCCTAATTCTCGGATAGATAAAATAGAGGAAAGCTATTAGTGCTACAGGTGCTATGAGGAAATTATCCGAGAATGTAAAAAACACACCGTAATTAATTGATTGGAATAGTTTTTGCAACCCGGAAGAGGAAAAGGCCATATTGACCAATGAGAAATATGTGTAGATGCTTCTCTCCATATCTAGTCTTCTAATAATGTAGGTAAGATAGATGGATTCCATTGGTCTGAATACTAAGGCTATTAAGGTATCGATACTGGGTGATGATACAAAGAGACTAAGTCTCCAGGATGCATTATCAAGGCTAGCACCCAAGACATATCTAAGAAGGGAAATGAAAACATGAGGATAGTTATTGAGTATCTTAAGGATGCTATTGAGAAAGAACCAGAGGGTTTTCTCAAAGTGAGTAATGTTGTCCAGTATTCCAAACAAACACAGCTCAAGGATAAAGAGAAGATTCCCATTAAACAGAGGAGAAAGCTTGATTCTCTTTATCACAAGGACATAGAAAGGATTCGTATCTGACGGAGGCCTTATCATCTGTAGAAGCATTATGGCTCCAAGTAAGTTCTTGGGGGAAGGATTAAAAGCGAAGAAAAGAATGGCCCAGAACAAATCTTCGTGTATTATTGACAGCACAGAATGCCCTGTCATTATGATCACAAAGAATAGGACAAGATGTCCAAACTTGTAGAGCTTAGAGTCAAGGATTCTAAAGATCACAAGTAATGCTATTATTACTGACAGTATGCCCGAAACGACTAGCCTGAAATGATCTCTTCCTGCAAATCTGTTTGATATTTCTTCACTCAGCTTATAGTTCAATTTTATGTATTCATTAAGTTCTCTATGACTATCCTCGAACGGAATATTGAGTACATCACATTTTTGTTTGCAATAAGTCTTGTATGCATTGGTGTCATGAACGAGCTCGTGTATGAAATTACCACTGGATACCTTCGGGATAGGTACTCCCATAAGATAACAGAGTGTCGGAAGGATATCGTCTTGATGAATGGTTAGATATGGTTCCTTGCTTTGTATCAGAAGAGGATCCTCATCATACATTCTTGAGATATGTTTTTTCCTTAGGCTTTCTACTTCTTTATCAACAGAAGGGAGATTGGTGAATCTCTCATCCTTCGATATAAAAATCCCTACTGCAGACATTTCTAATGTAGAAACCCCGCCATGAGCCCCATTATTATCAACGCCGTGGTCGCTACATATTACAAATAATGTGTCTTCCGACATTTTCTTGTATATACCATTTATGAGGTTGTCATATATTACTAGCTGATGTTCCATTTCTTCGTGATCTATAGTCTCATAGATATGGCCGTAGGAATCAAGATTTATCAAATGTGCAATGATGACATCATAGTTGTTTATACTCTGTAGCATTTTCTCTATGAGATCATCTTCTTGCTTTCTTATTTCGTGTCTTCCATATGGATCCATTACATAATGGGTTCCGTTTCTAAGCTCTGGGAAGTAGCTTATCCATTGGCAATCACCGAAGAATGCTGAGGACCGTCCATCCTTAAGAAGTTGCCTCACCATGTTATCCCAATATATGGAGCATCCTTGGAGATTGGCTACGCTTGTTAAGAAGTTGCTTGGGGTCCCTGTTGTCAGTCCTATGACTCTAGACCCTGTCTCTGTTGGAATTCCGCTGACACTCAGAGCGTGAAATTTTGAATCGATCGATTCCAAATGCTTCATTTTGTTGAAGATATGGCCCTTTTTCGATGTCTTTATGGAGGAATCAAATCGGAGCCCATCGATTAGAAGGTACACGATCTTGTTATATTCCTTGGGCCCTGCAGGTTCTGCTGATGAATCTGTAGGAAGATTCACAACTTTGAACAATCCTGTGAGAAAAAAATATATATTAATCATTCCTAACAAGCTCACAATCATTTAGGTGGGCGAAATTCCATACCTAATAAGCAAAATTCATCCATCAAATTCTCTGTCAATGTTAATTTTGTAATTTGGTTATTCATACTATTTAATTAAGATAAAATATAAACAGAGGACTATGGAAACCAATCACAAGCCATTGGAAATAGATAAAGCCAAAGCAATCGCAAATTAATGATTAGAGAATATATTAAATAAAAATTTGAATAAGTATAAAAGAAAGAATTGCCAGTAATATGGCTTGAGGATGAGGGAAAGAAGCCATCCTTATTCGTTACTCAGAAAGAAATTCGTAAAAACAATGAGTAAGGAGAAGCCAAAAATAGATGTATGGACGGCTGAGGATAGGCAAAAGAATAGATTGCCTACTAGGGGAGTAAACATCGATGTGAAGGATGTAGTAGAGGAAAGGCCGGTAAATTCCAGCAATCCGCCGATCATTGGAGAAAAGGTTTTGATAAAACCATACAAGGGATTTTCGATGGATGAATTCCTTTCATCTGTCCTTGAAAAAGAAAGGGGGCTAAGATTCAACTTTAGCCTCATCAATTCTGTGATACTCCAGTTTCTGGACCATGGAAGCATCAGGTCTATCTTATCTATAGAATCCATATTTAGAGCAGCCAAGGAATTACCTCTTGTCCTTATTTCTGGATATATTTATCTTGAAAAATATGTGAAGAAAGCCGGGATCGTGTTTTATGATTGCAAGAAGCTAATTAAGTTTTTTTTTGGTTGTTGCCTCATAGGATCAAAGTTCATTTACGATACTCGACATCCCGATGATCTGTTCTTTGTGGGAATAAGCCCTGCTGAAATCTTTCGTATAGAGGGATCAATTCTATCTGCCATAGACTATGATCTTGAAATATCTAATGATGACATTAGGAAGGTTATTCTTCAGAATAAGGCCTCACTGAGTAATAAGGAACATCTTAATGCTCAGTTCAACAGAGCTATTAGAACCCATTAATTTAATAAAAATCATTTACCTAAATCACATTATCCTCTACACTTAAGTACATATAGGAAAAGCCATGGGTAGGAAGAAAGATGTGCTGGAGAACATTTAATTCTTTGGAGAAGATCCACTAGTTTCTTGATTCTTCCTTTTTTTGTTTTCATGGAGAATGTCTAAAGCCCTGTTTATATCGCCCCTAGCCTCCTTTAAAGCCTTTGTTGCATCCTCATCTTCGAATCCCATGGCCTTAAGTTGTTCTAATTGAACTAAATATACTTGCTCATCGACCTGCTGATTCGGCCTTGGGCTTCCATATCCCGGAGGAGGATATCCGTGCATCCATGGGGCACGTGGATCTCTCTGGTTGAAACCTCCCATGTTTGGAGGATATGATGGGAACATTCCTCCGTGTCCTCCATTCATTGTATTCAATGCCCAGCTCAGCCTCTCGGGGGTAAGAGCTTGCTGAAATAAGGATGGATTTGCTTTCATCATGTTCAAAGCTTCTTTTAACATCTTCTTTTGTTCCTCCTTCTGCTCAGAAGTCATGTTTGGATTCTGTATATTAAGTACCTGGTCTAATAAAGTCGGGTTGTTGAGCATTTGTTCCATTTGCTGCATCATGGCGTTTGAGAATGCTTCGTTATATCCATCACTTTGCCCAGGCGATCCACCTCCTTGCGGAAACCCATATCCGTATGGCATTTGGCCGTACATTTGCTGAGGAGATCCATATCCATATGGCATTTGGCCGTACATCTGTTGAGGAGATCCGTATCCACCGTATGGCGGTACAAAAGCAGCATAAGGGTTTGGCATTGATTGCCCAGCGTGAGGATTTCCTCCAATATGTGCCTGTGATTGAACATCAGATGTATTAGCATTTTGATAAATGTTGCTTGGCTTTGATATAGGATTTGGATTCTTGTTCTGCTTTATAACAAACAGCTTTATCTCCTCAGTAGATCCCTTTACATAATCACTAAGTTTCTTCCCGTCATCAAGCTTTTCACGCTCAAAAATAAGAGTCTGGTCGCTTGCAGGAATTCTAACAGACTCCCCCATGGCCTCTTCAAGCTTCTTCTTCAACTCTTCTATTGTGATATCCAAATTCTCAACTTCTACAACAAACTTGTTCTTTAGATGCTGAATGTTTATCTTCATGTTGAGGGTAAACAAAACAACTTTTTAAAACCTTAAACAGCCTATCAACTGAATCCCAATCATCAAGGTTCCACTTCGAACCCTCTTCTCTTTCTCTTCATTCGCATATTCCTAGAACATGGCGCTCAAACTTGTATATCTTTTTATCATAGAATGATGTGAAGAAAACCTTGCTGTCCTTTACAGTTAGGCCATATGCAATGGAGTTCGTTGGAAACTTTTCCATAACATTTAGATCACAGTCGCACACTTTCAGCCCCTCGTACATGCAAGACAGGTAGAACATCTCTCCTTCTTTGCAGATCCTCCATATCCCTCCACCAACTCTTACTTTTTTTATAATCTCATACTTCCTTTTATCAATAATCTCTATACATTCATCATACGATCCAACATACAAGTATTCCAGGTATTCATACATAGATGTAATCCCAGAAGTTCTTTTCATTGTATGGTGCTCAGAAAATGTCCTTGTGTCCACAAATCTTAGCATCCCATCCTCAGACCCGCATATCAGCTCTTTATCGCTTGCCTTTAAGGCCCATATAGGTGCATCTCCGGCTTTAATGACTTTTGCAGATGTCATTTCCTTGCTATACACATTAACTCTTCCCCCAACATCAAAAACAAACACATTGCTGCCATAAACTTCCACATATGTATTAATATGTGCAGTTTCCATCTTTATAGTGCTTCTGCTCCCAAGATGAATGGCGGAAATATCACTAGAATTTGCTGAATATAAAGTCTGTTCACTTACCTTGATATCAAGAGTTCCAGATGTTGTGAACTCATCCTCAATGTTCATGCTTTCTAGACTGTAGAAATATATCTTTCCACTTCTTACACCTTCATTAAACAAATATCCTCCTGCAACCAAGGCCGAGGACGTGCAGCATAGACAATCTATGGGAATATCCGCCTCAAACGCCTCCATAATGCCCCATAGAAATCCTTGGACTTTTATTTAACATGATGTTCGGTAGCCTTTATATAAGCAAAAATTGCCCATCATATTTTTTTGTACCAGGCTTCCTACTAGAAGAAGAACCTCTTTGGAAATAATGCCAAAACTTACTGAATAAAAAGTGCTCGTCAGCATGAGAGATACTTGCGTCTAGAGTCTGGCTCTGCAGCTTTATTAATATTTCTACAAGTCTGCAGAACCTCATGGACGCCACTTCGTTGTTTCGAGTTCTATTGGATTCTTCCACATCCTTGATGTACACATCCATGGGACATATAAGAAATGTATTGGCCGTCGTCAAATCATCCAAAAACTGCCTCATATCAAAGTAGCTTGTACTTTTCTCCATATGCCTAGATAGAGTGTTCAGTCTCTTTAAGTCAAGTTTTTGCATCTGAAATGCTTTTATAATGCAATAGAACGAATTGTAGTTTCCTATTCTTTCCAAGTGCTTCAACAGCTTAAAAAAGTATTTGTAATTCTGCTCTCTTAATAGCTCATTGGAGACAAAGTTTGTAAGACCTACATTCTTTGACCTCATATGCCTTATATTTCTACACTTTGTGTTTCCCGGGCCATCATAATCAACCAGCTCGTTTGGAGTAATTCTCTGCAGTATTGATAGATCTATAAAAGTCAGGGCTTTGGAGAGCTTTCTGGGTGTCATGTGATATATGTCTTTGGCTTCAGCCTTCTTTATCTTATACTCATACCTCTTTGCTTTCCTTCGGTTGAAAATCTGTTCTTGATACCATGAATGAGGCAAGATGTCCCCATTCCACACAACACCCATATCCGTCTCTTCATCATAAGCATTACTGAATTCTCTAACAACTAATTGGTCACCGCAGGAACTTTCAGATGTTCCACTACTGGAATATTCTTTGATGATCGTTGTTAGCTCTTTTGAACTCATCATCTTTGTTTCTATTCTAGTATATATTCCAAAAATCCTGCAGAATCGCCATATCCACCTATTGTTTGAGAGCTATTAAAACAATGTTTTGCATTACTTCCCGAGAAGTTTATTGCTTAGCTTCCTTCCGTTTTCGTTGGTAAAGCACCCATCAATGGTATCTTCAATAAATTTAACAGCCTCCTTCAAACTATCCTCCTCGTTGATAAATCCTAGGATCTCGTCCAGAAGCTTTATCTTTTCGAGGAAGCACTTCAACTCCTCAACAGATCTGACATTTAGCCTTGCTACATTGTTTTGTATGTAAAAGTTCAAACATTCAAATACAAACCCAAAATATTCGCATTGAACATCCAAATAAGATGCCGAACCATAGATATCTTCTACAACACCTAATATCTTGTGCAAATAATAGTCGTTCTTGTTGGTATAATTTCCTTCACGATAGAACAAATCAAAAAAGTACAATATCTCCAGAGCAACCTGAAATTTTGATCTTATCAATGCAGAGGAATGGAGGGACTCTAATCTCCTGCCTTTGATAGGCTTGCCAATGTCCCTGAGTGTCTCCAGAGAAAAAAACATGTTTTCGTAGCACTGCTTTTGGAAAAACAAAGAACTTCTGTCCATATCCCTCGTTAACAGAGAATTCTTGAAGGTGATCATCGCCCCCTCCTCAGTATGGTTATTAGAAAGGCAATCCTTAATTATATCCGATTTAAACATACCTCTGAAATATGTATCAAACTTCTTCTCAAAGAAGCCGTCTAAAAACTCTGAGATTAGGAAAATATTACAAAGCTCAGGATGGGAAGAAAAGTCCTCCACAAGATTCTTGTACCTTGAATAGAACGACAGTCTTCGGTTTAAGTAATCGTTTCTGTGCCATTCCTCGCCGTTTAGTAGACAAATGATTTGTTTTTCAATCTGGTTTTCCTTCTCTTTTATATATCTTTCGTCCAGGATCTTCCTCAGATATTTCTTCATCCCGTTATTAATAGCATACTTTTCCATATAAATAACTAACTCTATCCCTGAAGAAAGAATTTTTGTAAAGCTTCCAGAGAATCCAGTCTGAAATTGTGTTGGTCTGGTCATCTTCTCATGAATAAGATACTTGCTTTCAAATACAGAGCTATAGTCGATATCATCTACAAAGTTTTCGGCCTGGAACATCTCCTCATAGCATCGCTTCCCAGGATCCTCTATATACCTCATAACAAACCTCCGAATGGTTTTGTTTACTGCTGCTTCAACTGTTTCCTGGCATTTTGGGCTATAAATCCTAAACGGAGGTTCCTCTTCCTCAAAGAAGTTCTTAGATTTCTCACAAAGGCCATCAAAAGAAGCATCAGCCATTTCAAACAATGTCTTGAAGTTTCGAATAATCGTCCTGGTCCTTCCCATAACCATTTTTGCTAGCATTTCTGCTTGATTCTCCTCCTTGCTCCTCTCTACCTCTTCGATCACCGATTCAACTACTTTGAAATATTCTCTCTCAAGATTATCAATCTGATACTTCTCGAGGCTCTGTAATCCATTCAAGATTACAACACATCTGAAGTCATCTTGATACTCGCATTCATTGTAAAAAGTAAATCTGTTGATTCTGCTATAAATCAATTTCATTATGTCACCAGCCTCAGAACTTACCTCGCTTCTAAATCTTTTTACACACTCCATATCTGCCAGGCCGTTCTCGTCTATCAAATCATATATAGCTCTAATTCTCTTTGATGCCTTAAGAAGCTTAGAACTCATCTGGCGTATTTCCACATTTCTCTTCATATCGTTTTGAATTCCATCTCTAATCACACAGAACTCATCAAAATTCCTTCTGATTTCGAGAAGTGCAAGACAAATCTTTTCTTTGGCCTTGAAAACCTTTACATCATCATATTCCTTGATCATATCCTTCACTTCTATCTTCATCTCAGAAAGTTCTTTTGTAGCTCGGAATATCTCCTGGATACTATCGTGGCATCTCCTATTGAGGCGATAGGATTCCATGTATGAAAGAACAGAATCACTGAAACCTTTGTAATTTTTTTCTATGATTCCTTCCATCACTTTCTCTACTTTGTGGAAAAGATTCCTGAAGTTCGAGGCCTCCACAGAGCTGTTTCTGTTCTTCAGTGCCTGCTTCAGAGGATTGAAGTCCTCGGTAATGAGGGTTTCCCAATCTATTCTGATCTCCCTGAGCAATGCATCTGTCTCGTTCATGAGGGATCCTGGGATTTCTTGTTTGAAAAAGTACAAACAAATGAAAACTACCATTTATTAGTGTCATAAAAACAAATATATTTCTTCCCTACATCATTGCCTTTCATCTTCTGTCGCATCCATTCTGCCAATACACTGCTTGCTATTTCTTCCAAGGAATGCCTTTTGACTTCGGGAAATATTGTCTTGTTCGAGGGTAGGGGAAGACTGAACTGAGAATAAAAATCCTTCTTGCCGATCATTGTGGCGAGAAACTCGTCAGAAAGTAGCTCTGGATATCTTTTCAGAGCGAGGTCCATCTGATTGAAGAATGGTATTTTTATCAAAGATACTCTGAAGAACATTGGCCTGAAGTATGCTATCACATGGTAGGTTTTATTCTGCAATAAAATTGATATTGTTTTTTTGTTGAGAGAAAGCTTGTCGTCCCAGTTTATTATTTTTTCTCTAGATCTGCCTCTTTCATTTAATCCCAGAAGAGACTTCTGTCGGTTTCTCTTCCCAATTGCACTTTTATTCATATGCTTTGGAACCTCTTGATATAAAAGAAACTGTCCGTGGATTTTCGATGGAGACCACGTCTTTCCATCAGTCCACCTCCTGATACCATTTGGCGATTCCACAAAGCAAAATATGTCTCCAGACCTGATATTTTCCCTTTCCTCTGGGGTTAACCTTCCTTGTATTGCATTTAAATACCCCAACCTAACAGAATGAACTATCAGGCAGGCCTCTTCGTAAGTCTTTATATAACCAAAGAGCTTATTCATTTACAAGGGAATTCTTAATGTTTAACCATTTATAGCAATTCTTATCTAATAGATAGATACATCTAGATATTAATCAATTTAGGCGTTTGATATCACTTTGTTTATCATGATTTCAAGATATCACTTTTTAGCATCTAAACCGAATAGAAAAGAACCTGATGAATTAAATGTGTAATTCCAAATTTGTTAAATAATTTAATACTTTAATACTTTAATTTGTATCTAGGCTTCCTTTTCTGGTCCTGAAGATTATTCTTCGTTATCATGAACGACTATATCTTTAGAACCACCTTGCAAAAAGAAATCTTTCTTTATTGCATACATCTTTCCTTGCTCATCCATTTTCTCCTTAGTGGGGATTTTATTAGAATCTACAAACCTTCTTCTTAATTTTTTCTGGAATATAAGAAAGGGAAGGGCAGCTCATTTCTGCCCTCTCACAGAAAAAGCACTTGACATCCCAGTATACAATCCAAATGATGCTGCTCCTGCAAAAATGGTTCTTTTGGATTTGTCATTTACTCCAAGGCCTCCAGCAACCACTCCACTGATGAAGCTGTTGAGTGGAGCATTTTCCGACCCATAAAGCTGAAGACTCGATTCCGTTGTGGAGTACACCAGACTAATCTTTGCAAAAGACTTTCCAGATTCATGAATGCTGCTGAGAGTTGGTTTTTTGGATGATGAAAATACCCCCACCATGCATCCAAAAGCATATCCTTGGAGCGTATCAGATGCAACTTTCAAGAAGTGCGGTTTAACCTTCTCTATCTTCTCCCGAATACTTTTCATGTTCATATTAGGGACTTGATTCTTTTGAAAATTATTTCTAGAGATTTTCATTATGTTTAGTTTGGCATCAGCCGCCCCGAAGGACACACCTTGGCCCTATTGGGAGGTTCCATAGTGTAACGGTTAGCACCCTGGACTTTGAATCCAGTAATCCGAGTTCGAATCTCGGTGGAACCATCCTTTTTCACTATAGCCTTTTTTTAACATTGGAATTAAAGCATACTTTATTTAACTATGCAGAGCTTCAGAATGTCTATATCGCCGGGTATCGCTTCTTCTTGAAAAAGAATGTTTTCATTGGAAATCCTTATTTCCTTCCTTACTCTACCCAGGCTATGAACGCCAGAAAATAGCTCGTACAGTTTTAGGAGAAGCCGATTCCCATCGAGGTCATAGGAGTGAGCCATGCTATCGATTCCCCTTATAATTTTGACAAAGTCCCTCTTCTCAAACTTTGCTGCCTGAACCATAAGATAATAAGTTCTGATGGGGCATTCGTCAAATATATCCAGTAATCTATCCGCAACCCTAGACCTATGTCTGGAGTTATTATAAATATCAACCACCATTCTAAACTCAAGAATTTGTTTTTTTTCTTTGAATATCATCCTTTTGTTCTCGATGGCCTCTCGCATAGTGCTCAACGTTGTTTCAAGGTATGCACAGACCATTTCTGGAGAAACAAGATAGTAAGAGAAGATTACTGGAATTGACACATGTGGGAGGATAGCTCCAGCCTTCGTTGCCTTTTTCAGTAGAATGCAGGCTTCCTTCGAAACACTTGTGCACTTTGACTTTGCCCCATAGGTTATGAAGCTACAATTCTTTGCTACTACCTCAAAAGCAAGGGTATAAGCATTGGTGGAAACACTGAGTTCAATGGACTCACTCAAAAATAGAAGAAGCTCTGTGCATACTACAGCCTCCTTCCCATCCAAGCCGCCTTCCATTCTTGACATTATCTCCTCCAACTTCCATTTGTAAACCGCCCCAAAGCTAGGGTCAAACCGAAGATTATATACAAGCCCAAGCTCCTTGTTTGAGGACCATGGATACTCAGAGAAGTAATCCCGCATTAATGGACTCCCACAAGACCCAAGTATCGCTAAGAAGTAGTCTGTCCTTCTAGGAAACCTCATCCCCATATACCCAAGAATGTTGATGAGCATTCCAGCATTTCTTGTATATGGATTGTAGAACACAAGCTTTCGAAGAAACATCACTAGTCTCTGTTTTAACTCGGAAGAGAATCTTGACTTCAGATTCACAAGTGCTTTCAGAATGTTGTTATAAAAAGGAACATTTCTTCCTTTGACTATTTCTTCTGTAGAGTTTAAAAGAATTGAGGCTGCATAGACCTCATCAATACTGTCTGGACAAAATCTAGAATATAGAGCTGCCAAATCTGCAACAAACACATCCTCTATAGAATGTATATTGATTTTCATGAACCTACAAATATTTTTATCTTCATAAGAGTGAAACACCTTTGCAAGTAGCCCAATATCTTCAATTTTGTACTCAACATCTCTAGTATCCTTATTGCCTAACAAGTCTATATATGTTTTATAGCATGCTTCTGTCTGAAGCCCATCTTTAATCTTATCAAATATTATTCTTTTTACTGAAATAGACTGTGATCTTTGCATCTCATTCTCTAACGCTTTTATATCTATCTGGCCAATGATGTTTACTGCCGCTTTCACAACAGTAATACGTTTATCCTCGATATACTTTCTTGCTGCCCTTAAGATCTTCCAAGCAATTTTCTTTTCCATCACTATCCCATGAAGCTGAATCTTGGAAAGAACCTTGGCAGCTTTCACCCGAGACTCATGTTTTCTACGGCCTAATATTCGTAATAGTAGAACCACAAAAGACTTTATGAGCCTGAAAATGGCTACAGAAGGCTTGAGACCCTTAAATATACACTTGAAACACGCAATTTCCTCCGAAGAATACTCGTTCCTCCTCAGAATCCCTACCATATTTTCTAGAAAGACGATTAGGAGCTTAGAGTCAAGTTTCTGGTTATTTTCGCTAAGCATCCTCAGGTATTGAAATGCAAGTGACACACATAAGATTCTAGAACAAGGTGTAGAATAGTTGATTAAGGAAATTCCATCAGGTAGGCACGGATAAAATTTCTCAGCAAGAATACTAATAAAACTGTTGTGCTTCTCTTGAATTATCTCGGATCCCTGAAATACCGTATGTCTGTATATGCATAAAACAACATAGTCTCTGAAGTTCATTTCTCCTATGTTAAATGTATCTAGAGAATCCATTTCATGAATAATGAATTCAAACTCTTCATATTGCAAAGCTAGACCAGCTCGGATGTAAACCTCAAAAGCGAATATCTTTGTGGTGTCTATTGCCCTGCTCTGCTTAAGAAAAACTCCGAACAGAAACATACGAATGGATTCTCTATTACATCCCAGAATGTTTTCTTTTATGTATACACAGATTTCTTGAAGTATACTAACAAGACATCTTTCTTCTTCTTTGTTCAGATATTCAGTGATGCGTTCAGAACCTAGTTTTAAGAACTCCTCTACCATTTCAACAGCAGACATGCTGAAATGATGTCTCCTTATTTTAAGCCAGATAAGAACGTTGCACATGATATCGGATCTTTTTCTAAGCTCATCCCTTCCCCACTCTAGAAATCCCTGGCGTAGATAGGAAGACTCCATCACCTCCAAAACGGTCTTTAGGAGAGCATCAGAGTCATCGGTAACTTCTTTTTTCACCAAGCTAATTGCAGCTACTATGCCACTTTCCTCCAAGACCAGGCCTTTCTCTGTGAGTAGAGACTTATCAATTCGAGTCTCCTTCCTGCCCATTTCTTTCAAAACCCTTATCTCCGTCTCACGGTTTTCGTTCATAGGAAACGCCGTCCTTTTCTTAAAATATTTCAAAAAATAATAAGCTAAAGTTTACTTCACATTTATTTATTGCTAACTCTCTAGGTCCTCATGATATCTGGAATAGATTTCATAATACTCTTCATATTCAGTCTCGTTCATCATTTCTTTGTCTTCTTCGGTAATGTCTGAGAATAACTTCTTGGCTCCGTTTACGGTTACATACTCATCTATCTTTATATCTTTCCTACGATCGCTCCCATCATCAGTAACATAACCCTTTCCCACATCAAACTCCTCCACTGTCGGAAAGGCTATCGACGAAGCCTCTTCTTCTTTTGGGGCCGGCATCTGCTTATCCTCCTTTTCCTTCTTCATTTGAAGAACTTGGAAATAGTCCATGGATGGAATACTGAACTTGTCTGTCTCTTTCAGCAGGAGAACAATGTCATCCAGCTCAGACATCAGGTTTGAATACATCATACAGTCAGCGCTTCTATCCTTCTTGTTTTCCACAAGATCTCCTTTGCAGTCCTCACATTTGAACACATAGTTTTCCATAAGACTTTGTGCATCTAAAGAACTATACTCCTTTCCACATTCCATGCACATATATCCTTCTGTTTGCGCCATCTTTATGCTATTCTCTAGATTCTTTGTCATCTTGAATATCTTGTACTTTATAACATCTCGAACCTCAGCATAGTTGATGTAATATACAGTGCGTAGAATTTGCCCATTGTCCTCTTTGTTTTCCACCTTTGTTTCGTACTTAATTATCTTATCCTCTTTCAGCCTAATGACCAATCGATTGACCTCCTTTGAAAGCATCTTCATTCTTTCACAAAGCTCGGTGTCATAGAGAAGGATCTTCTTAAGTAGAATGTCGGTTATAACTACGTGATGTGGCTCATAGAATTTCCTTACCACTTTCTTTATGAGCTTGTTCATTACGGGCACGTAATCCATTCTTCTGGGTGACACAAAAGCATTTTCAAATAACCCTCAAAATAACTAGCGTCAGAACAATATTACACCAGTGGAACTCCCAAAAACAACTTTAATTCCCAAACAGATACTCCATTATAGATGTAAAAACCCCTTTCTTCCTTACAAAAATGTCGTGGTCTTCAATAATTCCTCCACCTTGTCGGAAAGCCCCTATAATCTCATCTTCAATCATAGTTGTGTTCAATCTCAGACATCTTTTTATGCTTTCTTCATTATCAAATAAAACATTTATCCAGTTCTTCCCGTACTCCACTTCTAAAACGTCCCCACAAGACTTAACAGCGTCGATCACAGCATCGAGATTCCTTGGTGTAAACCCATATATAGTTACGTACTTCTTCTTTACCCGGTGTTGTGAAACCAAAGGCTCCTCGTAGAGAGTGTTCTGAGGAATCGACGTAGACTTGGTCTCCGGTACAACCTCAGGAGTGTCTTCGGACTTATTTTTTCTCCTGAACAAGCTTGGGTGAAACTCAGTCATCAGTAGGGAGGGAAATCTCATGAAATTTCATAAGCCTAAAACTCAAAAATCTCTTCCAGCTTTATCTAAAAACTTTGGTCAAGTAGAATATTACAGTCTCTTCGGAAGCCCGGAAAGCATCAATCACAAATCTCATTCCCCTTCCCCTCATGTTCTTAAGCTCTTCAAGAGAAGAACATCCTCCTAGTTTATACAAAGACTCCAAGTCAAATTCATCCATCCAGAAGTTGTTGAACAAATAAACAACAACAGTCACCTCATTACATATACTTATATATCCAGGAAGCTGTTGGGTTTGGACCCCATTGCTGAAATAAGTAACAGAAGTACCGTCTATAAGAGCTGGAGATTCATCAAATATGAAGTTAGAAAAATCAACATCAACTAATATGGCATCGACTATGTACTTCTTGGATTCATTCAGCACCAGTTTCTCTATCTCATAATGAATGTTCTTTAGATTTATTTCTAAAGGTGCCATGAAAGGAACTATCTCGCACAACTCCCCAGATATCCTCTCTCTTCGAGATAGGTACATCTCCTCAATATTTGTAAAATCATCAGGTATATAGCCTACGGCTCCGAATATAAGATTGCATTTTAAAGATTCTTCTTTTTCCTTCCCCAAGAAGTCTCCTTCATCCTCTGACTCTTCAAAATTGACTGCCATGCGGCTTCTCCTTCTGGCATCTTCTTCATCGTCATGGAGCTTTCTTTTTGAAGGCCTATCTACCATGTCCTTAAACTCTATCTGTGTATAGATGGTAGAAACATAAAACTCCGATCTTCCTCTTCTTGAAGTCCTTAAGTTGGTGATTCTTACATATTTCCCAACCTCCATTTCGTAGAACTCCCTTGATGAGTTGTAGAATAAAAGAACCTTATACTCCCCCATTCTCACTAGATAGTATTCCTCAAGATACCCTGCATTCCTTCTGTTCAGGACGCTCAGATACTCGATCCTTCCAAATGCTTCAGCAAATACAGACGCCGGCATCTCCTGACACCTGTCCAGATTGATCCTGAACATCTCCTTGGCGCTAACTTCTTTGCAACGAAAGTATCTTGCTTCGGTAAACCTATTATGCTCCACAACGGGTGGTCCCTCAATAATAGACTTTTTTCTACACTTGGTCAGGCAAATACCGTCTCCAACCTTCATGGAGGAATATGGAAGATCTTCTCCCCAGACAAACACCTTGATGAAATCCAATGAAGAGGTTAAAAGAATGAAAAAATAGTAGGGATACTTTCTAGTGTAAGTCACAGAACTCATCCTTGTCTTGTATACGACCCATCCAGCTATCTGGGACTTGCGAGAGTTCCTACTATACCATTCACTCTTGGAAACAGCCCTGGGAGAATCAACCGGAGAGGCCCCATTGAAGTTATCCTTGATGCCATTGTACAGATCGTCTTCTGCCATTGGAATTTCAAGGGAGCTGTATGGAAGTGTGTCATTCAAGAATGGGAGGAAGACTCTTTCTGGAAGCCCATCTGGAGTCTCACAAGGACGACATTCGCCCGGATTATTGCCTGATTCAAGTATGGGGTCCTTGCCGTCATACAAACCCACTGCGCTTTCTTTCCCTCTTATTGTGAGACAAATATTAGAATCAAACTCTCTTCCATAGAGGGATGCATAGGAGTATCCCTTTGGATCTGTGGATTCAAAAATTATTCCATCGTCATCTTCTTGTACCTTAATCCAGTCATGCTTGAAACACATCCCTTTTTTTATTCTAGCCTTCATTTTACCAGAAACCTTTTTAATAGCGATCCTCTTTCCGTCAAACAGAAACATCTTGAAGTCATAAATACCTTTCGATGATATTTCTCGGTATATCTCCAAAATTTCGTATTCCTCCATGTGGGGTCAAGTGGATGTGTAAATCATGTTGGGTAGAACCCTTTGATGTTTCAGGAGGAGAAAAACAAGCTTTACGAGGAGTATGCACAGGCCCTACTTAGTAACGAGAAGGCATACCAGGCACTCAAGATGGAGCAAGAAGTGTACAGGCAGACCCACAAACACTACCTGAAGAGTGAGAACGACGTCAAGGCTTTGCAAACAGTGGGGCATATAATTGGCGAGGTCCTGGAAAAACTAAGCGATGAGAAGTTCATAGTCAAAAGTAGTCAGGGCCCAAGGTATGTTGTGGGATGTATGAAAGCAATAGACAGAAAGAACATAACGACTGGGACAAGAGTTGCATTGGACATTACAACTCTGACGATTATGGTTGTGCTTCCTAGAGAAGTTGACCCAATGATACATTCGATGGGAGAAGAAAGTCCTGGAGATGATATTTCCTTTGAATCTGTCGGAGGTCTTAAAGATCAGATCAGAGAACTGAGAGAAGTGATAGAACTTCCACTAAAGAACCCAGATATATTCAAGAGAATTGGTGTTCGCGCCCCCAAGGGGGTTCTTCTGTATGGACCTCCTGGAACAGGTAAAACATTACTAGCAAGAATAGTTGCAGCTACAATGGATGTGAACTTTCTGAAGGTGGTATCGTCTGCATTAATCGAAAAATACATAGGAGAATCGTCAAGGATGATCAGGGAGATGTTTGCTTATGCAAGGAGAAAGGCACCATGCATAATATTCATGGACGAGATCGATGCAATTGGAGGAAAGAGGTCTAGAGAGTCGAGCTCGTCCGATAGAGAAGTCCAGAGGACGCTTATGGAGCTTCTTAATCAGCTGGATGGATTTAACGAGCTTGACAATGTAAAGGTTATCATGGCGACAAATAGGCCTGATATACTTGATCCTGCACTCCTCCGTCCAGGGAGGCTGGATAGGAAGATAGAAATTCCCCTTCCCAACGAACAGGGAAGGAAGGAAGTCTTGAAGATTCACTCTAGGCCTATGAATGCTATTGAAGAAATTGATTATGACTCATTAGTGAAGTTAACTGCAGGATTCAATGGGGCCGATCTAAGAAATGTTTGTACAGAAGCTGGGATGATTGCTTTGAAAGATGAAAGAGATTACGTAAAACATGAAGACTTTGTCAAGTCTGCTAGGAAAATAGCAGACGCAAAAAAATTGGAAACTAGATTGGACTATAAGAAGAAGTAAATGGATTACTTACTAGCTTATGACTTTTTATTTTACAAATGTAACTAAGCAGAATTGGCTTTCTTCTCTACCTCATCTTTTTTCTCTATCTTTCCCTCTGTTTCTGCATCATTCTTTGTGCTTTTAGCATCAGGATTTTTATTTGGTGGATCAGGAATGGTTTTCTTAAGCAGCTCCATAAAGTCTCTTATAGGGATGTATTCATCCGAAAAGGATTTCGGCTTTATTACCCTATTGTTAAATATCATTCGAACATATTGCTTTCCTGTATTACACCATATTTCGATAAACAATGCTGATGCATATGAAGGCCATTCAGATATCCCAGTGTCAAAACCTGTAAGTATTGCACCTATGGAGGAGTCATGAGCAGAATAAAGAAAGATATGCTTTTCTTTTCCTATGTCAAGGAGCAAATCTCTAGCAAATCTTCCAAACATGAACTTTCTTTTCTCCTCGGTATTATTTCCGATATTCGCCATGTATGCCCAGGCATCGTTTGCTGCTTTTATGTGCTCTTCCACACTTTTTATATCGCAATTCAATTCTCTGCAGTCCACAGGGACTCGGCTGCATAGGCTTGTATAATAATGGTCTGCTCTTTCCTGTGGCTTTGGATGACGGCTAAATACCTGGTTGTCTTGGACTATGTTTGGTTTATTGAAAAATTCCATGACATCTTCTCTTTCTTTCTGGGTTGTGCATCCCAAGGTACTTAGTAAGGTGTCATCACTCTTGGGTATTTCTACATTTTCTACTACAGTATCTCCAGTAAGGCCTCTCACCACCCCTGCCAGGGAGGAATGTGTCCTAGGTATTTTTGTAGCCCTCATCTCTATATTTTTCTGTTCTATCTTCTTGTCAAAAAGAAGAGAGTTATAGTTATTCTTTATAAATTTTCCAAGAGTGATCATCTGCATGAATCCTCTATGTGTCAGATCTCCTTCAGAGCATTCTTTTCTTTTGCAGTCTGATATTGTGGTATTGTTGAGACTGCATGGCATGCATTCCTGGCTATCCCATGTCCTTGTGAGGTTTCTAGTAGGAGTCCGGGCGCCATGCCTGAATATTACGAATAGCTTTTCAAGGTTGTAGTTCTCTGCCTTTGGTATGAACTTATATCCTGACTGGCAGTATCTACGGAATGGTTCTAAATCTTTCTCAGTACTTATATTCCTTGTGTTCCACTTCCCATCAAATAGAAGGCTCATTCTAAGAAGAATCTTGATCATCCTCCCTCGACTTTTCCCATTTAATTTGAATTACCATGATGTTTTAGGTATGATACGTCTGGTTATCCAATCCAGCTTAAGAAACTTTCACATCTTTTGTAATTGGTTTGTCAGGTTTAACCATAACATATCTTGAAGAGAACTGGTGCCAAAATGGATGTTTTTACTTCAAACTGTAAAGAAAACTTAACTGTTGGGCAAGATAATCACATAAAACGCAATGCCTTGCAAACTACTGCTATAGGATCAGTCTTCTGTGGAAGACTTGAAAGGAAAGAACAATACCTCTATGAAGGCTCTATTAGCGTAGGAAGAGTCAAACTTCTGAAAGACTTCTATGAAAAAAGCGTCTTTCTTAGTAAAAACATAAAAATAAGAAAGACATTCTATGACTTAAATCCGAGTGTCAAGGAAAGGGTAAAAATGCTTGAAAATATGATAGTTAAACAGAGAATTTAATGAAAGATACAAGGAGGACATAACTGTAATTGCATTTTAGATAACTTTGCCTTTTTCTTCTCTAATCCTGAACTGTCAAATATAAATGGAACTTCTGATCCATGTTTTTTGACTATACTGAGTACGGTAGGATCAATCGGTACAAATCCCTCATCTTCTTTTCCAGAAAGAAAAGCTAGGGTTTTCAAGTAGTTTATGACCTAGGCTAGATAGCTCAGATAGTAGATTGAGTATCTAACGGAACACTTACTCATAACCGTCTCAATAAACCCTCTGTCTCTGTAGTTAATCACCACACAGCTTTTTAAATTATCGGAGAATTCTTTTTCATGAATGATCCTGTGGTAAGGAAAGTACTTTCTAATAAAGAATCTTTTTCCACAGTGATTCCTTCTCCTGAAAACAAACATTATCTCCTTGCTTTCTCAACCTCAAGCCGACCTCTTTTATATTTCTGAACACAAAATGACCATGGAAATACACTATTTTAGTATCTCTGAAAAACTTGTCTGGATGCATGAACTCCATTCCGGAATTGTATGCAAACTTACTGTCACATGAGTTTGTGTGCCCAGGCCCAAGAGAACTCCTTACAGCACTCCACACAAATCGTTTTTGGTTACTTCAGCCTATCTACATATTCTCTGCATGTATACTCATATATTCCTGTAGATGGCTTTCTATATTTATTCTTCTTTAAGGCTGCTAAGAGCATAATTGGAACATCAAGGTCAACTAGGATATTACATATCTTCTTTACAAACACCTCTAGGGTGTTGAGCCGGATAACCTGTGATTGGTCCGAAGCCATTCCGATGAAGTAGCCTTGTTTGCTTAGCTCTTTTATTTTGATAGGCACCTCTCTAAATAGATATTTCCAATCTGTAGAGGTTTCATCAGAGTTGTTGCAAATCTGTGTCAAACGTAATCATCTTGTCTGAACTTCTGTTCACTTCTCATATTCAATAACAAGTAGTCAGTCCTCTATGTGTGATATCTTCGTCGGGTATCTTAGCTCTTAGTTAAAACCTTATCAATAGGTAGCCGGTCACCCCATTCTTAGGATAATGAGTTTGTGCTCTCCATCCTTCTTTACTTTCCACCTCCCAAGCCTTGGCTCCTTTCCAACACCTACTACAATATGATTGTCATTAAGACAGACTGCATTAACAAATCCATTGCATTTGTAACTGTTCATAATATCAATACCGTTTTCTGCGATAGATGATAGATACAGTGAATCCTCTCCTCCAATAAACAGGAGTCCATCTCTCCAAGTCAGAGTTGTAATCGCTTGTGGTATTGTTGAAGAATGTTGTATCTTCATAACAGTCGTATCAAGAAGATGGATCTCTCCTGCATCATTTCCAATCGCTAAATGAGTACCGTTGACAAATGCAACTGCTTGAGGAAACCCACTGGGTATCTTTATGCTTTTGACCTCAGAATGCTTCAAATCAAATATCCTTACAGTCGGATCAATCTCATAAATGCAGGCTATTTTTCCCAAGCCGGATATAGAGAGATCTATAACACCTGATGGAGTTTCATAGAATGTCTTCCATACTTCAAAGTTCTGAGTAAGTACTAGGATCTTTCCTTTGTTTGTACCAATAACTATATGCCCAGAAGATTGATTGTAGAGCCCTGTGTTGATAATCTTTTTTCCAAATGTGGAACCATTTCTAATATTGCCTTCATGTAAAAAGATATAAAAACCTCCTTTATCTGAAAAAAGAAAAATGTTTTCTTCACATCCAACCATTACTCTGATATTTTCTTTCACAGGTATTCTTCTAAGCTTCAGAGCATTGTATCCTGTTTCAATTACATATTTCTTTTTAAGGCTTACATATATTTTACTTTCGGTCAAATATAGAGATGTGGGCGCTCCACTGAGCTTTCTCTCGACTACCTTTGTAAGAATCATTGCAATGGCTGGGATCATAAATTTTTATTTGTACGGTTGAAAAGTAGTAGCATGAACAAGCCCTAGACCGGTCAAATATGCTTAATACCATCAAGAAGGCGTTCAATAATCAGCCTGAAAGCCTTCAACCTCCCATGATATCTTTTGTATATCAGCTCAAGTGATGGAAGAACGGCCTCTCTCTTCTCATAAAAAAGGTAATTTTGGACAAGATGCCCGCTGAGAATAAATAGAGATTCCCCAAGTTCCATATTGGAGGCAACGTCATTCAACCTTTCTAAAGCCCTCAAAGAGCTAGAAGAGCAGAGAATATTGACTAGAGCTTGAGGTTCTTTAACATTCTTATATGAGACATCCAGAAGAAGGCTCGAATAATCAGGAATGATTAAAGGTTTCAACTCAGGATAGTCCAAGGTGTTGAATGCCCTGATAAACAGCTCTTTTTGATGGCCTTGGTCATCCGTTTTTTCTCCAGAGCCATAAAAAATCGATGTATACACGGGATCGGATACTAGGAGGTGTTGCTCTAACTTCTTCGATGGCTTCATCTGCTTCAAGAGTTCCTTAATGTGAATGGGATTTGGCTCCTCATTGAAAAGCATGGATTCAAGAAGACTCATCTTGTCTGAGCTTTTCAAGAACTTGAATAAAGAGGTTTTCCCAGTCATCCTAAACAGATCAATTCCCAATTGGTTATTTCCAACAAACATGTCACCCACTGCAAGATCATCTATTCTATTTCCTATCACTTCAATGATTTTTTCTCGATATGACGGGCTCTGAAGAAGTTGACGAAAAAGATCAATTGAAGAATTCTTGATACCGAACTCTAATGCCATATCCAAATACTTACCCGACTTGGCACATTCTATTAGTATTATCTCAACCACCTTCTTTTCTGGGACTTTCTTTAGTTCTTGCGAGTTTTCCTCTATCCCCAAAGGACTAGTATCATCATTTCCAGAATACATCTTATTCATAGTATCTTTTAAGTACTTTTCAATATACTTATCATACTTCCCAACTAGATCATTCAAAGAGCTCATAATAGCATCATAAAAAGAGCCGTTACTTTCTCTGTATCTTAAGAACCCAAGGACAGTTCTATAGATACCCTTTAGGGCCGAGTTGGTGTTCACAACATTAGACTTCCATATTTCCAATGCTCTTTTCCTGATTGCTGAGTGGGCATCATTTCTCAGGATGAAAAGCATGGCCATTACCCTACTGTCCTCAACACCCTTTTTGCTAAATAGCTCAAGGCAAAGAAACCTAGTTTTCCATTGTCCAACAATACAGCAAAGCATAAGAAATTCCACTACTTCCATTGATTCAAAAGCTTTAGATGCTATTTCTTGTTTTGTTGTGTCGGAGCTGAGAAATAGCCCCTTAAGAAGAGGCTTAAATACTGGGATGTACTTCTTAAAAACGTGTAGTTCTGGTGCATAGGCCAGGAAAAAGGGTTCTATGTAAAGAGATTCTTTTCCATCTTCACCTTCAGAAGTGCCTGTGTGAGATGTTCCCTTTCTTATTATCTTGTTAATAATCTTCTCGCTAACCTTGTCATCGCAGGCTTTAAGGCATTTAACTAAAAACTTGTTGACCCGAAGAGAGCGCCCCATGCTACCAAGTAGCTTATCAAAGGAAATGTCCTCTCCAAACTTCATCATGGGTATGGCAACTCTGCAGCACTCATCAAGATAAAATGCATTTTCGATTACAAATGAGGATAGGCTTTCAAATATAACAGGAAAAACCAACTTCAGGTCCTGAGGATAGGCAACGAATTGTAAGCTATTGAGTATAGGAAAAACATCCTCTTTAAGTTCTCTCATATGCATGGTAAGAGTCTGGACTAACATATTCAAAGCATTGAAACAGAGATAATGATTAAATTGTTGTCTTCTGATTGCTTCAAAGAACGACTTTGCATACATTTTATCTACTATCGACTGAACCATCTGAGACCTGAGACACGATAGCTCCGGAGTTGTAATGGGTATTTCCATGAGTAGTCTCTTACTCTCATTACAGATCTGGATGTTGGAATTATGAAGAAGAGGAATAAGAGCATTGATGAATCTAACAATGTGGTTGGGAGTAACAGAGCTAGAGTCCATGTTTCTTAGTATAGTAAGTCGAAGGCCTTGGGTACTCTTGGTTATGGCCTCAAGTAACGAGTCCATAATGGTATAAACCAGATATTTGTTTTTTAGATGGACAGAAAGTATTGTGTCGATCATCTGATACAATGGAATCAAACATATTAAACTAAGGTCGTTAAGGCCAAGGACTTCAGTGTAATCCATATTACCTGAGGCGCCCTCTTCACTTGGATTGCTACTACCTCTACTGCATATTTCATCAAAATATTCACATATGTAATACTTTGCATCTTCTGGACGTATCAGCGTAAGAAGATAGGCGAGCTCTACAACACCTAGTGTAATAACAGGATCCACGGCCACACTAATCATATATATCTCGTTTCCATCTTCATTACAGCCATAAACTGCTTCTGCATATGAACTTGCATTCCCAGAGTCTCCCATAAGTTCAAGCTCATGCTTTAAGATCTTATGGATGCATATACCTTCCTCGATTGTACAGTTCTTTTTGTCTATCTTTTCAAAGTATTTTCTACGAAGGTCTTTATGCCTAAAGCAATAATCAAAAGCTAGTTCAGGCCTTTTCTCAAGTAATGTATCATAAATGCTAATATTCAAGGTCCTGAATATTTGATCATAGGTCTTTTCTAGCCACGTGGAATCTTCAATTTCAAATACCCTGAAGTCAAATTCTCCTGCTAAGGCCTTCCTGTAGATACATTCTGACAGAAAGTCTCTCTCGTCATTGTCCTGATTAACCAGTACATCCATTATCTCACTTGCTGAAAAGGAGCCAGCGACATAATCTATTGCCTCCTTTCTGTAAATTCCGCCTTCATAGTTTATTGCTCTGCGTATAGATGGTCCATTCCCCTTATAAATACCTTTTCCATAGAGAAGAATCCTTCCCAAATCCTCATCTTCCAAGACATTGAATTTGTCTATACATTCTATAAATGTGTTTCTGTCAGTGCTCAGCGTATCCCATAAGATCTTGCCTACATTCCTTGGGATATTCAATTGTAGGGCTTCATAAGCAATCTCCTTGCATCTTTGCACATTTCTGGAATACATTGCCACATACTTTATGGTTTGGTTAAGAAAGATAACACCTATGTCGCTTTTGAGAAACCTTTCCACATCATAGTCACTGAATACTCTTTGTGCAGATGCATAATCCTCAACTATTCCATGATCATTCTTTTTGATAAAGTTGTAAACACTCATAAACACTGAGTATTTTGTGGATGTTTCCTCAATCACTCCATTATTAAGGTATTCATAAAGATCATTCTCATATTTTACAGAGTCCTGGGTGTTATCAGCAAGTGTATTCAAGTAGTATTCAAGGTCTCCACGCTTCAGGTATTTTTTGATCAAAAACAATCGTTCTTCCTCGTGGATATGCATTAGATTTCTGGTTAAGTACACAACCACACCGGGGTACTTGACCAACTCTACTATCTTGGCCTTAGTTATATACTTCAAAGTGTCTGGATCATGCTTTTCCACAGATAGTCTGTATTCTGTAACTCTGGAGCTTCCGTAGAGTTTCATAAGAACCTTTTTGTAATACTTACAAACAGAATCTTCTTTTTCAAAGAGTATCTCAACAAAGCTTATTGGAAAAAAATCCACTATCCAAGTAAAAAAAGATGCTACATATTCATTCACCAGCTCGTTATTTTTCATAAACGTTCTAATAACCTCCTTGTGGAAACGGCCAAGCTTATGAGCCTTGCATACTTTCAGACGAGGAATCAGTTGGTCTACTGACCTGTTAAATGAAGCTTCTAGGCCCTTAATAATGTTACTTTCAAGAGTAATTCTTTCATCTTCATCCACCGACCCAAGGAGAGGCAATGCATCTTCAAGATTTATAGTGCAGCTGGCATGAACCTTCTTTTCTGTCCTTGATGCCATAATTAGCCCCATACCGTCAAATTTTTTATCCTTGTCTATGTGTTGTGTTTTAGTTTTAAGCCTAAAAATTTGATCCTTCTGCTAAAGGCGATGGGATATTTGAAGCTTAAGAGCGTCAAGGTGGACAGCACCACAAAGAAGCTTGTGGATCCTCTGAAATTCAACTTCCGATTTGCATGTTCCAATGAAATCAAGTCTGGCGTCGAGTTCACTGTTTTGTACAATATGGATGTGCATTCCGACGAAAACGACCAAGTGCTCGCGGAGGTTGAGATTGCACCTATTCCTAAAGGGAAGATCGAGTTCAGTATCGATGCAGATGCTCCGGATGTAAACAAGATACCCTTGGATGATATATTTGGGCTGACATCGATACTCATTATTGGAAGATACAAAGGACAGCAGTTTATTAGGATAGGGTATATTGTGGATGTAGGCTATCCAGGAATACCAAGCAGTAAGCTTATAAAGAATGATATCGAGGAACCATCTGAAGAGATCGAAGACAAAGAAGAGGATGAAGAGGACGTAGAAGAAAACTCAGAAAGTATCGAAGGATCTGATGAGTCAAGCTATGTTGTGAAAGATGAGGATGAAAACGCCGAGGAAGCGAAGCCAAGAACATTTATGGAAGCAGTTGAAGATGTGGTTGACGAAGGAAAGGAGAGAATATTTGAATCTGAAGGAAGAGAAGAAGAGGAAAATGAAAAGGTTGGGTCTGACTCCTACTCAGAAATCAACAGGGAACTTAACAAAAACATTGGTGAAGAAGAGGTGAAAGCAAGTAATGGAGATGAAGACGTATTTGATTACTGTGGATACAAAATTAACAAAAAGGAAATTGAGATGAAGTTAATGGATCCGCCAGTGATTAACCTATTCGAGATAGAATGGTCGGATGAAACCCCTGATAAGGAAAGACTTGACACTAATGATGAGAGCCCTGCAAAAAAGCAAAAGGTTGAATAGTCTTGATCATGTTTATCATTAAATGTTTCTATTGGAGCTTGAAAGTCATGACTTTCGACTTTTCTTTCTTCCTATGTTGAGTTGCTCCAAGTATTCTAGAATGTTTGGAGGAGCCCCGTCCAGGTTGACAGGAACCTTATAATACCATCTTTTAGACGACACCATTGAAAACAAGCAGTACAGGTAGAACGGTATGTCACTCCAATTCCAAAAACCAAAAATGGTGATGAAAATAGAGCTGAGCAAGCATTTGTAAGGCCTTAACTCTTTTTTTTTATAGGCAATTAAGTTGATCACGATAAGCTTGTAGAGGACGGTATTCCCCATCAAATAAAACCATATGGTATGAAGTGCTATGAATGGAATTGAAAAGATTCTACCATGCATTTTGTAAAGTATGAAGTTTCGGAAGAAGGCATTCTTTATGGACTTTTCGTTACTTTTTTTGCATTTCTTACACAAGGGAAGTTTTCTGAAGTATTCACGGAATGTTGTGCATACGATGGTTTTCTTTTCGTAATATTTAGATTTACATCTTCCGCAAAGATGATCTCCAACACACATTTGGTTTACATCCTCTATGGGGAGATTGGAATACTCTTGCTTTTTATCTTTATATATGTAATATATTTCGCATTCTTCGCAGTAGTATTTCCCACTAAGAGGCAGCATATTTGTAGATTTACAGTATTCGCATTCACTCATAGAGAAGGGATGAAGGCTGAATTTTTAACTTGACTAAACTGAAAAGAGAATAGAAAATGGGTTCAGGGAGAACATTTTAATTAAAATGCAGCAAAGATGTCGAAATCCTCTTCCTCTTCCTTTTCTTCTTTGTTTTCAGTGGTCTGCGATGGCGCCGATGCATCCGCAGTCTGAGTGGGTGCAGACTCTCGGGCCGATGAAATTGCAAGCGATGCCATAAGCTCCTTTCCCTTTAGCATTATTTCCTCCATACTTTTGTTGGAAACCTTAGATAGAAACAAGCGCATGGTCTCAGGCTCAATCTCTGCACCTATTGCATTGAAAAGTTCTGTTATAGACTTTTCATTGAGTTCCTTTCCTACCTTATCAAACATAGCATAGGCTGCAACATATTCCATCTTCGAGGGTAAAATTTTTTAGGAAATATGATCCATTCTTATTATTTGGAGTTCATATTATCATAACAGGATCTTTATCTCTGGTCGAAATAAATATTTCGTATCCAGGAAGCTCTTCTTGCAGCTTTGAAGAAATGTGCTTCAAACATATCCTCTCACTGTTGCTATGCTCCATTAGAATGACACTTGCGTTGTTTGCAATACACAACAGCAGATCGTGATGGTGCATTTCCCCGGTAACAACGATAGAGTCCTTGAGAGGTACATTACGAAATGTTGCGCCCACACCCACATGCATAGACTCCGGGATACTCTCCATTGTGTGTCCTCTTGCTAAGCATATCCTGAAGTTCTTTATTCCACTCTTCTCTTTGAGTATGGTTATAGCATTTCTTATGGTTGAGAAATTAGGGCCACAGTTCTTTTTGTAGAGGAAAGCACCACTGTTAACCAGACTGTATACATAGTTGTTCATCAACGGGTCTAGAGCTGTATGTGGAGTGAAGACGTTGATTCCATTCTTAATACACTCTATTACAATAGATTCTTTAGAACCAAGCTTTTTTATGGCCTTGAATATTATAGGATGGTAGGCAACAATATTCTTAATCCCAAGCTCAATACATTCCTCCAGTACGGGCTCCGTAAGATCTATTGTCAAGAGGACTTTGTTGTCCTGTGTCCCTGAATCCACTATAACACCCACATTGTCCCAATCTGTCTTAGCTCTTCGTAGAGAAGCAAATCTGCCGATAGCCTTACCTACCTCTTGTATCGACATTTGATGGGATGAATCTGGTATGTATATTAGGGGAGATAAGGCAAATGAAAGAATTTACTAATATATGAATATCTAGACTCTATTGTTCCAGAACAAATCCATGGATCCGGTCCCGATGCAAATAGGGATCCCAAGAATTATAGACTCACTAACCCCGCATATCTCATCTGATTTGCTTTGGACGGCTGCTTCAAACAAATAGTCACTTGTCTGCTCAAAAGATGCTAGCATAAGAGTGGATCTCGACATCTTCGAAATTCCGAATCTTGTTATTCCAAACACCTCTCCTCTATATGTCATTGTATCTGCAAGAAGCATTATATGCCTTGGATCTATTTTGATCCCATGATTGCTTATAGTGTATTCAATCTCGTGGATTATCTGAGCCCTTGCTGCTTCGATTCCTAATACCTCTTCTACCTCTGTTACGCTGTTGCTAGTTGTTGTACTGCTTTTTATGCCATCTGTATTTATGACATTTAATAACCCACGGCCTTCAATTACAAGACTATAGTGGCCTCTATTGCTGTTAATAATCACCCTGCTAACTTGTGGAGCACCACATATCTTTGTGCCTAATAGCTTCTTCTTAATTTTTTGAAGGTTGAAGTAGCTTTGGTCATTAATCTTCTTAACATGTATTCTCAGAGAATTCTCACCTATAACTTCCGTTTGGTCGTGAATGCTTAAAGATTTCTCAATCTTGTAGATGTCCAGATTTAGCTTTAAGCGAGAAAGGCTTTCTAGATCTATGGTTATATCTAGGAAGATTTCATCTTTTCCAATAACTTCTGTTATCAAACAGCATATATCCTTCAAAGAAATCTTATCGATTCGGCCCTTTATAACCTCAGCTCGAAATAGGTCATTTGGGTCGGACAATTCTGCATTTATAATGGGTGTACTGATGTTGCAAACAGCATTGATTATCTCTTTCAGTCGAGGAACTCCGAGAGTTATATTCATGCTGGCAACCCCGGCAAAATGGAACGTCTTCAACGTCATCTGAGTTCCTGGCTCTCCAATGCTTTGCCCAGCTATTGCGCCAACCGTTGTTCCAGGCTCAATTATTAAATCTATCATTTTCTGAGATATTGCGGAGAAGAATATTTTTGCAAAATCATTACATGAAAAATATGAATAAAAAGTCCCATTAAGAGGAAACTTATCTCCACGTTTTGATTCAATAAACCCCAGAAGAGTTTCTATGAATCTTTTGTTAACTATACGCTCAACAGGATATCCCTTAGGTATCGATCTCTTGAGATTATCAATAGAATCCCATTCTTCTAGTTGAAAAAGACACGGGCCTTGTCCAGAATTGAGACTTCGCAGGAACTTGGACTTGGTTTGTAGGAACACCCTCTCGAGGTTAATAGGGTCATCCCCCTCAGACATTACAGGATCTATTTGGTCTTCTCCAAAAGCAAATTGAACCACTTCCATGCTTGAGTTTCTCACACTCCCGTCATACTGAATGCTCAGGTCTTCAAGCGCCTTCATTAGACGCCTCTGCATGTATCCCGTTTCAGCTGTCTTCACAGCCGTATCAACGAGCCCCTCTCTACCACTTACCGCATGGAAAAAGAACTCGGGAGATGTTAATCCATCAAAGAAGGAGTTCAATACAAATCCTTTCGATTCCGGTGTTCTGCATCCTCTTGGGAAATGGGGGAGGCATCTGTCGTCCATTCCATTTGGAATCCTAGTTCCACTTACAATCTGTTGTCCTACACAAGCAACCATCTGAGAAACATTAATCTTCGACCCCTTTGATCCACACGCTTGCATAGTGTTTGGAGAGTTTCTAATGCTCAGTTCCTTTATGCATATTGATCCACACTCCTCCCTAATTCGGTTGAGAATAGAAGATATTTCCATTTCTAGAACCTCTTCATTAGATTCAGACTTCTTTGAATATTCTAGTATCTTGCTCTCGCATTCTGAATATCCCTTACCGACAACCATTTCTTTCTTCTTCCTTAATATTGGCCCTGGTTGTACATCATCAAGCCCTATGCTAAACCCAACTTCTCCAAGGTATCTCGAACACAACTTTGTTATACTATTCATAACTCTTACTGCAGCTTTATTACTTACCTTCATTATAGCATATATCAGGCTATTCTTCTTGTTTTCTCCTCCTATTATCGACTTGTCAAGACGTCCAAAATAATAGGAATTATCCAGAATTATCACATTTCCATCGTTAGGATCATTACGTGATTTGAATGATCTATTCTTTCCTATAAGAGAAATACTTTTATCTTGATACTCAGTACTCCTTTCTTTGATTCCACCAAATGAATCTTTAATAAGCGCTTCTATTAGCTGTTTTCCAGTAAATAGCTCCACTGGCCTCCTTATGGCCGGTTTTATATTAACCCTTGTTCCAGAAAAATAGCTTACAAGCTGTCCAAATCTTTCTCTGTCAAAAAACGTATCTTTTCCAGTTATCAAGTACAGTCCGGTAATGAAATCTTGTGTAGGTGCTATAATGGGCTCTCCATGCCTCGGCGTGACAATATTATTGGAAACAGACATTAAAATAGATGCTTCAGCGCGAGCTTTCTCTGTCTGAGGAACGTGAACATTCATCTCATCCCCATCAAAATCTGCATTATATGGTGTACAAACACACTCGTTGAATCTGAGAGTCTTATTATTATGAATCTTAACTTTGTGGGACATAATGCTCATCCGATGAAGAGAAGGCTGTCTATTAAATAGAATCATATCTCCATCTAGTAAATGTCGCTCAACAACTTCGCCATACTTGAGCTCAGCATCTCTTTTGCCGTACATCAAAAACCTCTTGAATTTTTCTCCAACCACATAGTTGGCTCCAGGATATTTTTCAGGCCCATTCAATACCAAGGATTGTAGCTTCTCCTTGTTGAACCTCGTGACCTTTTCAGAAATAGTTAATATTTTCGCCATTCTTTCAGGTATCCCTACTTCCTCAATACTTAGATTCGGGTCGGGAGAAATAACGGTTCTTCCGCTGAAGTCAACTCTTTTCCCACTTAAATTACATCTAAACCTTCCGTTCTTTCCCTTAAGCCTTTGAACTATCCCTCTCACTGGTTGTCCAGGAATCCCAACTTGTGGAAGTTCAGAATTGATGAGTAATGCACACTGGAGTTGGAGATGGTCCCAATCCTCGTTAATGAGATTTAATGGGTTTCCCTTCTCTATCCCTTCTTTCAATATTTTGTTTGTGTGTACAATTTCACTTATCTTAATTGTTATATCATCCTCATTTGTTCCCTCATCATCCATAGACACGCTTGGTCGAATACAGGACGGAGGAACTATAACATTTTGTATTATAAGCCGGTCAGGTGATTCTGAAAACCCAAGTAACTCGTAATCATCCTCTTTCATCATCTTAAATATATTAAGTGCCATTAAAGGATTCATTTCTTCATGGTGGGGAAAATACCCCCCAGGTCCTTTGCCGTCCTTATCCCTCTTTTTCCTTTCCGAATCTTCAATCTCATGTGCTATTCTAAATCCAAATGTTTTTTTGACCTGCCCGTTTCTAGAAGAACATACAAAACACATGTTAGCTTTCTTACACTCAGCAATCACCTTCCTTAAAATCAATCTAGTGTCATTTCCTCCAGTACTTTCTCTTAGTTTTCTTTTGAAATATATCTTCTTCTTTTCACCAAGGAGAATGGATCCACAGCTTTTGCAAAGACAGTTCAACGTAGAAATCGTATTCTTAATCAATCCCACATTGAAAATCGGAAGCGCCAATCTTACTTCTCCAAAATGTCCGATACACGTTGCAAGCCCTTCTCCACACGTTGCACACTTGTCTTTCTTGTTTCCAACACCTAGTCTTAGGTCTAAAGGCCCATTTGGCAGAGGTATTCTTGTACTTATGTCATATAGGTCTTTGCTCGAAATCTCGTGTACAGACAAGCTAGAAATTTCCCGTGGAGATAGAAGCCCAAAGGATATTCTTCGGATTCGCATATCCATATCATCCTCCTCAACTCTCTTAAGCATGGGTTGGGAGATCTAATCGTGAATTCTGAAAAATTTGGCTTGAACAGAAAATAGAAAGAGAAGAAAGGCCCATGGTAGAAAGCATGCAACTAGGGATGGAAAGGATGATATCTGAGTTAGAAGACTACAAGAATAGAGGAATATTTTCTTCAGATGAATTAAGAAAGATAGTAGAGACTAGGAGAAAGTATGAGCTCAGATTACAAAGGCCAGAAAAAAAGCTTTTAGATTTTGTAAGATACATAAAAAGCGAATGTATGCTAGAAAAAATAAGAGATAAAAGACTGAGAGAAAAGAATGTCAACGCATCACTTCATGACATGATCATACCAAAAAAAGTAGTGGAGTTGTACAGATCTGCTCTGTACAGATTCAACGATCCAAAAATAATTTCACAGTTTACTGCATATGTCATCGAAAAAAAGATGTATGGAGAGATGAAAAATGTATTTGCTGAGTGCTGTACAAGAAACCCAATGGATGTAGATCTTTGGATATACTGTGGGTTCAAGCTATTTGAAGTTGGAGACATTGAAAGTTCTAGAGCTATGTTTCTTAAGGGAATTAGAATGAATGGCAAAAACACTCGAATAAGAATTGAGTTCTTCAGAATGGAAGTTATGTACGTCGAAAAAATAGAGGCCCTGAATAAGGAAATAGGTTTAGATGAGGAGGATAGAGACGAAATAGAAAGAGGTGAAGTGGCATTTGCAATCTTTTCTGACTGCTTAAATGATTCATCTTTTACTGAAAAAGAGATAATTGAAGTTTTGGAAATATCTAAAAGCATCAAGGAACTTAGAGAGAGAATTGAAGAATATATTAAAGACAAAGAGGTATAAATTAAAACAGCTAGTGGCACATCATATATTGCTGTAGATATTTCTTAAAGTTATTTGATTTGTACACTTTGAAATCCATCGGTGTTATGAATAAACTTAAAACCATATTCTTTGGAATACTAACCAGGAGGCTAAATCACTACAGAAATTATAGAACACAACACTATATTGATTGATGACGGCTAGAATAATTTATACCCATTCAGATGGTTGAAAAGAGTCTTTCAGGTGGTAAAATCAAGGAGATGATTGCATACATGACTTTTCTATGGTGTTTGCGATGACAGCTGGGTTAGTACATTTGTGTCCTGGACAGCAGTATGTGAGTATGGGACTGCTAGATTGGAGGCATGAGAGTTCGAGTATGAGAGTGAAAAGGTTTAGTTGAGGTGGTTAAGATATGAGATATGAATAAAAGATATAGAGTGTATGTTTGTAGGCTTGAATGTAATATTAGGGTATTTAGAGATGTAATGTAGGATGGGTGGCTGAGTAGTATGAATAGTAATAAAAGTTTACTTAGATGCCATTGTTATTGGCTAGTTGAAAGGATTTGAAATGCTTATAGAGAATGTTCAGGCAAGCGTATCCCCATATTCCATAGATACATGCAAGAATGATCAGTAAGATGATAGGG